CTAGTCAGGATCCACTGGAGCTACTGCAGACCACTGGTCCCCAGCTGCAGGCAGCCTTGCTGGACTGTGCTTCATCATAAGATTGATGCCCAGTTCAGCCAGCGCGGAAAAAAAAAAAAAAAAAAAAAGAATACTGTGGCTTTGCTTTGATCACGGGGATTGAATTTGCAAAGAAATAAGTAAGAAAACCCGATGGCAGGTGTTGTGGTGACATGTCAAGCTGCAGGCAGGGCCTGCAGCCGCGAGAGCCCAGGGCTACAGCTGAGGTCGGGCTGCAGCGACCACTTGCAGCCAGCGAGGCCAGCGCCTCGCAATCTGGCTGTCGCGGCAGCCAGCAACTGCCGTCCCTGGGGCTCGACCCGTTTGCTCTGCGAAATGGCTAATGGAAAAGGAGAATCCCCAGCCCTCGGTGTGATCATCCGGCATTGGGTTGAGAGGAGTCGGGTTCGCCAGCTCGGGTTTTGCCACCGGAACACAAACGTTACTGAATCGCGGCTTGTCGGGAATTTGATCCTTGAACATCTCTAGTCTCAATGTCAATAGCTAATTCATAATGGCCGTTGGATTGCTTTTGTTGCGACGTACCTTGAACTGTCTCAGGTTCCAATAACTTTGTACCTGAGATCTGATCTGTTCCGTCGTTCAGCAAGAGTGATATAAGTCCTGTTTGGGTTTGTTAACTCTTCTTCCTTGTGTTTAATATAAAATTCAACTCACGCTCGAATTCTGCTGGTTTTCCAAAGCATCCATGGCCTCCCGCGCAAGGAACGTTCTCTTCTACCAGAGGGCGCTGATAGAGGTGATCCGCATATGTGAGCTTTCCGTTCGGAAGCCTCCTGTGCATGAACGCCAGGTTTGCCTTGGCCTCAGCAGAGGGATGAAATGTCACACTTTTCATTCCAAGAGGCTCGAAAATTTTAGCCTTGAAGTAAGTGTCCAGCGATACTCCAGAAGTACGTTCAATGATTACTCCAACCCAGTCCATTGATGTTCCGTATTGAAACTTCTCTCCGGGTTGATTCACAAGTGGTCTGTTGGACTTTTCCACCGATATTCCTGAAAAATCATCCGATCCAATCGGCCTGGTAAAATCGGCCAGATTATCGTCTTCAAAGGCGTAACCAAATCCAGCTATAAGGGTTTCAGCAAAGTCTCAATAATAAGTACACTCAAATTATTACCTGTGTGATTCAGGAGCATGCGAAGTGATATTCTTCTCTTCTTCTCAACCAATTCAAACTTCCCTGAAGCCCCGCGTGTCAAAACTTTGACGTCTCTCAGCTCCGGACAGATGCCGTCTATCTGGTCAGCATCGTCTAACCGCAAGACATTCTGTTCCACCAGCTGCATGCAGGCAACTGAGGTAGCCATCTTCGTAAAGGAAGCCAGCCAAAATATGGTGTCAAAGGACATAGGCTCATTGTACCTTATGCCGACGGTGCCAGAGCAATGTCGGTAGATGCTTGTTCCATCGCGCCGAAAAGCTGTGTAGATGAGACCCGGGATCTTGCGGTTACTAGTTCCAGATGTATACTCATCTATGATATTACACAGCTTAGCCGTTGTATCGGCAGACAGTGCGGAGGACATCTTCGCCTTGTTCCGGATAGTCTAGAGAATGAGTAAGGGAATGTGCTGTTTGGAGAGGAGGCTCCTGCTCTCCAAACAAAGTGCTTTAGGCAGGGGTCTTGTGCCTGTATTTTCCTCGTGTCCAAGACTTATGCTATATCGTCTGTTCGGCTCGGTATGTGAGGGGTTTGGTTCCGGCATTCTTCTAGCCTAGACCCCAAATTGGCCAAACGATCTTTGCCGAAGCTCAGTCGCCACACGAGTGGGTCTTGGACACTTCCCACCAATTCTGAAGTCCTTTTTGGTGTCCGAGCAAAACTACCAGAATAGGAAGTAAGGTTGTTCTCGCCCATCTTTGAGATACAAAACACTCCTGTAACATGCAGCAGGAATAGGAATAACAAATATCCTCGGCAAAACAACTAGCCAACATCTAAACTCACACACGGCTTCGTTCCCTCACAGCCATGGCTTCTCCGATTCGATATCAATTCACCCCGGGTCCTGTGGGCGAAATGCTACGCTCCGCTTCTTTGGCATCTACAGTGGCGATTCCCCTGGGCGGAACTCTAGTCATCACAACAGGACATGTTGGGGTTGATATTACAACTGGACAACTAGTCACCAGCTCCATTGAAGACGAGTTCAATGCTGTATTTGACTGCCTCGACGCAGCTCTCAAGAATGCTGGAGTTGGTCAAGGTCTTGCAACCGCGCATAAATTGGTAGCGTACTTCACAAATGCCGAGCACGAGGCTAAGATGCTGGCCCTGTTTCGAGAGCGATATCCCGGTCATACGCCAACATTGACCTCGGTGGTGGTTGCGGCGCTTGTCAACCCCGGGATGCATCTAGAACTGCAAGCAGAAGCCATCGCAGGCAACTAGAGGTATTGCGATGCATGAGCTAGTTCTAAGATCTACCATAGAACTTGCACCAGAATGTGATCAGAAGTTTGCTCATTGCTGTTCTTCGTTGGGGGCGAGAATCAATAAACGTTGAGACGGAATAAAGGAAGTAAATATGTGAATGTCACGGATGGAAAGTTTACAATCATATTCTCAAGAGATATGAAGCGGGTGATATACACAAAGTAATGTCTTCTTCTTTTGTTATGTGAGACTGAACGAAGGATTATTATAAAGTGATATGTCGAGCCATACTTCAAGCTATATCACACCGTGCTCTTAGATTTGGGCCAAGTCATCTACTAGCAGAGTTGTATTCATTCCAAGTATCTCTCTAATCTCTATCTGGCATGTTGCGGTACGGGTTGCTGGGATCGGCAAGCTCCTCCTCAACTGAGGGAATTGTCTTAACGATCCTCGCCGGCGACCCCAAGGCGATGGAGTAGGCTGGCAAGCTCTTCGTCACGGTCGCGCCGGCACCAACAGTGCATCCCCGGCCAATAGTAACCCCAGGAAGAATGGTGACATTCCCCCCGATCCAGCAGTCATCCTCGATGCGGATGGGGTGGCCAAACTCTACAAACTTGATGCGGGAAAGCACACTTGTCTCGTGACCAGCAGTGTATATGTGAACATTGGGGCCCATCTGCACCCTGTCACCAATAATGACAAGACTTGTGTCCAGGATGGTCAGCCTATTGTTGGTGTGTTAGTCAACGCTGAATCCTGTTACCAGGCCATCCACTACTTCAAGGACTAACCCGAAATTCATGAAACAGTTCACACCAATCGACACGTTGCAGCCGTAGTCTGGGTAAAAAGGTGTCTCGATGCAAGTGCCTGTGCCAACCTTGCCAAGCATGTCAGAGAGCAACTCGGAGCGCTTATCAGCAATTTGCTCGTAGTCTCCGCTGTTTGGATCCAGGTTGTTGTATTTGAAGGCCTTGCAGCGGGCATTGTGGCGCCCCTCCAAAAGTCTCGGGTGTAAGGGGTTATACCTGCAAGCCAAGGGAGGGCTCAGTACGTGCTTGGGGAGGAACAAATTGCGGTTGGGGAAACAACGTACAGCATTCCAGAGATCATCTTCTCGTACTCTTCACACCAGGGGGTTCCACGCAGCCCCCTGCCGAGCTCAAGCATCTCGTTGTCTTTCTGTTGTGCAGCCATTGTATCCACTTGTCCAGTGATGTACTCGCTCGCTAGTGAGGAATTTGAGTTGTGCAGCAGGCAACTGGCCATCTTTTAAGCCTGGAGAGACGTACCGTTTTTCCTAAATAGGTATTAAGGGCTCTCCGCGTTCGGCGGCCAATGACGAGGGCAGGCCGCTACACCGTGCGATCTCCTACTGTGAGAGTCCGAGTGATCCGTCTAATCTTGCTTGGCTCAGCTTGACGTCTAGCTTCCCCACACTCCTTGGCATTGATAAGTTGTGGGGGTGGACCAGGGCTACCTTATCGACCAGTCTTGGCCCCGGATAGATGGCTTCCAGACCGTGACGGGGAGGAGCCAGAGATAGCCGAGTCAAGATTAGTCTTCAAGGTAAAAAGGCCGTGTTTCGTCGCCTCTTGCAACCCCAGCGTTCCATCACTCCGCAGTCACTTCCTCAGTCACCCCATTCAACCAACAACTTCTTTCTTCTCCCAACTCGCTGTCTTGATATCCATCATGAGCAAGGAAATTACGAAAGACATGTCCAACTGCAATGAGTCCGACGTTGGCGTCGGCAAGGTCGAGGATGTCGACGACAACATTCTGATGGCTCAAGGCCATGTTCCAGTCCTGAAGCGATCCTTCAATCTTCTCGGAACCCTGGGGCTTGGTTTCAGGTACGTGACATCCCATTTTTGACTCCTCACGCTCCCCCGCAATGCATAATCAACCCTAACGCCTCGTCACCTCACGCAGCATCACCAATTCCTGGCTATCCTATGCCAGCTGCTTCGGGCAGAGCTTGCTCTACGGCGGACCTCAAGCAACCGTGTTTGGGCTGATCGTTGCATGCGTTGTACAGTGGCTCGTTGTTCTTGGGCTTGCTGAACAAGCCTCAGCTTTTCCATCTTCTGGGGGTGAGTATTCTGCTCATAGTTGTACTTCTCGATACTAACTTGAGTAACGTCTAGGGCAGTACCACTTCACGTATATCCTTGCTCCGAAGAAACACAAGAAGTTCGCCGCATTCGCCGTTGGGACTATCAGTGTCCTGGGGTGGTGGGTGATTACCTGCTCCGGCATCTCCAACAACGTCCAGTGCATCATCGGCATGATAGTATTCGCGAACCCCGACTACGAACCTCAACAATGGCATTCGTTCTTGCTATACGTAGCACTGATCCTACTCACCTGTAAGTTCGCTTCCCAAATAGGAGATACCGCGATCAGTTGAATATCCACGACAAGAAACAACAGCAGCTAATGCCCTATAGTAATTCCTATCTTCACAATCCCTCAGCGCCATCTTGGCAAGTGGACCGAAACATGCCTCTTTTTGTCTGTTGCCGGATTCGTCATTGTTACCGTTACGATCCTTGCCATGTGCAAGGAATACAACCACCCCAGCTTCCTGGTCAAGTTCGATGGAGTTAGTGGGTGGCCTGATGGCGTTGCCTGGCTCATGAGCGTGGGCAATGCGATGTACGCCTTTGCCAGTATGGATGCCGTCATCCACGTTGCAGAGGAGATGCACCACCCTGGAAAGGCCATCCCTAAGGCGATGTGAGTCCTTTCTCATCCTGCCATAAATTACCAGGCTAACCAGCTTAGGAACCTTACACTCCTCATTGGTTTAGTCACCTCGGTTCCGTTCATTATTGCCATGATGTTTTGCATCAAGGATCTTGACGCAGTTCGCAGTGCCCACCTTCCGAGCCTTGAAGCTTTCTACCAGGCCACTGGAAGTGAAGCAGCTGCTCTCGGCCTCCAGGGAATCCTTGTTGTGCTCTTTTATAGTAAGTTCATATTCACTGAGTAGTATAGAGACAAGGCTGATCTGAAATAGCGTGCATGCCTTCTCAGTGGATCACTTGCGGCCGACTTACATGGGCATTCTCCAGAGACGTATGTAACACGAATGGCCCATCTATCTTACTTGAAGCTAACTATTGAATCCAGCGCGGGCTTCCATACTCTAACTACTGGAACCACATCTCTCCCAAGTTTGAATTCCCTGTCCGCACCACCCTCCTCTCCGTGGCATTCTGTATCATTTACGGCGTGCTGTACCTTGCTAGCTCGCAGGCCTTCAACTCCATCATCATCACAGCTGTCCTTGGAGTCAATATCTCCTATGTTGTTCCACAGGCCATTACCTTGTTCCATGGCCGCAGCAGACTCCCTGATCGACCATTCAAACTTGGCAAAGTCTGCGGCTACCTGTGCAATGCTTGGACCCCACTCTGGGTTACCACCATCGGCGTGTTCATCTGTTTCCCAAATGAGATCCCGGTTTCAGCTGCGTCAATGAATTAGTAAGTTCACCATCAACTCATTAGTACCTAGACAACAGCTGACAGTATTCTAGCGTTTCCGTTGTTCTTGGGTTTATGGGTATCATTCTAGTGGCCTTGTGGTTCTCGGTTCGCCGTTCATTTGAGGGTCCAACCATTGACTGGAGCATGCTCAGCGAGCAGAATGTCCAAAGCTCCTGAGGACTTTTTTTTACTAGTTCCACAGTATCCGGGAAAAATCGGTCGTGGGAATACTGAGCATGGCAGGGTCTCATCCTTGAGGATTTGCCATGAATCGATGGAAAATGAGGATGGGCCGGTGCCTATTCGTTATCTATGCCTCCTGGCTATGTTTTCTAAGGCCAGCATACCTACGTTAAATATAGCTACATTGTATGCTTCTTATATTATCACCATTGACATGGACTCTGCCTATAAGTCTTTTAGACCGAAAGGAAAATAATGGTGTAATTGGCTCACAAGCTCCACGAGTCGCACGTAATGTCTAACAATCTAGTGAAGTATAGGATATCAAGCCTTCCTAGGCTGCTTGCTATCGATTAACAACATTACCTAAAGCTTTGCGCGACTTTCCTGAAACCGATCAAGTCGATAGGGATGAAGCATTGGATCTTCGTTGCCATATAGAATCTTCTTGGACAGAAGCTGACCAACAAGCGCAGCATTCGTCACACCAGAGTGCATGCACGCCACATCCATCCCATCCAAGCCCGTGGAGCCGAGGATGGGATATCCATCCTCCGGATCAGGACGTACTCCTACCGTATAGCCGCCGAACTCGAGCTCATGTCCCCGTTTGAACACCTTCTGCATCTGCTTGAAGAGTTCTCTGGCAGTGACTTCCGGGTCATCCCCCGGTGGACCGCCCGAAAAGCTGGCAGCGAAGCGGATGCGCCCATCGAGTGTCTGGCGCAGGTGCATTGCCGGCAAGCGGAGCAGTGTGTGGAGGTATCGCTTCTTGTTGGGCGTCGTGTTGACAATCAGACCTTCGGTGCCCTTGACGGGAAGCCTGATATTCTCGGTTGCCAGCAATGCGACGCTGGCAAGACCAGCAGCTACAACGACGTGGCTACCGCGTACGTGCCCAGAGCCCGTCACCACTCCAGCGATTCTCCGACCGTCACTCGACCTCAGGAATCCAGTGGCAGTCGTGCGGAGGACCTTGGCTCCTCGTGCTTCGGCATCGGCAACGAGCATAGCTGCGGCATCATGTGCTTCGATCGTACCCTCGTCGGGAACATACAGGCCCCATTCAGCCGATGCGAACTGGGCACTGTCCACTTCCCGCTCGATCGCAGCCAGGCTTCCCTTGCCCAGGCGCTCAATCTTGGTGCCCCATTTCTGCTGACGCTCGTGAAACTCGGTGCGCTCGGAGGGAGTCTTGTCGCAGGTCAAGGTGCCTCCCCAGTAGATCGGGAGGTCGGGCAGCTCCTTGCTCATGTCGACCCAACGAGCCATGGAGCGACGTCTGAAATCATAGTAGAACTTCGTGGTGGTGCCGGCTGCATTGAGCCAGGAAAACGACTTTGGCGTCACAATACCGCCCACCTCTCCTGCGATGATGATGACATCCTTCTTCTTCTCCTTGGTCAAGTGCCACGCGATGGAGGCACCGACGACGCCGGCTCCGATGACGATAATAGGGTCGGATTGATCGCTCATCGTTGTCTTTGATGTTGTTGTCGTTGTTGTTCGCGCACAATGATTCAAGAGTAAAGACAGATCCCGCCAGGGGTTTTCTTGTGATGGGTGTCATTGCAACAAAGGCTCAGTTTGGAACGCGTGTCGACCTTTATACCAATGTAGACAGATTTCGAGGAGAGAATCATCTTGCCCAGCCATTCGTTCGATGGACTCGGGTCTCTTCCCCGGGTCCGGGTCGTTCCAGTCCCGAAGGAAGGTCGCGGATGCCCGGAAGTTTCCGACTCCACTTGCCGGCCTTTGTCTAGGACTTCTTCCGGTTGCCGCGAACCTCTGAAGGAAAGATAGTGAGTGGCAAACGTGTATCATTAGATAATGTATTTATCCAGATTTCCTCGGGATTAGCTTTTATAGGTTGCCAGTTGTTGGAACCGAGGCACCGTGTAATCCGTGTGGATTGGTCAGGAAAGAGGACCATTGCGCCTCGTTTCCTAAATTGGAAGAGCATTACAGCAATTTGCATAATAATTCCCTCCGGAAGCCTCGAAGATGCATAATTTAGATGAATACAAATACACAATTTTTGCCCATCTACAGTGTGTGATCCAACACCAGTTACCTCATTATGCCCAACGAGTTTATGCTCGATTTCACGATACGACTGTGGCTAAAAAAGACAGCCAATCTGTTGTCAGGTGAATATGGTGAAGCTTATCTTCTTCGGTATGGACTTCCCTAGTCCTATGATGCTATAGCGATTAGCTTACAATCGGTTGCTGCGCTAAGGTGCCTACAATTTTCATGTAGCGTTTACGCGAGCTTGTATCATGGCCGCCCTTTCCCGCTATTATTATAGCAGGATCGGGCCAACCGCCAAATGTGAATTGTGTCGCAGCGGGCTTAGCCAAGAAGTTGCTTTTGGATGTAAGTGCATAGTGGAATGTACTCTGTGCCCGCTGCTATATCCAAATATTTGATTGCATTCTGTTACCATTGATCACAGCTGGCCGCGTTTAATCGCATTTGATCCCTTATGTTTATTACATCTTTCGAGACTGGCTAAATCTCGATTACACCAATGTGCTTTATGTTGGTCAGACACGGCTATTTAATACCCCAAATGCCATGATTATAGCATCTACAGTATGGTAGGCCACATAAGGCAGACCCGTACTCAGTTTTCCAAAAGCGATGGTGAACCTATAAGTGTCATCACAAACGCCACCCCTAGCCCCAAGAATCTCACCTGCCTCACCCAGCAGGTTGTCCGATTTAACATCAAAGTCATGACTCCACCCAGGCTTCTTATTACTATCGAGTAGCTGGCCATACCACAAACTATGGATTTCGCGTACGACAGGTGCTATATCTTCAGATACACCAAGAGGTTTCTGCTTAGCTAGCTGGGCAGTACTGCCCTCGATCATATTATAGTAGATAGTAAGGAACTTGCTCTCGGGAGATACTGGTAGCTTATCTTCCGAACATGCTCGCCTAAGTCTGCAAATAAGCAGCTCTATGAATCCAGTATCAGTAATCTGGGCCTTGGCTGTATAATATAGTTGCCAAGTCCTGGTTGCTTTCGTGTTAGCAGATTCTGTATATATCGTAGTATAACTGGCTCGAATAACTGAACTTACTACTTCTAGAATTAAGGGTATTTGGTGATGTATAGCTTAAGAACTTGAAAGATGCGCCTGTGTTGAGCCCGTGAAAAACTATAGGGAGGTGATGTTGAAGAGATACGGGTATCCTCGCAGTTGTATAAATGTGCGCGGTGATGGCCCCTGATAGTCTTGTATAGTATACTCGATAAAACAGTGGATATTATCTGGATAGCCTGCTTAATTTCAATATCGGAGGGATATAACAGCCGAAGTATATTATAGGTCTCGCTAGTGAATATGTTGATATGGAGTTCTATTATATTATTTACCACAGCAGACCCAATAAGTGAGTCTACTCCCTGGTTATCGAGGAACGCGGTACTATCTTGGTATATATAAGCGGAGCTGAGAGTATTAAAGCTACGGGCTGCGATAGCTAGATCAGGGTCAAGTTCGTGATCGATGTGTGACTTTCTGGGGGCTTTGAGAGGTATGGTATTTTTATAGTCACTCATTGTACGTATAAATCCAAGGCTGACGCGCCAGAAGCAATGATCTGGGCCTGAATTGAGATCATCGAGCGTTGGGACTGCGGCACGAGCCATAGCTTTGAAAGCAGCAAAGCGTTTCTCATACTTTCTCCGTCCTCTTGCCTGTTGGTTCACTTATTAGTAAAACCTGCTCTTAAATTGCGCCCTCTGCAAGGGCAAGTCACTGACAACAAGCGATATGTAATTTATTGTAATCTTGTAGAGGATGTAAAGTAAAGTGCTAGAGGAACGTGGGAGTCTTACCCAGTCGGCGTCTGTCAATGTTGCGTATATATAATCCTCTCGGTGTGTTTGTGGCTTGAGGGTGAATTTATTGTATATAAGGAGGTAGAAAGGGAATAAGGTAATAATGGGCGGGTTATACTCGAGGCCAGTAAGTAGCCTGCCCTATAACTTGAAATGATTGTCTCTGCTAGCTTGTGATGTATGGTACTGAAGTACGAGGTCGCTTGGATTATTGGTATTATTAGCAGCTAGGAGTATGGCGGTGTAGGCCTCTAATGTAATTTGATATGTGAATTCTATTGTGTTGATGTTATGTAACCCAGTGCTTGATAATCTCTCCTTCTCAATGAGGTCATGAAAGTTGGCCGAGAATGGTCGTATGCAGTCCAACGTCCGCTCAGCTGGCTTATACCTGGCTTTGGTATTCTTGACCTATTGAGAGATGCTTGTTGTTATTGTGTAAAACCTAATGTGCTTTCCTGCCGAAGGTGCCGGAGGATGTGACTTGACCGTGCTCTTGCCCCACGGTTGTAAAGTAGACGGAAGGTTATTATAGCTAAATTGCGCATTGTCTTCATATTGACCATGAGCCCTGAGGTTTTCGTTAATTCTACTGGCTTTTAGGGCCGCCTATTTATAGTATCAGTGAACCTATCTTAGCTATAGCTAGCAGTTATTCCGTACTAGAGCGTCTTCTGTATACCTTATACTCTGTATATTAATTATGAAATTATAAGGTACTATAATAACTGTTTATTCTGATTGAGTTGTGAATATATATTTATTACCAAATGTTAGTTTTGGAGAAGATATCTTGCTGCTGGATCTTTTGGTATTTTATATATAGAGGGTTATAGGCTCTATTAGTCTCCGACCCTTGTATCCTATACGAACGGGTCCGGCTAATAATATCTAAATATATATGCTTATATATAATTGGAGGCTACTTTAATATATTTTAGGGTATAATTATCTTCCTATAATCTAACTATATTAATATTAATTCTGATTATACAGGGTTATATTAAATAAAATAATAAGGTCTATAGGAACTAATATATATTCCCTCCTCAGAGATTAAATATTGGTATAAGCGTGATATCTTATCTTATAGTATGCAATAGTTGTATCGGGTGATTTCACCTGAGAGATGCAGAGGTGTTGAGAGACTATTGATATAAATCGTTATATGGAGAGAATGAAAACTTGAGGTTGATAATAGTATATGGTCACAGTAGGGTTTAGGGTAGTGAATCTTAGAGCTGGAAAATAAGTATTACTATCCCTAAGTCTTTTCTGCTTTAGGTGCTGCAGTAGTAACTATGATTTAACCGGTTAGTGTATATCATGCTTATCCGATTAATAGATATCTATCTGTAATACTATGGCGTGCAGTGAGAATACGGCCGTTACTACATAGTGTACCCTCCAAGACTACGCACAGTTGCATCGAGGGTGGCAAGACCCATATTATCTTAACCCTGACAGCATTACATATAGTCAAATAGATCAGGTTATCGGCCCGGCCCGTATCCGGTGGTGGACACCGGTGTAGGGTCGCAGTCTCATAAGGTAGCCACTGGTCTGATCAAATATTCTCGTACTTGCCGGTGGTGATACCCTTTTCTGTTTACTCTACCCCACTCTACTACCTGCTAGGCCCGACCCGTGTCGAGTATTACCTTCACCAGCGAATCTCCTGAAGGGAGAGATGCACGTGAGCCCGACTCCATACACTTTGCATGTCCACTCTATCGATGACATTCATAAACGATAGCTCTTATCCTCGCTTCCGAAGGTCACAAGAGATCCTGGAAAGTAACTTCATCAGCTTTTGGGCCCACCTTCGTAGGATCTCATGGTTCCCCATCACCTTGCAGGAGGAGGGCACGAACGTGGAATAGAGTACGGGAAGGGGGGTTTCATTAGAAGCTCAGCTGTGGACGCTATGCAAGCAACAAGTCTCTAGAAACCAAATGGCTCCATATCCTCTGCAACTCAACGTGATCCGCGTGACTATAATGCATCATGCATATACAGCGCAAGTCATCAAAGGGCGGACTAACGAGGATATCAAGCTCTTGTACTTGCTGGGCAGCTTCCGGATAGGATATACTTGTGAGCACAGCAAAAGAGGGAGCTCTTGAAATTCTGTGGCTGCTTACTCCAATATTCCGTCATTGTAGTGCATTTGAAAATCCACAAGTTCCCTAAGGAATGTATCACCATGAACGACTCAGTGATGATATAACTACGCCGGGGTAGCAGAAGCATCGATGAGAATAGAATGATCATTACGTTCATCATATTCTTGCTCTGAAATTATCCTAGCCTACATTCAATGCTATCAACCATGGGAAATACTATTACCTTAGGTTTTTTATCCATTTTGGTTGCCTTCGGGCTTTCTTGGCTATACGGTCTCATAACATCGGATCGTAATGAGGGCGACGATGTTCTCTCATATGCAATTCCAACCAATAAGCGTAGGTCAGCATGGGTAAATTATAGCGGCAAAAGCTGAATCTATCTGTCAGCACATGTATTTTGTTAACCTTGGAATTTAGAACGCCTAGTTGAAAATCATTAGAATGAACTAGCTACCATGGTTTACGGTGAAGGATCCACGTATGTCGAGAAGCCATGGGTATGGTACTATAAGCATGAGTTCCCCTAAGGGAAGCCAATACATCAAATAACGCCTGGTTTGGCCCGTTTACTACGCTATCACAAGTCACGAGGAAAGGGAGCGGGGTGTATTTTGTGTGAAACTCTTCTGACTCAATGCAGGACTGCTAGGGCCGAGGAGTTTATGGAGGGCGTGATCTATTTAAATGGACAATGGGATTATGCGAAAGCAGGGCAATGACTCCCTGAGATTCGACATATCTTCAGGGGTCGCTCGTTGGCTATGTAACTATTGCCCCTTCTGCTATTTACAGGCCTTGTTAGAGCTTCGCCGGGAGTCTCGGGGCTAGATAGCTTTGCACTCTATGAAAAGGCTTTAACCTTACGTCGAATGGACGATAATCACTCGGGCGGACTTGTTCGGATATATAGTTCGGGCCATAGTGCGGGAGATAATAAGGTCGATTGTATTTCGCCGAGATGATGGTAACTATTAGGGAGTGGCTCTAACTGTATTACCCCGAAGGGTGGCAGGTGTGATTATCAACTAGAAGAAAGGCGGTACTGTGAGACCCCTGTACTCGATAAAGCCCCTACCCCCGATACTGATAATAATATGAACAGTATATGGCTCAGGCTATCCGAGTAGGAGAGTGGGCCGAGGGAAGTGGGATAGAGCTTAATACCGTAAGATTGCTTAGTCGGGTATCAGGCTTTCTATAAGGGCAGGGGTAATAGAGGGAGAGGGAGCCTGTGAATGAAGGGGCATAGGCGCGTTGAAAGGCTATACTTGGGGAGAAGTACCCTGATACGATCTGGAGCATGGCGGACATCGCGGCGTTGTACCACGCACAGAGCCGATATAATGAGGCAGAGCTACTAAAGGTTCAAGCACTAGACCTCTGATGATCTTAACACTCACGTCATAACGCAACGTAGTATTTATAAATGCGTTGTTCGTATATAGGCTGGTCAAGTTCTCCAATATATATGGTGCCACGTGAATCTGATACCTGAGTTGGAGATTATTAGCTTAAGGAAGGATGGAGTGAGACATTATTGCGGTCCACCAGCTATTACTCCAAAGGTAGAAGGAAGATTATGCAATATAGCTTTGCTGGGCTCGATCTACTTCATCGGTAATATTCCCTTTCTTGGCGTGCCGGCTAAAAGGTAAGACATAGAGGCAATGGGAGAACTTAGTGCCAGCATAACCAGCTGTCCCCAACACTCTTGTCTCTTGCTCTATCTACATCCACTCACCGGATTTTGTAGACACTGATCCTAATATCGATATACATACGCTCTTAAGGTCCTACGAGGTAGTTTCCTCGTTTCTGCGTCCAATGGACCTTCAATCTTGACAGTACAGTGCTTCGTCTAGTAAGACCAAGGAGGCGTCTGCATAGCACATTATCGAAGGCCTCGACAACATCGAGAAGAAGCAGTTTCACCCCGGAGTCATGGCAGCCGTCACCCTCGCCATCCCTGCACCTGTGCCACTTATCACATATGCTCCCCGCAGAGAGATCTTGTCTCAATCAAACCTTTACCGTATTAGGCACCTGATCGCTGCTTGGGCATGGATCTTCGATGGGTTGGTGAGGGACCCTCCTGCCCAAGGGCTGGAGGCCGCCCAACCAAGCCTTGGCGGTCTCGATCAGGCCTGGCCCCATACAAGGCTGCTGGATGCTATCATGGCAGGCTATAGGGGTGACTGTTGTTGGATCATATACTGTAGATGGGCAGAATTTTGCAGTTGTATTCATCTAAATTATGCATCTTCGAGGCTTCCGGAGGGAATTATTATGCAAATTGCTGTAGGCTGCTCCTTTGAGCCTAATGCCCTTCCAATCTAAGAAAAGAGGCGCGTTCGTGCCAAATGGTCATGAAGAGCGGGGTAAAGAGCAAGAACAACTTTGACAGGACTCAGGCGAAACAGTGTGGTACCCACTTTGGAAAACCTGCTAATAACAGAACGTATCATGCCGGCGCTCCACGGGGTTGTAATATGTCGCGTCTCCTCGGTTCTGTGTTGCTTTGAGGTCAACCCCACACTTACCACCAGCGCCCATTCTGGCCATCGCAATGACCAACAGCTCTTAACACGTCAGACACGTTCATATCAGCTGAAAAGTATCCCGCAACCGGATCCTACGAACAATGGCAGCGTCTCCTAATATACTAGGACACATATCGCTAGGTGTTCGGAGTTACGAAGCCTCCAAAGCCTTCTACGATGCTGTGTTGGTGCCCCTTGGATTAAAGCTTGTGTATGACAGCATGGCCACTACATCGCAGACACCGCGCACACTTGGGTATGGTCTAGATCTGGATCACGAGCTAGTCAACCTGTTCGAATATAAGGATTCGGCGGCGCCAGGTTCGGGATGTCACATCGCCTTCAATGCGCCGACCCGACAGGCTGTGCGGGACTTCCACGAGGCAGCAGTGCGATGCGGTGGGAAGAGCAACGGCGAGCCGGGACTAAGGATCCATTACGGCCCAAAGTACTATGCGGCCTTTGTTATCGACCCTGATGGATGGAGATTAGAAGCTGTTTGCAAGTCGGACGAGTCGGAACCTTCTCGAGCATTTACATAGTCCGATACGGGGTACTCGCCCCAGATCAGCTATAGACCCTTGGAAAAATCCATGCTGGGTTCATCTCGTATTATAGCGTGGGCCTGGATCTATCGGTAGATGGGGTGTATATTATATGAAAAATCTTTCGCAATAGCGAGAGGAAATAACGAGGCTGAGCAGATGTATGTATCTTAGCCTAAGGAAACGTTAGCGGGTAACGCAGGGCATACATACAGCGTTTCATTGAGGATGTCTCGGGTGCAATGACGTTCACGTCCCTCTTTAGCATAACCAGTAGCAATCCAGACGCCATCAATAAGATCGCAAAGTTATATTGCGATTAAATTCTATACTTTATACTAATTCTATCGGTTGCCCTTGGCCGTGCGCCGCCGTTTCGCCTTGCCCTGTCGTCTCTGTTGGACTTGCTCCGTCGATCGCAGAGTAACACCATGGACTTCTTGCATATGGCGTCAGAAGAGGTTGACATGTTTGAGTGTGACGTCGCGACATTTGTGTTGCTCGCATCATATCTTATAACCGCGTCTGGCCAGTGCTGGCCATCGAAATAATCTTTCATTACAGTCGGGCGGCAGTATATAAAGAAGAGAACCGCTCATCACCAATACAATCAGAACAGTTCTATATATGGAGGATACCAGTCGCGGAGATGGAGTAGATTCGGTGATAGCATCGCCGCATTCACCGACAAGGGTATATTGTAGTAGTGATTTCATACAGCTGAAGTTGCTTCTCTAGAAGCACGGACTAGACTAGCGGATCTTCCCACCCAATCGCGTTCCCGGTCCCTGATATCTATGACTATATAGCTTATATAAATTATCTCAGCAATTAGTTCTTAAATTAGCCGAGCCGCAGAAGGTAGCAGGATATGTTAGCAGAACGGGGGTTTTGCCACTGCGTGCACACCAAATCTAGGCGGAGTTGCATGGAAAAACTCAGAAGCTCTGTAGGATTCGTTCCCTATTCGTTGACCAACTTATGTTACGGTGTGACAAAAGGAAGTGGCCGCAGGAAATGGACATATGTTCTTCCTCAGCTATGGGACGACTGGGCTCTGATGTTGGCGGCTGTGGAAACCGTAGTGAGGTGGTCAGGCATTTATCCCAATCTCTCGTTTCGTAATTCCGATCAACATCAGTAAGCCAGACACAAGGCAAGCTGGCAGATATCTACCTCACCATTTTACACTTGATAGAACTGTTGACACTGACTCCAATTCGAGCCAGCGCCTAAATGCCCTTCAGGTGAAGACAAAGGGTACCCAGCCGCGTCCTTGGCTATAGATTTAGGTACGACTCCATAGCGCCTACCTTCTAGATTATTGCTCACGTGTTGAGCTTTGGTACAATATATGCATGTATTGCAAGTGGGTAGTCGCTGGAAGCTACGGAACCTGAGCCCCTATCTACAAAATTAACTGTTGAAGAGAAGGGTTCTAGATGCGATGCGACATTGATATTCTTCATTAGGCTAGCTAGAGCAATTGCTTCGCATAGTTAACTCTAATAGGTTGTCGATGTTGACCCTTTCGCTTAGCGACACTCACAGCCCATAATAGACGGTTTGCCAGCTCTGATCGGCAGCGCACCTATGCAGAATCGACTCAAGGATGGCAGTTATAAAATTACTCATAGACAACGTATCGAATGGTGTGGTGATACCGTCCCGTCTTTTCAAGAATGGAGAAAGAGTGGAAAGAGTATGAGATAAACCAATCATGTGCCAAGTCGTTCCCCGCTATCCACCAGCAGCCACTTTGCATATGCACTTACACCACCGAACCGTTGCGAAGCGGCCCGGCAGCGTTCGACACCTTAGTCAAGGGCAACTCCGCATATCGGATTAGATTGGCCCCACAACGAAGGCTGGTGTATGTATGTATCATGATTCGTCTACACTCGTCTAGACCCGTTATCGCTTTCTCGTAACGCACAGCCGAAACCACCTCCCAACCGAAATACGAACCATGCGGTAATCTCCTTCTCTGCCGGCGTATTTATAACGGCACAAAAGGGAACTATACAACCTGCGCTGGACCTAATTCGACAGATGATGCTAACTCAAAATATAGGGGTAGTGGAAAGAAGCATCGAACGTGAACTGTATTCTAGAGGTTCGCCATGACATTTATCGATCCTTCACATCGAGCTGTTCTAATCAGAGAGCATGCCAAATCTCAATCATCTCAGAGGAGGTTTCACCCATTCCGGCAGTTACCACTCGAACAACGGGAGGAGGTCTGGCGCCAATACGCTCCTGCGCTGTCAAACCAGCCTCTTCTTCTACGGTTCAATATCAGATCATGCGACTCAGTTACCTTCAGTGGTCCATCCCTGAGAAAACAAACGGAAGCCATCAGAGATGTCCTTCGCATCAACCGGGAATCTCGATATCAGGCACTACATGCGCTCCCGGATGTTCTTAAATTCTGTCAGGAAAGCCGAGCAATCCTCAGATTTAGGAAAGAGCGAGACATAGTCCTATTGAAACCCGTCTTTTGCTTCGACTCTAGCTATCATGGCTGTGAGCCGTCTTTGCAGGTGCCAGGCTTCTCCGAATACGTTGTCAATCTCGGACTCAACTTCGAAACCCTCGAGAGCGACTTTGCGCGCACATGGTCAATGTCATGCTTTCCGGGGATCCTGAATTGTTTCCCCATGCTCAAGACTGTATGGTCCTGCTCAGGCAGGCAATCCCGGGATGATTCTTCGCTTCCGCCGGAGTCTGCATCGGCGCCGCCCCAAGGGATTCCACATATCACAGAAAAGGGAGAATTTAAGACAATGTATGCTACGCCTTCGGCTAATTGGACGCGGTTGGAGGGATATGACGCCGGCCAGTGTGTTCGCAGTTGCGCATTTTTGGTATTCAGGAAAAGTCGCCTTGCTGGGGTTGACTGGGCAGTGAACGAAGGTGTATATCAAACCGCCGGTATATACCATACCCGAGATGACTAGTGTCACCCACGATATATATCGCAGCCAACGATTTACCCCAAAGAGCTTCAGGTAGAGGAAGACGATGGGGGCCTTGGAGAACCACAGTGTTCCCTGAACGAAAATAATGACTGCGACAGAAAGTTGGAAGAGTGGAGAGTGGAGAATAGTTAGCAAGCTGTATCGGCGGGCTAGGCCTTAAGATGGGGGAGAACCAGGATCCTTTACTTTCTGCAAGGAAATGAGATCTATCGACTGCGGGGGGACCGAGATCACTGGAACGGACGTCAGCTCGCCGAAAATTTTCAGAGTCCACTCAGGTCGTACTTACAATTCAGGAAATGATCATTGATAGCATACGCTATAATGGAGAAACACAAGCCAACGACGGCCAAATCTAGGAAAGTGGGGATTAGTATGAAGAAGCAAAACGATCCGGACGGAAGGCTTGCTCACAATCATCGGCGGCCAGCTTGTGATACGATGTTCGGTAATTCACGGAGCATCGGAGAGCAACAGTGATGCTAGTGAGGGCCGTGAGCGATATACCCACGCCCGAATAAGTTGTATGTGTGACGGTAGGTGAGGGCGAAGTCGCAGACATCACGCCCAAGGTTTCATCCCCAGCCGACAAGCCAGTCAATGCAAATGGCAAAAAAGAAAGACGCAACGGGAAGTGTTGGCTGGATGTTTTCAGGGCTAAAACTGGGTAGGCGGCGGGAGTGGAATCTTAGCTGTTATATCACTGTTTGGTAGGAAAACACTACCCCAGGATTCCATTCTTGCTAATATTCCTATCATGGTAAAAGGGATGGGTGATCTGAGTAGTGGCAATTTTGCCGTTAGGGGCAAAATGTCGCAGTAGTAAGCTCCCAACATGGTTCTGTGCAAGGATTTGACCAGATGCGACTCTTGTAATGGCAGCGGCGCCGGTCACGCAACAGGTCATGCAATGCGGCGGCGCTGTTGGTCTGTGTAGCTCATCAGGAGTCAGGCCACTACCATACATTTGCTGCCTGGACGGTTTGGGTGCGGTGGTATTCGTCACATCGACCCAAAGGGTAGTATTGATGACCCTCGATGCTACTTCATTTCCCAACCAACACAGTACTTGGACCTCCACTGCATATTGAGACTCCTCGCTAGTTGCATCGGAGGGGTTACGCGCCCATTGGGGGCCGCTGGTTGGTAGCTGCTGTCTGGTCTTGTACCAATACTTGTACTCTCAATACTTTTAGCCTCAAGCCATAGATATTAAAGGCAGCTCGCGGCTCAGGCAGTGGAGTGAGCATCCTGTCACCAAACCAAACATCAATCGAAGATCCTATATAACCCACACAAATACTCTACTCTGACAATCACTATCCAAAAAATGGCCGAATTCCGAGCTATACTCCAGAAGACCATCGACACCTTCGTGGAAAACAACACGCAGGCTATCAAAAAGCAGGATGAAGCCCTTTTATCCGCCATTCTGACCGACGATTGCGTCCGCAAGTACCACCCACGATCATTCGTGAAACGCTACTCGCAATTCTTGAAGCCCCAACTCACCAACGCCGAGTACGAGGCGCAGATCAAGAATGAGCTCGGCACTATGAAGGATATCGAGCAGAAGATAACCAACACAATTATTGACACTGAGGCACGCACTGCCGTCCTCTTCAGTGAGCAGACCATCACCACGGCTAACGGCGGCACCAGCGTCGTGGAGGTACTCTGGTGTCTTACCTTTACGGAGGATGGAAGCCGTGTAGCTCAAGTGTTGGAGTACGTGGACACGTATGAGAGTAGCAAAGTCATAGAGCAGGTCTTGCGCAACGCGGGGGCTCACTAGGACAAGGATCGCGCGATGGCCCCCTGCTCCCGATCATGGCGCTGCCATTGTGTGGGACGCACAGCCACAGTATTATGCGCTCTCGGCCTTTGAGAAACAATGGCAGGCGGGGAACAGGAGTGTGGTGCCGATGGAAGGTAGTGGAGGGTTGGGGGGCACTCTGGTTCGATCCTCTGCCTTGTCATTTGCTTATGCTTGGTTGGGTTACACTCGTATCACACGTACGTAACACACTTCACTTGGCAGAACCAAAGAACCAATCCAAATATTACCGTGCCAATTGCTTTGCGTGTTCAATAAGTATGCACATTATTTAACAGAACAATATCAATACTACCATGCCATTTGGTGCGTATCTTTTCCCTCGGCATGGAAGTAATAGGAGCTTAGTCTAGGTCTCTCGTACGACGATTGCAGCATGACGTTCTGGACAAAATCACTGGAAAATAATGCTTCTGAAATATTTCTAATAGTGGAAGGTGGTGTTGCATTATCTGCTGCGTTTGATCATAGATTCCTTCATACTTCGGGATGTTCTCCCGCTAAGTTCCGACCAAAGAAAGATTTGTACCGTAATCTTCTATACAAGGGGTAACTATCGATCACCATCATAGTGCCCTGGTATTTCAGATCTAACTCTCCTCTAGGTGCCCGTTGTTCCTTTAGAAGTCCTCCCCTCAAAGTTTAGTGCCCGAATCACAATCCGCAAGCAATTCCCTGGGCCAGAATGTTTCGCGAGCTCGTCGTATCATCCTGGTCGCGGATTGTCGAGAGTGTGCACTCTGGCAACAAAGAATTGATTGTGGGTATCATTGTGATACTCTCGATAATTTCCCTCAGATCCAGGAAGGGCGATCTAAACATTACCAATGCCCCGACGTATGGCTACAGATCGATACTGGAGCCCAAATGGCTTCTCCAGTTGAGGTTTGTAACTGGGGCAAGAGATATCATTTCAAGTGGCTATCAACAGGTAAGCCCAGCACATGTTATCGTTACTGATATGCAAATGTTAACGCTATGTTGCAGTTTAAAGATGTGCCTTTCATCCTACGCCGCTTTGACACTGATTACAACATCCTACCAGCACGATATCTCTCTGAGATAGCTGCCATTTCACCTTCAATTCTTAGTGGAGTCTTTGCCACTGCCGATGTGAGCCATCTACTAAATATGGCCTTTTTCTTCTACAGGGGAAAGGAATGGTAAAAAAATAAACAAGAGTTAGTCTAACACTTTATAATAGAATATGCTTTACGAATGGACCGACCTCCACTTTCTTCATTATTCAAACCTTCATGTTCAAGTCATGAAGAGAGAGCTATCTCCAGAATTATCTAAATACCTCGAGTGGGCGGCCGAAGAAGTCAATTATGCATGGCATATAGATGTTCCCGAGGCCGATGGTGAGTTTCACTATATTATGTATATCCTTTGGCATTTTGGGAAGAAGGGCTCAAGCTAACGCCAATTAGACTGGGTTGAAGTTGATATCCAGGAAGTTGTGCGTAAACTGGTTGCACGCATGTCTGCGAGAATCTTCCTCGGACAGTCTGCAGCCCGTGATGAGGACTGGATCAACGTGTCAGTCGATTTTACTATCGATGCATTCACTACTGCCTTCGTCCTCAGGATGGTCCCCATATGGATGAGGCCCCTTGTTGCCCGCTTCCTTCCAGCTCGATACAGGCTGAAGAAGTACCGTGACAAGGCCGCCGAGATTGTGAGGGTAAGAATAGATAAACATGCCAACATGCGCCGTATACCAAAGTTTGGAGAGGAGACAGAGCAAACACTGATGGATTGGATGATCGATCATGCTTCCCCAAAGGAGGGCGAGCTTCATGAGATGGCACATCGGCAACTCATCCTGACACTTGCTAGCATCCATACAACTTCCACCAATACGGTCATTTTTCTCTATGAGCTCTGCAAGCATCCTGAGTGGACCTCTATTTTAAGGAGATTGAAGAAGTAAACGACAAACACGAAGATCTTAGCAAAGTGGACATCAGACTGTGGCACCCCCGTCTGGAGCGCATGGACTCTTTTCTACTCGAATGTTTCAGACTTCATCCCCCCATCCTGCGTAAGAACCCCCCATCCTTCAGGAAGTGATTCCAAAGAAGTACCCTATTGACAAACTATTTTTAAATTTTAATAGATATACTATATTATTATTATTTTACTAGTTAATAGCTAACTTTCTAGTCCCTAACCCCCCTCCGAAGGGGGGAGATAATTTCAAATCCCCATAAGTATACCAAGTGATGAAGCTGTTGGTGTCAGTAACAGGCTATATAGACAATTAGGCACAGCAATCAGCGCGATCCGTTTTGGCTGGTGTAGTAGAATTGGCTCTGACAGAAGCTTATCAAGGGCAGTAAACTCCGGTCTGGATGAGCTTTAGAAACTAAATTCAGCCATGCTTCATGGTCCAGGTAGATAGGTACATATATATGTCAGAGGAAAAAGGACAGATAGTACAAGAGCTACATAATGGAACCGGCGACATCATCAATCCTCCCAAAGTCTTCAATAAATCCTCCAAAGAAACCATCTAGGCCATCCAAAGTCCCTGCCTCTATGGCATCCCTAAGCCAGTTGTTCCAGTCCACCTGGTCTCCCCCTCCACCTCCTCCACCTCCCCCTTCTCCTCTGAGATTGGTCGAGGAGCTTGGCGGAGGAAATTCTTGGAGTGGCAAAGATCGGTCCCGATTGATCATCATGGACATGGTCCGGCTGGCTAGGACTTCAAACGTGTCCCGGTACGGTGCCGCCCCTCGCCACCCTTCTGATATGGCCACAAGCACCATGGTGCACTCTGTGCATGTCTTACTGAAATCGTCGAGAGCCACGACATCCCAGGGAGAAGGGACGGTCCAGAGACAGTGTAGATACACCAGGCCGGCCAAGAACAGGCAGGATAGAGTGCCCCAAGTGTAACGCCTGTAAGTCCCGATGTATAAACGGCGATACCCCTGGCATAAAGTCCGGGAAGCACGGATACATTCCGAGAATATCTGGTCCGACGAGAGTTCATACGCTTCTAATTGATTGCGATAGAGTAAAAGAATCGTATAGCTGTAGTTCATGTCGTACCATTCAGTGCTATTGAACATGGTGAGATCATCGACCGCCAATGGTTTTGTTGAGGGGGAAGCTGCCGCATGCCATTGATCTAGATCCGCGCGCAGCTGTTGTATTCGCGTCTGGTATGCCGTGTCGTGGACACTCAGCCTAGCCGTATCAGAGAACAGAGAGGTGCAGATGCGAGCCTGTATGATGCGAAGCCTGAAAACGTGGTTGGCGTGTGTGATGGTTGACTTGCCGAGCTGACCTGGCTCGCCCGAGGCCCCAGTCTCCGCTGTGATACCCATCTCAGAGATACAGGAGTCGTTGACATCAGCAGGAAGCTCGGCGTCGATTTCCTGCAGAGGAATCCCGAGGGGTCTCCCAAGACGGAGGGCCATGGTACAGTCGAGGCCTTGGGCTACCCAGAATACCCTCTTGCGCAATTCGTGCCGCAACATGTTGGCTGCGGGAGCGTGGCGTTTAGCGCTACGATGGTAGCCTAGTCCGATGCATTTCCGTAAAGCAAGACCTGATAACTCCCTATATACAGTGTGGTAAGAGTAAGACGATGATCATGACAGAGATGATAGGGCTTTGGTCAGGTTGCGTTTTGCATTCATACCAAAGAGAAGGCCCAGTTAAAGACCGTAGAGAGTACATAGCACAGAGAAGGATGGCCTGAATGGACTCCAAGCTATCATTTGCCAGTGCATCCGAGTGCAGCTGGGCGGAAGTGTAAAGTTGCTGCAATGGAGAACAGGGATGGTTAGCTTATTTCGAGCACCCTACAAGCTAAGATGATGGTAAAGCCAATGTAAGGGAGATCGAGATGCAGATATACCTCAGCGAACGCATCTGTGTTGTTTTTCAAGAGAGCCGCGACGGCATAAACCTATAAAATACGATGAAAGTCAACAACTTTACCTACTTTGAATAAATAACGTGCCTGGTACCTAGATAATGATCACGGCTTCTTACCATATTGAGGAAGAACAGCGACTGTCCAAAAAGCTCCGTATGAATAGATTCTGGTGATGCACCGTACACCTTGGCCTCCCAGGTCCTAAAAGTTGGTTCGTGCAGGAAGGGATACTGTGGGTGTATATATTTGAAGTAGGCATTGCTTAATGATATGGCAGTATCATAGTCTGGTAAAGGACATGGCGTCCCCGTCAAGCCTGGCTGGTCTCCCAATGCTGGCCCTGTTGTTGCTGCTGACGGTGGCAGGTTTCTATTCAGGGGGAGGCTTATGATGCGGGAGAAGGCAAAGGCAGACGAAGAGCCCAAGTACTGGGGTTCTATTTGCAGCGTGCGGAAATCCAGCATCCCAACCCTGGATGGCAGGTCGCCGCTGCTGTGTCCCCCTCCCTGCTCTGGTGAAGTGTAGTAATTTGTCGAAGGTGTGCTCCCAGTGGCATTGCTTGTGCTTTGTGACGTCCCAGAATGATGAACGGAGGAGTCTGTCCTTGCCGTGGTGGTTGTGGATATGTGTTCCAAGCTGGCCACGCGATCCTCGAGAAGCTCGACATAGTTTCGAGGTCTGGGGCGGCTGGTCTGGGAATCCTGGACGAGACATGCTAGAACAAGGGTATTAGAGGACGGCGACAAGGAGATATGCCTTAAGATTATTGATAAGGTAGGTGACCTATGTCGATGGAGGACTGGACTTACAGATACTCAGCCTCTTACAATGACTGCAAGCCGGCACCTGGTCATCACACTAATATCGTGGCCTCGTGTCATTATAGCTCATCACCATCACCACCATCATCATCACAATCACTACAAGGTCATGCCGTGTGCCCCAAGAGGCAACGTGGTTCATTCATGCAACTCACCTTGAGTTTCTTCTCTTTGCAGTGCAGACACGCCTGCAGGGCTCTTGGACCATTGTTGCGCCCCCGGCGACGTCGGACGTGACCTGCGCCCGTTCTCAGAGGCTGCATTGCGTCACCTGCACAGACCCGTACAGGGTCCTCTCTGTCTCTCCGAGCGTTTTCAGGATAATAACACGTGGGGATGGGGAATGGAGGATCGAGACGAGGGGTAAGACAGACGACGGTGGTTTGCTAGAGAGGCGGCGCCCTTGGTCAAAACTATCATGAGAGGAATCACGTAAGGGTATCCATTTTCCGATGGATGGTCTGGAAACTTCCGGATAAGCTACTGCATTTCTGTTCTCCACATGATTTGCCCAGTCTTGGTACCGAGTTAGCTTCTCAGTTGGCTCGGAAACTTCCCGGCAACATCCACTCTTGATGATCTTACCCTATATGTCTCCATCTTCTAGCGATAATTCGTTGTTCGCTTTTGCAGAATTCGTCAACGTATAAGAGAGACATTTTTATTTGCTCAAAATGAGATCGCCATTGCATTATTGATGTACTGGAATTCGCCAAGTCAAGCCAGCATATGGTGTAGAACCAAGGGTTAGGATGTAGGCCAGCATTGCATTGATCGTCCGCTCTTGGGCTGTGGTACGAGCTCCGGACAAGAATTATGCTTCAACATTACCCAATCAGGAATGATATTACTATTGCCTTCTGATCAACCGTCCTTTCATAATCTTGCCAAGGCTATGAACTGATCTATGCCGGCCATGCATCCTGTTCATTATTAACCAGGTCTATAGTGCGTTGCCTTCCACTGCTGAGAAACCCCAATTGAACTACTAGTCATCCCGCAAAGGCCTAGCAGGCCGTCGTTGGCCTTGACAAACCCCATACTAGAAATACAAATCCATAGATCACACAGATCTGAAAGAACTAGTTTCTTTGTGGTCACATACATCCTGTGGCCTAAATGTCAGCATAAGGGTTCGTTGGAAGAGGCGGGAGACACTCGGAGGAGCATCTGATAAGTGGAGATCCTTTCCATCTTCTTCACTTTCATTCAGTCTCTCAAATGGCGATACGGACCTCTTGCTTTGTTCTGTCTCGGACTTTTTGGCCTCCTTTTCGGTAGCAGGCTCCTTTTGGACCTTTGGAGACGTGTATAGAACGTGTATCCGGACAACGAGGCTGCAAATGATAGCGAGACACCAGAACCTGATGGCCTGCCTCTGGAGCTTCTTCGTGTGTTTACGGACAGGGAAGCCCATTGCCTCTGGGAGCGTAGCCGCGTCGAGGGTGCAATAGCACATCAAGGCCAGAGATTTAGCGATGGAGACAAACTGAGGCACCGCCCATTCGGTAAATCCCGCGCGCTTCGTGGCGTCCAGAGCCGTGAACCAGAAGTCGACTGTCTTGCCCAGGCGCAGGACCTTGCGCGTCAACGACATATGGCCCTTGATTCGGTTGCAGCCAGCGGGGTCGAGGCCTCGAATACTGAGGAACCAGGAGCACACTTGAGACGCATACTGAACTAGACGCAGCAGCTTATCACGTCCAAGTGTGGTGGCGAGATAACGGGAGTAATAATCCGGAAAGGACTGGTCTGAGATACCCATGGCTGAATAACAAATGAGAAAGACCTGAAGGGCGAATAACAAGGGAGACAGATAAGAAGAGCAAGACTAATAAGACGGAGAAGACATAAGCGTAACAAATATAAAGACTATTGGTACACAATATTATAAGTAGTTGAATCTCAGAGGATAGACAAACAGATAAGAAGCTAACTCCTGTATGCAACTAGACAAATAAAATTAGGGGAATACATGGTACCTCAATAACGACGGCTGCTCGTCCAAGTCAATAATACCGACTGACCGGTCTGGATCCACACCAGTCCTAAAAGGTCTTGATAAGCACGGGGGAGGCTACAGCCGTAGACTTTCATGATTGGCTACCCGTATACTTCCGGGGCATAGATCCCATCGTATCTTTCCGGCTGCTACACCGGAAACTTCCATAATCATCACCACTGAAGGCTTTTCCCGGCCTTAGGACTGCGGTGCCACGCCACGCCACGATCTCCGTCTAGATTGTGACCTTTGCATCGTAATCCGTAATCTGGGGAAAAGCAAGGCACTTATCATGCCCGCTTGGCTTGAGGCCTGACGACTTTAAAAAGTCACGACAAGACAGTCTTCATCCCCCCTTTCCTCATCGCTTCTTCTCAATACTTTTATCCTTTCCTGGACAACCCCCCTTCCCGGGTTGAAGATATAGAAATCTGAAACTGTCACCGGCTTGTTTCTTCCACCTTCCTCTCTCCCATATACTGCTTCCCACCCCTCGTCGCTCGTCTGCCTTTAGGGGGAACCATGGGTTTCTCAAGCATATTCCAGAAGTCTTCTGTCGCTAAGTACGCACAAGGCATAAAGGAGACTCCTCGCCATATCATCTTCAATGGCCCTCTTTGGTTCAGCTCCTTTTTGTACGCCCTGTCAGCGATACCTCTAAGTAAGTATTTTGAAGAAACTGAAAAAGAAGGGAGGACAATGACAACAACAACAAAAACAACCATCAGACCCGCGTTGCACCGAGATCACTTGCGAAAAAGAGAACAAAAACAGACCGGCTAACTTCCTTGTGTATAGCCTGGGAGCAGGGCGCATCTGCTGTGATACCTAGTCTTCCGGGCTTTCAGAAGCAGTTCAAAGTTTCATCTGGAGCGGATGCTGACGCTATCTCAAACTATCTCTCCATCATCTACATCGGGTATGCGATAGGAGCAGCCCTCTCATTCTTCGCTATTGATAGCATCGGCCGTCGCTGGGCCTACCGGGCTTACATACTTCTCTTTATCATCGGTCAGATTATTTGCATTTTCGCACCGAATATGGGAACCCTGTACGGTGCACGTATTATCACCGGGATGGGCATCGGTTCCCTCAGTGTTATCGGGCCTATGAGTATCGCTGAAATCTCGCCAAAGGAGATTCGCGGTCTCCTTACCTCCTGGTATACCGTATGCCAAGGTATAGCCCTTACCACTGCTAACTTCTGTGTTCTCGGCATTATTAAGCACATCCCCAACAGCAAGGTTCAATATCAGATCCCCTCCGCTGCTGTCTCTGGTTTTATGTTTCTCTGTATCCTTGCTAGTTTCTTCATCACCGAGTCCCCTCGCTGGCTGCTGATGGTTGGGCGTCGAGAGGAGGCGGTAGCTACGATGGCCAAGCTACGCCAGCTGCCTCGGGATCACGAGCGTATCATAGGAGAACTGGCTGACATGGAAGCATCTATCGCCGCAGCCCACGGTGATTTCGGTGGCAAGCCCAGCCTCTGGGTTGTGGCCAAGGAAACCTTCACCGTGGGCTCAAACCTTCGTCGTCTCCAGCAAGTTGCCATGTGCTATGCCCTTGCCCAGCTCTCTGGTGCCAATTCGGTTACCAGCTACTTTATCCCTATTATGAAGCTCTTGGGACACTCAAGCGACACTCAATACTCCATTTTCCTTAGCTCTATGTATGCATTCTCCAAGCTTTGGTTTAGTTTGATTGCCTCCTTCTTCTTTATCGATATTGTTGGACGCCGCCGCTCCCTTTTCATCGGAATCGCCTTCCAGACCATCTCGCATATCTATATTGCTGTCTTTATCAAATACCAGCAGCAGGGCCAGACGAATGCCGCCTCTGGCCAAGCTGCTATTGCAGCTCTTTTCGTCCATGCCTTTGGCTACGCTGTCGGTAAGTGTGGACGCCACACACGTCTACTTTTCAAAGACGCTACCTAGGAATCTATGCTGACCGAACTGTGTGCATGTATAGGCCTCTTCATTCTACCATATGTCTTTGGCGGCGAGCTTTGGCCTGATAGAATCCGTTCGTTTGGTGGTGCCGTTGGACAGACTTTCCACTGGCTGTTCATCTTCGCTATCAAACAGTCTCTCCCCAGTCTTTTACACAACACAAACAACTGGGGTGCTTTCCTTTTCTTCGCTGGCTGGTGTGTCCTCGGCTTGATTTACATATACTTGATGGTGCCTGAAATCGCGGGTCTGAGTGTCGAGGAGGTCGATAAGATCTTCGAAGGCTCCTGGCTCAACGCAATAAAGGTTACCCGGGCTCACCGTGCCCAGACACGCGCCTTCGACACTATGGACGGCGTGGAAGATGCTGGTTCTGAAACCGGCAAGCGGTCGTGAGTTGTTTTGAGCCTTTTTCTTTATCGCTAGTGTTCCTTGTCCACAACGCTGACGGCCTTTTAGCGACAACATCATCTCTATCAAAGTCTAAGACAGACGATCGACTTTAGGCATAGAGACACCGGGAGACCACAAGGGACAACCTTCTATTTGTGGTGGGCTTTTATCTCTAGATACCGGAGACATACCATTCTACCTAGGTTATAATACGTTCAGTAGCTACAAGCGTATAGACTTATAACTTATAAGCACATGACGGTCTCGGCCTACATGTATGTATCATTACCTGTTCAACCGTGAGTGTAATGTGGTCAAGGAAACAATATATGGGCAGACGACATTGAAGATTGGCCGAGATACCTTTCACCAACGCTACATCTTCTTTTAATAATAACAAAGTCAATTTGTCCTATCTAAGATAACAGTATGAATCCGAGTTGTTGTATTTTATAGCTGTTACAATGGTTCTGCGATTTGTTCCAACTGGTGCCATTTCCCAACATGGTCACGATTCACCTACCCCTGCCGAATGTTTTCTCAATAGCATACATAAATAATTATCCACGCCACATGACTTCTACTGTGTCATCTGAAAACACGCACGTGTTATCAAATGCAGATTCGTTAGTATATAAGTGGTAATAAGATCGCACATACGAGAGAGTTGCTCTCTAACTTAACCCACGAATCTGCATGCACGCGTAATACCTGTTGTGGGAAAGATTTATATGTGATAACAAAACCTTCAAAAGTGGTAGCATATTTGTCAATATCAGCATCTTGAAGCTCCAAGTGCAATGTAGTATAACCTCCAAGTGTGAGGTATATTGTGCTCAAGCTTATGAATATAATAAAAGAGTCTGCAGCTCTTTAGCATAGAATCTACTGAAGCGCATATTGATCATGATACCTTGTCCGGTGACAAATATAATAGGGGGTGCTCGTAAGCAAGAGACGGCTGCAGGAGGTTAGTGGAGGAGGGGGACACAACTATCGGCCCTATGTAGTCTTCCTGAGATCATAATGCGGAGCTATTGGCGGTCCTCACCTCTTCGGCCTCTTGGATTCTCGCCGAGACCACCAGCTATGAGATGGACGGAACGTACATGCAGCTCGTTATATGCTCCCCCAGCTCGTACCCCGCATGCAGCTCAGATCCAGGTTTCGGGATGTTGGGGTATGGGACTGGCCGTTACTTGGCTCGGTCAACTTCAGCTTCCACGACAATAGCCGCGTAGGATTTCAGCTAGTAGAAGACTTCAAAACACGAAGACCCTCACCCCCCGTTCCACCAAGCTTCCACATTCGGCTGCTCACAGACTCTAGCATACATCCATTGCCGCTAATGAAGCTCAAAAGGGGCCACATCGCCTGCAGGGTTTCGGGCTCGCTCCTCTTCAAGTCCTGCTCATTCCACATCCTCGTGAGCATTGTAATCGGCCCGATGTCCATGGTGACTTACCCCTACCCCTCGGCTGCCAAAACCCAAATACTCCACGTATGTAGTTCATGCACGTGGTCGCAAAGCTGGGGTAACTGTGAAAACGCGATCAGGGGTGGACAGGGGTGCGAAATGGCTGACCAGCTGCCTCACCACCTCTGGATGGTTGCAACTAGAGAGCCAAACAACGCAGCTATCCCTGGTTCGCATCACATATGAACAGCGATGTTCCCCGATATGATCCCCATTTACATGATATTCAACCAGCTTCTCTCTGCCCCACACTGTCTCTCTTCTTTCCATACCCCAGCGGCAAAGAGCTGGATACGACACGAATCCTGCCTGGGTCGGTTGAGATGCCGAGTCCGTCCATGGTTTAACTCTTACCTCCACGTCGCCAACGAGACTGCCACGTTACTAGCAGCAAAGATAATATGACATGTCCGATATACCGCGGAGCCTGAACCTGACTCCACGCGTCTAGTCTATGCGTGATTCCCAGCCTTATCGTCATCATCAATAGTGTGAGGACACTATGCAGAGCACGTTCTCGCATGTCCCTTCGCAGCCCCCACAGTCTCCCCCACAAGCCGAAGATGCTGTTCCGATCCAGGAGCAGGCGACCTGGATGGCCTTTGGAGCCAGCAGTACCCTTCCATCGGCAGACGATGTCAATACAATCGGCAGTCGCGGTAGCAAGGCCGGGAAGCGCCCTGCGGCTCGGGCAACTGCCTTCTACCCGCGAAAGCGAGCCAACACGGCATGTCAGGTGTGCAGGGCCCGCAAGACCAAGTGCGACAGCGCCATCCCATCGTGTTCCTACTGCGTCAGCGTTGGTGCAACCTGCATCCAGTCGCCGGTAGACCTGTCTAGCTTTGATCCCGCGAGCATCAAGATCCTCGGGCGACTTGATGATCTGGAACGAATCCTCAAAGACCTGCCGGCGGCTGTCAAGGAGAATGAATCGTCACCACGAGCCTCTACTTCAGAGCAGCAACCGCCGAGTGCCACCTCTGCGACCCCCACCTCTGCTACCACATACCCGGATCCCGAACCGCTCTGCGCATGGTCTCACGCGAACCATGGCCGCGCCTTTCGGCCTGCGCAACAGATGTCCACGTCCACCGCCGCGGGTCCAGGTGATGTGGGCTTGCGCACCTGTAACGTGCTGCCTCAACGCGTCGACCACATCCTCTCATGGCCCATGTTCAGGACGGAGATGGAAGGCTTAGACGGAGTGGGGGTTGATGCCGTCGCCAATCGCGGGTTCAAGCCGTGGTCAGGGGGGACACCATCTCTTCTAAGTCTTCTGGAATCGGACGCTGGGCAGATAAACCGACTGCTAGACAACTTCTTCACATACGTTCACGGCAGTAATCCGATTCTCGACGAGCCTAGCACACGCCGACTGGTCAAAGAGACGATAGGAGACGGGCTAGATTGGTCCTCGTCCTCGTGTTTGACCTTGATCATCTGTGCCCTGGGCTGTATAGCGACGCCCTTTGGCCCCGGCGGGGTGATGAGGCCAACGGCTCACACCGACTCCCAAGTGCTCTTCGAGGCATCTCAAAAGCGGATCGGCTCTTTGCTGGTCAAGAATGATCTCACTACGGCGCAATGTCTATTCCTTTCGGGCGTCTACATGATGTACATGTTCGAGCCCGTCTACAGCTGGAGGTTTTTCCTGCAGGCATTGGCAATCTGCCAGACGTTACCGTCCATCGTCGAGGCCCGACGACTAGGCTCTACGCCTGCGACGCCGCCAGCTTCGCATGAGCTCGGCAATAGGTACACACAGGAACAGGCTGTCTACTGGTCTTCGTGGAAGTCGGAGCGAGAGCTACGCGTTGAGCTCTCCTTACCCGACTTTGAGAGTCGTGATTTGGGTATCACGTTATATCCGCCATTCTTTCCTACACCGCCAATCTCAAATGAGGATGCCTTTGACAAGTCCGAGGCGGAGGCGTCAAGAGCCCGCGAAGCATGGCTATTCTACCTTGCGGATATTTCTTTGCGGCGTCTGACTAGTCGTATGTGCAGCGCCATGCTCGATCTAGAGAGAGCTGCGCCTTCAAACACGGAGTTTTTGATGGCTCTGCTCAAGATGATCCCCGACTACGAATTTCAAGCACGTCAGTGGCGGGATAACCTTCCCGAGGAGCTATCTCTTGCTGGGTCTATTGAGACAGACAACATCAACCAATTTGTCCTCCGCGGCAAGATGTTGAACTTTTTCGAGATCATCTACTGGCCTTTTGTGGTCGGGAGTCTCAGCCGCTTGTTTGCGAGCATTCCGGTACCTCCCGACTTCCACGATATAGTCACTCGCGGGCTAGACACACAATTGATGCAGATACGCATCAACGAGACGGGCTTCATGTACAGGCATCATGGCTGTTTCTTCATGATTAGATCTTGCACCAGGAGTGCCCTCGTCTTGCTGGCTGCTTCCAAAGTGGGAGCTGTGGTGCCCATGGATTGGGATTTGCAAGTGCTAAAGGTGGCCAGGATGCAGTCATACTGGGAGGAGGAAGATGTGGAAGCGAAAACATGGAGATGCCTTATTGAGCGGGAGCTATCTGCTATGTCGCGTTGATGGGGAAACTACCTCTAAATCAGAAAAGTACCTTATGAACTATTTTCGTTTTTGGCACGACCGCGCAACCGCATCATACACATGGACTGCTCACAGCCCAAAGCACAGTTGTATCCTCACTGATTTGGTACCTGGGCTACGGTCTTGACAATCTATGGTTCTCGACTCTTAAATACCAGACCACTAATAAGACTTATCTACTGTGAAGCTTCCTGTGATACAAGTGGTGCTATTGAGATCGCTCGTGTTACTGACGATAATCTCGTACTCACCATTCTCGACACACCATTGTTCTCTCTCCTCGTCGAAATATGATACGGCATACTTCTCAAGCTCCTTGACACTGATTTCCTTAGACTCACCGGGATTCAAGTGAACCTTGGCGAATCCCTTCAGTTCCTTGACTGGCCGACTGATCATTGACTGCCGTGGCTTGATGTACATTTGGACGACTTCAGCACCGGCGACCTGGCCTGTGTTCTCCACGACGAGGGTCACGATCACCTCACCTCCCTGCGCCGTGCGAGAGACCCGGAGGTTCGAAAGCTTAAAGTCGGTGTATGACAGGCTGTACCCGAAAGGAAAGTTGACCTCCTTGTCAGCGAACTTATAATATCGATATCCAATATAGACGCCCTCACTGTAAAGGATACGTCCAGGCTCAGTTCGTATGTTCAGGTATGAGGGTATATCCTGGAGATATCGGGGGAAGCTCTATGATAGCTTACTGGACGGATTTGTATCTCTAAAAATGATATCTGCAATGTAATTTCCTGTCTCGTTGCCCCTGTACCAGGCCTGAAGCACAGCTGATGCTATCGATAACCATGGTATCTCCTCAGGGGTTCCGGTTCGCATGACTATAGCAGTCTTGCGGTTTGCCCCTGTTACTTCTGCAATGGGCGGATCAAGTAAGCCCGGAAGCTTCATGCTCGCGCGGTCTGTGCCTTCCGTTTCCCAGTCTAAGTTGAGTCCAGTACAGATGATGACTTGCTTATGTTCTCCAGCGAGGCGACCGGCCTTCTAGATTTCTGGCTGTCTGTGAATCACCTTACAGCCGCTAACGTCACAAGATGAGAGCAGCGTCTGGTGAAAAAGCTATGATCCGGAATCAGTAGACGGCGAGAATCTAACCGTGAGATAAATACACTCTTTAACACTGAGTATAATTAACAGTTTAATTGCTGCGCTCTCTACTTCGCATGCGTAGATACGGAGTGCTGGCTTGGCCCTTACCTCCGCACCAAGCTTACTTTGCTGGCATGTTGCTAGCTAGCCTCGTGCGCAATGGTCCCTACGTTTGTCCCCTTTGATGAAGCATATTAACTCACCCAATTTATGGTGATCACATGCAGCCACCAATAAGTCCTCGCCAATCAAGTGAGTGCACACCTTAGCATGGAGTTGTGACATTTCGACCGAGTATCCCCGCTGTCCCAGGCGAGGGGCAACAAGAGGAGCCTCTGTCAGGTCACCTTTCCTTGCCTGATCTCGTGGGGATCACGAGTGATAACGATCAACTTCCTCTTCTGGCCAGGGCTGCCTTTACTCTGGTTCGTGTCCCCGGATCAGATGCAGGTTCCCAAGCGGGACGACGCCCTGTCCCTTTTGGTCCGTTTCACCGTTTCGCGTAATCAAACAAGCTGCAACTCGCAAACGTTAACCAATTCTCAATTGATCCGTGTTCCTACCATCCACAATTACGGCAACATGTACTCAGCGCAGTCTCCAGTCTTTAGTCACAAGCTGCTGGGGCAGAGTCCACAGTACGAGATCGCTTGCAGAAGGCTACTTCTGCATAAAAGTGTGAATTGGAATGAAACTATGCATATGCTTCTGAACGGCCAAGCCCTAAATTCCCCCTTGTTGCCTCCCACTCAATCGTGTCTTCCTCCTAGATACCCCAAACAGGGTTGTTCCCGGGAAGGCGGTCAAGAGGACCATTCTCTCCGACCTCTTCGTTGGGAGCAGGAACCTCCAGCTCCTGGGGGCCAGCCTGTCCTGGTCCGTTGGGTCCAACATTGAGACTGCAATTCACATCATTGACGCCATTTGGCCCAGTGCATGTATCCATGGCTCGCTCAAAACGGCGCTGGTCGGCCCACCCGTTCAAGAAATCACCGTGCAGACCGTAACCCTTGGCGTCTCCCTGAGCCCAGACAAGTCTGTTGAAGTCTTGAATGGCATTGATATCGTAGAAGAACTCAAAAAAGACCGAGAAGATGGCTACCGGGTGGGACGGAGGGCACACTCCAGTGTTGTAGTCACCGATAGCCGGGAATGCGACCTATTATACTCATGTTAGCTGCTGGGCGCAAGGTACACGAGTCTAAAGGAAGGAAATCATTACGTACGTGGCTTTTGTGGTTGGAGCTGTCAAGATTCTTGCCGTCCCAACAAGACGGGAAGAAAGTTTCAGCGCGCATGCGCAGGCACTTCTGACGAGGCAACTCGTACCCATCGTTGGAACCCGTGGCTGTGAGGCACTTGTGATAGATGGCGCGATGCTCGAAGTTGTTCGTGTCCAAGGTCTGGCGGAATGGATCTCCGGTGACCATTCTCAGACCTGCTGGGGGTGCAACAGGGCCCGGAGCACCGTTGCAGTTCTGTCGTCCTGGCTTGTAGTCGCACGTTCGTGGCAAGTAGTACGCGGCCTAGGAGCTGTTAGCAGTGATTCACTCTTTGTCGTTCGTAACTCAACTAGAGACGTTTGAGGAGTCTTACATTGCCTTGCATGTGAACCAACTCAAATTTTCCATCTCTACGCTGATGGTAGAGCTGGGGCTGCCAGTAGTTGCTGTTGTCAAGAATCTTGTCACATGTTGTCGCCTTCGCGCCAACGGCAACCTCATTGGGTTGGTTGAGCTGGAAGGCCGTGCCGCCAGTGACGGCGTGAACGTGAGGGGAGATCTGGCCTGGGAATACAATGGGATCACCGCGTTGAATGGTGAGCGGCTGGCAGTTGACGGTGAACTCGGCCGTGGCACCCTGCAGCAGGGCAAGGCCGGCAAGGGCCTGAACAAAGTGGTAAGGAGCCATTGTGCAGATACGAGACGAGAGTTTGAAGCTGATTGTGAATGATTTTTGAAACTTCCAGCTTCGAATTTGGGTATATTCTCGTTCAACGAGGCTACATAATAGACATATATATGTTCTTCAGCCGGCCTTTGTGTCCTCACACGCGAGTTCTCACAATTGATCACAATATCTACCTGACTATTCTGCAACCCATTCGTTGTCAAGACAAAGATCTTGGCATATCTCAATTCTATTGACAAGCTGCAGCTCAAGGCTATTTGCCGCCGTACTAGAACACCACATGATAGCTCTCAAAGAACCTCTGTATTCGGCCCGGTCCTCAATTCTGCCGAGAGAAGTTCCATGGCAGGCAGTTCAGACGAAGCTCATCGGAGGGTAACAGAACCACCCCGTGAGCTCGTCTGGCCATACCGAAGTTGCTGCCAAAGAAGACGAATGATTCTATACTAAGCCCAGAACGGCATCTCAGGTGCATCGGGGAATGTCGCTCATTTAAGGGGGAGTTAAATAACGGACAGGCACCTTGATCACGCTGACCTGAAAGGACGCTTGTTACCCCTGCACCACCCATTACCGTTCGATGTCACAGTGCCAGAAAGGTCCTCAACTTGGATTGAAATGGCCTGAATGGGATTCTCAAAAGTTTCGGTAACATCCCGATGTGACCACATCTTTGCGAAGCGTGCTTCCTTTTGGCGGGGGAACAACAACCGTGCACCTAGTTCTATCATCACCTGCTCGAAGAAGCGCCGAGATGTTCCCTTACCCATGCAACAAGCCATTACCGCTGCCCCAATGTTGAAGCGACTGCCGAAACTGCTACCCCACTGCCCCTATTGCGCGGGGAAATCGGACTATAGGTATAGCCCGTGTTGGAAAGAGGACGCTGAACCTCATCGTCATCTACTAATCGACCAAGCAGTACAGAATTGGGCTTCTCGATACTGACATCGGACCGTTTGGGAGGTCGAGCATCCACATGCGATGATGCGCAATCCTGAGGAAACGGATAGCAGCTTAGAAGCGTGATGAGTTGATGCGCTGTGGACCTAGCATTACTGTTGACTGTTCTGAAGAATGGTATAATTGCGGATGATCTTGAGGATCTAAAGTCGACTCAGTCGATCTCTTGAAGGCTGTTATTTATTGTCAGGCATTTCCCAGTGGCTCTTTAGGTTGAGCACCGCTTTGTTCCAAGACATTGTAATACCTGCAAAATGTTGCCAAGGCTTGTTCATCTCCTCACTTTCTCTACCGTTGGCACAGCGTTATACGTCACACGCGGTGCTCAGTCTCAACATGATACCACTATCACTGGCGGCAACTTGCACGAGAGAGCCGCAACTCTGGCTCCCATTGACACCAGTCCTGCTGATGGAATTACCGGTGGACGGGTTACCAATAGCCTACCACCTCTGGACTCTTTCATTGTGGACCTGAAGCCTCCAGTAAGTTAATAAAAGACTCATTTGAATAAGCAATTGGGCTGACACAAAGCACTAGTTTCCGACCAACACCTGGTGGGCGCCGTACCTCGCTCAACCAGGTGACCAAAATGCAGCCGGCCCTTTCCCCTACCAGTCATCGCTCGGTGGCTCTGGTGTGAAGTTTGGCGTCAGTACCGACAGACGTTTTGACGGCACTTCCATCCAACAGCCAGTGCGGATTGACTGGCTGGCTGGGTTCACCGAGCACCAAGGGTCGTTTAGTGGACACAAAGCCACACAGTTTGATGAGCAAACTGTGACGGTTCAGTATTTCCAGGGAAACGCGCGAATGAACGCATTCCTCGTGCCAGGATCTCCCTATATGACATTTGAGTACGAGGGAGCCACACCTAAGCTGGAGCCGCAAAATGCTTCCATAAAGTCGTTCAACGGAAAATCCGTGGGCGAAGGCAGTGCTGGTGAGCCCGAATCTGCCAACTCTCGATAGTTGCCAAACTAACATCATCTATCCAGTCACCGAATCCGGCACAGTCTTCACCGTCACAGACACTGAAGGCGCCGCCTATGTCATTTACGCTCTGGAAACTGTTACCCTTAGAGCATCAGCTGATGCCATCACAGCAGATGCCGCCTACAATAATGTCATTCGCCTGGCCAAAGTCAGCCAAGAGTCGCATCGGATGTTATTGGACCAGTACCACAGCGCGTATCCGACCGCAGCTAAGCTTGAGTATGAGCTTAGCAACACCGAAGGTGCCATTGTCTTTAGTTGGGAGACTGTAGGATCTGGCGAGTTGCTCATGTTGACGTGGCCACATCATCGCGAGGTCATGCAGAATGGCAACTTTCCTCCTACCTCTGCGCTTGGCTACTTGACTACCAAAGTAGGTTTCGCCATTGAACTACCTTCATACTGGCCAACATCAAATAGTTGCTTACACAAACTGGTAGGGGTGGATGTACCCGGCTCTTGGAAAGCAATGGCGCCTGACGTATAAGCTCAGCGACGTTGTCTGGAACCCAACCCGAAAGCTCGATTCTTCATGCTCCGATGCTGTCATCAAAGGCTTGGAATATGAGGTTGGCCAGCTAAAAACCTCCGATGCTCCAGTGCCAAACGACTTTTACTACTGGGGAGGGACGCTGGCAGCAAAAGCTCGACTGGCATTGATCGCGTAAGTGCACCTTCGTCCTCTCCATGGCTGAACTTGACCTGTATCACCTCTTGCTGATAAATGTATAGAGATGACCTTGGTCGACAAGATCTGATTGCTCCTGTCATTGATTACCTGAAAACGTCATTTCAACCCTGGTTCGAGTCCTCTCACACGACCCAAGCCGCATACGAGACAGCATGGGGAGGCATCATCAACAAAGCCGGAGCAACTAACGAATTCGTCGATTTTGGCAACGGATACTATAATGACCATCACTTTCACTACGGATACGTTCTCGCCATTGCCGCCACCATTGCAAAATATGACCAGGGCTGGTTAAATCAGCATAAGACGTTTATCAACTGGTTTGCCAGAGACATCATAAACGCGTCGCCTTCAGATCCTCAGTTCCCTCATACTCGCTGCCGAGATTGGTTTGCTGGTCACTCCTGGGCATCTGGGATCCTGAACGGAGCTGGCAGTCGCAACCAAGAGTCCTCAACCGAGGCGGTCAACGGATACTATGGAGCCATGTTGTGGGCATCCGTTGCCATCAACCAGGACTATGCCAACTTCGCTAAGTTTCTTGTCGCTTCGGAACAGCAAGCAACTCGGGTCTACTGGCATCTATACCCCCAGAAAAGCCCGCAAGATCTTAGCAACCCTTACCCCGAAGATGGTCTGAGAAATCTTGTCACAATTGGAAACGTGTTGGACTGGCAGAGCGGTGCCTTTCTTTGGTGGGGAAACCAGAAGGTGCAGATTGCCGCCATTCAAATTCTACCTCTCATCCCGATTAACGAGGTAAGGTTGCATTGGCTATAATGTTTTCCTGGGCAACTGCTAACAGATACATTATTAGGCTTTGTATGATGAAGCCTGGGTTAGAAACACGTGGTCTTATACAATGCCCGAGCTCGTTGACCCGGCTTACGGAGATGAATGGTGCATCACCCTGGTCTTGACGTCGTTTGCGCTATTGTCTAACATTCAACAGGAGAAATCTCATTGTGGCAGCTTATGCAAACGCTGAGCCTCAGATCGCGGCGGCTTGGAGCTCAAACATCACGAACTGGGGTCAGTCCAAGATCTTGATTGAACGTGCAAGGCGCGAAGGATCAGTGTGCGCTAACCTCCTGGACAGGAAGTGGCAATACCTTCACGAACCAGCTTCACTTTATCGGCACCCGTCCCAACCCAAGCGGTCAGCCCATCTGCGGCAACTTGGTACAGAACCCCATGGGCAACTTGAGAGTTCGAGTCGCGGGCACTGATGACTTCGTTGTCGTCGAAAGTGACAACATCCTCAAGACCGGCGCAGAGGGCAACGCTGCCGTCTTCGACAGTGCCTACGTTCCTAACTCGGGCACCCTTCAACTGACTAGCACAGGGCGATACGTCACCGCTGATCAGTCGGCAGGCGGCCCTCTGACGGCTGGGGCCGCAGTAGCTTCAACTTGGGAGCGGTTTACCATCCGTCCCAAGACCAGCGCTGGGTCAGGGGTGTACACGATCAAAGCAGCGAGCAACGGTCGGTATGTGGTACGTGGTAGCGATGGTCGATTGGTGAACAGTGCGGTCAGTGAGGCAGACGGTACAGGGTTCTCTTTCGTTTAGGTTACTCTTCTACATGACTGAATGCCTAGCCTGACTGGCCCTATAGCTAGCTGCCCTTGATGGCCAAAGCTGTAGTGTTCAGAAGTGATAGTCAATTGTTGAAATGATATTTCACCGAGGAAACATGATTCGCTCTCCAATCCTGCTATTGTTATGTGCAAGCTGTGATCAATAGCAAGGGGGCGGATTGGAATATTCCCTGATGAGATGTTTTCTTTTGGTGGAAGCACACTTACTTTGCCGCGTGAACAAGAGACGAAATTGATCAAGGTCGCCGCTCCTGCTCAACCACTTCGCACCAATGATTGTCTCAAACTCAAGTTAGTTCGAGGAGATGACCTCCGACACCTGTGGAATAGGCATTTCCTCGATCCACATTCACCACCACAGGAAAAATTGGCCGAGTATGCAACGGAGAATCCCTGTCTACCTAGTCGTAACCACAAGCTCCCGATGACTGTAGTCCAGCCACTGCGCCTGTGGGTGACGGATTGTCAACGGCTCTTCACATTCAAAAAACGAAGGCATCGCCATGATTCCTCCTGTTGTCGCTTTCGGCCATACGATGCAGGCCACCCTCCGAAAGAGCCGTACAGACGTGGCACCAGTGTGTGGCCTGTGAAGCACAAATCGGTCCGAACTGTGAAGCGACTTTCTCCTCATATACCCGCACTGAAGGGTCGGTTAGCTAGTTGTTCTTGTACCAAAGGAAACCACCGTCAGGCATATTACATTCGACGTCCCGCGGGGAGTATCGCTCTCCCCTCACACTTCATTAACCACAAGCATCCCATAATCTCCTCCTTCCCCCGAATCTTCTACATCGCAGTTGAGCCACACTGAATGATAGCATGTGCCGGAACAAATCTTGGTAGAGTGTCTTGTAATGAGGTCACGAGTATATGACAGGAACCGTCCTTGTGCCTTAGGGGAGTTCCCCACAACCCCAGATTGCACCGGCGGGACTTTCGGTCGAAGGCGAACTCTTGGTGATGAATGTGATCTATCTTCCACGAAAGTAGTCTGTCTCTTTCGGCGATACAAAGTAAGAAACTAGAGGATTGCCGCATCATTAGCGCGATGCTAACGTCGTATTCTGGCCTGTCGAAGCCTTCCTAAATGACAATTATGTTACCGAGAGACTCGCCGAGTTGGCCACGAGGGCATCGCTCCCACAGCGACTGTGGTGTTGAGAGCGACTTTGGAGTTTCTCTTCATCGTCATAACCAGCCAAGTATCTCGGCGGGGGAAATTGGCGATGGTGTATTTAAGGCCTCTTGAACCATCACTCGACTGAGTCCTGGATCTCTAACCACCTCGCATCATCGTCTCAGGAGGAAGTCAATAGACTACCCTGGTAACGTTCATATCCATTGCTAAACTTTTTTGCAATGAGTCCTTTATCTTCCCTGAAAGCGACTCTGCTCGCTGTAGGGCTCTTTGTCTCGACCTCCGTGTCAAGCCCCCTCCTCGCTCGCAACACCAGCGCGGATGCCAGCTTGGGTGCCAGCGCTACCAATTGGTGGTTCGGCAATGTCGAGCGCACCGGCAAAGTCCCATTTGGAAGCAGCGCTAGCTACCCCGTCTTCCGCAATGTCAAGGACTATGGTGCTGTCGGTGATGGCAATACAGACGATACCGACGCCATCAACGCAGCCATCACTGCTGGTGGCCGCTGTGGTCGTGGCTGTGACTCGAGCACGAACACTCCTGCGCTCGTCTTCTTCCCACCTGGAACCTATCTTGTATCCCGGCCACTCAACCAGTTCTACTACACGCATATGGTCGGCGATCTTCTTGATGTTCCCACTCTCAAGGCAGCCGCCGCCTTCACCGGTTTTGCTGTGATTGATGCCAATCCGTATGATAGCAACGGCTTCAACTGGTTCACCAATCAGAACAACTTCTTCCGCCAGATCCGCAACTTCAAGATTGACCTCACCGCTCAGCCCATGAACACCGGCACCGGCATCCATTGGCAGGTAGCACAGGCTACTTCCCTGCAGAACATTGAGTTCTTCATGGTGCAGTCTGACTCTGAAGATAACCGGCAGCAAGGTATCTTCATGGAGAACGGATCTGGCGGCTTCATGACGGACCTGATCTTCCATGGTGGAGGCATCGGCGCTGCCTTTGGCTCGCAGCAGTTCACCGCGCGCAACCTCCAGTTTAACAACTGCAAGACCGCTATTTCCATGTTCTGGAACTGGATTTGGAACTTCCATGGCCTCAAAGTGACCGGCTGTGGTCTTGGTATCGACATATCCAGCAGGGGTGACGAGGGTCAGAGTGTCGGAACAACCATCATTCAAGACGCCACCTTTACCAATACTGCTGTCGGTGTTCTGACGGCTTATGATACCAATCAGAGCGGTACTAGTGGTACTCTCATTATTGACAACACTGATTTCGTCAACAGCCCCGTTGCTGTTCGCTCCGATGTTACCGGAAACACGATTCTGGAGGGCAACAAGCGTATCGACTCTTTTGTTCAGGGCCGATCCTATGTCGGTTCATCTGGAAGCGCCGTTCAAGCTGAGCGACCTGCCCCTGCGAAACCGGCTGTCCTTCTCGATGGCGCTGGGCACATTTTCACTCGCTCGAAGCCGCAGTACGAGAACGTCCCTGCGAGCAAGTTCATATCCGTTAAGAGGCATGGAGCCAAGGGCGACGGTATTGCAGATGACACCGCGGCTCTGCAGGCTGCTTTCAATGCCGCTGCTGCTGACGAAGTCGTGTTTTTCCCACACGGCGCCTACCTGATCCACGATACTATCGATATCCCCGCGAACATTCGAATTGTCGGTGAGATCTGGCCTCTCTTGATGGCAGCTGGCGATAGCAACTTCCAAAATCAGCTTAACCCCAAACCTATGCTTCGTGTAGGTCAGCCAGGCGATGTTGGCAATGTCGAGATCTCCGACTTCATGATTGAGACCAAGGGTAGCCAGCCAGGCGCGATTCTCATGGAATGGAACTTGGAGTCTGCGTCCAAGGGATCTGCCGGTTTGTGGGACGTTCACTTCCGTATCGGCGGATCTGCTGGTACGCAGCTACAATCCGATACCTGTACCAAGTCTCCAAATGTTCCCACGCAGCCCAACCCCGACTGCATCGGGGCTTTCATGCTGATGCATATCACCGAGACGGCCTCGATCTACATGGAGAACACATGGCTTTGGGTCTCTGACCACGAGCTCGATCGCAACGACCATAATCAAATCAACATCTACAACGGCCGTGGCCTTCTCGTGGAATCAACAAAGCCGGTTTGGCTCTGGGGAACCGCATCGGAGCACAATGTTCTGTACAACTATCATTTCCAGAATGCGCAAAGTGTATACATGACAGTCATCCAGACCGAGACAGCCTACTTCCAGGCCAATCCTGACGCAACTGTTCCATTCATCACCCAAGCCGAGTGGCACGACCCTGAATGGGAGTCTTGCTTGACAAACGACAGGTGCCGAAAGACCTGGGGTCTACGCGTGCAAGATTCCAAAGATATCCTCTTTTACGGTGGTGGCATGTACTCGTTCTTTGAAAACTACAAACAGGAATGCTTGGATACGGAAGATTGCCAAGACAACATGGTCGAGATCAACAACTCCAATATTGTCATGTATGGTGTGAACACAAAGGCATCCACCAACGTCATCACCCTCAATGGTAAGGGTGCAATGACTCACCTACCGGATAACGAGAGCACCTTTTGTGCGGCTATTGCGGCGTTTGTCCCTGCCTGAGCTTGAGGTGAGATCTGAGTTACGAACAACTTGTATGTAGTGGCGACTTGGCCGAATGGATGCTTGTGAGAAGTATCAACGAGTCGTAGCGCATGTATTCGTCGGCAAGGCAGATCCAGTAGTTACCCTAAAATAAAAGCTACAGAAGGCAGTACATGATCCGTGTTACTCACATTCAATCTGTTCTGTGTCCCTCCAATGCTCGTGAACACAACTTTTTGGGCCAGTATTCTTATCCATCAGACAATCGTGCACGGCGAACAGTGATGTTCAAACCGGCCCGCCACCATAGAAGTTCAAAGGTATCAAGCTACCACTTAGCTTTCTGGTCCGCCAATTCTCTAATTGAGGACACAAGCAGCATCGCTTACTCGCCGCTGGAGGCCAACTGGCCATTTTCATAATCGGCACTGAAGTAGAGCCACCGCCTGGTAGGATTGAGCATGATCCAAGTCGTTGGACGTTCCGAGCTCTTAGTCACGTCCTGTAGGATGTAATGACACAACGTAAATTTTGAGACGTAGTCTAATCATTTGATCTTTGGAGGTATGATTGAGTTCTCGCTCAGTTTACTCATCCAACTCCGCATCCTTCGACTCCGAATCCGATAAGGCTGCCTGAGAGGCGAGCAAAACGGATACAGCAAAACAGAGCACGACAGTAAATGTGACGGCCATCTATGCTATGTAAGTCTGGCATTCTCTTATATTTTAAGCAGCATAATGGGTTCGTACCTTGGCGTTTTCATCCCACCAGATACCGTGTTCAGGCTTGTTCGGTCCGTAAGCCGCACTCACCCACACCAGGACGGCGATGCCAATGACCATGAGTGCGACGCTCAAAAGCAGGAAGATCGGGCTCGCCTCCCATGAGTACACTTGGGCTCGCCCCGGTCTACGGACCCCCCCTGGCTTGGAACCGCAGAGACCGGCACGAATCTTGCGCAGTCCGTCTCGGTGAGCCGACAACCGGTGCAGGCGCATGCTCTGTAGACCTGCGACTAGAACCGAGAACAGGGCAAAGACAAGCCCACTGAACCATAGCGCTCGGACGGTCCACGGCTTGTCGCGACCGTTGTTGAGAACGTTGGGCCAGGCGCTTGTTGAGCTGAGGCAGCTAGCAAGCAGGGCTCCCTTTTGTTATTGGCAAAAGTAAGCAATGCTGACACTGGGTGTGTTATCTGTTCCCGGTACTTACCACGGTGCCAACAAAGTTGAGCTCCTCCAACTTGTGGTCGCGCCATCTTTTTGTTAGCTCGTCTCGCAACTCGCCATCCTCGCATTGCAGCATGATCTCAATGCCATCTTGTGCTGTCAAAAGCGACGAGAGGAACCGGCGAGGAAACTTTCTTCGCTTGGGCCTTGGTTCTGTACCGTTCTCCGTATGCTGACCTAGGAGTGGTTGTGTGGACATAATGGTTTGTCGCTCCTTAATGCCGATCAGGACTCGCAGACATAGCAAATGCCTAACCGAGCGTTCTAAAAGTAACCGGATTTATTGAGGGTTTTTCTTCTTTGTGTTGTAAAGAGGAAGTGCTCCTACTTGTAGTATTCTGGTCGCAGGTTTTGCTCCGCACGCCAACGCAGGCCAGCTGATCGCCATGATGATTGATGTCACCCCGCATGGATAAATTCGTCACACGACACAATCCTCTTGTTTGAAGCGCCAAACAGCGGCTATATTTTCACTCATGACCTCTCTAGCTTAGTTGTATCGACCGATCTGTCCTGTCTGATTGTATCTGATCCCAGTCACGGCCGCTGCCCTGGCGATTCCGGTCCACATCCCATCTGCATCAGAGCACAAGAGGCGCCGTACTTCCATCTACCGATAGCTCTAACTACATAGAAATAGCGGCCTTTAAATAGATGAAAAGCAGCATCTTAAGGTTCACGAAAGGAGTCATGCCGACGAAAGAGTCATCGCCGGGTATAGCCTTTGGATTTAAACCTTATGTACGGCTGGGCACAGTTATTGTTGGTATTGAACCTTGTGTACGGCCGGGCAAAGGCAAAAAGGCTGAAATTTAATATGTTGTAATACTGGGTATAGTGTCAAGTTGTTGAATTCTTGGTGTTTGGGAATTTCCCCTTTTTTTCGGCAGCTGCATAGCTCTCTCACTTACTACTAACTACATAGATCTTGAAGAGGATCATCTCTCTGTAGGCAATATTCTTTATGGGAAGAGCATTGCCCCAACAGTCTTCCAATGATGACGCGTCTTTCACAAGCATGTAGAGATTGACGGTGCCCTTGTTCAGCCTTAATCCCCACAGCAAGGTTTACCAAGGCGGGCTGCTTGGAACGGCCACAGCGGTATGTCATTGTCTTCGGCTGCACACAATAGAGATACATCCTGGATCTTTCGATACTAGGCAAAAACCTGACCTCCTAGTGGACAGAGAGTTTGGTGACCACGGAATCTTTATTCACAATTGAGGACATAGTGTGACTCTTGTAGCTGCGCAGCAACGTCAGTGAACCGTAACAGAACCCAGTGCCACAATCTCTTCATTGTATGCCATACATCCCTTCTAAATCATTTCCACATGCCTAACGATCGACATGTATTTTGAGCTTGGAAATATGCTACTAAGCGTGCCTTGCTTCCGCGTGCTTGATCAATTTGACTTCCTTCCAGACACGATCCCATCTCACTCGTTCTCCAACCTACCCTGTACTATGAACTAAACCTTCACACCACTACGCACATCGGTGCACCATCGATAAGTGAACCACGATAAAGTACACTCGTGTAAGCCTAGACTGTATTATAGACACTCATTGAAAGCAAAATGAATATAGGAGACTTTAGCCTTGTTCAGGTTGCTCTTGGGCTCAGGGTTGGCTGATAGTACGACATGTTTTCACACGACCAATGTAGCAACAGACGCCTAGCTACATTGTTGTAGCAAGTATAGGTTTGCATTCTTGTCTTTCTATATGCGGAGGTCGCGGTCAAAAGAAATATCTGCAGGGACGTTAGCGGGAGGCCTAAAACGTCAGAAAAGCACATGTATACTCAGATCACTAGGTGCAAACCTTCATCCTTGCTCCTCCCTCCTCTTCATCAGCGTTCTAACCTAATGTGGTACTTGATACCTGGCCGAATGGGACTGTGTTGTTTCGTCGCAAATCCTCTAGACCAAAGTTCGCTTGGGACTTGAGCAGGGGCAATCCGGCACAATGCCTGCGCTAAAGAGGTGCTGTTTCTCCCCGTTCGCGTTCGATTCGGGCCTACTAGGCCCAGACACTTGCTGTAGGAGAAACAAAAGCTCCGTCACAACGGCGTTGTCAGTCTGAGAAACGTGAATGAGATGCTCTCCTGAGATTTCGATTGACATGTGAGCCAAGTTCGTTGCTAGATGGCAGAGACAACGAAAAATGCCGAAATGGGAGCAAACGAAATGGCTGCAGTGGTTTAATTGTGGCTCAGCAAAGGTCGATGGAATCCAAAGGAGGGACGTGGGGATCGTCAGCATACGATAATCCGTTTGCCTCCGCGACAAAACGTATCGAGTAGGGTCTTGGAAATCCTCTGACCACATAGTTGGTTGCAACCGTCGCCTCGCTGGCCTTGACAGCCACGAGAGTAAGGCTGGAATCCAGTGCCAGCACGTTCCCCGATGGGCTTGAAGCTGCGCTAGAGCAGAACAGGCCGGTGTGGTAACTTCAAAATTGTGACCCGCGGTAGCTCGGAGTTAACGAGAAGACGAGTGGAGGCGTCGGGACTTGGACTTGGAGACCTCTTCAGGCAGGAGGACTTCCCCAGACTGGCTTTCGAGCGGGTACAACCGCCATCTAGTTGCACTAGACTAAAAGCTCCCCGCATTGGGGGAATCGTGTCCAGGGTGTCCAACCCGTTGCACTGCTTACACCCCAGTCTCTTCTGTACTGGTCGTGGGTCTCTGCACAGAACAGGGCCGAATCGGGGCTATCAAGTGGTGTACCAAGAGCATGGTCACTGGTGGGAAAGGTTAGTCACCTGTTGCAACTTACGGGACTCGCATACACATGTAGCCTTACATTCAAGTACTCGTACCTGAGAAGGCTAATTAACCGAATCTCTCGAATGGAGAACATGCATCCTGCACGTCCCTGGCGCCGCCTGCACTGTTTGCAACCAGGGAGAGACAGCTGTTGACCCTTGCTTCTCACCTTTAGCTTCTACCGGTGTGGCAGCCATGTGTTCCCATCCCGCGCCTCACTTCGGAGAGAACCACCCTCCTGCTCGCCTCGCCCTAAACCTATGAAGCTGATGATGCTGCATTGAAAATGAGCGCATTCCCGTCGTGATCATTACTTGAAGCCCCATCGCCATCTACGTTCCATCTTCTCGCTCACCTGTCCCGGTTGCCCTTTTCTACCTAGACGACATTGATCATCTTTCATCCTGTCACCCGTCTTCCAATATGAGTCAGCTCGCCGAAGACCCGGTGACTTCGCGTTCGGGCGGTCCTCACGTTGGCAAGCTGAAGGTTCTGCTCAAGCAGGAGGCTATTCGTGTCGATCACAATGCGGAGAACACCTTGACCATGAAGCAGGTTTTCAAGAACCATCCTGCTGTTGTGTGGTGGTGCTTCTTCTGGGCCATGGCTGCTGTTGGCTGGTTAGTGTCTCATTGTCGACCTGATCCCTGTCGATAGTATTAAACTCATGACGATAGGGGATTCGATGCCCAGGTCAACGGAGGCATGCTCGCTGTCAAGTCGTTCCGTCGTGACTTTGGGTACATCTTCGAGGGCGAGCCTGTCCTGCCCGCCAGCTGGCAGAGTGCGTTCAACGCCATCTCTTCGGTCGGGCAGTTTGGCGGCGGCTTCCTCTGCTCGTATCTTGCAGATCGCTACGGTCGCAGGTGGTCACTTCTTGGCGGCGTTGTCATTACGACTGGCGGCATCATTGGCGAGATCCTCTCCACCACCAATGTCGCTTTCCTCATCTCGAAGCTCATTCTCGGTGTCGGCCTCGGCTTCTACCTGACGATTGCGCCACTGGCCACGTCTGAGATAAGCCCCGTCGTCTTTCGAGGCATCGCAACGGCAGGCGTGCAGTTTGGCATCGGATCTGGGCAGCTTCTCTCTAATGCTGCCATCAAGGCCTTTGGCGAATGGGAGAGTCGCTGGGCTTATAGGGCACCCTTTGCCCTCCAACTCTTCTTCTGTGTCTTCCTTCTAGCTGGCCTCCCTTTTGCGCCCGAAAGCCCGTGGTGGCTGGCACGCAGAGGCAAGCGTGACGAGGCCAAGAACGCTCTGATACGACTTTACGGATCCGGTGTCGATATCGACATCAAACTGGCCGCTTTGGAAACCACTATTGCTGAGGAAGAGGCTGCCAGATCGAGCCAAGGGTCTCTCATCCAGTGTTTCCGGGGCACCAATCTCGTCCGTACCTCGATCAGTATCTGCATTTTCCTCTGCCAGCACTTCACTGGAATCATCTTTGCTCTCGGATACTCGTCCTACTTCTTCCAGCTTGCCGGCCTCGAGACCTGGAGGAGCTTTGATCTTGGTGTAGGAGTCACGGCTGCAGGTGTTGGCGCCACAGTCATCAGCTGGTTCATTATCGAGATAGTTGGACGTCGCAATCTTTTCCTTTTGGGATTGGTAGTACTTACTACCATTCTAATTCTCATTGGCATTCTCGATGTTATTCCATCGGCAGGAGCCAAGTGGGCTCAGGCTTCACTCACCATCGTCTATAGTTTCTTCTACTTTGCGACACTCGGAGCTATGGCTTTTGCTATTTTGGGAGAAGTCAGTAGCACCTCTCTCCGAGCGCCAACCATTGCTATCGCCACTGCCACCCAGGCTGCCATTGGTACGCTCTTCAACAGCATGATCCCATACATGATCAACCCGGACGAAGGAAACCTCAGAGGCAAAGTTGGCTTCATCTTTGGAGGTCTTTCTGCCGTTGCAACTGTCTGGGCCTTTTTCTTCGTCCCTGAGCTCAAGGGCCGACCTTTTGATGAGATTGACTACATGTTCCAAAGCAAGGTGTCTCCACGCAGAATGGGATCATATGTCGTCAGTTTGTGAAGAGCAAGAAGGCGTACGTACAGAGTAGAAATTGGCGCGGGGTAGGATCTATTTTCATAGTGACAGGTGGTCGGGTTCTTTTGCGAGCTTGGCCGTTGAGATCGCTGCAGCCACTCTCTATATTATTTCAAAAGCAAGGGGATGCCGATAGCGCGAATTGGTGTTGATAGCTCAATTATTCTAGCTTGGTAAATACGAAAAATCAATGACGACCTTATATGCTCCGATGGCTTGTGACTGACAGCATATAATCGGGAGGAAATAGGTCATCTAAAGATGTTCTTCTACTCTTCAAACTTTTTACACACCCCTTTCCGATACTCACTAAGATCTGCGATCCGCGGTCTCAGCTTTTTGGTCCATCAGTCGACGGAAACTTTGGTGCATCTGTGTTTCCATAACTTCGGTGATTGGACAATAAGAGGAACGCGCGGACATTGTTCTCCGTTGCAGACTGCGAAATGTCACTGGAAGCAGGGACGACGCCGGACATTGACCACCCGCCTCGAATGACAGGCGAAGTAGCTCGCTGGTTGTATATACGAGGAACTCCAAGATTTGCTACTGAACCTAAATAGCGCTCGAGGAGTCGGAGTCTCGGATAAGCGTCCTCGGCATATCTTGTTTCTATGTTACATGCGACAAAACCGGATTATATGAACACCAACTGTCGCTTCGACAAAGCCATCATGTCAGAGTTGATTCGTCCGGAGCCGCTGTCGCGGTCATTGAACGGGCTAGTCGCCATAGCCACAGGCGCTGGCTGTGCTGGCTCAGGTATAGGAAATGGGCGTGCGATCTCCATGTTACTTGCTGCCGATAGGTGCAGAGTATTGTATTTAGACAGAACGTTCAACTGGGCAGAGCAAACAGTGCAGATGATCAAGGAGAATATAGCCAGAGCGCAAGCCTCGGCGGTGCAGAGCAACGCGACCTCTGCAGCCGACTGCGAGTCGGCCGTCAACGCCGCATTGCAGCAATTTCGGCCGTCTGGACATCTTGGTTAATAAGGTGGGTGTCTCTGGTGCACCTGGTACTGCTGTTGAGGTAGATGTGGAGCAATACTCGAAGGGTCTGGAGCTCAATATCTCTAGCATGGTCCAGATAGCTAAATATACTATACCAGCGAGGATGAAGAATGAGGGCGAGATCAAAGCCAGCATTGTCAATATAGGCAGCATTACTGGCCGCAAAGGGGGAATACCGTACTTACTATATCCTACCGCGAAGGGCGCTGTAGTAAGCCTCACCAGAGCCATAGCTGCTCAGCATACGCTTGAAGGTATTAGAGTTAATTGTGTCTGCCCAGGAGCAGGTCTGAATACGGATTGGCCTTGACTCTTGAAGGCTAATCGGGGCAGATGTTGTACACGCCAATGATATACGCAAACGGCATATCGGAAGAGAAGCCTCCTTGGCACCGAGGGCAACGGCTGGGATGCTGCTTGTGCCACGGTATTTCTCGCCAGACCTCATGCCAGATAGACGACAGGGTTCATTTTGCCCGTCGATGCTGGGACAACTGCTGCAGTCGGTATAGGCCTTCCAAAGATGGCGAGCGTAAACGGATGAGCGCATAGCTTGACAGGTAGACTCACGTAGGCGCTCTAGTTCTGGGACAAAATTTGTGGCAGAAAATAGGCGATTCCTTCTGAGCTACTCCAAAGATCAATTAATCTTCACGGTTTTGACAGTTGCGGAGTTTGCGGATCACTCAACGCAATGTCCTTACTCGTGTACAATTTGGTACTTCATCGTGCGTAATTTCGCTTTCGCATCAGCAATATGTCGGCGCGCGTACCAAAATAGCTACAGATCACGAGAAATCACCCATCAAGAGGAGGAAGAATTCTTTATACAGACATAATGTGCCAAACTAGTTAGATTAGCTAAAACGTATTCCGTCAGTTCAAGGTGCCAAAACCAATCTAGCACGAGAACAAAGCTGACTTGTTGTCACTATGGATTTGACGCATTGGGTTCTTCTTTACCCTCGGGGTTGTCCAACAAGCTAGTGAAATCCAGGACTTGTGTAGTTTCTTCACCAAGAACACTTGAGCTTTGGGGCGTCATCATTTCACGGCGGTATAACTAGTAGCACCGGACACCTACTATCCATAAATATACTACCACTGACGGAATTACATTTTCAAGCCGGGTCAAAGGTATAAAAGATTCTAGCACGAGCGCAGTCCTTACGTCCGCTAGGAGGTTGGACATCCATGTCCTGGTTGGTTGGTAGCTGAGTCATGTAGGCCTAGATGGCTTCAATGTTGAATAGCTCAACTACTAGTAGCCCCGACTTCCCAGACCCTGCAGCTGGTTTTCCCCAGACTCAGAGAGCATTCAGACCGGGCAACACAACAAGACTTTTCGAAAGGTTGACTTACACCTTATGCCCCTGCTCATGGCCCTTTACCTTATTGCCAACCTCGACAGGTGAGATTCCAGCGTACTCCTTGGATACCATTTTACAACTGCCAATGTCATGCTTCCAGAACGAGTCTGGGCAATGCTAAGATTGAAGGCCTTGAGGCTGACCTCAAGATGACTGGCAACGACTACAACATTGCGAACATGATGTTCTTTATCTTGTACATTCTGTGCGAAATACCTTCGAACTGGATCCTCTTCAACTTCAACAAGCCGTCAACCTGAATCGGTCTCATCGTCACCGCTTGGGGCATCGTCATGATCTCCAGCGGATTCGCCTAGAACTTTGGGGGCCTAATAGGCACTCGCGTACTACTCGGCGTTTTTGAGTACGTTCTATCCTACCCCTTACGCTTGTTCGAACACTTCTTCGAGCTCTCTGGCTAACGTGTTTGAACCACAGAGCTGGGTTCTTTCCAGGTGCCGTCTATCTTCTCAGCCAGTGGGACCCTCCCAAGATGACGCAGTTCCGCATGTCTTTGCTTTACTGTGCTGCTGCCATGTCTGGCGCCTTCTCGGGCCTCTTAGCCGCCGCCATCGCCAAGATGTCCGGAATTGCGGGCTACAACGGCTGGCGATGGATCTTTATCACTGAAGGCATCTTGACAGTCGTACGTGGTTTGTCGACCTTCTTCCTCCTACCTGATTCGCTGTCGCACTCTACCCGCTAGCTCTCAGAAGATGAGATTCGGTATCTGAACTTCATGTACCAGAAATATCGCGGCGGTCATGTTCAGCAAAACGAGCCGCAGCGAGAATGGGTTCCAGCAGAGAAGACAAACAGATGGATGGTTCTGGGAAGTGTTCTGACCGATTGCCAGATCTTCCTGTAGACTCTTATCTAGATGGCCTTATCTGTGCCTACATATATGCTTAAGTTTACTCTTCGCAAATCATGGTCAATATAGGCTTCAACAGCACCCAGGTGTAGCTTCTGTTAGCCCCCCCCTATATCGCTAGCGCTATATTGCGATTGTGGTGTCTATGTAAGTTTGCAGATAGATCGTTCTGATTTTGCCTGCTAATTTAAGATATTACGTCATTGTAGTACTCGAGTCCAACTACAGAGCTACCCTATACCTATGGTCAGTTCCTCCAATTCCATGGCGCGACGTAATATCCTGTAAGCTCGGTTGCAATAGGGAAACATGAGGGCTATGAGTCACTGTTTATTAACACAGGATCAGTTAGAAAGTCGACTTCTTCTGATTCGAAAGTGCGGCTCTCAGAGGTCACTGGCCCCTCACCTACTTGTCAACGTTTGGCCTTGATCCAGAACCTCGTCCTGGGTTGCCTTTTGTAAGAAATCCCCATAATTATGTGGCATTAGCTAAGTCTTGGCAAGGTGGAGAAGGTCTTCAAACTGACATTCGTCCAAAATGACGCTTTTTAGAATACCGAGTGACCTACTGTGGACAATTTGTCCAAGCTTTGATCATATGACCCTGCCGACCATCCAGCCTCACCATATTTCTCCGTTTCTCCGCTGCTAGATCAGGGCGAAGCAGGCATCGTGTACACATCAAATGCCAGCCCCTGAGCCTGTTACTTCTATATCAGGTAGTTAGCGTACCGAACTTTAGCCTAACAGGTGGACCTACTACTGGTGTGTCTTTAGAATCTATTTCCATCTCGGGGAATTGGCTGCCAAGACAAACCCCCCCTCTTCCTTGACGGGATTTACCCGGCGGGGGGCATGAAGCATCAACAACAGAAATTTCGCCCAGTTCCCGGCTTAGATGCGCAACGCTATCATTGTATATCCCACGTTGGTTACTCTTCCCTGCAAAAAATTAAAGCTTCCTTCGGCCACGACACCAAGTTAGTGGAAGCGAAATGGTGCCACCGGTCAAAACTGAGAAAAATGATGCGGCTATTGCCCTCGCCAAGACGTTGACCAACGTCCCCTGGTGCGATGATTACGAGAAGATGGTGTCGGGCATGCTTTACAGCTGCATGGCCCCAGAGCTCGTCGCTGCTAGGAGTCGCGCTCGCCGCCTTGCCCAAAAGTTCAACACCTATGTGCCTGGCGACAGTGACTCGGACGCAGAGGCCAGTGCTGTAAAGGAGGGCTTGATCAATCAGTTGTTTGGCAAGGTTGGCGAGGGCACATACCTTGAACCCAGCCTACAGGTTGATTACGGCTGCAATATTACCGTCGGTAAGGGATTCTACGCCAACTTCAAGTAGGTCCTTTCTCAATGCATTCAATACGGGCCGCCCCTAACTTGAGTAATTAGCTGCGTGATACTTGACTGTGCACATGTTACTATCGGGGACCGGGTCATGTTTGCCACGGGCGTGAGCCTCATCACTGCGACCCACGAGACGGGTCTGCAGTCGCGCCGTGACAACATCGAGTATGCTGAGCCTATTGTGATTGGAGACGATTGCTGGCTGGGTGCCAATGTTACAGTTCTCCCTGGAGTCACAATTGGGAAGGGATGTACCATTGGAGCTGGTGCTGTAGTTTCGAAGGACATCCCTGATTATTCGGTAGCTGTTGGCGTCCCTGCAAAGGTTATCAAGAAGGTTGACCCGTTAGAATAAATCAATCCTCGAGGTTCTCCGAGGGAAGGTAGATAACTAGAGATTACTTTTACGTAGCGTTCTAAAATTTGAAGCATTTGTCTGAAGCACTGTATCTCTGACTCCAAACTTCTCGGTTGTCCAGCTCGAGGCCGCTCTTGATCTCGCTAATGAGATGTCTGACTTCCGTAGCAGCTCCACAGCTTTGTGGCCTTTGTATGTGAATCAGGGGTGCTTAGGTCATGTGGCCTTGTTAATGCGTCTGACCCCATAGACCCATCCAATAAAGACGATGAGCGACTCCTGAGGAGCAAAGTCGTGTCACGGGCCGACCTTCTACCATAGAATTACCGCCGGACAAGCTGGGGTCTCACCACCAGAGCTGAATCTAAGGGCCCTTCGACTGGATACGCCCTCCGTTCGGAAGCCACGGACCGAAATTCCGTCGGTGTGATTATCGAACAGGTTTTAGAAGCTCTTCTTCGATTTTATATTGACCACCTCACTTCCACTTAAGCCTACCGACTGACTGATACTCCAACACTCCTATTCCTTCTTAGGGACTCACGACTTCATCAGCATTTTAGGTGAATCGATTCACCTCGCCATCTCTCGAAATGTCCTACGGCAAGTACAACTGGAAAGAAACCCAGCCCGGGCGCTTGGAACGCGCGACGGACGAGATTGAGCACTTCTACTTCTCCCTCGCCAAACTTTACGAAGGTAGTGGACGTATGTTTTTCGCCATGACCGGACATGTCATCCTCAAAGCCAAACCTATCCCCGATCTTCCAATCGACGAGGCTGAACGACGGCTCGACGCCGCCTTGAAGAACGCTTGGCTCGCTCTCCGGTTCGACCATCCTACGATAGCATCCCAAGTATTTTTGGACAGTAGCGCGACCTCCTCCACAAAAGTCTATCAATCCCCGCAAAACTCCTCAGATCTAGATGCCTGGGTCACAGAAACTCTTGTATCAGTCCCGAACAATATAACCGGCGAGGAGTGGGCAAACTCCGACCCTCCTGCTCCTCTAGTGCCCAAGTTATTTGTTCTGAGACCTATTACGTCGGAGCTTAGGCGGGATCTAGTACTCCGGTCTCCCCACGAGATCTTGGACGGTATCGGAACGCTTCAAATGCTCAACAATCTCATTCGTCATGTCGCGAACGCATACGATAAGGGCCACGGAGCCGAATCGATCTCCGATTTGGGCTCAGAGGTCAAGAACCTCAGCCCCCCTTATCGAGTGGCTGCCAACGTGCCCGTGGAGCTGACTCCCACGCAGAAGCAGCGAATCCAGGAGATAAATGAGCAGAAAGCAGCGGCGTCGAAGGGCAGTGAGTCCGTCCCCGTTCTTAACATCCCGTATAAAATCGGGAAGACGCGCCCGGGACGTCACCAACGGGTCAGCCTTTGGCTGTCCGAGGAACAGACTGCAGCTCTTGTGGCATCCTGCAAAGCCATCGGGGCTACCGTTACCCACGCATTCCACGCCGCCATCGCCATGGCCGTCCGCGATCTCCAGAAGCCGCCGGTCACCAACTCGCCTGTTGGGCAATACGTAAACTACATTCTCCGAAACGAACGCACGAGCTGCGTCGAGCCATACGGTTCAACAGCACATCCCGTCACCGTCTACCACTCGGTTTCGGGGCAAGCTCTGGTGATCGACCTGGATCTCTCCGTCGCCGAAAAGTCAGGGGCTCGCGAGCGGTCAGATGTGGCGTTGGAATTCGCGGGTATCCTACGTAAAATACGCGACTTCTATCACAACGTGCGCGACGATGCTGAGCACTATGCCTTTGCGCCCTCGTACTGGGCCGCCAGCACCCCGCCGTTGCCCTCGGATGGCTCGATTCCGCCTGTCCCTCCGCCCAAGACCACTCCGACAGCGTCGATATCCAGCATGGGTAAGATAGATACACTGATTCAAAGTACACAAGGAAACATCGAAGTGTATGATCCCTGGGTGACCGGCGAGGAGCTTGGCAACGGATATGGTGCGTTTCTTGGAACCTTTAGGGGTAGGTTGTGCTTGAGCGCCGCCTACAATGATGCCTGGCACAGCAAGGAAGAGACTTTGGAGTTCCTGGGGCGATGCAAGGACATTGTTTTTATGTCCCTGAATGTTTAGTTGGATTATAAGTCAGGTATGACAGCGAGGTGCCAGTTCCTCTAGCTACCTCGGTATACCCAGTTAGTCAGAACCTGGCATCGAAAATAGATTGAATGTTGATCCCTCGGATGTAAATTTTCACCTAAGTATAAGTCCCTCTACGAGACGTGCACCAGTAAGGCAGTAGGTAGACATTATTGCAGAGGGGTTTGGTGTATGTAAAGGGGTAGAGTTCTGACATCACCCGGGATTTGATACCTTGAGATACCCGCTAATGGAGAGGCAACGCCCTAACCGAAGCACTGACTCGTGTCACTTCGCCTCCGCTCCGCATACGTAATTCGCTCATCCGCTCACAACAGACTTTGACAAGACCTTCCCCATGATCCAGCCCCGACTTCCATCGAGGCTTTGCCAGTCCCATCAGCTATGATGCCGGGGGAAACAGAACCACGGCAGTATAGATTCGTCGGCGCCTACAGCCGCAAGAGACGGCGTCGGAATGCACCGCTCGGCGAAGGCGCGGAGGCCTCACACACTCAGCTGCGAGCGTCGACGTCTGCGTCTGATATCGTAACCGCATCTGCGCCAACTTCCAAGGGTACCGTTGAGGAGCAAGGGGGTCATACTACCAGGCACAGTAGCCCACCCCCTGTAACGACTTGCGTGCTCCAGGTCCCTCCGCCTCTTGTAGAGGCCGCTTTAGTCGTACAAGAATATGCCCATTCTATTGACAATATACTAATGCCACCAATCTTACCTCCTACTGAGGACGCGAACCAGCTTGGCCCTGTGGATTGGTCTTACTCATCCTTCATGAACTCTTCATTTGACCCGTCATTCTCACCAGCAGCAGTATTTGACACTCCACAAGACCATGCCCAGGTCCCGACGCAGCTTGGTATTGACGTACCACCAACAAGCGAAACCCCTTCATCCCCTGATTCATCACAAGACACTGTCATCTATCCAGAGACTCCTAGCCACGGCGAACCACCATCCCAACCCGCAGAAAGTCCTGGAATCGCCCTGCCACTTCCCAATCCGCAGCAGATAGTGTGTAACAACCGCGTCACGGTTTCCGACCTAGTCGCCCGATGTATGTGCCGTGTCCAGTCCCTGCACTGTCTAGCCGGCGTTCTAATATGAGAGTGTAGATGACAAGGAGTTCTGCGTCATGCCTCTAACTCATGACTTTGATGCCAACCCGTTTCGCTTCGACACGAAATCCTACCGAAATTCAAAACTCCTCTTCCATTCCATCCTAGCCCTCTCATATAAACATATCAACCGCGAGACCGGCTCATGCGCGGACGAGGCGAGAAGCTACAAGACGAGGGCCTTGCAGATGCTTCACGATACTGAGAATGCGTCAACGGGCACGGCTCTCGCAACAACTTTTCTCGATGCCCTATTGATTATGATGACCCTGGACGTAAGCTCGAGCTGGCCCCATCCATTCCTTGACTTTGCTTTCCCGTAAAGATGCCGCAGCTAAGGACAGTAAAGTGCGCAACGTCCGCCCATGGGCCTTGGACTTGGTATTTGAAGCGTGCATATAAGATGATGCAAGCTACCAAATCTCTGAATATCGAGGTAACGCCACGCATGCGCGCGCGAATGGAGATGCTAGTATGGTATGCGATTCAGCCCCAGCATCCAGTCTTTTTGACAGATTTATCTGACATGACCAGGTGGGACGTCACACTTGCGTTGACAAGCCGGCAGGGCTTCGTGTTGCCAGAATCAGCCATCGTCGCCCTCTTCAGCCAGGACAAGAGCAAGGGCGAGACGTTCTACGACGTGTCAGGCTGCCCCGAGGCTCTATTCCGACACATGATCCGTCTTGGATCTTACGCGAGAGAGTTCGAGCTCGTGTCTAGTATGACGTGTGCAAAATTTGACATCGAGCCGGTGCTTGAGGTAGAGAAACAAATCACGGAGTGGAGGGACCCGGATTACGAGGATCGCCCGGAACAATACGATTTCACGCTATCTTCTGAACAGATTTGCGACATCGAGGCCATGGCGCAATACAAGGAAGACCTTCATCACTGCGCCGAGGCCTGGCGGTATTGTCTTCTCATCTACATTGGCCGCGTCTTTCGCTGGCAGCGCGATCAGCCGGCTCAACCGATCCTGGGTTTCCTAGCCCGTAAAACCCTCAGACACGTCACCTGCTGCCGCTACACGTCCCAACTACAGAAGCAGCTTCTCCTTCCTGTATTCTTAGCTGGTTGCGAGACAAATGATGAGCATTTGCGTGAAGCCGCGTTGTCGTACTGCAAATGGTGGAGCGACAAGACAAAATACGACATGTTCCTCACAACCCACTCGCTACTGCAAGAGTTCTGGTCTGAAGATAACCATGAGCCTTGGTGGGGATCGTTTTTGGATAAGAAGACGAGGTCGAGTGATGGGAGTGCGGATTCACGACAGTATTTATTTGGGTGAGCGATCTGGTGTGCAGGTTTGTGGGCCAGGATTGGATTGGATACTTGATTGGGAACTAACTGCTTCTTCCCAAGTTGGTTTAAGCAGAACAGTGTTATGTTTGCTTGTCTTTACGGGGTAGCGGTTTCAACGGAACATAGCTCAGGACTACTCACACACATCTTGGTGGCTGGAAAGAGCCATGAACCTACAACCGCAGGTCGCAGGCACGCTTCTGGTTGTTCATGTGTGATGGAACCCCATTTCCATCCAAATATAGCGCCAAATTTCGCCAATGTAATGAGAAAATAAATCCGTATCTCCCAGTCTCGGTGCGTTTGAGCGCAACTATGTATTCAAATGAGGAAGAAGCTTGGTAGAGAAGTGTCCTAGCCACGGTAGAGGTTCTGTTTCTCCTCTTCGCGTACAAAATGCATCGCCAGTTCTTCCGATCGGCTAATGGGCTATTGCCGGATCCGGTAGAGAGCCAGTGGTGGCAAAACTGAATCGCATCTTTATCAACCACACTACTACCTGAATAGGAAATACTGAGAGGAGATGCTGGGGTAATCGAATGGCCTCGGTTGATCTTGGAGATACGGATGGTGATCGGGCATGTTGGAGTTGCAGCTACTTAAGCAATCGATCACATTGTACTCTAGACCCAACAGACCAGCATCCTTGCCTACACAAGTTCCGCATTTCCATACACATCATTCGTGGAAATACCTCAGATTCCCAATCATCACCTTCATTAATCAATATTTAAAATGGCCACCATGAACACTGTCTTTGCCGGCTACGCCGAGCGACAGAAGGCTCTTGAGGCCAGCCAAGCCTCAAACCCTTATGCCAAAGGCATCGCCTGGGTCGAAGGCGAGCTCGTTCCTTTACACCAAGCCCGCATTCCCCTACTTGATCAGGGTTTTATGCATAGTGACCTGACGTATGACGTCCCCTCCGTCTGGGATGGCCGGTTCTTCCGCCTGGACGAACACCTGGACCGTCTGGATGCGAGCTGCAAGAAGATGCGCCTCCGCCTGCCTCTTGATCGGGAAACAGTCAAGAAGACGCTATGTGACATGGTCGTCAAGAGCGGTATCCGCGATGCCTTTGTCGAGCTGATTGTCACACGCGGTCTCACCGGCGTTCGTGGCGCTCGCCCCGAGGAGCTCCTCAACAACAACCTCTACATGTTCATCCAGCCTTACGTCTGGGTCATGGAGCCCGAGGACCAATACAACGGTGGTCGCGCTATTGTCGCCCGAACTGTGCGACGAGTCCCCCCCGGCTCCATCGACCCGACCATCAAGAACCTGCAGTGGGGTGATCTGGTCCGCGGCTTGTTCGAGGCGAATGACCGTGGTGCCACCTACCCCTTCTTGACGGATGGCGACGCCAACCTCACTGAGGGATCTGGGTTCAACATTGTCCTGATCAAGAATGGCATCCTCTACACCCCTGATCGTGGTGTGCTGCAGGGCATCACGCGGAAGAGTGTTATTGATGCCGCGCATTCTCTTGGCTACGAGATCCGCGTTGAGCATGTCCCCGTGGAGGCCGTCTATCAGGCCGATGAGATCCTTATGTGCACAACTGCCGGTGGTATCATGCCCATCACCACTTTGGATGATCAGAAGGTTCAGGATGGCAAGGTTGGCCCCATCACGAAGGCCATCTGGGATAGATACTGGGCTATGCACTGGGAGGACAAGTTCAGCTTCAAGATTGATTTTTAAGTGTATGATAGAATTCTAAGAAACAAATAAAAAAGACTACCAGGCATTTGTTAACCTTTTTCTTACTGCTGTCGAACAAAGGGATTGTGTATGTAGAATAGCGCTCACTACACTGGCACCGTCTACCTGGAGAGGGCAGACTTCCGATCACTACATACCTTATTATTAACTTGGCAAATTACCCAATGGGTCCCGAAGTCAAGAAATATTACTAGCGCTTCTATCCAACGCATGCTTTAATGATGGCGGGCCGTATCACGAGCTCATTTTTGATCCCTCATCCCTTCACCCCCTCAACATGAAGCAAACCATCGCTAAACAGGAACTTCCAGATTAGGTATTACCGTCTTGTGGGTCCAGGTCTTTAATTCCTATCTGGGACTTAGTTTATCACCCCTGGGGTAGATGTTGCGGATCACGGTCAGAGCCGGGTTTACCCACACATTGGGGCGTAGGACACGATCTACAGAACACCAGAAAGCGGCATATCTAGAATGATACGATCATTCCAGATGAGACCTAAGATTCTGTTTGTTCAGTGAACTCATATAGTAGTAATTTCTGTGATCTCATCTTCACATCCGTCCAATCTCATCTCAGTTCCATTCCAAAACGCAACCTTACCGAAGAGATAAACAAGAGTAACCATAGCGGACTGCCACCATGGCTTCTCAAGACAATATCGTTATTGTTGGGTATGTTAGCACATTAAAAATGAAGGAGTTAGAAAGCAGCATCTAACATTGATTAGCGCAGGTATCATTGGCCTCGATGTCGCGCTTGTCCTCGCTGAAAGAGGATATGGAAAGCAAATCACTGTCATTGCGGAATATCTTCCGGGTGACACAGCCATAGCCTACACATCACCGTGGTGAGTACACCTTCCATCAAATGGAAAGTCTTACTAAGAGAGTCTGAAGGGCTGGTTGTAACTTTTCTGCTATCTCTGGTTCGGATGCCAATGCCTTGAAGTGGGATAGGTTGGGATATACGCATCTGAGCAAGCTTGCCTCGGAGAAGCCTGAAGCAACCCATGTCAAACGCACACCGTCCACAGAGTTGTGGGATGACGATGTGCCGCATGAAAAGATAAAGGCCATGTCCGAGTATCTGGAAGACGTTAGTGGTGACGAATCTATGATATGGTTACTTCCCAATGCTAACCGAGGCTAAACAGTTCCGAGTACTCCCAAACAATGAACTGCCACAGGGAGTCAAGTTCGCGGCATCCTTCACAACATTGACCGTAAATGCGCCAAAGCATCTTCTCTACTTGTACAATCGGTTGAGAGACAACTACAATGTCCGTTTCGTACGCCAGAAACTTCCGGATATCCAGACCGCCTTCTCCAGCTCCTCGACTAAGGTTGTGTTCAACTGCACCGGCAATGCCGCTCGCACGCTGCTGGGTGTAGAGGATAATAAGTGCTATCCTACGCGCGGGCAGGTTCTGTTGACAGCTGCACCCGAAGTGCGAACAAATATGATGCGGCACGGCAAGGATTACGAAACGTATGTTATTCCCCGACCCAACTCAAATGGGCATGTGATTCTGGGTGGGTATATGCAGAAAGGCAATAGGTAAGTGATGACTTCCAGATCCTACATTTTACTGCTAATCTAACAACGATCTTGAAGTGATGGATCAACCTACGCGTATGAAACAGAGTCAATTCTGCAACGGACCAAGGAACTCAGTGAGGAGGTCAGAAGAAGCAACCCGGAGGTGATTATTGCTGTCGCTGGGCTGAGACCATCACGCGAAGGAGGTGCTCGAGTGGAGAGGGAGATTCTGTCCATTTCTGGCCAGAAGCGTACAATTATTCACAACTACGGTGCTGGTGGGACTGGCTTTCAAGCTGGGTACGGCATGGCAGTGGATGCTGTGAAGGCTGCAGAGTCACTCCTTTTGGAGTTGTCTGGAGGTTTTCGCTCCAGATTGTGATCGAACGGGGGAATAAATAAACAAGAGCGTACAGTAGGGGATAGTCTCTTAGCCAAGTAAATAGGTTAAATATCCTACTGCATTCTCCTTTATTGTATGTTGAAAGCTTAAAAGTATTTCTATTTATAGGAACCAGCAAGTACAGCATATTGGCAATTTTTCTCAATTTGCTATGCGCATGGCTATATGGACGGAGCGGCATTAGGGGACGAATAACTCGCAATTGAAGATGTAATATTTGCCCAAGTACCTGAGGTGAGTAAGGAAGGTAATGCCACTCATTCGAGACCGTTGTAGCTGGTCCCCGCTCTAACATAAGCAGACCATCGCTTCGGCTAATCGCGTTCGCCCCGCTGGTTTTCCTCAACTATTTGGGCCTTGCTCTGGACAAATCACTCTGGGATGACGCGTGAAGAGCCATCTTTGGAGATCTGTCCCAGCTGTGAGCCTCGCACCTGGGCTTCTCAAATGCCGAAACGAGTGAAGCGCACATTTACCGCATGCTGGACATGCCGAAAACGGCACGTTCGCTGTGACGGGAAGACGCCAACTTGCGGCCCTTGCGGTAGGAAGAGCCTCGACTGTGAGGGGTACGGGATCCAACTGTCGTGGGTTGATACTGAGACTGGCCGATATACCGCCCGTTTACGGCGAATACTAGGCCCGGAGCTTACCTGGCTTAATCATCACACCTACTCAGCAGGGCAGTTGGAGCATCTGCTCGAGGAAAACCTGAAGGCTTGCCACTGTGAACTCCACATGTCTCCAAGTAACCCGTTTCGGTTGATGCTTACCGGGCCGCGTTACTCTACGAGCTGTTTACGACAAGTGAGGCCAAACGTTAATCACTTAGCTGGCCGCCACACACAAGAACAGGTTCTGTTCTCCCACTATGTGTGCCACGTGGCGTTCCTCATGACACCCATCGACGATGGTAGGAATCCCTGGAAGTCGGTTTATCCAGCAATGGCATTGGGCAGCCAATCTGCCGCGTGTAAGAGTCTATACCACGGCCTCCTTTCCCAAGCAGCTTTCAATCTCGCAAACTTACGACGCGGAGATTATGATTCCTTTGCTCGGCACCGACATGAGGGGCTCAAGCATTATGGCATATCGCTAAACATGCTCCGAGAGAGTCTTGATACGCCTGATTCCGAGTTCGTTTGCCAAGTTGCCACTTTCCTGACAATTTTGATGATTGAGGTAAGCGATGTATGATACGCCTTTTCAACCGACGACGACTCTAACCAAAGTCGTAGGGGGTGTATTCTACAGAGGTATACAGCTGGCGCTCTCATTTCAAAGGAGCCGCTGCGCTAGTGAGCAAAATGCTGCATGGCCGAGACTGGACCCAATCGTCGGATGCATGGGTAATATCCCAGAGCCTTGCGCTGTCTCTGGAAATTGCCCAAACGGGCCATATTGATTCAGCACGACACGCTGGTCCTACTGGGATGCTTCTAGATGCACTTTCCACGAGGAGCGACTTCGGATACACAATTGGGAGCCCTCGAGCAGCGCTTAAAGCACTTTCACAACTACAGAGAGTTGATAAGGACCCAAACGGTCAAAATAACCTCGAGGTTGAGATATTTGATGCATTGCGGAGTTTGAGCTCAATGCAGGGGGAAGACACAGGGCATGGATCAAGACTTCACAATGAGCGTTCACAGACGAATGGGCGGCTGGACTACCTCGCCCAACTCCATTCTCGGATGTTTCTCAACGCAGCAATCATATATCTGAAGCGGCTCGGACCCGGTGTGACGCCTTCACAGGTTAGCACATACACTTCATCTGTACTGAATGACATGTCAACATTTCTTGACATGGATGCTGGGAGCATATCTTTATGGCCGGTGTTCGTCGCAGCAGTGGAAGCGTGTGTGCCAAGCGAGCGGGATATGGTTCGGAGGTGGTTTGAATTTTCTTCACGCCTCGGGATTGAGAATAGAATCCAAGCTCGCCAGATAATCGAAATGGTTTGGCAAACAAGGGACTCAGTCGCCAGTGAGACCGGATGCTCAGTGGCGGAAACTATTGTTGATTGGACCACTGCACAGGAGGTCTTGGGGATTGATATCTTGTTACTGTAGTATAATCTAATCGTCGTCAAGCTACCTTTTCGTCTGGTAGAATACATGATGACAAACAGCTTTGCACACTCAAGTTGTGCTTGACTTAAATAGCTTCTTATGGCCAATGCTAATATCACTAATCTTGATTCATGGCGGATAAACAATGAGATACAGCGAGACTATTTTAGTTCAGAGGTTGGGCACATAATCATGGTTATGATGTGCAACTGGCAGCGAGTTTATTGATTATTCCGGTGGGCCTAGTTATGCATATTGCAGTAGGCGGAGGGATACCTGGTGTGGTCAAACTGAGGTTTCATTCCTCATGAGTGGCGGCGAGGTTTTGTTTCTTCTTCTGGGGCACCAGGAGCCAACTCAGAGATGTAGCCACCCAAAGTGCAATCAACATGGGCTGCAGGACTGCCACGCCGGCCGAAGATGCCACTCCTCCTGTGATCATTGGGAATAGTGAACCCCCAACCTGTGCCATTACGAAAACGAAGGCTAGTGCCGTTGGCTTTACCTCTGGTTCGAAGAGTTTCGCCGCAAGAGAAACACCCTAAACATGCAAGTGTAAATAACTGGACTATGCAGAAGCAGTGATCGAAGTGATACGTACAGTGGCGAATAATGGGCCCGCAAAGAACCCAACAATGCTCACCGCGATAGACGCAGCGATAATATTTGGCACACTGCACATGCTTGGTAAATATCTCTTCCAGGTTGTACACAGGGCCCAGGGAGTACTTACAGCCAAAAAACCAGCTGGAAGCCGATGCACAAGATACCAAACGCAAAGACCATATAGCGAGGACCAAAGCGGTGGATAGGTTCTGCTAATAGTAAACGCCCTAGGAGAGTGCCACCGTTGTAACCTGCGGCCACGAAGCCCATCTGCGAAATGTCGCCTTTGCGCACATCGATGAGGTACTCCACCAGCCACCCGCTTGCGGTGAGCGAAGAGCCTAGATAGAAGAAGAAGAAGATACTGAGATACCATAGAGATGGGCTACGGAAAGTGAGTGCCATCAATTTGGAGGCATCCTTGTGGCGCGATTCAGAGGATATCTCCCCCTTGTGCCTGAATTTGACGGTGTCACGGAATGCGAGGGCAATAAAGGCTGTATTTGCGACACACAGTCCCAAAGGCACGGCGTAAAAATAGTACCAAACAGAAGGCATTGCTGCGGCCGCGACCGCGGTACTCACGAATGGTCCGACGAGACAGCCAGCGGAGTACGACGCGTGGATAAGGGCAAGCCAACGGTGGGAGCTTCGAGCGTCTGCAACAAAGGAGTTTGCGTGGGTGTCATTCAAGGCTTGGCCAAGACTGACAAAGGTGAAGCTGATGACGAAAAGGGGAAACGGCGGGTTCCAGATCCTCAGTGCGTGCGCTAAGACCTGCAATGCTGCGCCCAGGAGCATCATAGAACCCAGATCGAAGAACTGGGTCAGGTGGGTGTTGATTATGGCGGAGATGAACCACCCCGCAAAGTTGGTGGCGTATCTTGCATGTGGTTAGTCGGATCTAGATTCAAGGCAGATCTGGGACTTGACATACAAGGCAGATGTTTGGGCTGTGTTTATGTTGTATTGGCGAATAACGTAGGGAATAAGAGCACCGACGCTGCCGTCATTGACACCGGCGACAAAGAACGAGAAGCTGGCGGTGAGAAACTTGAGAATGGTATGGGTGGGTAGTTGTTCTGGAGGAGCCGGAGGTGCGTCTCCCTCTACTTGAGTGATTTCTGGTGCATTTGTATTCTCTGAAATTGAGCGGAGCTCGTGGCCTTGTTGGCGCTTGGAGTTGGGCATCATGATACTAATATCTTATCGATTATGGTGTTGCAAACCCTGGAGATTGCTGATTCTGCAAGAATATGGTAGTCCATCCCCAACCTTTCATTCTCAGATTTACGAGTATATATAGGCTGTATTTGGAAGGGATAGCCAGGGTGAACTCGGCAATACCTTGGGTCCATTAGAGAATAAGATGCCGGCGTTTATCCTGAGGCATCGTTTCAATACGGGCACCCAGAAGCCCGATAATACATGTACAGAGCATGGCGTCATGGGCCATCCAGGCGAACCGCGGAGAATCGGACTGCCTCCGAACCTGGCCAGGCGAGTTTAGGAAATAAGCTACAGAGCGCCAAGGGGCTATTTGGGGCGTGGATTGTCGTGTCTCACTCCCCTAATTCTCGTCATTGTTACGGCCGGCTTGTCGCTCCGACTTGCCGGTACTACCCCACAAGGAAACTCCGCCTCTCCGCATAATCGAGGGATCCCCGATGTTCCACCGACCTGAACCGCCTGGACTCTGCCTGTTTCAGGCGAGACTTGGGATCAGTCTTACCTTAAAAGTGTACTACACTGGACGGCTTGCACAAACCACCTGGAAATTGATATCACATTGAAAACAACCACCACGATAAATACCCTCTTTGACAGGATGGCGGAGTCATCGCCATCTCAACTTCGGCAGCCTCTTCTCGGATCGCGGGACGAGCAATCCCCTGACGAAGATGGATCTCACAACGCCGCCAAAGGCTCCTCTCTGACGACGACGCTCCTCATGCCTGGGGCTGCCATGTACTCGTTTGCGTTGCTCGGCCTGTTCGCATCAACTACTGGAGTAATGCTCCCCCGCATGGAAGCATTCTATCACCTCAATGACGTCCAAGTTTCCCTCTGTTTTCTAGCTGGGCCAGTTGGATATGTGATTTCTGCACAACTCAACCATTCTATCCACTTGCACTTCGGGAGAAGGGGAATTGCTGTTGTTGGACCCATCTTTCAGATCCTCTCGGCTGCTCTTACGGCCATGCATCCTCCATTCCCCATAGTGCTCGCCTCTGCTGCGTTGGGTGCATTCGGAGCTGGTCTTCTAGATGGATCGTGGTGCGCTTGGGCCGGACGCATGGACAATGCAAACCTGATATCAGGTCTGCTACATGGATCATTCTCTCTTGGGGCCGGCTGCGGCCCCGTACTTGCCGAGCTCGTGCTCTCTGGGACCAGGCCTTGGTATTCCTGGTTCTATGTTTTGGTAAGATGATCATTCGTTATCCGTGTATTTTTCTACTTTCTTGCCTTAGAACAGTTTATTGTTAACATTAACCTTGTCACGCAGACCGCATTTAGCATTTTGGAGTTAATCATCCTGCCGTTCGCGTTCAGACATGAGAGCGCTGAGAAGTACCGCAACCGCCGACCCAACGAAACAGCAGAGGAAACCCTCAAAAAGCTTTCCAAAATCTTCCACTACAAGTCGACATGGCTCTGTGCTCTATATCTCCTTATTTACGTCGGCACCGAATCAGGAATTTCGGGATGGATCGTGTCTTTCATGCTTCGAGTCCGTCACTCTTCGACACAACATGCGAGTACTTGCTCCTCTAGCTTCTGGATTGGCATGGCCGCCGGGCGACTTTTACTCGGACTGCTCACCGACAGGATCGGGGTCAAGCGCGCTACAAACGGCTATATTGTCTGTGCTCTGGTGTTTCAGATCCTTTTCGTCACAGTGGAGGGCCAAGTAGCCTCTGCAATTCTCATCGCCCTTGTCGGGTTCTTCTGTGGCCCTCTCTTCCCGTCTTGCATTATTCTCCTTACCAGGCTGTTACCCCGTGATCTCAATGTCGCTGCGGTTTCTTTCGTTGCATCAGTGGGTCAAGTTGGCGGCGCTTTCTTGCCCTTTGGCTTGGGAGCCTTGAGTCATCTCATTGGTCTTGGAGTGTTCGGGATTGTCATCGTTATTCAGCTGTTTTGCTGTCTTGTGTTGTGGATATTGTTTTCTGGACTACGACCAGTGGAGGCTGATGAGATGACGGACGACGAGAACACTACTTAGACATTCGAAGGGTCAGCACTCAGTATTTCAAGTCTACCACATGATCCTACTTTCTGATCAACTACAATGTTCAATGGGCCTGGAACAGAGTTCAAGACGCTTCTTGTATGGAAGGTGACTATTATCGATTATACATCTTCTGTAACTTCTAGTGATAAATAGAAGGGAATAATAAGAAGTTCAAAGCTATAGTAAACCATATTCACCATCGTTGCCTTGAGCGCCCTCTAGCTTTTGTAGAATTCTGCAGAAGCGCGTGGTTGCCATCTTGAAATGTTGGAGCTGGCTCTGATTGAGAGACATCACCACAGGCCCGGCCTTGGCTAAAAACCATGCTCTGTTCTTTCTCGCCGCTGCAGCCCCGGTAAAGCATAAAAATACGTAAAGCTCGTTCTCAATATCGCAGTTGCTGCCTTGGGGAAGCGAGGCAAGGTAGAGACGGAGCTTCTCTACGCCGTCTTGATTATCGTCAACGGAGAACCTAGTCCGACGTTGAAACGAGTAAAGATGAATCATTGCCGCAACCATGATAGCCGCCGAGAAATTGCCCTCCGCCTTAGGCTCGTTATTCGTAACATGTTCTTCTATAGGTTTTGCTAAAGGCTCATACTCGAAATCCAAAGTCACATTGTGGACTCTCCTAAGTAAGGATATCAATGGCTCAGTAATACCGCTTTCACGTAATGCTCTCTCAGATTGGCATATAAGGGTAGAAACGAGAGATATAGGCGCATTGGGATGCTGGGATTGTTCGTCGACGTAGAATACCGGGTTGGAAGCATTGAGAATAGAATCCCCAATGTCGATCCTAGATTCATGGTTAGTCGTTAATCAGAACACCAATGAAGTATACCTACAGCATGATTAAATTAGACAGCCGATCCCCGCATAGACGTATTGCACCTAGTCCGCCATTCCCTTTGACCATCTGTTGAAGGCCATGCTTATGGATCTTTCCTTCCATTATGTTGGAATTCATGGCCTTTACTAAGTCAGCCTCGCTCCAAAGTTTGACGATGATCCGTACCTCGTAGTGCCAGAGATAGGTGGCCGTAGCTATGGCGGTGATAGATACCCGCTCTGAGGATGAAATGTGATCTAGAAGAAGTTTTACTGCATGTCTCCGGTGATATTCGGTAACAGGGTTGTCAACCTCGCCACGGAGTACATCAAGATGGGATGATGCGGCAAACAAAATACTGTGGAAAATGCATGGATCAGATAGTGTTACCTGAATCCATTCCTTCCTGGACACTTCATCGTTATCAAGGTTCCCTTTTCGAGTAAAGCTCGGGAACTGCATCTCATGGTCTGTATACAAATCAGCACCTGTGATCAGCAGTAAGATTGCCCGCAAGACTTACAATGGTTTACCAAGAAAGGCATGTACCATCGAGACGGAATTGGATAAGCCAAAATGGGTTCAAGTGAGAAATGGTCAGGTGAGACCTGATGGGAAGAAACGCGGTTGCGATTTGAGAGATGTTCTAGTTGTGACCGAAGCGCGCGGATTTCGAGTTGAGTTCTGTTCTCGTCATAGCTGCACTTGAGGAGTTTTCTAATTTTGTTAGTCATGTTCTCACGTCCTTCAACTAGTACAACTGCAGATGAAGATCATGATACTCACTTCTTGCAAGTCGTGCAGCCAGGAAACAACCTGTCGCATTTCTTCTTGTTCAACCTGCAACGGTCACACGCTTTCAGCGCAACACCACCGACTTCACTGTGGCTGGAGGTTTCCATTGCTGTCTTGACTGAGAAGTCGAAGATATATCAATACATGCTCGTCCACGACTTACTTGATTAACTAGGCGGAGAGCGAGTCTTTCGAATGAAGAATCTTCTGCACTGCCACGGAGCGGAAATGATTCCTAGGGCTGAAAACGTCAAGGACTACGTAGTTGGCCATAGCCACACGAGTGGGTCAATATAAGCAGGCACAAGCGAACACAGATTCTGGGACTCGGTAAATGTAGAGGCTAAAATCTCACGTAAATCCACCGTATGACATTAGATTCCCACGTACTACTTAGACTCCAGCTCGAATGTTTTCTCGGTAATCAATGACTAAAGACACTCGAAACTAGAGGCGGAAGCGTTTCCGCCTCCAATATACCTCGACGTCAGAGGGTAAGGGCAGATAATTCGATCAGCTCCCGAGACTTGGGCGGACAGATGGGCCGGTGCTTTCTTCTCCTCCACCCAGCTTACCAACGCCCCAAAAGGATCGGTCGGGACGGCACCAAGGGATGGTGTCCCGGCGCAATGGTCGACGCCCGGGGCAAGGAATAGGCGGAAGAACCCGTCTACCTTGGCTGGGCCGCCCAGTAACTGCTCGACTCGATCGCGATAGTTGACGCTTCCACTGGGGAAAATGATCTGATCAGACAAGCCATGCCAGACGAGTAGTTTGCCACCTGCGTTTTCGAATGCTGAAAGATCGGGGTTGTCTGAACCAATAATGGTGTCGTATTCTTTGGCCGACTGGGTAAATAGAATCTTGAGCGTCGTGTAATCAATCTGATCAAGGTCATATTTGGGGTCTTTGGCAAGCCAGTACCGAATCCAAGCATCATTGACAAAAAATGAAGACCCCTTGCGTGCCCCGTCAATCACAACTGTGTTGGCCAAAGTGTCCAAAGCAGCACCGAGATTCAAGCCATACCAAAGTCGCTGCCCGTCCTGATCAAAAGGCCCTTGGTGCACCTTTTGAACCACCCTTGCAACAGACTCGGTGATTGTGATGTTTGTTCCATCGCATTCAACCCCATGTCCAACCAGCCTGTACGGGTCGAAATGGCAAGCGTTGGGATCGTTGATGACTCCATCCGTAAGTCCATCAACGGCATCGCATTCGGCAACTGCGGCATCAGTAAACGCCTTGAGCTCACAAGCTGACGGATATGTGTTCTCCTCGTGCATGACAACTTGCGGCCACTGTTCCGCCACCACATATGTTGGCCAGGAGATTGCGGGCGCGCCGGCCAGAATCCCGTCAAACAGATCTGGGTATCTCTGTGCGGCAACCAGTCCTTGTCTGCCACCAGTTGAGCACCCGTTCCAGTACGAGTATTGAGGTTTCTTCCCGTAGAACTGCTCAGTTATAGCCTTTCCAACCAGACCGACATCCTGAACAGACCGATACGCAAAGTTGACCAGAGCTTCTTGATTCACGGATCCATCCGCCAGCAATGCCCATTCCGCAGGCGACAGCGGGTTGAATCCCACACCAGCGTCTGTTGATGCCGCCGCATAGCCCAGTTTGGCGGTAGGGCCCAGAGTCAGATCCAGAGCACCAGCTGCGAAGCCTGATCCGCCGTTGGCCTGGAACCGCCCATTCCAACCTTTTAGTGGCAACCAAACTTTGACAAGGACTTGGTCATGTGCACCTTGGTGCCTCAAAACCACGTCGACCGCGCAGATGTCAAGGCCGGTAACTGGCTCTGGGAGGAGGCCTGGGAATGCAGTGACGGTGTGGTTCAGAAGTTGCGTCCCGTTGATGGATATGACCTTAGCGCCAGGGATATCAGGTTTTTTGAGTGACGCACACGCGCATCTCGAATTCCTACCGGCTGGTTTGTCCGCAGCCACGGAGGCAAGGAGACTGATCAAGAAGAAGATGGGGCGATATAGAGCCATGATTGGTAGTAGAGTGTAGAAATCTTGACAAGATAGGTGCTATATCCAAAAATTATGCATACTGAAGAGGGAAAAGAGGCGAATTTATACTTGCGTCACGGGCGACTCTTCAGTTTCCTTAGAAGCTAGTCACTATATGCAGGAATATATGCCCTGCAACAATGAAACTTCTGCCTTGAGATTCGATAGCTTCCTGGCGGCAAATTTCCGACCCCTGTTGCCACTGGCTTATATCGAGATAATATTAACCCACACATAGTGGCCATAATAGTATGGCAAGGGGAAGGCGGTAGTTGGCACATGTCAGATTCGATCATCTACATGGTTCGGCCCCACCCCGCGTCTGACCAGTTGACACTCAGCCACGGCTACCAAGCTCCATGAAGCTTTGAAAGGTCCCCGAGTCATGGTGGTCAAATGGTCTCTTTGTTAAAAACACGGAATTCCAACACGGCGGCCGAATTGACCATAGCAACACTGATCGAACCACATCGTGTTGCCTACGTTTGCCCCCGTTTATAAACATGAAGGGAAAGCCATTGCATTTTGATAGAGTAGTCACTGAAAAGACAGCCTGGAGGACTGAAATCCTATATAGCTGGTAGGAGGTTTGGTAGCACGGAGAAATGAGACTGACGAGCATACTCCGACGACAACTACCATCCAGACGAGGCTTGTTCACAGATTTGAGATAGTTTCGAAAACGTTGAGACTCTGTTCATGACTGATAATCTCCACTTTTATATCTTAGATAGCGTCTTAGGAATTTGCATTGCTGCAGTTTGTGCTTCAATAAAGCTTGGCTGAGGTAATGTTTACAAATTGATTATTTCGACGGTAAGCAGGAGAGGCCGAAGGCTCCGTAAACCATAGTGGACGAGCTTGATTAGTAGTGAGCAGGATCGCGAGATTTCTACATCAATCTGGAATGGCCTTTTACCTGGAATTGATCTTAAATATGTACAGGCTGACTTGTTTTATATTCATCATTACGTATGTATAGGGGGATGTGAAACTGAAAACAAAGGTTTCGTCCACCACATGAGGAATAGAGATATGATAGCACTCACCGCGAGCATCAGAATCGGATTTCATCTTAAAGCAATTTCAATTAGTTTTGATAAAATTAAAAAATGTGAACTGATATCCTGTCCATTTATATGAACACCCTCTACTTAGGTACCCAGGCTTCACTCCATAAAAGATTAATTAGCACTCTACAACCAGTCATTAGTTTAGTTGTCCAACTATATTTCTATCTATCTTTTTCAACACGAAGGAGATGAAGTGACTTCTTCCTCCAAAGTTTGTAAAAAATGAAGCATGCTACTGTGGATGGTAAAGTAAACACACCCCAAACCCATAACCGGTCGACGTGCCCAAACCAAGCCTCCTCGCTGAAGAACGGCATCGAGAACACGACCTGGGAAATCTGATCGTTAGTTGAGACACCAATACACTAGGAGGAGCTTGTTGCTTATCGTACAGCGAAAGTGGCACCGGGGAGGAATGCCATCGTAATAATCGCTATCTGTTCGCAACATTAGCTACACGCCAGGTCCGCTCACTGAGATCTTCCGACAAAACGTTGGCTCGATACGTACGGTTCTCATCGCAATACTGTCTCTCTTCATTTCCAAAGCAAGTTGGTGTGATGCATCAGCTATCTTTCGCCCTATATTTGCATCATTCTGCATCGCAACCAAGATTTCTTGCATTGCTTTACCATTGGCAACAAGTAGCCTATCACTATTGATTTGCATTCGATTAAAAAGCTTCAGTAAGGCACATTAGCATATATGAAACCACGAGGAGTCTTGAAGATGAGTTACCAAGTCTAGAATGTTTTTCGTCTTCTTCTCTAATTCTAGAGCGAAATCCAACGAGGCCTCAGCCTGAGAAAGCACCTGCTCAAAACCGAGAGTTAATTGTGCCAAGTCTTCGCCGGAAAGACTTCCACCATTCGAGTAAATAGACGCATAGAACTTTATAAGATCGTTCGCGATCGCCTTTAGGGAATTGAGCTCTGATATATATCGGTGCAGGTGCGCGGCAATGGAGTGAAGGGCTCGATTTAGTTTCGTCAGTGTCACTTCTGGCGTCAATCCAATCCCAACCGCGTCGAGCTCGGACTGTAGAGTTATTTCATAGGCAATCAGTTGCTCGTTGACACTGTTCAAAGAGTTTGTCCACCACCGCGAGGTGCTACTGATATAAACCAAATGTACGAACGCGCCTGTAGAAAATCTCGCATCGGACGCACCAATCTTTTTCCGATGTGTCATCACCTCGACAATCCGTGATTTTGGCTCAAGTGCAATCTTGGGCCATTGCCCGTGCATAAAGTCGAACGATGCCACAGTAACCTTGTTCGATGACGGATCTATCCTGGTGAAGATGCCGACACAAGAGCGGAAAATATCTATGCCGACATCCGGTAGGTGAAGCTTATGAAAAGGGTTCATCTGTGCTATACCTCTCTGGCCCGTGTCCAACCCAGACTGAGCTCCCACTTGAACACGAACAGGTAGAAAGTACCAGCAATCATGAAATGTGGATGGCCCTACATTAGAATGGCGAAACCCTCTTCCAGTTGGGAGATAATGACGAGTTAGTGCGAAGATGAAGGCTGGAGGGAGACATATCCTAGTTGCCAATGCGTCGAAGCTTAACACAGAAATTCGCAACTTCTCAGAGTCATCTGGGATCGGGGAATTTGGATTTTCGAACAAGTGCTTGTATACGAAACTAAACAGTTATCACCATATCTTTAGTACACTTGGAAATGACGCAGACTGATGATCTTGTGGCTTACAAGAACTGAAGGCTGTGGTCCTCTGCCAGTGGCTGTGTCCGGTTTTAGTTGCATATGTCATGGGAGAGGATGTTCGTTGCGTCTCACCAGCCTCTTGATATCCGCGCGAGATTCCAATATGGCCTCTTTGAATTCCTCATCTAATTGGCCGAGGACGTACTTGATTCTCGTCGTTGTTGATAGCTGTGACGACTGGAAGCTGTCAAACGACTGTGATATCGATAGGGCATGCTCTCTTGCGATCGGATCCCGTCAGCTTTGATGGCCCATGCTCAAGTTTCACCGCTCTGGTAATCTACGACTTACAGTTCTGGCGCTTGGCTCGCCTTGTACACTTCGTGGGGGCTTTGCTTCTTGCTCATTCTCGAGATAGGAACAGCGGTCTGTGCGAAGGAAGAACTGGAGGATATCACAAATTAGTTTAGGGAAAGACTTTCGGTTGATTGCTCCTCCTTTCCAGCAATCTCCTCAGCCGCATATGCGGCCAAGCCCCGGTGGCGGAGCACACTGGGTGCAACATCCTTGCCATCTCCATCCACAAGGGTTGTCATCACTACTAATAAGCGCTCAAACCTCTCGGCCCATATTTCATATTCGCGTGCGCCCTTTCTTCAATCGCCACCGAGAAAGCTGAAAGACCGGTTGCTGCCAGCCCGAAGCAAATGACATCAGATATACGGCCTCTAAGGAACATATCGGACATGGGAGGCGGAGAGGGCACGCGCCCTCATCTCGCTGGGGCGGCGGATTTGCCATCTGGTGGTGTTTCTTGCCAGCGACATATTGAAAAACCCAGCACTTCTGGATCGTCTCCCCCTTCCTCGGAACATCATTCTATTTCGGCGGCGAGTGGCAGTACTCTATCTCACCAATCCAATGACACCAACTCTACTTCGATCATCGGATCCCCGCTAGCATCTCTATCATGCAAACCCAAAAAGAAACGCTACGCTACACAGCATGAGACTCGCTGGCTTGAAGAGGGCCAGCCGTCTGACCCCATCCTGAAGCAGAGCTCTGGTCCAGCAGATCAGCCCCTGCCGACTCTCCCACCCAAGTCACCGCAAATCCAACCAGCGGCACAGCCCCAGAGCCAGACACCACCCTCAGTTGTCAGTACTGTTTCCCCAGCGCTCTCTATTCTGGCATCCGGCAAATATGCGAGAATGAGCCCTGGGCAAGATGCCCCCGCCATCCATCCAGGCGCGCCATCAGCATACATGTACTTGGCGGCGCAGCCCTTGACCCACAATTCTCTTGGGAGCCAGAGCCAGAATACCCAAAGTGACGCGACGAACGGAGATGCTCTTAGCGCCATTGATGAGGAGCAGGTCTCGCCATCACCATCGGCACCACAACCAGAACCGTCGAAGCTACGCAGAGGATTATCAAAGCTGCTTCGAAGGGACAATTAAGTCTTCAAATCACTGTCTTTCGTCAGCAAAAATCGCTGAGAGACATGGTGGTGGCTCCCTTTGCTTCGCCTCAACATCATGCACGCAAGGCGTCTAATCTGGGTCGCATCAGGGGGCCTTGGCATGCGCAAGGCAATCCAGCCGTGGATTAAATCCCATGCTGGTTGATCGCGCTAACAATGAGGGTTTAGTATCTTCAGCGTCGCCTTCCTTTCCCCTCCCCTGGCTCTCAATTGCAATCTCAAGCATCTTGTTGGCGCCATGGCAGATACATTCATCCAGCGCCGGATTTCATTGAGGACTAACCTGCTGCGAGGGTTCATACAAAGTTCGTTACTCGCTCCATTTTTTTCGAGTCAATGGGATTTGATATGCGAGCTTTTGATTGACCGTTGACAGGGCTCACCTTGCGAGGCCCAGAGCCTGACCCCGATGAGAGTGCAACTCAAGAACATGTGCCATCTCCGACGGCAGCAGGATTCCCTGTGTGCTTTGCCGTCGATGTATCCGGTAGTACAGAAGGATGTGTCCTGAGGATGGAGCAGGAAGCCATCATCGCAATCAGCACTGCCCTCGGCAAAACCACACAATATTCGATGAGCCGGTCATCCATCCTCCCGTGGTATGACAAGGCATACGGCAGGCTCCCGCTGAAGGACGTAAAGGACCTTATCTCGTTTGGAGGGACAGTCCCCGCAGCCATATTCCGTGACCGCAAATATAGAAGCTATCTCCAGCAGGCCGGACTGTGGGTGCTCATAACTGATGGGCAAATTGACCAGTCCGACGTCCGGGACTTCTCTAATTCGATTCTAGAAGCTGGAGTTCATGGCACTGCGTGTGTGATAATTGCATTTGGGTACCAAGGATGGTCCCCTTTTCAATGCAATGTCTCTGTGGGCATATCTGTATTTGCCGTTGCTCCGCATTGCCTATTCCTCTATCATGCTATTCACGAGAACAAGACCTACGTCATTCAGGCCAAGGGGTGCTTTCAAGAACTCCTACCAGATGATAAACGTTTCATCTTGTTCAATGAGTCAACACGTTGGGATGACCTTCACAGCATTAGATATGACGAGTTGGCTAGGGTTCAAGTGCCTCAGCCTGCGAAACTATCGAGAGATTCTGTCTTACTCCCGAACGGAAAGATATTCGATATGCGAACGATATACAACAACAAGGTCTCGAATGATGACACATTAGAGCTTCTGTCAGATCCTGCCTCTCTTGATGTCATTTTGCTGGCAGCCAATACCAGAGGGACTGGTTATCTGATCGAAGCTTGGCTGGAGAAGATTCGGAAAAAGCACAGGCTCGCCGCTTCCAAGTCATTCGATCGTGAAGAAGTCATTGAACGTGAAGACATTGGGTGCATAGGGCTGCTTCAGCTCACCACACTCATCGTCTACGCTACCAATGGGGCGGATGAAGATAACTTCTGGGACGTGTTGCGAAGCCAGTGCCTGTCTCAAGATCAAGCACTTCAGGACCTGAAATCAAGTCTTTGCTATCGGCACCAGCTCAACTGGAACAAATTTCAATTTAACATGAACGCAAGATATCAGCTATTGTCTAAAATACAGAACCAGGTTGATGGTGCCTTAAGTACGATATCGCACATTGAGAGCGGCATGGCTGCCCCATCCCCAGCCTTACTCACACCAATGTCTTCCCTTCCACGAAATTTGGAACAGAATGCCACCTCTTTACATTCGATCAGGCCCGGCTCGGAGCATGATTGGTCAAGTTTGAGCTGCTCTATTGGACCTTCCCATACAGACCGCCTCGGTCCGTTCTCAACTGAGCCGTCCCCAATGATCGTGGGAACCTACGATGAGCCTAGTCCCCAGGTGGATATCAGTACTATCACATTCTTGCCGGAATTCAAGACTCGAGATATTTCTGGGATGTCTGATTACGATATGGGCCATCCACCGGCCTACGACAAATGTTTGCTCTGCGATAGACCTGGATTGATCCAGACTCTGCTTTTCCGTTCTAGGTCTACAGTGCAGTCGACACGCGGCTTGCCTGCTCCGGATAGTCGTTCAGGACATAAATTCCCTCTTGTTTTGGGGAATTACGCTGAAACGGACGTCATTGCCCCTATCATCACCTGCGACGGTTGTGCCTTTTTGTTCCAGCAAGTCAAGCAACTTCCAAACGGAGGAGGCTCGGTCGCCGCCTGTTTACCATTGGTTCCCCTTAAATTGATTGAGAACCGCTCTAAATGGGTTGAAGTCCTCAGCGAAGTATATGAGCAGCTTTAGCCAGAACATTGCCCTACTCGTCTTTTTGTCCACCCTCTGTTCCACACTCGAAGATCTCTCCGAGCACAATGATGACGGTATCAAGACGGTCCATGGGTGGTTTGAATGGGTTTGCAGAGAAATCATGAGCCTCCCTGGATTAGCTGCTCTCGTTGGGCTCACTCCTGCCGCGGGGGTTCTTTCTGGGAAGGTGAAGCCAAGCATGCCTTTGAGAGATGTGCTTACAATGATATTCTCATCAAGAGGCAGCAACAGCGCAATTATAGAGTTGCCGCTTCTTGCCTACCCCATTCACGGGTTTATTGTCATAGTGAGACTCGCTCGGCTAGTCAAGGAAATAGAGGCGTCGCAAATACAGCTGCTTGTATGGAAAAGGCTTTGTTATTATTTCATTGAGCAGCATGCAGAGATGCAAACTAGGCTAGGGGTCGAAGTCACCGATCAAGGTCTAGATAATTTTCTCTTTGACTATTCTGCTTTAGACAGCATCTCACTTCCAGATACTGCAAGACGGGCGCGTTCGGTCTGCCCAGTCGTCAAACTTCTAGATACCCATCTCCTCGACCAGGATATACTTGACCAGTTCCGGCGGATAGATCCGTTTTTCAGCGCCATCGAAAGTAGCAAGAATTCTTTCCAATATGCATTGGCGACTGTCTTACATTTACTCAACGATTTTGTGAAAACTGAGTCAAAGATCACAAATCCTGGATTTTGCTTCAGCAGACTACAATACCAAGCAGACAAACTTACATTGGGTAGCGATTCCAAGGATGTTCTAGAGAGTCCTGGTTTTGTGACGGAAGAAATGGGTGCTTTATTAATTAGTCAGTGTATTTCACTGAGCACGGCTTCTAAATAATAGGCTTCTATTATATTAGCTAAATATTTATAACTTTAATATTAATTAATAAACTTTTAGTTAATATAATCTATAAGTAAGCTAATTATATAAGTAAGCTAATTACTTCTATCTATTCTTTATATAATAAAATTAATTAAAATAATAATAGTTAATTATCTATAATAATAATATTAGAAATTAATTTATTAAACTTCTTTTTAATTTCCCTATAAGTTTAAATATTATAATTAGACTTTCTATAATTATTATATTATAAAGTCTTTATATAAATCTACTCTTTCTAATTATTATTTCTATAGTTTTTCTCTCTTAGCTATTTATCTATATCTTTTTAATCTAATAAATCTATTTTATTTTATATAGTTAGAAACTCTTTAAACTATATATAGTTTTTTTTAACTTTTTAATACTTATTTAGTATTTTATTTACTATATAAAAATTATAGATCTTAATATATAAAAAAGCTATTTAGTATATTATTATAATTATTCTTTTTATAAATTAATCTATTATAACTAATATAAAGATTAGAAAGTTATTTTAATAAATTAAAATTTAAAATTTAATATATTTAAATTATATATTTATCTTATATATAATTTATAGTATTTTTAAAATTTAAAGCTATTTTATTTTAAATAGAATCTCTAGTAGTATTAATATTTATAATACTATATCTAGCTTTAAAAGAATTCTCTTTAGATTATATAGTATTAGATTAGATCTAATAAAGTCTATCTAGATATTTTTCTCTATAAAGAAATAGAAAAAGATTATATAAAAAATAAAAAGAAATTTAAACTTATTAATATAGATAATATATATCTATATTAGATTCTTAATCTCTTATTTATATAACTATTTAAATAGTTTAAAATAGCTAATATTTAATAATTAAAAAAAATAGAAGAAATAAAAAAATATATAAATTATAATAATTTTTTATTTTTAATAATAGATTTTAAAATTAATTAAATAATAACTTTTATAATTATTAAAGATTAATATTTAATATACTCTTTTTATATAAAAAACTATATAAAAATTAAAGTATTTAATTTAATTTAAATTAATTTTATTAGTAATTTAATTATTCTTAATTATTATAAACTATTAGTTATATAGTAAATTATATTTCTAATACTAATTCTTAAAATAATATTAAATAGTTAGAATAATAAAAAAAAAGATAATCTAATTAGTTATATTTATCTTTTAGATTATAATTATTTACTTCTAATTATTAGATTAAACTAGCTTAGTTTTTATATAACTCTCTAAGATTATAATTATTATTTTAGAAAAAATAATATTTATTATAAAACTAATTTTATTAAAATTATATAAATTTTTATTTAGAATATTATATTTTATCTTTAGATTATATATAAAACTAAATTAAAATATAATAATCTTTAGATCTTTATATTTAATTCTCTAATAATTATATTTCTAAATCTAGTATATATAGAGCTCTAATTATTATTTAATAAAGTTAAAAGCTTAATTAATACTAATAGAAGATATATTATATATATATAATAAAATATTAGTTATTTTCTTAATACTATATATTCTAAAAGGAAATATATATATAAATAGTTTAAATATATATAAAATAATAACTTTCTTTTTAGATTTTAATAGATTTATTAATTTTAATTAAATATTATATTTTACTATATAATTAATATATTAATTATAAAAGATTAGATATAAAACTTAATAGATTTTTACTATTACTCTAATATTTAATTTTAGATTTTAATTAAGAGCTTAGATTATAAGAATAATATTTATTTTATATAAAGTTATATTTATTTTATAATAGAAAGTTATTTAATTATAAAGAAAAAGTTCTAATTTCTAAATAGAAATAATTAGCTTATTTATATAATTAGCTTAATATAATCTATAAGTAAACTAATTATATAAATAAACTAATTACTTTTATTTAGAAATTAGAACTTTCTTTTTATAATTAAATAACTTTCTATTATAAAATAAATATAATTTTATATAAAGTAAATATTATTCTTATAATCTAAACTCTTAATTAAAATTTAAAATTAAATATTAGAATAATAATAAAAATCTATTAAGTTCTATATATAACTCTTTATAACTAATATACTAATTATATAATAAAATATAATATTTAATTAAAATTAATAAATCTATTAAAATCTAAAAAGAAAACTATTATCTTATATATATTTAAGCTATTTATATATATATTTTCTTTTAGAATATATAGTATTAAGAAAATAACTAATATTCTATTATATATATATAATATACCCCCTATTAGTATTAATTAGACTTCTAACTTTATTAAGTAATAACTAGAGCTCTATATATACTAGATTTAGAAATATAACTATTAGAGAGCTAAATATAAAGATCTAAAGATTATTATATTTTAGTTTAATTTTATATATAATCTAAAGATAAAATATAGTATTCTAAATAAAGATTTATATAATTTTAATAAAACTAGCTTTATAATAGATATTATTTTCTTTAGAATAATAATTATAATCTTAGAGAGTTATATAAAAACTAAGCTAGTTTAATCTAATAATTAGAAATAAGTAATTATAATCTAAAAAGTAAATATAATTAATTAGATTATTCTTTCTTTTATTATTCTAACTATTTAATATTATTTTAAGAACTAGTATTAGAAATATAATCTATTATATAACTAATAGCTTATAATAACTAAAAATAATTAAACTACTAATAAGATTAATCTAAATTAAATTAAATATTTTAATTTCTATATAGTTTTTTATATAAAAAGAGTATATTAAATATTAATTCTTAATAGTTATAAGAGTTATTATTTAACTAATTTTAAAATTTATTATTAAAAATAGAAAATTATTATAATCTATATATCTTTTTATTTCTTTTATTTTCTTTAATTACTAAATATTAACTATTTTAAACTATTTAAATAGTTATATAAATAAAAGATTAAAAGTTTAATATAGATATATATTATCTATATTAATAAGTTTAAATTTCTCTTTACTTTTTATATAGTTTTTTTTTACTTTTTTATAAAGAAAAATATCTAAATAGATTTTATTAAATCTAATCTAATACTATATAATCTAAAGAGAGTTTTTTTAAAGTTAAATATAGTACTATAAATACTAATACTATTAGAGATTCTATTTAAGATAAAGTAATTCTAGATTCTAAAGATACTATAGATTATATATAAAATAAATATATAGTCTAAATATATTAAATTTTAAATTTTAATTTATTAAAATAACTCTCTAATCTCTATACTAATTATAATAGATTAATTTATAAAGAGAGTAATTATAATAATATACTAAATAGCTCTTTTATATATTAAGATCTATAATCTTTATATAGTAAATAAGATACTAAATAAATACTAAAAAGCTAAAAAAAACTATATATAGTTTAAAGAGTTCTTAATTATATAGAATAGAATAAATCTATTAGATTAGAAGAATATAAATAAGTAATTAAGAGAAGAAAACTATAGAAATAGTAGTTAAAAAGAATAAGTTTATATAAAGATTCTATAATATAGTAATTATAAAAAACCTAATTATAATATCTAAACTTATAAGGAAACTAGAGAGAAATCTAATAAATTAATTTCTAGTATTATTATTATAGATAATTAGTTATTATTATTTTAATTAACTTTATTATATAAGGAATAGATAGAAGTAATTAGCTTACTTATATAATTAGCTTACTTATAGATTATATTACTTATAGATTATATTATTATTTTCTAAGTTTTAAATTTATAGAAGACGCTAGCACATCTACACTCATCGCAAACAGATTCCAGTATGAGCATCACATGTTAAACAGCTCGTAGTATACACTCAGGCCCAGACTTAAACGCCAATATCTGCGCCAATTCATTCATAAACCTTCGATAGAAAATATGACTCGGAACCGCGTACAACCTTTCTATGAATCAGGCTTGCGGAAAAGATTATCTATAAGCTACGAAATGCCGGTGCATAATCAAAGTCACATTCTATCCGTAGCACTTGGCCTTCCCTTGGCCACAACAACATCCCATTTGAGTCTAGAACGCACTTTTCCAAGCTGCCCGCGTTAGCCCAGTCCCTTGGAATGAAATAAAACCTCTCATATGTTTCGGATAATGAATCGTTGGCTCCTAGGCAATAAGAGCAGAGCCACAGCTCATGGTCCAGGAAAATGAGTCTCTGATTCTTGAGAATTCCCAGTGGTGCATAAACTCTTCTCGCTATATGTAATGGCACATATGTCAATTCGACTTTCGATCGCACTGAATCAGATATTTCCGCCGTCTTGAAGATCCCGATATCCCTTGAAAGAGTATTATCGCCGAAAGACAACATCGAGTACTCGGAGACAGGTGAGACGATAACACGCAATAGGCTTTTGCTTTGATCTGTCGGTCCTAGCTTGGCAGCTTTTAATTTTGACGTCAAATCTTGCTTGTTCAGTTTATTGTCCAGAGAGCTTTTGACAAAGTCACTACTCCATAACTTGGTCAATGTTTTCCAGCTATAAGCCTCAGTGCTTTGCGTGCTGAATGCAAGAAGTATATCGTGATTTTTCGGATGACGAAACCATTTCTTTTCGTATCCGGCCTCGTTTTCGAGGTAAGCCTGGAGAGAACCGGTACGGACAGCACAAACAAAACATTCTCGCTCGGTCCACACAAATAAAAACTCTGAGTCCAAGCTAAAGATCAGACCTTGTATACTAAAAGAATCGCCCCGAAATTTTGTTTTGGATTCGTTGGAGTGGGCCTCCGGTTTAGGCAGTGATGAGAAACGGACTTCTCCTTGGTCTCTATGTATGGACTTGATCAGAACATCTCCGGCCAGGGTTGCGATGGCAATGAAGACGCTATTCTCACTCCACACAATGTGTGTTATGTCGAGGAAATACCCGAAATTTGCTACCTCCGAAGGTTTGATATTTTGATCCTCGAACAAAAGAACGGTTCCGTTCTCGAACCCTGCACAGTACCTAGCTCGATCGGGAGAGGGGGCAATTGCGGTAATGCAATCAACATAAGGAATTCGCTCCTCTGAGATCCTTGATATCGTGGTTGATGACTGCTCTTCACTATTTGTATCGCTGGTATGACCGTCGTTCTCGTTAAAGCGTGCCACAACATCAGGCTCCCATGCGTTCACCACGCCTCCCCGTAAATCGTAAAAGCGGCGGCTATCGGGACTAAAAGCCAGAGTTGTGACAAGGTCCTCGGCTGAAAGTTGATAGATGATTGTGAAAAATGCAAAATTCCAAACGCGGATCGAACCGTCACTGCTACTCGTTGCGAAAAGCTTTCCATTCGGGCTTGCCGTAATTTCATCCGCAGGTTTTCGAACTTCAAAATTCTCTCCAGTAAAAGGGTGCCACTTAAAGATGCAACCATCTTTATAGATCCCAAGGATATGGCCACTCACTGGATTCCATGTGAACCTGTCAACAGCAAACCAGTTTGTCGAGGGTCGACGATCTGTATGTTGCACATCCTTGGAGCGTTTGCACCTCCCAATGCATTTGCCATCGGATATCCTCCAGACTGAAAGGGGGGCTCCTCTATATGATACTCCGACGTAGTCTTTATTGTCACTAAACGCCAAACACATTGGAGAATTGACAAATGTACCACCACCGTCGTGTGTTTCTTTGAGGAGAACATTCGGATGCACAATTTGCCACTCTGGATTTGACACGTCGCAAATTGCATACCTGATGATGTTGTCGTCCCCTCCAAATAGTAGCTTGGTATCCTTTTCTATGAACGAGATTTCCATCGCTTTCGTGAGCGGAGGATTGTTAAAAGCCAGTAGTTCTCTCCCGCTAGCAACGGACCAGATCCTCGTTGTTCGAAGGCCATAAGTCACAAGTTTCGTCCCATTAGCATTGAAAGCCATGGCTGTGACAGACTCTGGGTGCGAGATGCATCTAATTTCCATGAAACTAGATGGGTCCCAAATTCGCACTCTTCCATTCAATTCAAGAACTGCTAGGTGCTTCACCGCGCAGGCTATCCTCCATGCCCGAGAGTCTGATGGTAAGGCAAAACGGCCTAAGTTATCATTCCACTGCCCATTCTCGTTACCTTGGACTTGTATTGTGGGTTGAGTGTCCCGAAACAGCCGTGATATTGCAGTCTTGCCAGGGCTCACAGCCGGAATCACGTTATAAATGACTTCAGGCTCGGATACTAAATTCCGACCAAACTTTCCGACAATTTTGGCAATGTCCACAATCCATTCTTCCAAGAGTTCTAGATCTGACAAACGATGGAGCATTGGGTTCTTTTGGGCGTCTCTCTTTCGAGTGTTGCGTACAAACAAAGCAAGAACTCTTGATGCTTTTGTTAGAACATCCAGCCGCCGAAGCAGAGACAGGATGTAGATCCAACTAAGAACCGCAGGGCTTCGAAAAAATGACATCAACCGGTCCAAGTTCTCGGATGAAACTGACTGACAATGGCCAAGATGATATGACCAGCTAATTGCCGAATAAAAGACGAAGGGTTGACTGAGTTGCAAAGCATGGCGACTCTCAGACAAGCTCCATCGCAGCGTAGGTTCCTCTAGGGCTGAAATGGTTTTCAAGAATAGCTTGGCATGTGTTGCTAATGGGTTAATGGAGAACTGGCTTCCATTGTTCCGCGAGAAATACTCGCTTGTTGTATGGTGCAGCATCGAGACATTGCCTCCTTCGTCAATTTGAATAAACTGACCGCACGCCTCTTTGATTGTTCTTTTAAGGTCCAAAAATCCGGTAAATTCAGGCTTGAGCGCTTGAGAGATTTCATTAAGTTTAAGAGATCTCTGTGCACAAATTGTCCATTCAAGAAGCGCTTTTATTAGCGGCGCATTAGATCTTCGGGTTGAGTCAATGAGACTCTTCTCCATTCTTTCATACATGAGATTCATGTCGTCCGGAACCTCATTTAAAACTTCTTGTATACTTTCCTCCGTGTGGCAATACATGAGTTCATCAAGTACCAGTTTGGTCCAGAGAAAATTGCCTTCGGAACGTCTAATTATATTCTGAGACAATTGCTGGCGAAACTCAGAACTGCAATGGATGTGCTCAAGCTCTTGTTTTACAAGAACCTTGATATCTTCGAGATTATGTGAGCCGTCACTCTTTTCGACAATCGTAACAGGCACAATATGTGAGAGTCGATCAAAAGCGACGGAAAGCACATCAGTGTTTCGACTCAATATCAGAATACGGATGGGTACAGTGATCGTAGAAAGACCCTTTAAACAGCCGAGCAAAGTCTTTGGTCCGTCGCATTCATCCAAGGCATCGATAATCCAATATAGAGGCCCCTCAATACTCGATTGCGCAAGTATGGAATGAAAGGTGTTCCTCCAAATCATGGTAACGTCGTTAGTCTCCAGGCCCAAGGATTCCCGAGAAGCATCGCATAGTAGTTTGCCAAACTTTGGAACATCTTTAGCAAGTTGGAAGGCCAAGCTTCTAAAGCAGTTCGCGACTGATCTTTTCCCGGGATCGGAGTATTTAAAGTGAAAGAATTGGCAACCTGTGGTAGAAGACTTGCAATGATCAATGACATATGTGGATAAGATAGATTTCCCGCTGGCCGGAAGCGCACTATACCACAGTACACGGGACTCGTGGGATGGAGAAAACCAAGACAAAAAGTTTCTGTCTTCAAGAATCCAGTGACAGGTGCCAGGAACCCGTCGTTGACGAAGGGCATTGTAGTCATCTTCGCTTATGAGGCAACCCCGGAAAAGATCTGTTAGCGTCGCCTTAATCTCAACATCGGTTGCCCCAGACTCGCTCTCTGCTTTCCTCATAAACTGAGAGACTAATGATTTAATGGCATTTTTGACGCTAACATAATTCATATCGCTAGGACTGTTATACTTACACATGCCTTGGTGGTCAGCATGTAAAGGTTTCGAAATTTCCGTTGGATATCCTAGTATGGACGAATCTTTCTCCAGTACCATGATTTTTCTGGGTCCGATAGATGTTGTGAGGGTCTCGTAAAAAGACCATATGGACAAACTTGGTGCCAAATGACGAAACTGTTCGTTTAATTCTTCAATGGCGAAAGAGCTTTTATTGAGATCTGATATGAAACTCTTGGATGATTGAAAAGTCGCAGAGACGATGCGGTTGAGCACCTCGGCTAGGTTAGTGCCTCTGTGGGGAGTTGATAGGAATATAACAGCGGAAATAGATTCAATGATAGCTTTGTAATTCACGTCGTGAATTCCAAGCAAGTAAGCCTTCTTCACCACCAAGCCTCCCATGCTGTGCACAACGAAGATGATAGGCTTCGACCCGACATTGAGATCATTATCTGAGTCATCTTTAGCAAATCTCATTTGAAAAAGAAGATCTTTTGCGAAATCAGTAATCGTTGAAATGTTTTTGGTCGAGCCACGCCAGTCTGCATTATAGCCGTACGTTAAGATCCGAGCAATGCCTACATCCGGTTCCAGTGGTAACCAAGTTGCCGGCCAAAATAGAGCAGGGTCATGGTTCTTAGTCCATGTGTTGTGACTGTGTCCGCCAAGTCCGTGAACGAATATAATATCCAAAGCAGCAAGCTGGGGCTGATGCAAGACATGGAGACCTAATGCCGTTCGAGACGGACTAGGACTGGCTCCACGCAAACTAGACGGTGGCTGGGTTGCTACGGATAGGAACTCATTTGTCCTTCCTCGCGCCAGCTCATTGCTACTGTTGGCGATGGAAGAATCAGATGTTCTTCTCTCCTGTGGATTGCCTTGAGACCGCGACTTGGTCGAGCGGAAACGTTTGAACTATGCTCCAGGTCAGCACTGCAGCAGCACGTCGGGGATTCATCTCATCCTGCGAATACTCACCATCGTAACATAGATACCAGTACTCTTTGATACTGGAAGTGATAGCCTCGCCTCCTGTCGCTGTGGATAAAACTGTCACCGGTATGCACTACCTCTATGACGGTGGTAGGATCGAAAATCTAGTGGCCAGATCCTACCCTCAAATCCCCAACCCCCACGTCTTACCGCGGGGTAATCTTACGACTCCCTGCACTTTCATAGAATATACGATGTTTGATTGGGCAGCTACGCGCCTTTTATTTCAGCTCTTATGCAATCTTACTATGCGTCAAAGATAACAAGTGTTCTCGAGTGCGATACGGTTGCTAAGCATACCATCCTCCTTCATTTTTTGCTAGCCCTATCCATCAATATCGACTAACGCCTAAGAATATACATACAAGTAAGCTTTCCAGACTCGAACTATGGAAAGTACGGTCACCTCAACGACATTGAAGGCCACGAATATCTCGAAGGAAAGTGGTCACGTCACCCCGCCTCTCACGCCGGATGTTACCCGATCCGGACCTGTCGGGGATGAGGCCTTTGCTGGTTTCCCGAAGAACTTCTCTGTCGACAGTAATGTTCTTGAAAAGTTTCCGGTAGGCACAAAGATACTTTCAGCCGATCCTTTCGGAACTTCAGCTTGGACGGTGACTACTCGGCTCCAGCTTCAGATGGAAGATGGGTCCGAAGAGCTATTCTTTCTCAAATCGGCTCCAGAAGATCACGGGCGGACAATGATGGAAGGCGAGTTTAACTCTATGTCCGAGCTATACAAGTGGGCTCCCAATCTTGTCCCAAAGCCACACTCGTGGGGGAAATATGCAGACAGTACGCCTGATACGTACTTCTTTCTCTCGCAGTTTCTACAGATGAATGAGACAATGCCAGATCCAAAGTACCTCTGCGCTGAACTTGCCCGCCTCCATCGGGACAGCCATTCGCCTACAGGCAAATTCGGATTCCACTGCACAACATGCCAAGGACGGATCGCTCAGTGCGTAGGCTGGGAAGAAAACTGGACAGTATTCTTCACCAAACTCCTCCAGCACGTGATCAAACTGGACTTTGAGGTGAACGGGTATTGGGAATCACTCGACAAAGTCGAAAAGAGGCTCATTGAACATGTCATTCCAAGACTACTCGATGCCCTTTCCAGTGATGGCAATTCAATCAAGCCCAGTCTACTTCATTCCGACCTCTGGGAAGGTAATACTGGAACATCACTCAGCGACGGAAAAGTCTATATCTTCGACGCTGCTTCATTCTACGGCCATAATGAGATGGAAGTTGCAAACTGGCGCGGCTACTACAACAAAATCAGCAATAAAGTGTACACCAGAACATATCTCCGTCATTTCTTGCCAAGTGAGCCGAAGCTTGATTGGGAGGACCGCAATCGCCTCTACAGCGTATACTATAACGTGATATATTCCGTCAATCATGAGAGCCAAGGAACGGCCGTTCGTCAATTGTGAGACTTTTCCACTATTAATCAGGTATAGCTACTAATAAAATAGCAGGGCATTTAGTGATATGTATTATCTCGTCGATAAATTTGCGCCATTCCCTGAAGGTGAGGCACCCACGCGTTTACAGGAATCGGAAATCGCATCTCTCTCTGCCGAACGCGACCATACTCTAGCTTAAAATAGGGATATCTTCATTATAAACGAATTGAACTACTTTTCGCTCAATTGATACGCGTCAATGTCTTTGATAAATTATGGTCCCAATCTTCACCCGCTGCACCTACTTTCAAATCAAGATAATTCACACCTCCTTCTCCATTGTAAAATGCCCAGATAAACTTAGGAATCAAACACCTAGATTATTCTCTAGTATCCAACAGCTAGCAGGTAAGTTTCCCGATCTCCTAAGTTGCACAATTGCGTCGCATATGTTTGTGCTTCTACCGGGGTCCCTGATGATTACTCACCGGTTTGTTGGTTCATCAAATGCCCCGGGGCTGTACCCCGCACCTTCTAACTTTTCTACTGCAAATATAATTTCTATATTTCCAATTGTTCGAACACTAAAGATGGCTAGAGTCTCCAAGGAACTTCTCGACACAGCAGCCCCGGATGCTGGTGAATGCGCCAACCCCAGTAAAGAGGAAACAAACAACAGAAACCCCGTCTCCTCAGAAAACTCGTCATATACAGTATTCACCTTGTCGGACTTGAGGCGGTTGAGAATAATCCTTGGTTTGGGAACAATCACATCCCCTCTCACCGCAACCATATACCTCCCACTGCTACCACTGTTACGACATCAGTTCAGTGTTTCCGCTCAGGCTATCAACCTTACCCTGACATTGTATATCATCTTCCAAGCGATCTCCCCAGTAATATTTGGTCCCTTTTCAGATGCCTACGGGAGAAGACCCATATTCCTTTTCACACTGGGCCTTTACGTACTTGGGAACATCGGTCTAGCAGCGAATAAAGATAACTATGCGGTGCTGTTAGTGCTCCGAGCTGTACAAAGCTTAGGCGCGAGTGCGGCTTATGCCATAAGTTTCGGTGTGGTTGCTGATGTGTGCGAGCCAAGTGAAAGAGGCCGGATGTTAGGCCCGATCAGCATGGCACTTAACCTGGGAGCTTGTGTTGGTCCCGTGGTTGGTGGTATCGTTGCCTATGCCAACAATAATCATACCTGGGTATTTTGGTCCCTGGTCATTGTCGGCAGTGTTTTATTCCTTGGTGTAGGTCTCTTATTACCTGAGACTGCGAAGAGGCTGGTAGGCAATGGTGGCGATCCAGCTTAGTTCAAATGGTGGCAACTCAGTTGGCTGCAACTTATACGCACCCACACAATGAGTAAAAGCTCAGCTACTAGCAAGTCTTCATCATGCGCACCAGGAACTGTGGTCAGAGAACCTGCCCACAAAGTTGCCATAAAAAATCTGTTTGGTTGCTTCAGAATGATCTTTTACCCAGACTCATTCTTGAGTCTATGGATGCATGGGTCATTTTACACTGTTGACTACTCATTCGTGGCGGCTTTACCAGATATTTTCAAGGATATATATGGATATAATGACTGGCAGTTGGGGCTTGCGTATTTGCCTCGGGGGGTTGGAATCATCACTGGGAGCTATGTCAGTGGAAAGCTAATGGATAGAAATTACGCAAAGACACTACGCGAGCTAGGTTGGACAACGGACAGGGTCGCTCCTGATGAATTAGTCCATTTTCCGATTGAGAAGGCAAGGACCCGGGGTACCTATCTCTTCCTATTTGTATCTACTGGAACGATCATTGGGTACGGGTGGGCAGTGACCCAGTCAGCCCATCCGGCCGTGGCACTGGTTCTGCAGTTTATCCAAGGATTCTGGGGAACCTATTTCTACACAACATACAGTACTCTTATGGTAGATACTTATCCGCAAAGTCCTAGCACTGCGGCCGCAGCTACTAGCGTCACACGCTGCGCAATGGCCGCTGCTGGGGTGGCTATACTACAACCGCTTCTAGATGTTGCGGGACGAGGGTGGTATTTCACTGCTCTCGGGCTTTGGAGTGGCCTTTTTGGAATAATCGCGGTTGCCCTTCTTCGGTGGAAAGGTTCGGTTTGGAGGAGTAGAAGAAGCCGCCCAACTACAGAGATGCAAGTGACTAGAGAAGATTGATGGATGATATGACACGTCACGATCTGCTAGCCCTTCGTGGATGATTGCCATAAATCGCGACGCGGTTTGTGATGACAATTTACATAAACGTACCATCCCTCATGTCCAGTGAAGTTAGAGGCAATGTGCCTGATTATTCATTTTCATAGGTCAATGTAACATTATGGCGTTGCGTGTGACTCGGATGAGAGTTGGAGTACACGCTAAGAAACAGCAATGGAAGACACCAAGCCGGACGTCTCAACAGGATGAATATGATTGCAAAGAGCCGCAGGAGTTCCAGCCGAGAACTAGAGGAATGATTACATCAATAGTGTCCTGTGCGAGGATTTCAGACTTTCAAATAATCGTCTTGCTTCCAATGATAAAAGATGAGCACCACCCCGTTACTCGCCCATGTTGTGACAAACCACCTGCTACAACAAGTATAGAACGCTGGTACTATAACAATTTGATCGATTCCCAACTGGTAAACCAAGGTCCCAGGGGTTTATGTCCGCAAATACATCAGAGCGTTAAAGTCTGAGCAATATGAACAGAGGTGCTACGTCTAGTAATATACTGAAGGGCGTTGCATGTAACCCAAATAATACCCATCTTCTGTTGGTAATGAAACTGCGGTACTACGGAGCTCGTAGTTCCCATAGAGCCCATAGAGCCCATGAAGTTACAGAGCTTGTGAATATCAAATCAAGTAGTTCGCCTGAACCCGTAAGTGGTTTAAATTGCCCCACTTGGGACGCTTGGGAGGGCTGCTGTGATGTGTCCTCGAGGCTGATTTGTCCCACAGGGTTCGAACAGGCCTCGCTTTGCAGCATATGAGGTGGGAACTGCGCGAAGGTTAGGTACGGTGGCACTGTCTGAAATATCGGGGACGGCTGGTCTATTAGCTGAGATCCAGCATGGGCAGTTATTCGCTGGTTTTCCGATCCTGGCTGTTCTAGCTGTTGTTGTTCGGGTCGTTTTTCGTTCTCACTAGACAGTCGCGGGCGAGACATCCTGGTTCGTCGAGTACGTGAAGACGAAACGGGGCAGCTCTGCTGTGAACATTTTCCCGTTGATTCATCAAACCAAGGAGAAGACGTCTTTATCAAACTTAAAGGTATGAGAACCACAAGCGGCTTGTCCGGCTTTTTGTCGCCTTCATAGAGGTAGCTCTGATGCGACGCGATTCCGTATGGATTGTATCCGTATCTTTAGTATGTACCCACTGTCGGATATCAATGATTAATTCAGTTGACGCCAATGCGCTACAGCTCTCAAGAAGCGCAAGCAATATTTTGGACTTGGAAGCCCGTGCAGGGAGCCAGAGAGTCTACATCAGTCGAAGCGAGTACAGTGAGGCCCTTACAAAGGCATTCTACAACCCACAACTGCTCCGCACCGCCAATGACTTCCTCGTCTCCAATTATGAGTATCTCATTGAAGTTGATGATACCCTCTGGGCTGAACCAAAAAGAGCTTTATACGTGAAAAAGTTTTTCTATCCCCACGCTGCGGCCGTGTGGTTTGGCGTAGCGTTCTTCCTCTCCACAGCCATAGGATTAATTGCGGGCGTGTTTGGTCATGATCCAGGGCTTGGACTTGCTGCTGGAACTGGTTCGTTGGCTATTCTCGGTGCTATGCAGGTGGTTCTACTTTGGCAGGCTCGCTCGACTGGCATCTAACTTAGTAGAACTATCATAGAGTTCGACATTAAGCCGTGCCTAGGAGGTCAACGCGTCCTGCAGCGGGAGAGGAGCAGCTCCATAATGGTATACAAAACATTCATTAATTATGCGCAGCATAGGGAAATATGCTGGGTTAGTTGTGCAATTTCTTAAATTAATGCAACCTTCCAAGTGGGAGACCTACCCTATACACATAAACAAAAGACCAACGCTATCTACCTACTTACTACTGCCCTGAAAGATTTTTAAAAATACCTCTCCTGAGCTTACTAGTTGTTTTTCATAGACTCTACCTTTTTTTTGTGAAGTGAGGGATAAATCTACTTGTAACATATTGTAGAACTTAGTATATTATACTAGATGGGATTGGATTGCTTTATCTGAAGTCACATTAGTGCCACATGCCAGATTTATTATCCCACAGCCCAAGAACTTATATAAGGGACAAGCAGAAGACCTAATAGGGTAGCCATACAAGCGATGCAAAGGGATTAGAGAATATAAATCCAAACACATTTTACGTAACATTGACAGAAAATACAAGTCTTGGGGAGCGCAGCGAAACTGGCAGTAAGCCATGGATGCTCTGAAGCCAGATCTGTCCGGATCCGAGAGTTGCATTTCGCTTATGTTTCGCTTATCTGAAGGGCAAGCTTCGGGGCAAGCTCCGGAGGGGCTGTCTTCCGATTTCGCTGCCGGGATACATATCAGGGCTTGGAAATCGTACGCATTCACTCACATGGGAAAATACCAATGCCCGCATTTGTGCATTACATCAGCTCTTAGTGGCTGAGCGTCTGAGAAACTTGGGGTGATGTGCTGGCATCTTCCAAATGACCTGCATAGGTATATTGGCGGTGCCAATGCAGAGTGAGATCTCGGCAGCATCTTGGTCGGATTCGGCGCCTTCCAGCCTAGGATGTATGTCTCATGTATGGCCTCATTACTTTTGACCGGCAACGACCTTCTTGCGCATCCGGTGGCTTGGTGTTGTTTCACAGACAATCCGTGGTATCTGTGTTGCATCGGGAGGAACAGGCAGGTCTCGATCATACTCGAGACAACCACGAGTCATGTTCTGGGCCTCAAAAGTGGCTTGATTGTATGTGCTTGACACCCCGGGATATCACGATGCATTGTTGGGCACAGCATTGCGCCGTGAATGGTGGCGACTAAGAAAAAGAAACGACAGGTGTGGTGGATCTCACGTACATGAAGATGCACGCCGGGGTGGAGAAGTTTATGCCGGGAGTGGCCGGCAACGCTCGCTTCGAGGCAAGGCCAGTCGCTCCCGCCTCCCTTGGATTCTACAGAATTTCCTCGCCTGGACAAACCTGCATCTCTGGCTCTTCGGATGAACCCCATCACTGCACTGGCTCCCTCTCCACGACTATAGCATAAAGCTCGCCTATGTAGGTTCGCAGGGTCGAGGAACCGGTTTGAGACTTTACGTTCTGCCACCCTTCGTAAGCTGATCCTTTTCCAACGTGCATATTCTCTCACTGATTATTGGTTTTCTTTTTCCCCGCGCGAGTTTACCCGGGTGAGAGTATGAAAATAGGCTCCAACCCATCCGGTGGCGTTGATTGACGTTGTATTGTTAATGCCGGCACCCCTGGACTAAGAATCGGAATTGCCAGCCTCGCTCTCGTCATTTGCTGCATGCGTTGTCCAGACTGGCCACCCCGGCTTTGTATCCAGCCAGCATAATGTAGATGATGAGCTCCCACAACATGGAGCGGTTAGAACCACTTTGACCCACGAACAGCTGGCATATATCGTACCATTTCCCTGTCCGATGACAGCACGCGCATGAAGGACCGGCCCCACACAATCAGCTAGACAGATCTCCTCCGAACGCGATCCGGGGGAGGCAGATTGCCTAAGAAACGGGCGGATAGAACGTCCAATTGAAGGCCCGGAAAGCTTCAGGAATCCGCTCAAGTTGGTGGCATCGGGAAGGCGCTAGGCAGGAAACCCCTGGGAAGATTCCATGTGCTTGAGACTATCTTTGGCCGGTCAATGGCAAAGGGGAGAGGATCGGATCGGATCGCGGGGATTTATCGCCGGTTGATTTCTTTTTGCAGGGGGGTTGGCAATGCGATGCGAGTTGACGGACCCATCCAGCCACGCAGGTCGTAAGTTTGATTAAAAGAAGTGAAAAAAGAAAGACGACGGAGGGCGCTCCCCAAGTATATAAAAGGCGAGAGGTGCTCCCGTCAAGCTGAATGTTTGCTTCCCATCTCATCCTCATTCTCACCAACAACCTCAACAACTCTCTGTACACTTTCACACACATTCAAGTCTTTCAGACTCCCAAAACCACACTTCAAAATGTCTGCCCCGTAAGTATCCTCATGGAGTGGTGATATCGAAGTGACACAGTCTAACACGATCTCCAGCGCCCGCACCACTGAGCAGTTCACTGTTCCTCTGCCCACTGCCACCGCTCTCTCTCAGCCTGCTGGTATGTTACCACTCCTCTTCTTCCGTCCCTATTAATGATACGTTTGGACTTTTCTGACAGAGACCAAAATGTAGGCCAGATCCTCAAGGGTGCCACTGACGAGAACGGCACTCCCCGCGATGCCGCTCTCCTCCTCGGCATCAAGCTCGATCTCGAGGCCGAGGTCCACCTGACTGCCCGTGTCAAGGGTGATGTCGTCGTTGGTCTTTACTAGGTGTGAACTAGCTGCAATTGCTAGGGCTGTATTATGAGAGAGAAAATTTCATGACGGCGAATGTTGGATCAAGTCATCCGAACCAGCTACTCGGTTAATAAAACATGTTGCCATAAACTTTCAATTCGCTGATTGCCAGTCTTCGTTCATGAGTGATATGTCTTTACCTTTGATGCGCATGGCGATGCAGCTTTTCCAAGCTTCGAGCTCTCTCTGTATGGTGGCCCTCAGCAATCACTTGTAATACTGTCGCCTGTTGGTTGTGCAACATAGCTTGAACATTGAGTCACACGTGATGATATTTCCAAGATTTGAAAACGGCTACAGCTAAAGCTGCTGAGTCAGATTGACATCTAGATCAACTCTCCCTTTCTTTTAAATCTCGCATGTTTTCTATACCCGAATGCACAGAAAACCATCTAGTGATACGCGACAATGACAAATTCCCCATGAGACTTTCTACAGCTTGTCCTGATTCACCGCCCCTCATGTCTTTTCTATGCACTTAGTGAGCCTTGCGTTGGCAGGCGATCTCGGGTGAGAGGCTGATACAACCATCTGCGCTATCTTCCTCGAAAATGCCACCGTAAAGAATGGCCTCTTCAATGCCGCTCGGCTGGTATCCTTCCCTCGTGATATCCTCTGCAGGTCCTGTTGGCTTCTTGAGAATGCCGAAATGGAATTGACCTTGGCCACTCACGTCGTTGGACGTGGCTTTGGTAACCTGCTTCAATGGTTCATCATCTTGGGAGTAATAGACTTGAGTTGTCCTATAGACTCGTTTGTTAATCTCTGGAACGGGATTAAAGCCGCACACTTGGCACTTACAAAGCGTTGAAATCGAGCTTGAGGGCAAAATTGTGGATAACGCTCTCGCTGAATGGAGCCTGGAACAGGAGAGGAGCGCCCTTGTTGACGTTGCCATAAACTTGGAGGCTGTCCGGCTCAGAGATATTTCCACCAAGGATGGTGCCAGTCTTGAGAACGAACTGGTTGGTAGAGTAATCAGCGCTCTCGAGGAAGACAAGTTGGTATTCGTGAGAGAAGTTCAAGGGCCGGGCAGGGTCCTTGGCAAGGCTAAAGTGCAGCGTTTTGATGCCGGTCGTCGACGGATCTGAGCCACTGTTGGAAGCCGGAAGTAGCTCCGCACGACGGAAACCTTTTTGCACATTCGTCTCCGAGGGAGCAAAGATGGAGGAGTCATTTATGGTCAAGTACACGGGTACAGAATTGACATCAAACTGTTCTAGTTAGTCATTGTGTGGCAGCCAGATTTTGACAATGGCCTACAAGAGTGGTCTGATCAGTGATCTCGAGCAATTCGCTGAATTTCAGTCCTGCGATGACTCATTGTTAGTTAACATTTCTAGTAGTTCGCGACAGAGGCTTGTACCTTTGCCCTTTACAAAGCCAGGATTGAATAATCCATTTTCCACATCGAATTGGTTAGAGGTGAAGTTGCTTGGAACTCGTCCGTCGAACTGTAGCTGGCATGTTTGCGCCGTGACCTGCAGGGCGCCAAAAAGAATGGATAGAATGGAAGAGCGAAACATTGTGGGAACTGTGTAGTGCTAGTTGTACAGGATGTGGATGATCGGTATTTTTCAGAAACACGAGAAAGAGCAGATGCTTTCGTTTAAATACATTGTGAAAGCTGTCAAGATAATGGCAATATGGGGCTTGAGCTGTCACTGATCAATCGATGACATGCTTTCAGACAGACTAATTTACCCCAAGCCAAAGGCGCGGAAGGATATGCTCCTGAAACTGAAAGCAGGCCAATTAGGCAGATCATTGCTGGAGGGGACAGGGGTCTTGCGGAAGGCTCGGAGCACCCGCCCTGGAGTTCGTTATTATCGATCTGTAATGGTAATTTCTCAAGATGAAGCTGTCAAACATTTAACTCTAAGCATAATCTGTAGCTATTGTGGAGATCTTCGTTTCTGTTACCGGATCATGAAACAAGATATTGCACCTTCGGTGACATGTTGATCGGAACCCTCACAGGGAAGCCTTTTTAGTATTTTATGAAGTTGGTGATGACAATACCTGGGAAACGAGTGCGGCCGTGTAAGTCTCATAATGAAAATTGCGGAATTGAACATGACATTTACCCAGCCTTATACAGCAAGCTCGAATGGTTGTTTATGAGAGTCAGGCAGGCCGGCCTCAGGTTGGACATAGCTGTGTCAATCAAATGTCGATTAGGCTGTAGCGATTTTTCCTACAAGGAATTGATTGATGCTTCTTATTTCTAATCATCTTTGATGCTAAGACTACTTTGGCGCTATGTTGGCTGATTTTGAGCCATTAGCGCCACCGCGGCTTTCTTGGAGCCTCAAAGAACAGCTCATTCAAGCTCTTCAATCTTGGTGCTCACTCAATGAGTATCGCACAGCCGTTGCTGAGCGATTGATGTGATTATTGTGTTTGCGCCGGCTGAATTGGTTCCACTGCTCCCGCTGACGGGCTGCTCGATTGAGACTGGAATTGGGATGACATGAGAAGAGCTGAGCCACCCACTCACCATCCTTGCCGTGACACACGTGACAAAACCTCAGACACCAGCGATCCAGCGCGGCCGAACGACTGCGCCTTAGCATCAAATCTCGGTTGCGAGATCAAGACGCAGGCGATTTCCGCAGCGCCTGCTCTGGCCGCGCATCCCACGTCCGCCCCGTCTGCTGGAAGCGCTCAAATGGACCAGGCCGAGCCTCCTGTTCCGGGCTCGTCCGAGCTGCCGGTCCAGGGCGAGAAGCGCACCGCCCCCGAGGAGCCAAATATCCCGTCCGAGGCCAAGCGGATCAGGACGCACCACGACGAGAGCCCAGAGCTCGAGATACACTCCTCCCCTTCCAGCCGAAGAATCCCCTTTCCAGAAAAGGCATGCCCCAATCCTGACTCCAACTTGATTCGGCCCATGCTAATTGATCAGTAGCCTGCCGTCATAGAAGAGCGGAATGGCGAGATTGAATTCCGCGTGGTGAACAATGACGGAGCCACAGACAGCATGATTATACTCACTGGCCTAAAATGCCTCTTCCAAAAGCAACTGCCCGAGATGCCCAAAGATTATGTCGCAAGGCTTGTATACGATCGCACTCACCTGTCCATCGCCATCGTCAAGAAACCAATGGAGGTCATCGGCGGTATAACATATCGCGAGTTTCGCGCGCGCAAGTTCGCCGAGATTGTCTTTTGTGCCGTTTCGTCTGATCAACAGGTCAAAGGGTACGGAGCTCATCTCATGGCGCATCTGAAGGACTACGTCAAAGCTACTTCGCCGGTGATGCACTTCCTGACCTATGCCGATAACTATGCTACGGGATATTTCAAGAAGCAGGGCTTTACGAAGGATGTTACTCTCGACAAGCCCATCTGGATGGGGTTTATCAAAGATTACGAAGGGGGGACACTGATGCAGTGTTCTCTCCTCCCTCGGATACGCTATCTTGAAGTCGGCCGCATGCTTCTCAAGCAGAAGGAAACCATCATGGCCAAGATCAAGGCAGTGAGCAAAAACCACATCATCCACCCGCCTCCCCAGCAATGGGCCAACGGCATCACCCCCATCGACTCGCTTTCTATCCCTGCCATCCGGGCCACGGGTTGGTCTCCCGACATGGATGAGTTGTCACGGGCGCCTCGCCACGGGCCCCATTTCAACGAATTCCGGCGGTTCCTGTATCAAATTCAAAATCACAAGCAAGCATGGCCGTTCCTCCATCCAGTCAACAGGGACGAGATTCCCGAGTATTACAAGGCCATTGCGCAGCCAATGGACCTTTCGACCATGGAGGAGCGGTTGATGAGTGATTTCTACACAACGCCGACGGACTTTGTGGCCGATTTCAAATTGATATTCAGCAACTGTAAGCAGTACAACGATGCGTCGACAGTGTATAGCAAATGCGCGGTCAGGCTGGAGAAGTATATGTGGACTCTGATCAAGGAAATCCCAGAGTGGTATCAACTGCTTGAAGAATGATTAAGAATTACTGGGGAACAGGCTATGGCCGAGTTGGATCTCACGAAATGCAGCCAGGATTGGAATATTAAGCCGGAGTCGGAGTTATGTTTAAGTCAGTGAGAAGGCCAACTCATAGAACATCTAGGTACACGTGTTTGAAATACATCTATTCTATGCCTTGTTCAAACTGTGTCTGTCAATACGTCTTACTTGTATTATACATCATCTCATCTGTTCAAAATGTATTACTTGTATTAACTGCAGTCCCAATGATGCATGAAATTGGAATTCTTGATCTATAGTTGCCATACATGACGCTCAACTCATACTCGTAGCAGCGTTTTCCAGAACAACGAGCAGCTAATAGTATTTTCTAAATGTCAGGAAGTCAATAATACCTTGATACAATGTAGAGATTTACTCTAATCACAATGCTGTTTCAAGTAACTAGCAAAAAAGTTACAAAATTGTTACAATGAGGTAAAAGCAAAGGTAATGCCCCGGGTGCGATTCGAACGCACGGTCTTCGCATTACGAGTGCGACGCCTTACCGCTTGGCCACCGGGGCTAGCTCATGACAAAATCTGAATTATTGGTTTATTAATATTGAGCCAGATTGGAGTTTTCCGTATTGAGAACTGCTTACTCTGATTGAAGTGTCAGTGTAGATGTAAACCGCACCAGTGACCGTATTACTATACATGTTACATAGTATCTTATATCATCTAGCGCTGTTCATTGAACATGAAACGCAAAGTCTACTTCAGAGCCGTGAAAATTTGAATTAAAAAGATACCTTTTAAAAAGAAACCCATACTGATAGATCAATGAAACTATCTTGTATACCAATAAACATGTTCACGCTCAGTGTGGCCATCAATACTTCGAACAAATATAAACTTGGTAATGTGTATTTCGATTCATTGGCTGTATTGAATCAAATGCTGATACAAGTTCTAAAATTAACTGAGTTCCGTAGTTATTGATGTATTGGACGTAGCTGGGAGGAGGTAGTCCAGAAAATTGCACCTTGAGCTTGCTACCGTGTGACAGCCACCCGAATCAACATGCCTATAAATCAAGATATATACATCAACTGATTCAGGCATCAATTGATACGGTAGGACTGAAGCTAGGCAATTTTATCTGGCATTTACCCTCGATCTAACGATCTGCGCATACAGGCCTAAATGCTGGATCAAAGGGCCGGTGTGCCAAAGGGTGCCACCAGAAAAGGGTCATAGAGGATGGAAGAATATAAAGCCGCCTCAGGCTCTCAAACTCGCACTAAATGACAGGGGCGAGCAATGGCCAGAGGAACGAATGACGGAAACTTGAATATTCATCCATTCATGAAACACGGAGTAGCTTGCCCCGGGCGCGTGTCACCAGATGCTCCACGTCCCAAACGAGAAAATGGCCGTGGAACGGAGGTCCAACTTCCGAGGTCAGTTTCACATATGCCTACACCCAAGTGATGTCGTCAATGGTCATAAAGAATTGAAATCCCGCCAGTTCCGAGCCTCCGCAATCTCTTCTTCCATCTGTATCATTCTTCTTTTCCTCTTCAACATGCGTTTCTCAAGTGCAATGGTAGGAGCTGGGCTCCTTACCGGAACGTCGGCCCAACTCCACTCTCTCGCTGTCGCTGCTGGCAAGCTTTACTTTGGTTCGGCCACTGACAATGGCGAAATCACCGATACTGCGTACCGGGCAATCCTAGATAATGCCGATGAGTTTGGGCAGATCACGCCTGGCAACGGACAGAAGTGGCAGTTCACTGAACCAACCCAAGGCCAGTTCAGTTACACGTCCGGAGACGCAATCGCCGCTCTGGCCAAAGAAAACAAACAGCTTCTGCGATGCCACACATTGGTCTGGCACTCACAGCTACCATCTTGGGTCTCGGGTGGCTCTTGGACAGAGGCGGAGCTCACATCGATCATTGAAACCCACATCAGCAACGTCGTTGGTCATTACAAGGGTGCTTGTTATTCCTGGGACGTCGTTAATGAGGCACTGAACGAGGATGGAACGCTGCGGGACAGCATCTTCTCTAAGGTCCTTGGATCTTCCTTCATTGGCATCGCATTCCACGCAGCCGGCCAGGCTGATCCAGACGCCCTGCTGTACTACAACGACTACAACCTGGAATGGACGGGATCGAAGAGCAAGGCCGTCATCAACACCGTCATCCCTGCCATCAAGGCTGCGGGCGCCGAAATTGACGGTGTAGGCTGCCAGGCGCATCTCATCGTTGGCTCAGTCCCGTCGCGCGCGGACCTGGCTGCCACCCTCCAGAGCTACATCGACGCAGGTGCCGCCGAGGTGGCGTACACCGAGCTGGATATCCGCTTCTCTAGCCTCCCACCCACTGACGAGGGCCTGAAGACGCAAGGAGATGCCTACGCTGATGTTGTTGGAGCGTGCCTTGATGTAGAGGAGTGTGTTGGTATTACTATCTGGGATTACACAGACAAATACAGCTGGATTCCGAGTGTGTTCCCGGGATCTGGAGCCGCTTTATTGTATGATGAGAATCTGGAGAAGAAGCCAGCATGGACAAGCGTGAGCAGTATTCTTGCTGCTGCTGCGACTCCGGCCTGTTGAGCATTTGATAAATTGATCACTGATATCCCGCGCCCTGGCAGGTAGCTAGATGTATATAGCCATTGTTTGATTTATGTACACAAACATAACCAATTGGTATCAATTTGAGATTGAGTATGCATCGCTAGAGTTCTATCAGTTATCCGTTCGGAGAATAGTGCATCAATTTAGTCAAGGAAACTGGCTCGGGGAAAGGCAAGACGCAATATGACCTCTCTCCCGCACCTGGTTATTGTTGCTGTTGCGAGGTCATGATCAGTTTAAGGATATTTGAGACGTAGACTACTTATAAACTACTAAGACACACTCTGCCGACCTGGAATAGAACTTGCCTGCAGCAGATGTAAAGCAATATTCACCATCCTATCCTTCTGTCACGGTCGGCTACTCTTCGTCATCAATATCACTACGTTAGCTCCGTTAACCATCTTGTGCAATAGAGAACCTGTCCAGCTCGTTTACATGCCAATACTACCTTCAGCTCTTCCGATAGCCCATAGCTAGTAGAGATTTCCGTGGTGCCCTGCCGATACGGTTATTCGGCTTTACGCAACCTCAAAATGCCTTCTGGACTCCTGCCCAATTGCACTGGACTGTATACTGTCGCGCTATGACCTGTAAGTATGTTTGTAGGAGCCCAGAGAACTTAACGTACCCTGTACTCCAAACAAAGAGTTAGAAGTTAGCATCCGAGAACTAGTAGAGGCGATAAAAAGGATGGCATATTGTTATGATTAGTGACATAACTAGCGGAAAGGTTGGGGACGCGAATACTCCGGAATGCCCGGGCGTTGGGAAGAGACAGTATCCCTAGCGGATATACTTCTGGGGCATGTCTTGGACGGCATTTAGTGCCCGACTTTTATTACATATTCCAATGAGTAGCAAGGAATAGCGCCTCTACACCCGGCAGTGCAACAAAGCCTAGACCAACCGCATGACAGGTGTCTAGCTAGCTAACAAGGTCTATAGAGCCGCCATTAATATCATCCGAAGACGTACTAAAAGGGATAATTGGATATTGCATGGAGTAGAAGAAGTGGACATAATCCGCTGTCATTGTCAAGAACGCGATCGACGCAAGGAACAAGAGCTCAAGGATGAAATAGGGGTCAGAAAGTCTCTTCTTGATTAGTACAATATACTTCACTTCCATAGTGCCATAGTCAACGCATAATTATGTGCATGCATATTTCGAAAATCAAGCTCCATAAAAGGAAAGTACATCCTTCAAGGAAGGTTGTGGTATGATATCCGCACAGCGTCCAGAGATGCAGAAGATTCAGTTAACCTCTATCACGCACTTAAATCTTAATCATCAAGTTATAAGCCCTTCGGAAATTTGTCCCAGTATTGTATATCAGTATATGGAGTGTCTCTTAGGACTATGGAATCGAACATCAAAATTTTACGCAGGCTGTTAGGTCCCCATCGATCCATGTAGCATATCACACAGTATTTTTTTTTAGTGTTGGCGTTCAAAGTACATTCTAGGCATCAATTTACATACTTGTGATATCTGATCATCCTTCATAGCTACGAACTTCAAATGGTTTCAAATACGGATATGCCGCTGTTGGTTGAATAGCCACAGGATATTTATCGCCAGCTAGTACGTAATGATCCAATATCCATTGATCCCCCAAAAGTTGCCATCTTTACTCTCGTTATGAGTGAGCTTGTTTATTTTTTGATTGCCTTCGTGTTTGGTTTAAGTTTCAAAGCTGTCAGCAAGTTATTCAAGCTTAACATCGTTCACTGACTTCTTCAGAGCCAATTTTTCAGCTGGCTAACAACTATCCGCAGTATAGGTACGGGAGATGGCCCATTATCTTCTAATCCTAAACTTGAGACTTGCCATATTTCTCAAGCCCAACTCTGGATTTGCCGCCATCGTACATCATCACCCGTAGATAAACAGCGTTGAGAGAGACTGCAGGGTAATAAGTGACCCATTTTGTGGAGATTTGAAACAAGGATTTGAATCGGGAAGTATCATCGCGCCCCCTGTCAGTTTGAAATAAATGCAGAGCCATACCAAACTGGGAAACATCATCGCGTTCCCTGTCGGCTTCAACTCCAAAAACAACAGCTCAAGACAACGCTCGTATCTGATCCACGACTTGGTAATCAATATGTGGAAAACGCTCAGACGATATGGGAGATCTCACAGCTTGTTAGCTTCTCGTCTCCACAAAGCTCATGGCCTGGCCATCTTATGATCCATGCTACTGTCTCTACCTGCTCCTTTTATTACGACCGAAGACCCTCTTTTCTCACCTGGTAACTTTCTATAAAAGCTTCCACTGGCCATGTATCACAAGTAGCAAGAATTGGAATCACAGCCAACTTTACTTCACTCTTTTACACTCTCCTTCAAGATGCTCTGTCTTCAATACCTCGCGCCCATCGCTTTTGGCCTTTTCAGTCTTGCTTCGGCAGCTGATAATTCGTCTACGACCGTGCCAATCCCGCCAAGCCTTGATCCGTGGTACACTGCACCTCAAGGCTGGAAATGCAAGCCAGCTGGCACACCTCTGAGGGTAAGGCCTGCCCCAGGTAATATTTCGGCCGTAGTGAATGGCGCTGCGAGTGCGTACAATGTCATGTATCGCACCTCAAACAGCCATTACGAACCTTCCTGGGCCGTGACGACGCTCTTAGTTCCACAGACGCCAAACCCGAAAGCCCTGCTCAGTTATCAGATTGCATATGACACCCACTATCTTGACGACAGCCCTAGCTACACCATCTACACTGGCCTTACTACTGACGCGATGGCTTGGGAGTTAATCCTCGCATCCGGCCTGTTCATCAATTTGCCAGACTACGAAGGTCCGACCTGTAGCTTTGGGGCTGGCATTACCTCCGGGCTCGCCACCATCGACTCCATCCGCGCACTCCTCAGCCTCAGCGACGAGCTCGGCCTTGCTGCTGACGCACAATATGCCATGTGGGGTTACTCGGGAGGTGCCCTGGCCTCACAATGGGCGGCAGAGTTGCAAGAAGCCTATGCGCCGGAGATGAACTTCGCTGGCATGGCCATCGGTGGTGTCCCAATCAACGCGACGAGTGTTATCCGCGACCTTTCGGGCACGCCGCCGGCTGGGCTGGCATTCTCGGCCATCTGGGGGCTCACAAGCCAGTACCCCGGCTCCTGGGACGAGTTGCTCAAGCGTATGAAGACGGAGGGTCCGATGAACGTCACCGGATGGACCGAGGCCGTCAAGAAATCAGTCACAGAGACTGCCGCCATCTTTGCGAACCAAGACCTCTCAGAGTACTTTACGAACGGGTTCGACTTTCTCTCCGAGACGCTTTTCTCGACGATCTTCTACAGGGACGGCACGCTGGGTCATTCTGGCACGCCCAAGATGCCCGTCTACGCGTACAAGGCTATTCAAGATGAGATTAACCCGATTGCAGAGCTGGACGAGGTTATTGATCAGTACTGCCTCGACGGGGCTAATATACTGTATGAGCGGAACACCATTGGTGACCATGCGGCAGAAGGGCTGAACGGGGCCTATCCTGCACTCTTTTGGCTCCAGAGTGTATTCGCAGGCACGTACGGTTCTACGTATAACACTACTGGCTGTACAATTAGGAATGTTACCACCAGCTACTCGGACTTTAGTGCCTAATTTAGGCAGGTCATGAGTCGTTCGTCAAGAGGAAACTCAATATGCTACCATAGTTACCGTGCCTTCAAGTGGTTCATAGACAGTGACCTACTTGAGTTACGGTGAATGGGGTAACAGGAACAGCGTAGATATCACTAATTATAATTTCGTTTTATGCAGCTATATAAGGTCTAGTCAATAGCATACAAGCAGGTATTAATAAATTCTTTGGCTATTCAACTTGCGAACATCGATAAAGCAGTCCACTAGATACATAACCTCTCTCCCTGGGTATGAACTGGCCAAGGATGCCATGCTCCTGAGAGCAAGACCTCCCATTTTCTAGATGGTATATCTAAAGAAAGGACTCTCATCGCCCATGTCCCTCAGCTCATCCTCGGTATACTTTGCATGAACCTCATCAACAGTCATGGCATCCCTCTGAGCATTGATCTGCTTGAACTTGAACCGAAGGAACATCGTCGCGCCCAGCGAGAGCACAATGACGCCCAGGGATGTGCCGTAGCCCGTCCAGTAGTAGGGTGCCTCCCGCGTGAGATAAATGTTGGTTCCGACGGCGCCGCCCAAGTTGCCCACCGAAATCATCAGGGCCATTCCTACGGATCGCTTCCACGGACCAGCAAGGTTGTTGGCTAAGTGCTTGTTAGCTATATTTGTAACCGGAAATTGGATGTGTTCTGTCATACCTGTCCAGGCGACAGTCCCGCAAACAATTGAGTACAAGCCCATAGCAACGAGAAAAAGCATGGCATAAAGGGCGCCAGGTGCGACGCCCTTCTTTGGAATGGCCAAGAGTCCAATAAGACCTGCTCCTCCAATCATTAGTGGAACAATTACAAAGAGCGATCGATCCCCTGCTCTGTCAGACAAGAAAGCCGTCAAAAGCAGGGCAACGACAGCGGCGGCGTAGATGGGCATGGTCATCAGTTGCTAAACAATGAGAGTTAGAATTTACTCCGCCGGAAATTTTGGTTTCGTTAAAGCTTACCGCAATCTCAGCAGTATATCCAAGCTCCTTCAAGACGGTAGGGAGGGTGTAGATGAATCTAGGATCAACGTCAGCCTGGCTTGCACGTTGCAAATCGCATTCTCTCCCTTACCCATAGATTGGAATAGCACTGCCCCAGTAAGCAACAACAACAGCCCAGACCTTGTAGTCTGACAACGCAGACCAAACAAACTTCCATTGAAACTTTTCGTTCGCATCGTAAGAACCTTGAGTCGTACCGGTATCGTGTCTGAGTCTGTGTGCCACAATGGCCTTCTCCTCTTCGGTGAGGAACTTGCATGAGGCAGGGTCGTCGGGCAGCACAAAAAAAGCGCACAAGGCGATCACCACTGTCAAAAGACCTTCGAGAATGAAGACCCTGATTTGTGTCAACTGTAAGTATCTCTGCCTTGTAAAATATAGAATCGCTAATCTTACCATCGCCAACCCTCCAGGCCCGCAACACCATTCATTTTGTTGATTAGGTACGCGAGAAGTCCAGAGACGGCGCCAGAGAATGCACCGGCGGAATAGAATATACCTGCGCGAAGTTGGATCTCATGGCGACGATACCACATGGTGAGGATATAACTGGCAGCCGGGAAGAAACCAGCCTACGGAGCTTTGTTAGTTGCTACCCTTGTGTTTGGATTGAAACTGGAGTTTTTACCTCGCCAATAGCCAAAAAGAACCGTGCCGCCATTAGCCCAGGGAATCCTTTGACTAGACCCATGAGCCTATTAAACATCGGTTAGCTTGTTGAAAGAGCCATGGAAGAGCTGGGAGCCACGTACGTTGCGATAGTTCCCCAAGTGACCATCATGATACCGATCCATTTGGACGGCTTCAGCACCTTCAACATCAAATTGGATGGGATCTCAAAGAGCGAGTAAGGGATGAAAAAGATGGTCAAGCAGAGATTATACTGTTCGGCGGTCAATTTGAGGTCTTCCTTGAGACCAATGATGGCGGCATTTCCCACTGTTTGCAAATAGGTGAGCAACTTGCGTCCTGGTCCTGGCAGGCTGATAGTTGTTAGACTCGTCGATACGTACTGTTGGAACGATCCAAGTAAGAAACCAGATACATGATAGCCAGCATCGGAAGCAGGTACATGTCAATCTTCTTCTTGATCCGACTCTCCTGCTCCGGAGTGTAGTTTGCGCAGGCTTCAGCGCTCCCCATAGCGAGAGACTGATCATCTGCGCCGACTTTGGCTTCCATCTCGGTCTTCTGCGTGCTGGTGTCTTCTTTCATGTTGGTTGTTGGGATGATGAGGGAACTTGGAAGTGATGACTTGTGAGAGAAGATGCAAGATCAGAAGTTAACCCGGATTCTCCAACCATGATATATAAACGTCAACTTCCTGAAGATCAAGTCACTTGATCGGACAAAGATACGAATCCTTGCCAATCAAGGATATCCTTTCGCGCCCCCCAATGAGAACTTACTTTCTTGCATACCAAATCGCGGGGGTGGATCAGAGAAGGTTGCGATAAGTCATAACCTAGTCTTGGCCATAACTAGGGGCAAAGTTAGGGAGAAAGCCGGCTCAAAGCCGTGCCGGAACCGTGTCGGGGCCGTGCCGGCAATGACACGGACGTGTCCAGCGTGGAAGAAACCGACCAACCATTCTTACCCTTTATCACCACTAATGCAGTCATTTTCCAGCTCTGTGGATCTCTGTGGGCGTATCGTGAGCGGGTTATGAAGATACTGATTAGGTGACCCTCGTGCCTCCATATTGAAGGTATAAAGCCGTGGCGTCTAAGTAGAATGTCTTGATATTGCCTAGCATCTTGCAAGAAGACTCTAGCTCATCTCTACACTTACTCACACGATTTCTTCCACTATCTACAAGATGAGCTGGGAACCTGCGGCCCGTGAGGTACGGGAAGCCCTTGAGAGTGCCATCCCACCCAAGTGGAAGCTCCCGAAGGGGTTCAAAGTCAACTCGAAAGATGTTACTCGAGTGCCTCTAGAGTGCGGCCTTCTCTCTGAAGAAGAGATTCGCATCACGGAATTGGATGCATCTAGTTTAGTGTCCAAGCTATCTACAGGAAAGCTGTCGGCCGCAGCCGTTGCTGAGGCTTTCTGCGCTCGAGCGGCGGTCGCACATCAGCTCGTAAGCAGAATGATGAGATATGCTTTGATATTTGCAGCTTCATATCAACTAATATTGAAACTTATTTCCTTAAAAGGTCAACTGCCTGGCGGTATTCTTTCCTGATCAGGCGCGAAAGAGAGCCGCAGAGTTGGACGAGCATTTCAAGCGGACTGGAAAGCCAATCGGGCCACTTCATGGTGTACCAATTGCCCTCAAGGTACGCATAATTGTCGCGAATAACATAATTTTGTTTTTTCTTCTCCGCTAATCGTGCTTCTAGGACACCTTTGACGTCCCTGGCTATCCTACCACATGGGGCTATGTTGCAAGCTGGAAGAAGAAGGCCAACCGTGAGTCGGCAATCGTAACCGTCCTGCGAGAAGCCGGAGCTGTCTTCTACTGCAAGACCACAATGCCCCAGACTGGAATGTTATTGGAAACAGTGAGCAACCTTTTTGGCCGCACCTTGAATCCCTTCAACCCCGCATTCGGCCCGGGTGGAAGTTCTGGAGGCGATGGTGCTCTGGTGGCCATGAAAGGAAGTCCTTTTGCTCCATCTACAGACATTGGCGGCTCAATCCGTGCTCCCGCAGCATTTAATGGATTATATGGAATTCGTCCTTCAGCTGACCGGATACCAAAACGATCTATGAAAAGCGTGGAGAGCGGCCAGCTAAATATCCGTGTTTCGTGTGGCCCGGTGTGCCACAGTGCATCGGATCTCAAACTCATGACAAAGGTGGTCACAACTTGGCCGTCCGCAAGATATGATACGGCAAGCATGCCTGTTCCGTGGAGAGAGGTAGATAAATCCGGACAGAAACTTGCCTTTGGTCTTTGGGAGTTTGACGGCGCCGTGATGCCTCATCCTCCAATCCTTCGAGCTTTGCGAGAGTCGGCTGAGAAGCTGAGTAAAGCCGGTCATGAAGGTAAAGATCCAAGAACTCACTTTTCCCCTTGGTTTGCATGACTAACAGAGAGGGTGGATAGTTATTAATATCAAAATTCCCATAGACTTTTGGGAGGCTTCCGAAGTTTACGTAAGTTTATTTCGCAGTCTAAGAGGCCAGTATGGTTGAAGCTAATATTTTCCGGCTTGATTAGATGAGGCTTTACTACCAATGCGGAATCGAAGACAGCACCAAGTTGCTGGCAGAAGCAGGCGAGACGATGATGCCGGCTGCTAAAAAGATGTGTGACATATATGGAATCAAGAATGAATCCATTAGCGCCAGAGAAGTTATCAAGGTACGTGTCAACTTCTTTCCAATCATTGTGACATCAGAGAAACAATCCCACCACTGACTCGTTTGTTACGTAGCTTGTCCAAGCACAAAATAGATATCGGGAAACCCTCTCCGACTTCTGGGACGCTACTAAGACTTCAACAGGGCGCCCTATGGATGGCATTCTGTGCCCAGTCTCTTCTGTAGCAGGTTACCCTCATGACTTCCTGCCCTATTGGGGTTACACCTGCTTTTTCAATCTCGTAGATTACCCTTCGACTGTTTTGCCTGTTAAGGATATCAAGATCAACGCTGGAGATGACCCGAAATATTTGTCTTACCAGCCTCAGAACAATCCGTTCGATACAGAGAACCGAGATATTTGTAAGCTTTTAGGCCTTTCAGCAGATTAAGCGCCCATTTTCTGACAATACATGATATAGATGACCCTGATCTATGGTCGAGTCAACCCGTCACTATCCAAATTGTGGCTCGACCATTCGATGACGAGGAACTATTGTCTGTGACTGAGGTTGTGGATCGGGTGATTAACCCCGCACAAAAGCCAATGCTATAGAGTACATAGAAGCTTCTACTGTATTTTTAGAGACAGTTCAATATATGGTATTCGCGTCTTCTCTTAAGTAGCTTAATGTATTTAGTGAGTGGTGCGACGACCATTGGAGTTTCAACTATAGATGGAGGGTCTCCCCAGTTTCTTTGTTCTTGATTGTTATTCCATTTAGGATCCGCTTCCTCCATCCCAGTAGTTATGATACGCATCATGCATAAATAAAAAGACATCGGGAAGAGATGAGGATGCGAGTAACGTATCCAACCACATATGATATATTTTACTATCTATTGACAGAGTCGTCAACGTCCATGTAATCCTGTACAGAGGCGGCAAATAGACTAAAGTCGAAAGAATTATCAGGCATGCCAAACGAAGCATACATATCCAACTGGTCGCCACCCGCGGCTGCGCTTCCTTCAGGGAAGTCACATTGTGAGATCGGACCGGAAGGCCAACCAAAATCATCTGCTGGGACGCCGCATTGGCTGGTTAGGTGGCTGCTTGATTCTCCATCTGTGAGGGCGTTTCTCTCGGTCTGTACATGTTCGCCAACAGCCGCCTCTGACCACGCCGTTTGAGTTTGGGAGTTGTCCACAGCTTGAACAACAGAAATCGATGTTGGACTCGTGGCAGTTTTCATACACGAGGCGGTAAGTCTCGCAAGGTTCAGAATAATAGTACAATACGTTTGATGAGGGTAATCTCCGAGGACATCCGCCACCGAGATGAACGATGACAAGAGCTTTTCCCAGTCCGAAAATCCAGGAAGTATCTTCGCCAGCCTAAATGCGAGCGCGGCTGCGTCCTATCAGCTAAAGGTCAAATGATTGGGAGACATTAAGGATAACGTACCAGTAAACGCAGGAAATAAAGCCGAGTACGTGGGCGCCCATTGTAAGTACCATTTATAGTCATTATCGTCAGTGATGAAGCCGAGGATTTTGATGCTTCGCATCAGAGTGACCTCGATCAGATCTTTCACCTCATCTGTCGTCGACTCAGTACGAATTTTCTCAGCGTTCCCTTCGCTCAATTTACTAATCAAGGCGCTGCAGATGATGATGAATGCGTAGTCTCTTTGTAAACGAATGCTGCTCCGCTGGAAGCTGCTTACACCGTAGTCCTGATCTACACCTAGTTAGCCTTTGCGCGAACAAGCGAATTTTTGGACACTTACCTTGGAAGACACTATCCCAATGATTAAACCAGGTGTTGATTTCATTTTCAATGTGACTGACGATGGTGTTTACAGTTCCATCCAGACTGTCGTGGAGCTCCAGCTCCTTAAGAAGTCGACCTTTTATAGATATTAACGGATGTGTCGATAATCTACAGCACATAGTAGCGCTTACCTCGCAACTGTACGACTTCAATGTTTGCCACAATTCTCATGTCTCTGGTGCAAGATAAAGCGCCTCCAAGAAAAGACTCGAGAAAGGACGACTTCACAGCGTTGCCGATAGATTGGCGAGCTGTCCCACCTGCGACTTCCTGTTCAACCTGATGAAGGATTAGAGCCGTTCTTATCCGTCGAATGGATCGCCTATCACTGAATTGTTTGGAATGCAGGTCTTGGGTATTGTCTGTCTCATCCTCTCGAGGAAGAAGATCGGGTAGCTGTAACGCCTTGCCCATCTGATATGCGTGGCTGATGGCGAACCAGTTCCTCTCTGCATGTGCCGAAAGCAAAATCATCCCCTGGACTGTTTCCAGCTGTGTGGAGATGGCAAATAGACTCCGGGCGGCAAGACTCTGTGCCTCTTCGAAGCACTTCTTGCTGACAGCATCGGTTCGCGGGCGGTCAGCTCGTAATGCGATGGCAAGAACAACTGTGAAGCAGAAGGTTGAACGGTGGCGAAGCGCGTCAAAGGTATCCACAGTCGAGTCGAAGAATGGGAGGAACACGTTCGCATTTGCCATATATCTGCGCAGGCATGGTTATTAGAACAGTAAGAGATTGTGGATTAGATATGCACTTACAGTTGGAACAGCTTCCGGCCTTCAGATTCTTTCATTACTCCACGGGAGACAATATCGTCATACTTTGGTTGCGTCGGCTGTAAAAGCTGAGCATAAAGCTTGCTCGTACTTGGCGAGGCTGATATTGTGCTATGATCTTCAATGCTCAGGGAAGCAGGAGAGGGTGGTAATGAATTGGAGGTCATCGCATGAACGGCGGTGATAGGGGCTTCGAGCTGTAACTTATCTAGATGCTCTGAGGTGGGTGAATGTAGAGACTGGGAGCTCTGGACAGTAGCTGTATCTCCATGTTGAGATTGCTGCGGCGAAGATCCAGGTGGCCTATGAATGCCGTTTACCAGTTCTCGAAGTTGGGAGATTTCTTTCCCAGGATCCAAGTACCTAGACCTAGTAAGCCATGAGCCCTCGGTGCAGCAAATTGAAGGGAGACACGCACTTGGGACGTTTGTCTTCTTGTTTATTCTCCTCCTCTGCTGCTGATTGGCCTCTCTTCCTGCTACTTCGGCCGCTACCTAGCTCTTCAAAAACACAGTCCCTCCCAGTCGCATGACATCGCTTGCAGGGTGGGTTCTCCCCATCAACGATGCATCGAGCTTTCTGGAGGCGGCACGTTCGGCAGGCTTTGAACGTCCTGGGCCTGGTTGCTTTGTACACAATTGTACGCGGCGAGTGCGAGGTCTGTGGCATGATGAAAGCGTCTCCCAACAGTCAATCAGTGGCGGGTTGGTTTCATTGTTGGATACGTGGTTGGGTGGCACATTCATCAACGCTCCGGCCAGAGCAGTTGGAACGGCGGGCTCTCAGGACTGACTAATGGGGATTCATGGCCTTATTAGCCCAAGTCTTATCTCTCAGCAACCCCTAAGGTACAATCCTTGGCTGGAAAAGTGGCTGCTTCTTATCATCGGCGGAGGAGACTATTGCTAGTTAGGCCTATATATGACTGGCAAAATGGTCCGGGGCTGCAATTCCGAGCACCCCAGTATTTCCTCCCATTGCGGGGAAATTGATCTCCTCGTTACTCGCATTCACGCTAAAAGGCTTGGGCATTCTTCAAATTGCTTGCTACTAGCCAGCTTTTGGTTCTATATACCGTGGGAATAACATGGATTTTGAAGCAGATTGTCCCCGGGAAAAGCTTTATTCTGTTGGCTGCTCTTACAGGAATCCAGGGTACTGGCTAACATTGAAAACTTACCGTTCCCAGGAAGAGATCACCGTCCCCTTGGGCATAACCGTGTTGTCATACCTTTCAGCGCCAGCAACCCGCACGATTCTTGTCCACCACGTCTCCTTTTCCGGGGACCAGTCCTCGCTAAATGTATCAAGCCAGGCATCGTAAAGCTTCCGTCCCAGATACCACTTATTTGCAGCCCTAATGCAGAGCTCTGAAACTCCAATTAACATACCCAATGTGACAAATGCAACTTCCAACGGCCTCAGTGAGTTGTTGCTGGCGATCCTCGAGACGGCGTAGAGCGCTGATGAGACTATGCCGCAAATATCTGAGATGTAGGGGACTATAATTGGAAAGAGCGGTTGTATGAACAACCAGGGTACTATCTCTGCTGAGAAATAGACAGCAACCACCGTGATGGTGAATGGGGAGAATGTACTTGAATATTTTGCACAAATAGCAATCAGGACAAACATGCTGATAAGTCCAGAGACCCAGCAGAACCATAACATGAAGCTGGCCACGGAAAAGAGGAATGCCCATGACGGTACGACTGGTCTCCGAGGAAGAGGCAGTGCCACATGTTTAGGAGCATCTGTTAGGCAACCATGTCAGGATATGGTACAGAATTGAGTAGGGTCTAGATGAGGCATTCAGCCAAACGAAAAGCACTTACCGTGACAAATGTTCAACCGCCATGGCTCTGGAAGGAGTGTAGCGTTGGAATTAGAGTCACCTCCCAAATCAAAAGAGGAGATATTCTCAGTGTAGCCGGTATCCAAGGAAGCCGATACAGGGCAGTCAAATACCACCCTATACTCCCGATACTCCCGGCCTGGTTCTTTCACTTCACCCTTTTCTGCCTCGCATCCCGAAGGGGATTTAATAACATTCAAAATCTGGAAGAGAGCTCCTTGGATTGGCTTTGGGGAAAGCGTTATGCCGGCACTTAGGCCTGGTTGGATCAACTCCTTGGTGAAAACTAGAAGCGCGGCACCGCCTTTTTCAAAATCTGTGATAAGCTTGTCACCCTCCTGCCGATGAAGCTTGACGTTATATTTCAATGGCAGTGCCTTATCGGGAATAATCTGCTGACAGTCCAAATCCAACCACCGAGACTCTAGAAGAATAACGATCGGTCTGGCATAGGTTGTTGGACTTTCTTTAGATGGTTCATCATCAGCTTCTTCTTGATTGTCAGTTGCACAGGAGAGCCAGAGCCCGTTTTTAGACATGTGAACTCTGGGCTCCAAGTCCAAAAGGCCTCCACTGGGATATATAGGGACCCATCTGTTGTAGTGAACTTCTCCTGGCCGGTCACGGATGCCGTCATTGCAAAAGTAGAGTGACAATGGAATGTAGGGAAGGCTTAGAAGCAGCGTCGCCATTCTCTCCGCGGGTGTAGCTAATTTGATAATTGTTGCGGCATTAAACTCCAATAAATTTGCGAAGATTATGTGCAGATCGTCTTTCTTCGTCGTGGCTCTCGAAGACAATGTGTTCCAACAGCTGACAAATCGCTGATACAGTGACTCCAATGCATCCATATCTTCAAAGTCTGGACCTATCAGTTTGACACCAAGAAACTCACGAACTAATTTGTCGTTCAAGGGGCGAGAAATAAGGGCAACGAGAGGTATCTGAATGTCGGTGGACATTGTGGTCCATTGACGACGCAGCGTGGACATATCGTTGTCCTTAGCGCGGCGGAACGCCCGGAAGGGCACCAAGACCATATAGAAGAATGGGACTATCCATTCGCGAATGCTATCCGCATCAAACATCTTGGTGAGGTAATTAGGGTACCCGAAGGAAACCGAATTTGGTACAAATGCCCTCTCCGAGCATCTAACCTGACGGATTGTGCTGATGGCGGCTTCTTGAAAGGTCCAACTTCTGCCCATCCACGGGGAGACACACATCCTGGCCAGAATCTCGCACGCCTCAACCCCTGGCCCATCGAGAGATAGCTGCTCCATATTTGAGTCTAATATCAGGACCTGAGAAGCACCGGCGTATATAGCTGCCATCTGGTTGATGGCCTTCATCTTCAGGTCGAAATACTGTTCCCCTACAGGAATACAAAGCGTGTCCAGCCAAAAATGGGAAGTCTCTAACGTTCGGGTCATTCTCCGAAAGTCCATCCTCAAAGACCCTATGTTGACAACCCCTTGCTGGGGGGCGATTTTGGGGGGCTTCAGCTCCTTTATGTATTTCGCCAGTTTAATGATTTGGCATCGCGGCAGAGAGTTTGCCGCTGGATTCCCGAGGCCGTCCGACCAGACGTGCGAGAATGCTATGTAGGGGGTCTTGTTTGTCATTTTGATCACGTCGAGCTTTGGCTCTTGCTCATCAAACCTGATTGAAACAATCGGTACTCCCCCTTCGCGAATTATGGACCGGACTTGTTCCGCATCTAAGGCGACATGAGAACAGTTGCAGTCAGGTGACGCATGCTTCGAGCGATAACGGGACATATCGACATTGTATGCGATGCATTCGTTCTCGGAGCAAAGATCGTGATGTGTCGGATTATGAGGCCGGAGGCGGCTAATGTAATAAGCCACCACGTAATTGTAAGACGACAATACTTTGCATGCAATGAATGGACACCAGCCATTGGCGATTATCTCATTCGACAGAAAATTTGCGCTGGCTGCCTTTGGCATGTTGGATGGCCCATCCACGAACCGTAATTTTTCAATGGCGCCTGGTTTGTATGGGTACTGATAATGTCCCAAAAGATTGAAGTTGTTTTGGCCGATAGTCTCCTCCAGAACACCTGAGAGAGTGACAACCAAAACACGGACTGAGAGAAGGATGGCCGGCAAAGGGTCGCTTGAAGCTTGAGGCTGAATCTCCAAGGCATCAGCTTCCTTGAGTACAGTCTCCAAGAATTCCATCATCGGTTTCTTGCTTTGGTACAACTCTAGCGCGCTGCTAAGGGAAGTCTTCGCTACCACCTCGGGGCCTAGGATTGGGATCACCTTTATCAACAGCCAGGAGGTAAGAAGCTGTCGCAACGGCCGTGAGGAGACATGATCGCCCTCCGGATGACTAGCTCGAAACTCGTTGCGGTCGAAATCAACGCCTAGAAAGACTTGGAGGGTACCAAAATAGAGCCATCCTTGTGCCAAGGAGGCGATGTCACTAACTGATCGTGTAGCGAAATCGTTATTGAAGCCGGCGCGATATGGGAACGATACAAAATCCCCCCCATCAAAAGTGATCTCGTCAACAAACGGTACCCGGATATGCGCAAACGCCGTCGCGGCCTTGGGGAGGTGGTCCATTGTGCCTCATCGCCGACGTTGAATGAGCAATGTCCAGCTCGAGGCAGAAAATTAAGCCCGATCTCGTCTCATTCTGCATAATATCGGCTGACGGTGATACTTTTCTCCCCTTGCGCAGTAGAATACTGCCAACATATCTCTAATTTTCTCGTTTCGGTGATACAACTATACGCTATAGATTTTTGCAGTTGTCTCAACTCCAAAGATAATAGATAACATTACCCAGCGACAAGTCAAGTACGTACAGACACAAATGCAAGAGCAAATTATTGGGAGAACAATGCTCCATTTGACATCTGCAGCCGCCCCTGCAGGGCCATCTTACAACCGAAGCACCTAAATTTCAGCGGCTGGGCCATTATATGTGGCCCAGCCAACTGCCATTGAGTGACAGGGCAACTGGGATTTAAAATGGGAGAATGTCGAAATAAACGATAATATACAGAATACCAGAAGTAAGAAGGGCCGTATTTTCTAGCGTAGACTCCCTTCCATCTAACCAGCAAGCTATCCTCGTTGTTATCCTATGATGGTCTTTGGCGCTAGGATCTACTCCTAACCAAAGAAGTGTACAAAGGGTCACAGCAGACTCTCTATTTGCATAAACAGCAGCCAATCACACCTTGCTACTTTCATCACCTGATATATGCCTTGCCAGATCATCAAAAGCTGCCTGTCCAGGCTTACACCTGTCACCAAACTCCTCGCGTAATGTATCAGGCGAACCATAAAAAGGAATTTAATCAAAACTCAACAACACAAATAAAGCTGGCTCAATTTGAAACATGTTTGGACTCGGCATTCTCCAAGCCGATGACAAGCCATGGCCGATTGATGACCTGGCGGCACCAGCCAAGGAAAACACGATTAGATATTATCTCGGTATCCCAACGCGTAATGGGTCGTTTTCCACCACGTCTCGAGATGAATTCGCCGAATTATTGCCACAGGCTATTGAAAACACTCCAGAGAGCGACACCGCCGGCCGTCTCGAGTTCCTTGCCACTTTTTGCCGCGCTTACCCAGAGGAGAGTGGTCGATCGATCATAGGAGAGAGGGGTGTCCGTTTGGTTGGTTATGTCAAACAGGCCATCGCATGGACCGGGGAGTCTCATCCCCTCTATCCAGAATTGTTGGTCATGCTGGCGACGCTGCTCGTTTGTAGATTTGACGATTCCTCGGCGACGGCTGCTAACGCGGAGGAAGCATGGCAACTCAAGCTGAATGCGGTGCCTGACTTAGAAGAAGCATTGGAATTAAGAGAGAAGGCTTTGGCAATGACGGCAAGACATGATGCCAAATGGATCTCACGATTGAATGAGATCACGGATCTTCTTTTGACAAAGGCTCAAGCGACTCAAGTGGACGAGGATTTGCGTGCGGTTGAGAGCAATGCTCGAAAAGTTGCCGACATGGTTCCTGAGGGTCATCCACAGAAAATGACAGTCCTATGGGAACTCGGGGGAGTCCTGGACTATCTGTCTGAAATGGATATCTCTTCAGAGTCTTATTATGAAGAGTCTACGAAAGTGCGGCTCTGTGCGCTGTCCTTGGCGAAGGGCGACGCACTGGAACCGGCATGGGCAACTACGGTGCAGAACAGACTTATAAGGCGGTATCAGAAGACTGGCCGAATCTCATATCTAGACGAGGCAATCAGCTTTGCGCAAGAATGCAGCGCGGATTTTGACAGCGAAACCGCTCCACTATATGAGATTGGGGAGCTATTCATGACAAGATATCTACGAACAGGGGCAATGTCCGACTTGGACGAGTCGATCCGGAGAATGGAACGCGCAGTGCAACGTGGAGAAGGCCTCGATGATATACGCACTGAATGGGCAAACAGTCTTGCAGCTGGATATGGATACAGATACTCAATAACACGCGTCGAATCTGATATCCGGAGATCTATCCATCTACTTCGAGATATCCAAGAGTCGATTTCGCGGCGGCAGAGCGCGCAGTATGAATTCGATGAAAGTTTGCGAAATCAGGACGATTGCGCGCTTCAACTCGCCAAGCAACTCGAGAGCAGATTTCAAGTATCGAAATCGATGAGATACCTTAACGAAGCTATTGAGATTGATAAGAACGTGATTCGCCAGGTTAAGCTTAGAAAGTATGGTTGGATGAAGGATAAACAACCTTTTTTTACTCAATATGCGATCAGATTACTGAAGAGGTACCGCGTTCAAAAGAAAGCAGCAGATCTCACAAATGCTGAGAGATTATGCCACCACGCGGTGAAGGCAGAACCAAATGGCGTAAATCTATCTTTTGCGCTTTGTGCGCTTGGGGATGTGTTTTACCAGCGTTATCTCGACGGGAAGTCGCCCGATTCCCTAAGAACTGCCAGCTCGGCGTACAGAGATGGCTTTTCCAAAAAGAACGCCTCTCCACAGCACCGCATCCAATGTGGAATGGGACGTTTAAAAACTCTGTGTCTCATGGGAAGATGGGAAGATGGATACGAAGCTTCCAACAAAACCCTCACGTTAGTCCAGCAGATGATAGCACGATCACTCGAAAATGCAGAGAAGCAGTACTTGTTGGGTCAATGTGTTGGCTTTGCTTCTGACACAGCATCTGTGGCAGTAAAAGCTGGCAAAGGGCCTGAGATTGCCCTGCAGTTTCTGGAGCAAGGCCGCGGGTTGCTTGCTTCTTCAATAGAGGATTCGCGAATCGACGTCACCTCCATTAAAACGAGCTACCCGGATTTGGCTGAGAAGTTTACCAGTATCCGCGAACAGCTTCAAGAGTCAGCGACTACAAGAATCGATCCTAAAACAAGAAATGATTTTACGAACCACGAAGAAGCTCGGTCAGTCCAGCGCCACAAACTCGGTGAAGATCTTGATCGGCTCGTCGATGAAATTCGAACGAAGCCAGGATTTGAAACTTTTCTCGCGGCACCGACAGTATCAGAAATGCAAGCAGCAGCTACCGATGGTGCCATTGTTGTACTCAATGTGAGTAATTACCGCTCTGATGCAATTATCGTTGAGAAGAATCAAGTTCATGCTCTGGCACTGCCGATGTTGAGCAAGGAGGAAGTGGTGGAGAGAGTCAGGGGCGGCACTGCAGCATTGGCCAGTACCGAGACACTTGAGTGGCTGTGGGAAACTGTTGCATCGCCGATTCTTGACTCTCTTGGATATACACGCTCGCCTGTGCAGGATGAATCGCAATGGCCTCGCATCCGGTGGGTTGCAACTGGCATAATGAGCAGCTTCCCAATCCATGCCGCTGGCTGGCATGCAGCATCGCCAGAGCTCGGACATACGGTGCTGGACAGAGTCATTTCCTCGTATAGCTCATCGATCAAAGCGATCATTCATTCCCAAAGACGCCCAGCTTTCAATTACCAGAAATTCGGGGACCAGTCCCAAGCGCTTCTTGTCGCCGTACCGCAGGCCCCGGGATGTTCAAACCTTCCTTCTGCAGCAAAGGAGCATGAGGTGCTACAAAAATTGTTCAACACAATTAACTGGAAAGTCCACGCAGCAGAGAATACCAAGGAAGGGGTCATGTCTCGTCTCCGCTCATCGCAGGTCTTTCATTTTGCTGGCCATGGCACTATCGACCCACTCAACCCCTCGAGAAGTTTCTTGTTCCTTGAGGATTGGAAGAAAGACCCATTCACCGTAGCGGAACTACTGGAGCTTAACCTTCAACAGGGTATGCCATTCCTCGCATATCTCTCGGCTTGCCGAACTGGCCAAATACGAGATGAAGAGTCCCTTGACGAGAGCGTTCATTTGATCAGTGCCTTCCAGCTGGCAGGATTCCGGCACGTCATTGGCACACTTTGGGAGGTGAACGACGACATATGTGTGGACATGGCAAACTATGCTTACCAGACCATGTGGAAAGGACAGTTCACGGATAGGTCAGTCTGTTTAGGGTTGCACACAGCGATGAGAAGCTTCGGGATGAATGGCGAAACCGCTTGGCATCATCAGGTCAAAGAGAGAAGGTGAGGGTGAACAGCAAATTGTTAAACAGTGCCGGATCAGAAATGAACCTTAGCCAGGGTAGTAAGGAAGGCAGGGATATGCTTAGTTGTGATGAGGAGACGCCCTTTTGGGTGCCTTTCGTTCATTTTGGAGTATAACCGCGCGTCATTATCCCCAAGGCTTATGATGAAAAAGGAAAATGGCTTGTTGAATAAGGACCTTCTCACATATCATCGACTAAAAGTTCAAGTGTGGGCTAGCAATCGGATTTGATCACTGGGTTCCTCATGATTTCAAAAGCTTTTTTCAGTCATCCACCCTACCAAACCGCTATTTGATAGGCAATTTCTGACTCCTGAGAAATACAAGTATCCAAGATCTTCTGCTTGAAACAATACTGCAACTTCTTTTCCGCAATTTCTCTTTGCTATTGAAAGCTCGAGGGGCTGGTATCGTTTGAACTGGTGGGGCGTCGCTTAGGCTCGTAAGGCGTCGTATTGTCTCATACTGATCGTAAATATTATCCCACGTGTTCGTCTTAACTGCGGAGGATACAGCATTTCATTGGATAGATAGTCTCAAGGCCTGCCAGGCTATCCTCTTCCCGTCGGGTAATTCCAGAAAACCCCTGACGGAAACGTCGCCTACATGTTGACGCGTCACGCATGCAATAAATACGAAACGGACGGGAATAAGTGATCCGGGCGTTTGAAGATGTCAAACTCGGCAATATCATCGTCGGAGATGTTAGTTGGCTGATCCTGAAACTGATAGCTTACCCCTGAAATTTGCACGCAACAAGGGTCACGACGCTGAATCAAGCAGTGCGGTATCAGAGATCCCGAAGCTAAGACACACCATCGTGGGGTTTAAAACACTTCGAGTTGTTCATCAAACTGAAAGTTTTTGATCATGCAATTGACTTTACGGTGCCGGACACTCACTTCTTTTATATTGACCCTCTTTTTTCGCCACAAAGGCCTCTTACTAACCTCTCATTATTGACTTTTGTCCAGTTTCGCGTTTTGCAGTATCTTGTCGAGATCCAACAAAGAATATGAAGACAACATCCACATTCCTCCTTGCCCTAGCTGGACTAGGGCACCTCGGCGCTGCCCAGACTGTCGTAGGTGAGGCCGAGGGTTTTGCCAGTGGTGTCACGGGCGGCGGAAGTGCCACGGCACAAACCCCAGCGGATATCACGGAGCTGACGAAGTGGCTCACTGATTCAACTCCCCGAGTCATCGTTCTGGACAAGGAATACGACTTCACCGAGTCAGAGGGGACAGAGAGCGGTAATGTCTGCGCAAGCTGGGGTACAGGCTCGGCGTACCAGAGGATCATCCAGGATAACTGTGATGGCAAGCCCGCGTCCACGGATACATGGTACAAGGCGCCCAGAACACCCATTGACGTAGCTTCCAATAAGACCATCATCGGTGTTGGAAGCAAGGGAATCATTACCGGGAAAGGTTTTAGATTCACCGACGGAGCGAGCAACATCATTGTCCAGAACATCAAGATGCAGAAACTTAACCCAAAGTACGTCTGGGGAGGAGATATCCTCGGATTCACCGGGTCTGACCTCATCTGGATCGACCATGTCACTGTAAGTTTCCTCAACCAAGTCCATAAAGTCCTTTCACTTACGCGTTGAAAGACTTCCCAACCTGGCCGCCAACACTACGTTTTTGGCCATGACCCAAGCACTCGCATCACCTTGTCCAACAACCACATCGATGGCGAATCTCCGTACTCCACTGGCGGCGATGGCTACCATTACTGGACCTTTGAAATGGTTGGCAAGGGCGACCAGATTACGATGAAGAACAACTACATCACAAAGACAGCTGGCCGCTCTCCTGCTCTCAGCGGTAACACTTTGCTTCACGCGGTCAACAACGTCTGGGAAGGGAACAACGGCCATGCTCTAGAAGGTGGTGAGACTACCGCTCGCGGTATCTTCGAGGGCAACGTATTCAGCGATGTGAAGGCGGTCGAGTCTGACTACAAGGGAAAGCTCTTTGGTGTTCCTGATGCCAGCTCTGCCTCCAAGTGCGAGTCGGCCCTCGGCAGATCCTGCGAGGTTAACACTTATGAAAGCTCTGGAGGTACTCTCACTCAATCTGACACTCCCTTCTTCTCCGACTTCTCAGGCCTCAAGATTGCCAGTGCTGTCGCTGCCTCCAAAGCGCAGACGGATGTTCCCAAAAACGCTGGGTTTGGCAAGCTTTCCGACTCTTCAAGCACATCCCCAACGACATCTAGCCCGAGCTCTAGTTCTCCTGCCAAGGCTGCCTCTACTTCCAAGTCTACTGCCACTTCTAAGCCCACATCTACATCCACCACTTCCGCCAAGCCTACATCCGAAGCCGCGACCGGTGATGACAGCGAGTCTGACCTGGGAACCGTTGGTATTTATGGACAGTGCGGCGGTAGCGGATACAGCGGTTCCACCACCTGTGCGGAGGGGAGCTGTGTAAAGTACAATGACTGGTACTCCCAGTGCGTTTAGAAGATAGCATAGATAATATAGAATATAGATGACAATTCGTCTTGATGTGATCAGTGATTAGCATATGGCTATCTATCCTTGGTCAAAATCAAACCCCAGATCTGCCACCTGCGTTGAGGAAGTCAAGCAAAGGCTGGTTTTAATGAACTCAAGGATCAAACATCTCGGCACCTTCAACTAAAAAAAACATGATTTCCTAATCCTCACTTGCGCCTTTAATCATTGGCTTTACTCACGTAGCATTTAGTGCAATGATTCGCGTCGGGGGTTGAATAGGAAACATTATCGCATCCTACTCATCATATTTAGCCTCCATTGTCTCCACCACTATTGTATTCACATCACTCCTGAATATACTACCATACCTATATAAATGAGTTCTTAGATCCCGGCATCCCGCTCATGAACCAGCAACCCAGTTTACTCCCTCCCCAAAACACGAACGCTGTAAGTCTTGCCTTGTCCCCATCGCCATACATACTAGAGCGATCCCACAACTTATTCCTCTAGTACGTGTCGAAAAAAACTGCAATTATTTGAGCACACGGCATTCACTCGTCAAAGACGACGTTAATACTGGCTTGTCGGAGAATGCTGCCTCCCTGGCTCTCCATGCCCACTGCTCCCACCATCTCCAGACCCCTCGAGCCCAGTCCTTCGACCGTGCGGAGTCCATCTCGTTCTCGATCCTTCGGCTCGACATCCCAACCTAGAATCCCGGCAGGGGCATGGGACAGCCATATGCACATCATCGATACGATCCGGTATGCGCTCCCCGAGAATGCCAAACCAGTCTCTCATCAGGCCACAGTGCGCCAGGCCCTCGCCAACGCGGAGCACCTGGCATTGCCCAACATGGTCCTTGTCCAGTTGTCCAACTACGGCAACGACAACAGCTGGGTGCTCGATGTTCTCGGCGAACTGGGGCCCGCCCGGAGCCGAGGTGTTGTCGTATTCGACCCTGACACGATTGACTCACGCACTCTTCTCCAGTGGCATCAGCTGGGCGTTCGAGGCGTTCGGCTCAACCTGAAATCTTCCAACTCCGTTCTGTCGAAAGCAGAGATTCAGGCCACACTACGCAAGTACGCCGACAAGCTGCGACCCATGAAGACATGGTCGATCGGGTTGTACGCCGACATGGACGTTCTAGATCACGTTCAGCCACTGATCCCCGAACTCCAGGTCAAGGTGGTCCTGGAGCACTTTGGCTCTCCAACTCGCCTCCCGCTGAACCCGGCTGACCAGCCTGGATGGGAAGCGCTTAGGACTATGATGGAGGACCCTCGCGTTTACGTCAAGATATCAGCACCGTATCTTTTCTCAAAAGATACGGAATTCGCCGACTTGGAGACGCTAGCAAAGGCGCTGTTCGGGATGCGAAACGGGGATGGCGTCGTGTTTGGTTCTGACTGGCCGCACACCATGTCACCGGGCTACGATGCGGCGCGTTTCAGGGACAAAGTGGTGGAGTGGTGTGGAAACGATCAAGTACTTCTGGAGAAGCTATTTCTACGGAATGCCCAGAATCTATGGGACGTTGAATAGTCTTGCTATGAAGGTACCTGCCAAGGTATGAAGTAGACAGCCCAACTTGAAGTTAAGAAGTGACAATTCACAAAAGATGCAGACAACCTGAGGGTTGCAGCAATATATGATCACGAGTTGTTGGCTTCACTCTTGTGCATAAAAGTATTTTGCAGGCGCCGTACTACACGCCATGTGGTTGCAGTTTTCTGTTATAAGGTAATACATGGTGTAGCTTTTAGAAAGCTACACCATGAACCAATTATTTCACAGGGCACAAAGAAGAGTTTGCTGAGCTGTAACCTCCTTTAATCATAGGCCGGGTCTTTCAGTTGGTAGCTTCACCAGTATCTCAAAAGTTCCTCTAAAGACACTTCGCTGTCCCACGAAGATTTGCTGCGGCCATTGAACATGTGGGTACGTTCACTGACAATCGCGTGACAATGGAATTTCGCCTGAGACACAGGCCAATTTCACCGGGTATTGAAACTGGCTGACTTGACAATTGAGGCACTCTCGCACCGTAGTGATTGTAATTTTATCATTAGGGTCCTTATAAGACATGCTACTAGTGCAAGGATGAATCATTTGCTCTAGAAATCAGACGCGCGTGGCCTGACATGAGGTGAGGATTAATATCTATGAACCCTGGCGGCTTTTCTTCTATTGTTAAGAAATTACAACCTTCTCTGCCTGATTGCTCCTGTTCCCTGCGCCTTATAACGCCTCAAGAAATCAAAACCCGTGTATGTGCCCATTCAAGTGAGGCGGTGGAGGACATCTTCCCCCCTGAGCCAGCGCTCTACGTTCTCGGCGGTTTCTGCATACCAGGTATTCATCAGTCCCTCGTCCACGTATCCCATGTGCGGGGTTGTCAGAAGGGCTGAACGTCCATCCAGACCCCAGTAGTTGTTACGCCTCCATGGGCTAGTTGATGGCAAGGGCTCAATATCAAAAACGTCCAAGGCGGCTCCCCGTATCTTGCCCCTCTCCAGCGTGTCAACCAGGGCGACGTGATCAATCAATGGACCGCGTGAAGTGTTGACAAGAAGCGCTGACGGTTTCATCTGCTCCAGCTCTTTCGCAGAGACAATGCCACGCGAGCGGTCGCTCAACACGTAATGGATGCTCACAACGTCGGCGCTGGCGAAGAGCTCCTGCTTGCTGACGGCCTGGAAGGTCTTGGCGCCGTCGATGCCTGCGTCGGGAGAGAGACCGACAGCGACAGCCATCTGGTCGGCCTTTTCCTGCGTCAGGTTCTCGCTCCAGCTAACGACGCGCATGCCCCATGCGAGGTGCGCAACGCGAGCCACAGCAGCACCCAGCCGGCCCAGCCCAACAGTGCCCAGCGTCAGCCCAGGAAGCCCGTGGCGAGGCCACTCTGCCACCCAGAACCCGCCTTGAGCAGGGCGTCATCGGCGGCAACATTGCGGGCGAGGGCCAGGATCAGTGCCCAAGCGTGCTGTGTCGTGGGGTGGACGCTGCCCTTCTTGATGTTGGGGCGTACAGGCCCAGCTTGGTCGGTGCGACCCAGACCAGGGGCCGCAGCGACCGTGATGCCTAGCTGCTTTGCTGATGCGAGGTCGAACATCTCAAACTGTGTGCCAGTGGCCAGCAGGAGTTTGAGATTGGGTAGCTGGCGTAGGAGGGAGCCTGGGAAGGCGGTTCGTTCGCGGACTGTTGAGATGAGGTCGAAGGGCTGGAGCCGCTCGACCAACCGCGCCTGGTCCAGCTCGCTGCTTGGGACGATGGTATCGTTGAATGTGGTGATCTGGAGCTTGGAAGTCGGGATTTTGGCGAAGTGAGGTGAAGAAGTGGTGAGGTAGTCGTCAAGGATGGCGAGTGACAGGGTCGTCTTGGACGAATAGGCGCGGCGAATCGCCATTCCCCGAATAGCAGGGAGCAGTCCCATTAGACTTGGATGCTTTATTTGTGACTTGATTGTGGGCGTGACTGAGCGACGAAGGACTGGCTTCTGTTGGGTTTGGGACAGTGGGCATGTGGGAGCGGATTGGAAACTGTTTGGTGAAGTGGTTGAGAGTAGGCCAAACTACAGCTAAGGTAGCTGGAGTTAGGGGATCGGCACAGGGGAGGCTGCCGCTGTAAGCTCCAATTCCACCCCTAGCTGCAAGATCTAGCCACTGTAAATCAGCCATCAAAGCTCCTGACAGCTGGTTTACAGCGGAGCCTCATAGATTGAGATCTTGAGCACGGTGCCATATCTACACTCAGCCTTCCCATTCCTGCCCCAAGAGGATCAAACGAGAAAAATCCGGGCGACCTGATCGGCATCTTGGCTGAAGGGAGAATGGCCAGGAGATAGCCCGTAATCCAGCAGATACTCTGGAGCGCAAAGAGTCGTCGTATGGCCTGGGCTAGAGGCGGAGGGCAGCGCCTTACATAGCTCTCAAGGCAATCCAATTCACCGGCTTGCAGGTCGAAATCCTCATGTACCCGAGCAGCGCACGTGGTGGCGGAAGGAAAACACGGATCCTAGATTTTGTCGGGAGAGCCAGCAGGTTCCGCACTCGCCAAGCGAATTGGAAACCGTCCGAAAGCTATTTGCTCGCAGCTGGTTTAAAAGACTCTGGGTCCGGCAGGAAATCAAACTTGCCAAGCTGGCCATTGTCCTGTTCGGACACGGTCAGGTGTCTCGGGTGCATCTCTTGACAACGGCCTCATTTTTGGACAATTTATCAAATTCAAAGGGAGTCTGGCTCTGAATTCGGCCGAGGTCGTCTCAACTTGATCCAGTTCAGGTCCATTGTGGTGTACAATACATCATGCAAATTTCCCCACGCCTGTAGGGCATGCAAGTGCAATGAGGACCATGACAGAGTCTACGCCATTCTCGGGCTCCTATCATCAGAATGGCCTTTGTGTGTTCAATCAGGTCATTCCAAAGATGCGAAGCGTGTCTCCATGGACGTCCTGATGCAGTATCATCAGCATTACCAGAGGCTCAGCACTTTGATGTTATGCCAACTTGCCGAGACACCCACCTGCTGCCAGACCTACAGAAACTGAACCTCCCAGACGGATTGCATCAGGCAGAGATCAAAATGAACACCCCTATTGGTTCCAGGCCCGGTTAATTCATGAGCGTAAAGACTCTGATCCAAGATTGACATCCGACGAACTTGAGAACCGTGGGATCAAGATGGGACTGATGATCATTTGACCTGGTTGATCTCGTTTGCTCGTACAGCCAAAATCTGGGCCCGCTCCCATATCGGTTGTCTCTCCTTGAAAGACCCACCTATGAGGAACATGAGTACTTCAAATTCTATCCTTCATCTGGCACGATTCTGGCCTGTAGCCTTGTCATCCCTTTCGGAATTTCAACGAAAAAGCTTGCGTCTCGTCGAGATTTTGGACTACCAACCCCAATAACAGGCCCAACCTCGACATGCCGCAGAACAGTTTAGCAGCTTTCCACATTGAAGGGTTCAGCTCATCCACAATCCTACATGGTAAAGGCCAGCCAACCAATCAGACCTGAGACCATCATGTCAGCATGCTCGTGTGAGCCTCAACCCCTCCCTGCAGCCCAATCCAGTGTGGAAACCTGAGATCAGCTGGCATCAACGCCGCCAGCCTCCCTCGAGCCCCTTCCGCCATGTCCACGAAAGATGCAGGAGTCCAGCAGCTCGAACCGGGACCGGGCGACTGCCATGAGCAGCAGCAGCGACTGGGTAGTCCCTGAGATTCCTGCCATACAGCCGCCCCGAACCCGGCGCATGTCGACCAAGAGGGCGCCATATCCCGCAAAGCGGCAGCAAGCACCGATCGTGCAATATGCCGAGAACGACGAGCTCCCCAGGCCCCCGAGCGCCCGACCCCCGAGCGCGCAAAGAGCTTCATGGCATGCGGCCGGGCCGCCAGCGCCATACTACGACAGCAGGCTCGCAATCCCCTTCCACCCCTCGCCGTATCCTCCGAGCGATCAGGCATATTCAGCACCCCCATTCGATGACGAGAGGGAGACCGAGGGGAACTGGAATGGATGGAACGCGCAGCCTTACGACAACCCCGCGGCGCATGCCGCCGATGGACCAGCCGCGTCCCGTTATCCTCGCTCCCCGCCCGACGAGCCAGCCGCAAACTATCCCGACAGTCGCCGACTGAACGACCAGATTACACGATCGTATCGAGGTGGAAGACTAGAGGATAGCAGACCACCGTTGACAAGGCCGCAATCCGCGAGGCCTCCCCGAGAGCCTTGGCAGGTGCCGCAGGACTCTCAGTTCCAGCGTCCAAAAAACCGTGACCGCTCGTTCAGCGTGGAAGATAGAGCTAGAAACCAGCCGCAGGAAGCTGCATTTGATAGCGTCAGCCGCCATGCTGCGTCACGGATTTCCAACACGTCGTCGATGCAGACGTCGACCGGAGAGACGCAATTTCAATATCGCCCCATCACAGGGACAGAGTTCAGACTGCTCCGTCTTCTGCCAGCGAGCATGTCCACTATCAAGTGCGAGATACTGCACGCATCTCTTGATACAGACCCGGAAATTCAGAAATATACGGCTATATCATACGCGTGGGGCGATATCGAACCCAACATGAAGATCGAGGTCGACAGGTGCTCCGTCCTCATTACTCCGAGCCTTCACGGCGCACTCAAACGGCTGCGCCAGCAGGACAAATCCATCATGGTCTGGGCCGATGCGCTATGCATTGACCAAAAGAACAAGGCAGAGCAGTCGCAGCAGATCAGCATGATGACCAGCATCTACGGTGGTGCAGAATCCGTCGCTGTCTGGCTGGGTGATAGCGGCGATAACAGTGATCTGGCGATTGACCTCATCCAGGGAGTGTTCAACTCAGATAATGACGGTGCCGTATCGAGGATCATATCAGCGGAAGGGTTCACTGCCCACTTCACCGCACTAGTCAAGCTCTTTGAGAGGGAATTTTGGGACCGGCTGTGGGTTGTGCAGGAGATTTTGAACGCGCAGATGGTCACGGTATACTGCGGAAACTCGTCTGTTTCGTGGGAGGTCCTGCAGGGGGCTTCCATAATCTTTCAACAACACGAGAAAGATCTGCGGATTCAGTTCCCGCGCGGAAAGACGAAGGGGTCCCGTCGCGGGCTCTCTTATGCGCACGTCCTCAGTTCCTGTGGACCAGCTAGTCTGGAGCTTCTGCGTGTTTCTCCAGAAGAGGAAATCATATCATTGCTAAGCGTGCTCAGAGTGTGCAGACCAAAGCTGGCAGCAGAACCGCGAGACAAGGTGTTTGGTGTTTTGGGTATCCTCCCAGCGGAAACCAGTTTCCACTTCCCACCGAATTATGGTTCATCTCTGCGGGAGGTGTATACCAACGTCGTGGACCTCATATTACACACTACGCGGCGACTCGACGTGATATGTGAGGCCATATACTTCCCTGTTTACACCAGCTCGGTGAAACTCCCAAGTTGGGTGCCGGACTGGTCGCATATTCCGTCCACCGCTGGTCTCGGAACATCGTACGGATTCAACGCTGCCAGCGAAGTCGACGCCGAGTTTCAGTTTATGGACGCTCCACACAGGAGCCTGCTTCGGATATCTGCCATCTACCTTGACCAAGTAGATATGCGTGGCGTTGCCGTTGGCACCTTCTGCTCTGTGGATGACTACCTAATGGCCTTCCTCCACTGGAGAGCAAAGCTTCTGTCAAGATATTCGTCATCAGAGGGGAAGACGTACAATATGAAAGAAGATAGACGAAGCGTTCTGTCGCACTCTATGTCTCGGGCAGGAGCCCTCTCTAAATCTCCGCCACTCCTGGACGGAGATTTGTTATCACATTTTCTCCTCTCTGATACGCGATCGCCTACCTCACCTCCGCCTCGACAGTGAGCTAGAGAAGTACCTATTTATCGATCAAGAGCTTGCACCCGAGACGTGCCGTATGCTTATTCAAGAGAATTGCGCTTCTCGGATGGAGGGCCGCTGCTTCTTCACAACAAAACGAGGGCTGATGGGGATAGGAAGCGGGTTCATGAAGGATGGGGACATCATTTGCGTGCCTCTGGGGTGCAAGACGCCCATCATCATACGCCCAGAGGCTGACAGCAATCAATACCGGCTCATCGGTGATGCATACGTTGATAAGTACATGGATGGGAAGGCAGTCAAGGAGTGGAAGAGTGACAGGAAGAAGCTCATTAGTTATGTACTGCAGTAAGACTTGGATGCGTGGATGTACATAGCCAGCCCTGGGCTTAAATACTTGCACAGACGGACATTGTCTCAGCGCTCTCCCATCATTAAATGACAACATGGAGCTAGCCACTGCCAAGATGCATCGCATACAAACGAAGTCGGAGTTACGATTACACGACAGGAGGTAATAATTAAATACGAGGAGCTATTCGAAAATTAGATTCCTTCCCACTCTGATAGAAACCCTTTTAAAAAAATAAAAAATAAAAATAAAAATAAAAATAAAAATAAAAAAAAACCAGGTGCATTCATCTAGAACTGAATGTCCTCCCATAGGATCTAAAAAATAGACTGGGTGTTTAGGGATAATAGCTTTGGAAATAAAGACCTAGTCGACGTAATCAAAAAGAGGCTCGGTGACGATTAACTGGAAACATGGGTACGGACAAACAAAAAAGGGGGGGCTCCAGAGTTTGCAGAACTTCTCCCTTTACCTTGACCAACAGGATACCATAGCATCTGTACTTGTCGTTCCCTCATGCTGGCGAAATTCAATAGTGCCATGTTTGTAGATGGAGCCGCTAAAAGAAATGGAAACTTCCTCACTGTAATAGAAAATTTGTCGCCATTGATGGCTAAGAACCATAACACTTTGTCAGAAATGATGATTTGTGGTGATGTTGGCTGATCAACCACACTCTCGAGTTTCTCTTGGAGATCTTCCTGGATCGCCCATCCTCACCAGCATCCTCGAGGCCTGGATCCAGGTAGGGAACAATCAAGACTGCTCGTAGATTCGCCAAGCCACGCCTCTTGGCCCTCTCGATCATTCTGGTGAAACCTTCCAGACGATTTGCTTCGCCGCCATGACATGAGCAAGGAATCGATCATAATATAACGAGTTTTAAGTATGCTAAGTGTTCACGACCACAATCCCAATGCCTTAACCATCGCACAAAATATGGCCTTGGGCCTCGCAGCATGACATTGGGCTGCTCATGCTAACATACTAGCCGTCGAGTATGTTACTGGTAGCCGGCGTTCGACCCTATTAGTAGCACGCGTCCTTGCTCTAGATGCCGAGGACAAAAGTACTTTAGTTATTACAGTTCTGAACCAGACAAACAAAAGTAAATTCACACCTGCGCACTGGTATTAAAGACAATTAACCCAGCTGCAAGAGAGGTCTGAACTGTGTTTCTAATAATATAAGTAACCCTCCGTACCAGCCTAGTATTGAAGTTACTGGTCATAAATATACTACCTATCAGGATATTAATGAGGTAGAAAAAGCAAATTTTGCTACAAGACATTACTTACTTTATTAACCATTACAAGTTCTCATAATTACTTGTCCAAGAACGTGGTCATACGGCATTATACCGAGTGCCAAGAGTGCCACATCAGGCCTTCCATACCCGAAGAAAATTATGAAACGTTAAGAACTATACTTATTTCATTCAGTGATGAACTTGGAATATATGACAGGGCGTGAAATATGTTGTCCATGAATTCTCTCGCACCGTTAGCTCGTACAGAACCCTGTACGAGCTTCCATTACTAGATGAGTTAACTCTATCCACGAAACCAAGCCAAGCATCTAAAGAGTTCAACGAGTATAGCGTGGCTCTCTACTATATATCCATCAACTTGAACCAGGATGCGACAACGTTGCGAAAATCCAGATGCTAGGAAGATCTAGGTGACATTAAGAATGAACTGCCGTACGGGCCGCGAGAGTTCCTGCCAATTCTCACTCGGTACTATTGCATTTGCCGCCAACAACAATATGCGCTGATCAAGAGACGGAAGATCCTCTTCTGCTGATAGTTCTAAGGGTACTCAGCGGATCGTCAAGGACTTTACTGGCCCCTCCTCAAATTGTTAGAGATGATGTTCTTTAGCGTCTCGACATTCTGTGGGCTATCACAAGAAGTGGCCGGACACAGAGTTGTCGCCTGAGTTCTACCAGGCCCCTGTTGATGGAGAGGAGGAGGAGGTGTTGGAAGAAGAAGTCTAAAGCTTCCAAAGAGGGTCATTATTTCTTCGAGAACTCACGAACCCATTTCTAGCAATGTAACCCAATTGAGAAATGAACTTCTCTAAAAGCGACTGGCAGAGGCATGTCTGAGACAGACGGGTCTTCCTGAGAAACCACGTCCTCCTGAGCGGCCGCGTCCTCCTTCTTAGTGATCATCACCTCACAATCTTTGCCAGTTCCGAAGACCACACCGGTGGGCATGAAGGGCCTGTCTTGCAGGCTGATGATAATGCATTTGTCAATGAGCCCTGGAGTCTTCCCTTCTGGTCTGACTTGAAGAACATTGTCCAGCCAAAATGTCGTGTCGTTCTATACCTCAGCTAATCATAATCCACATTACTCGCATAGGTATATCACCAGAACATGTACGACTTGGCTGTCAAACAGCTGGTTCATAGATTGGCGATTTATACAAAGCGCTGGCTATTTATACCGAGTTCTGGAATCGCTAAGCGAGCATAGTACCCAAGGAAGGTAGGGCTATTCCACAAGAACAACGACAAGTTGACGTATCGCTTCACTTAAGTCCTCTTGACGATCGCAGTGTTAGGCACGGTCAGTTAAGCCTCAACGATAGTCTCGACGTCTATGTCCCGGTCAGGAGCGCTGGAAATAATCCCTCCTCCCCCTCCTTCAGTCATTGGTTGAAGCCAGTACGGATTGAGACCACAATTTCCAGTTTCTATAGATGATGCAGAGGGCGATACTACCAGTTGTAAACCCCAGCCATAGAGAGCAATATCAATTGACAGTTTGTGGTAACTTCTGTATCAAATTTGTGTTATTTACTGATAATAACAGTCACAGATCTAAAAATAGCAGGGTCTAATTTGAGTACATCATCTCTAGTGTCGAAAATAAAGGTTTAATATTTTCTTTTTAACATTCGGGATGGATGTTTTTCTTTTAACGGGTAGTTGCCATACAGCTACAGGGACTGAACCAAGGCATCAGACCAATTTTGTCACATAAGTCAAATGTGCCTGACCTAACTAGGCAAAGGTGCATCGCCTGTTCTGATGATCGTTCGATCATCAACTGATACACCTCGAAACAATTATAGGGTGATCGGCGGCCCCCTACAGTTGGAGTTTCACGATTTGTTTCTCCGGGATCCAGTGCCTCCTGACCTAACTAGTTGATAGAATCAAACCTTTAAAATCATTCAGTTCGTCACATACGTGACCGTCAACAGGTGGCAGCAGTTAAAAATCATAACAAAATTGTCCAGTATTGAATTTATTGAGAAGGCTATCCTCGAGATGACGGAGAAAGCCAATCATGGCTCCCTATAAACCCTCCACGTAGCGCTCCAAAACCCCGGCGGCGGTAGTGAGCATGACTTCCTTATCAAGATCCAGGAGGCCATACGTCCCGTAATCTAGAGTATCAGCTCGGCCCTCTCCCATTCTGAGAGGCTACAATTCAGCGTTGGGGCTTTGGTCAAGGACTAGGAGCCAATACGAGGTACTGACCCTACGTGCTGTTTCCTGTGAACATTGCCCACGCCAACAAATCTTCTTTCGTCTCTTTTTGTAGGATTTCCAACTATCCCTTTTTTCTATTCGGCTATACGATGTCTTAGATTTTCGGATCTTTGCTCGCCCTAGATGTGGACCGCGGCTGGCAACATTCCTGCAAACGGTAAGCCCTCCTCTTCACTAGAGCATTCCGTCTGTATGATATCAATCTACGCCCAAGGAATATCGTGAAAGTGTGCGGTTTTACTGTCACCTTTGGCAATCAAACTGAAGCAGGATATAATGTTATTATGCAATATGGGCTACCTAAGGCCGCTTCAAATTACTCAACTATGGTTATCTTAACAGAGTGGTCACCTCCCTTATTCTTCTCCATGGAAGCGTCATATGCAGAGAACTCAATCAACTCGGGCTCCTCGTCGTCTGTCACCTCACGAGCAAGGAACTTGAAAGTGACTTCGTCGCCTGATTTGGAAGATGAGAGATAAAGTACTTTCTGCAGAATCAGTTAGCATCCTCCATCCTCTGTCGATCGGCATGACACTATCGCTTACTGAGTTGTAGATATCGACGTCAATCGGGACCATTCTCTCCGGCTGCAGATATCAAATCGTTAGTGTTGATCCGCGCCAAAGAAGAATTGTGGATGTTGTTGACTCTTACCAGCTTGCTGACTGTGATTTCAAAAACCTCTCCCACTTTAAAAGTAGTCTCGTCTGGTGCTTCGACATGGAGCTTAGGAGCACCGGGTGCAGGACTCTTCAGCACATCCGCGATGAGATCCACGATCCCCTGGGCATACTTCGCAATGTCGGCCTTCTTATCTTTTGTCAGCTTGACAAAGAAAACTCCCTGCGTCCAAAGCATGGCACCCTTCTCGTTGTCCGAAGGCGCAGACCAGTGATACTTTGCGTCCACCTTGAGAGCACCACTAGACTTTGATTGCCACACAGCGAGAACATCCTCATCGGTGTTAGAATCCGCATCCGTGGTGTCGATGCCGTGAATGGCATACTTCTCTAGGTCGGCAGTGTACAACTCGTGTGCGCTGTCAACGGCGTTACCTCGCGAGCCAGGATTGTCACCGCCCCGTCGCCCTCCCACTGTGGCGCATCGGGAGATGCTAAGGGACATGGTTTCCCCGTCGTCCGAGGTGAAGAACCACTGCGCCGTAAGATGCGTGGACTGGACGACGATATTAGGTTCTGTGGCAGTCCAGTCTTTGAACTGCTCCTTCACATTGCGTAGGATATTGCTCTCTGTGGGGACATGGTCGACGAAGTCTGGCGCGAAGATCTCCGGTTGAGTGAAGAGCCTCTTTGGGCCCGCCCAGTTGCTGGGGTTGCTTTCGGGCACAAAAGTGCCGAGGGTGCATCTTTTCGGGAACCTCTTGTACAAGTCGGTCTTGTCATCGATCGAGTTGGTGATATACTCGCTCAACGTCTCCCGGCCGGAGTGGGCAGAGGTGAATGGCCGGCACGTTGCATCCAAAGCCATCTCAGAGGGTCCATTGATCTTGGTTACAGGCTCTCGGGAGATGGTCATGAAAATGTGGCTCCCGAAGCCGGTGCGCTTCTCATCATTAGCGCCCAGGACCTGTGAACCACGGGTTGTCAGAGGGCTGTTGCATGGCCCCCATCCGATCAAGTTCGTTTCGTAGATATAGCCAAAGGGTGCCATGTGTTTCATCTGCAAGGAATGTTGGGGGTTGGTGATTCCAAGAGGCACGATGACCGAGACCAAGGCAGCTAAGTCGTAGCAGTTGAGGGTGTGCTTTGCCTTCTCATCACAGTCATTGACCCAGTGATCGAAAGCAAGCGGGCTCTCACCTCCTTGGAAGTAAGAGTTGTTGGAAGCCCAGGAGTCATACTTGATGCTCGGCTGGTAGTGTAGTTTGTCAATAACGTAATCGAGCCAGCCTTGCTCATTATCTCCAATGTTCCGGCCTAGCTTCTCGTCTTGGAAGGTCTTGATGTCATGGTCCTCGGTCATCAGCCTTAGGGGTAGCAAGAATCGTCTGAAGAAGCTGACAGGCAAGCCTCGGAAGAGGACTTTTGGCAGCTTAGCGACAGCAACGAAGTAGAGCTCTACATCGGTCTCGGCAAGCTGCAGCCTGCGACCCCCATAGCCACTCAGGATCAATGACCACTGAATCTTGCCCTTGAATCCCCAGGGAAGATTCTGTCGCGCGGCTTTGAAAGTCCCTTGGCACTTGAAGCCTGTATCCACGTGGCACTCAATTTGCACGTCCTGGGTACAAGGCTCGCTCTCTAAGCCCTTATCTTCTGGTTGGAAATGCCCTTGCAACACAGCACTGATAGCGCCAGAGGGGCGTTCGAGGCCGTTGGGCCAAGAAATGGGGCCGAAGTCGAGTGCGAAAGTATATTTGCCCAGCTCAACCACGCGGATCTGATGCTCGTATCCTGTCTTCCAATAGACCTGGTTACTTGAAGAGGTCCAGTACGTCTTGGCATGGTTATCGACGTAGTCATACACAGGGAGCACCGAGGGGCCGACAAGAAATTCCACCGTGGAAGCCATTGTGAGTTTGCCTTAATAGGTAAGTGATATTGCTGAGCACAAATGATAGATGAAAACTGACAAGTCTGAGACGCCAAGAATATTCCAGTGAGTTATCATCTTATATAAATAATGAACCCTTAAGACGCCCAATCCCAACTCACTGGCCGTTCATGTTCTCTATGGAACGCGCGGCCATCCGCCCAGCGAAGGCCACTCCCGCTGGTCTAGATTCAATATTCCCAATGGTATTGAGAGACCATCCCCGATAATCCCACTACTAGTTCATCCGTTTAGGGGACGGCCCGCAGCCTAGATCGCCCTCGATGGCAGCTGACCGTGGCGTCGCTGCGGCTGGAAGTGGGCCTCAGCCACCATCAACGTCGAACAAATGTCAATACCGAGGTCTCATTGATGGCAAATGAGGGGTAAAGCAATAATTCCGGACCGTGATACTCTGCCTCGACTTGTTAGATTCCAGTTGCATAGAGATTCTACAAAGGCCTGGCCAAAGCAGACAATGAGGCCGATGCGACCCAACAGTTGAGTCCAAGACTCGCGACCAACAATGCCCCACTAAGTGGCCTAAGTGGCGAGGCACCTGTTAATGTTATCGCTCGCCAATTGTGATGGCATAACAAGAGAGATAAACCAGGCAACTTGAAATACATGTAGTAATCACTAGCATTCTTATTTATTTTCAATGGTGCAGCGAATATTGCAATAATAATCGAGGAGCCAACTCGTGGTAGAGCACTTGGCCACATCTCACAACCCTCATCAGTTACCCTATACCCAGACATACAATCGGATCCTCGCCCCTATATGTTGGCATAGCATAATCTGTAGTTAGGTATTTAATATCTAAACTATACAATTACTTCTAGAGATAAATCCTTCCTTTTTCGCAATAATTTAATCGTTCTAGAACAACCGTCATATGCACAATGCCACCTGCTAATCACGGGTTCTCACTTGATATTCTCCTACCACAAACGACAAAACATTTCAATGTGACTTGGTTATTTTAGTCAACCAAACAAGCAAAAGATCAAGAGCACTCGAAAAAGGTCACATGACGATAATATATTGGAGCTTTGGCTTATTTTTCGGCTATAGTAGCTGTGTCAAAGAAAATCTCTGCCGTGGTTGGCACCCCCAACGTATTAGGAGGGAACATGCTCATTGTCCTTGTGAAGCTCTAGAAGCATACCGGCAATCTACGTTCATTGCATATAATTTACTACGACCTACTTGCGCGTGTGAGACTCAACTCGATACTTGTTTACTATTACTCTCAGGTCTCATCGCGTCGAGCGCAGGAGCTCATGTTGATGAGACGCGCCAAGCGAAAACACTGATTCATCCCGCTTATTATGCACCCAAAAAGGCAAATTGTCGATACTGTCTACCTTCTTGGCCCTCCACCCATGTCCATCAGGTCGCGCAACCAAGTTGCCAAGGTAGTGGAGCAGGCTTCATGTTAAGACCTTCTGAATCCCGCTAATAAAGAACGCCAAAGACCAGCCACAGGGGCAATGACATCATCTAGAAAGCCAATGGAGAATTTTAGACGCTTACTTGCGTTGGGTGCCGGCGTTTATGTGGATTTCGGCTAGAGAAGGGTCAACAAATGGTGGAAAGGGTTCGACGAAGAAACCTTCCGTTGAAAAAGGTTGGAATCAACAGGCATGCGTCGCTACAAGGATCCTTTTGTGGATCTAAACGCACACGGTGCATTGTACTGTTTCGTCGCTTCCCATGGCGGCTCTGGGCGGAGGGGAATCCTGTACCAGTCCTGCCAAGGGTGACAGGCAGCAATGATTCAGCATCTGATATGAAGAGGAGGGGCGCCGTCTCTCATCTATTTTCCCGAATGAGGGAAGTCAAGCCGGTGACGTAGGAGCTGCAATGCCCATGTAAAATTTCAATTGCGTTTTGGCATCTGATTGCGCCACTGAACTAAGTTCCCCCGAGTTGTTTTCTCGCACGCAAGAGATAAGCTTGAAAGTGGGTTACGGTGCCATATTCTGACTTCTGCCATGGTTTGTTAGTCAAGAGATCCAACTATTTAGTAAAAGAAACCTTTCAAGTGGAGCATGTTCTCTTGGTGGCTGGGGATGTTTGAGAATGTTAGGGCCTGCACATGCGGTAAGAGAGAACAGAGGGGCAGCAACTTATGGATTCTCCGAGCAATACTCAGATCATCTCTTATGTCTGGAGGTGTTCTGCTTGCTTGTTGATTCTTAGATGATCTGTCGTGCATGTAAATACAGATGTACAGTTGCATAGGCCAAGACGGAAACTAATGGGGCTAAAAATCTTCCATTGCCAAATAAGAAAAGCCTCAACAAATTGTGCATGAACTGACAGTAACTTGCTTCGGAACAAAGAAAAAGCGGAACCCGACCAGGCACTGACGGTCACGTGATATTCACAGGAACGCACCAGTAGGGAAATCTGGCTCGTAATTGGCCCGAGACGCGCTAAGACCCACTAAAAGTTTGCAGGGGAGGAACTACACTGTGCGCATCGTCATCGTCAATGACTGCTGCGACGACACAACTCCGACGTCTTGTCGTACCTCATCCCCAGATGCACGCCATCTCGCACGAGAGAATCAAACATGATCGATCTCAGAAGGCCAGGTCGTCATCCGGGGAAATGATGGATGATCGGTTCACCAAACAGACTCGCGCACCGTTTGACGGTTTGACCCGTCGTTTGGCCGTCGCCACCTTCATCCACACATCCTTCACATCAGCTTTTCTGTTACCCACCAGACTATCCTCGCAGCCGTCCATTCATGTTTGCAATGTGGAGCTTCGTGTTGCTCCGTCTAATATCCCACCACGTTCGGTAGCGCACCCAAGTGGCACGACAACACCAGACCGTCGCCTCTTCTCCCCCTCCAATGATGTGATTTGTTCTCGCTCAGGGACCAGAAAAACCCAGGATGTGTCCCCACGCTGTGTCCAATTTGTGGCACCTCCCAGGCATAGCAAAGTCAGCTTTGAGGAGAATGCCATGTCAAGGTTTTTCGCCTTTGCTGCCCCAGAATGACTCGAAGTTGCTGTGAATAAAGACCCTGCTCCCCCCTCGCGATTTGCTTTTCCTTGAGAAACTCTATCCCAAATCCAGTCCGCCGTCAATCACACCCCGCGACCCCAGATGGGAACTGTTGGGTCCAACTTTTCTTCTTCCTCATCTCCGTGCATGGGATGCCATATTACTTACCTACCAGTCTAATCTTCGATACCTCGCTTCCTGTCCACGACCACTCCTTTAACAATCTTTGTATCGACTGCCAAGCTTCCCAAAATGAGTTCCAAGGAAGGCTCTATTGAGCCCAAAACCGTAAACCCCTCGGAGGGCATCATCGGCAATGACAACTCTGGAAATTCCGACGGGCTTCATCGCCGCCTCGACAACCGCCAGATCCAGCTCATCGCCATCGGTGGAACCATCGGTACCGGTGTCTTCGTCGGCATCGGCGCCGGCCTCGCCAAAGGCGGACCCGGCAGTCTCCTCGTGTGCACGGCTCTCTACGGCTGCGTCATGGCCCTCGTCAACAATTGCATCGCCGAAATGAACACCTTCATGCCTGTCTCCGGAGGCTTCATCCGTCTCGCTGGAGCATGGGTCGACGACGCCCTGGGGTTCATGGTCGGCTGGAACTACTTCTTCTACGAGGCTCTGCTCATCCCGTTTGAGATCGTGGCCCTCAATCTCGTGCTGTCTTTCTGGAATGAAAAAGTGACCGAGCCTGGCCCAACGGCCGGTGTGTGCCTTGGTGTCATCATTACATATGGGTAAGGACCAAAGAAACATTACGCGCGGAGTGCAGGCTTGTGATTCGACTTGTGTGCCCCGTTTTGGTATCGTTTCTGCTATCTAACCCCCCTTCTCTCTCCTGAAGTGTGATCGCATGCTAAACTGTGGTGATTTTTTTACTCTAGTATACTAAATGTGCTTGCTGTTGGTGTCTTTGGTGAAGCCGAATTTTGGCTGTCTGCCGGCAAAGTGCTACTGTTCTTCATTCTCTTCGGCTTCACATTTGTGACTATGGTCGGTGGCAACCCCCAGGGCGATGCCTACGGCTTCCGACACTTCCATGGTGCTGAAAATGCATTCGCGTCCTTCCGGTCCGAGGGCAATGCCGGCCGCATGGAGGGTTTCATGGGATGTCTTGCCTCCGCTGCCTTCTTCGTTGTCGGTCCCGACTACATCTCCATGGTCGCTGCCGAGGCGAAGCACCCCAGCATCTACATCAAGACGGCTTTCAAGACCGTCTACATCCGCTTCGGTATCTTCTTCATCGGCGCTGCCCTGTCCTGTGGCATTGTCTTGTCCCACACCGATGAGGCTCTCGTCCGCATCAACATTGACGGCGTCGGTGGCGGTACTGCTGCTGCTTCTCCCTGGGTCATGGCCATGGAGAACATGGGAATCTCCGTTTTGCCTCACGTCGTGAATGCCTTGCTGTTCACCACAATCTACTCCGCCGGAAACACCTACACCTACTGTGCCACCCGCTCCCTGTACAGTCTTGCCCTCGAGGGTCGTGCGCCCGCCTTCTTCCGCAAGTGCACCAGCAACGGCGTGCCGATCTATTGCTTCTGCTTTGTCATGCTATTCCCCTTCCTCTCCTTCCTCTCGGTGGACAGCGGGTCCGCGAAGGCTCTTAACATCCTTCTCGCCCTCATCACCGGCGGCGGAGTCGTCGACTACGTCGTCATGTGCATCACCTTCATCTTCTACTACCGTGCCTGCGTCGCCCAGGGCGTTGACCGCAAGAAGCTGCCCTACTACGGGTACTTCCAGCCCTACGGTGCCTGGATCGCCCTTGTCCTTCTGGTCATCGTGCTTTACTGCTACGGATACACCGCCTTCGCTCCATGGGACACGGTGACCTTCTTCTCCAACTACACGATGCAGCTCATCGCGCCCTTGCTCTACCTAGGCTGGAAGCTGTTCAAGAACACCCACATCATCGAGCCCCACGAGGCGGATCTGGTCTGGGACCGTCCTCTGATCGATGCCTATGAGGCTAGGATGATGATTGAGGAGCCTCCTACGACTTTTGGGCAGGAGATGATGACTCTCTTTGGCCTCAACAAGGTTAAGAAGTTGGTGTCAAAAGCATAAATGGGGATGATTTTACCCTCGTCAGAAATTAAGATGGATGTCGCGAGCGCGTATGCTAAGAATCGATAGACCTGCGTATTCGATCCACCATCAGACGCTATACCAAGAACGAACTACCGCACCAGCATCGGATCCCTTGAGCGGCTGAACACGTGAGCAAGATCATAAAGGCTCAGGTACGTACCATGTTCCTCGCGAGAGGTTGACGAGCAACACTGCAGTTCTGCACATGGGCGGCTTTCAGTCGGCTGGGAGGAACGACTTGGGCGTCACAAAATACATACCCTGGGGGGTCACAAGGCGCTGTGATTGGCCTTTGTCATAGACATAGATTGCACATATATTTCGAGGCGCGTATCAAATACTGCGCGTTGAATACAGATACCCATTATTACGTTATGCCAACTTAGTTCTCCCTACAAGTGATAGGAAAATGTCTCATCGCGTCATGAAATCCAAGGATACTCTGCAGTTCATCTCTTTGCCAGGCAACCGTTTCGGCTACACGAGAGCTGGGCGACAAGGGCACCATTAGCCAAAAATAGAGACCCAGTACGAGAACACGGCGGTCAACCGTTTCTTGAAATCGCTCTCGGCCCATCCCAGGCGCAAGAATTCTTAAAAATCTTAACTGGCGGGCCGCTCGCCCCGAATTTTGACGATTCCAATTGAGCCATCTCTGGGGAGACACCATGAAATCATGACCGGAATGATTATTTGGTTTCATCTTTAAAAAGACACAGGCCCATTTGTACGCTATTCCTAGATGCGCCGGAGATGACAGCGCGGGCTGACTGGGATCTGTGCTGCCTCCATCTACGAGCGGGAGTGGGGGCCAGAGACGCGACCGACAAATCAGCATCACGTCCAGTGACCCTGGGAGAGGATCATCAGCCTTTTATCCTCATGCTGGGGTATGCTTGTTTAGTGGGTGAAGCACAGAGTAATGATGGCTTGCCGACACGGCGCGGAGGAGGCCTCAACTCCCCACAGACTCTCAGCTATGGAGTTACTGACGATCAGTTTTCCAGAGTATAAGTACTCGGGTTGAGGACATTGATTGGGCTTTTATTCTCTCTAAGCATCAGCCGAATTCATTTGGTTCTTACTCACCCTCTTCTTCTCAACATCCAACAGACCTTGCTGTGCAAGTTTGTTGACTTTATCAACCTTTTCTTCTCTTCAATTCTACGACTGTTCTTTGAAAACTTTCTCTTCCACTTTGGGCATATTCATTCAAAACAACATTACTTTTAATCCCGCTTTTCTACACCAACAATCACAATGGTCTCCGCCAACTCCCTCTTCGCAGCCCTCATGGGCCTGGCCATGGCCAACCTCGCCACTGCCTCCCTCAGCAACCCCAGCTCCCAGGCCCAGGCCCTCCAGGCCCGCGCCGACAAGTTCGCCGCCCGCAGCGTCATGTACCGCCGCGGCGAGGACGGCGCCCTGCTCCGCCGCAAGATCGCCCAGCGAGCAGTCGAGCCCCGCAAGTGCATGCACAGCTGCTGGAGGAAGGACAAGAAGGACAAGGAGAAGAAGTCTAAGAGCAAGAAGGAGAAGAAGCTGAGCAAGAAGATCAAGGCTAAGAAGGGCAGCAAGAAGGAGAAGAAGGAGAAGAAACATAAGAAAGAGAAGAAGGAGAAAAAGCACAAGAAAGAGAAGGAGGAGAAGGAAGAGAAGGAGGAGGAGGACAGCGAGTAGAGCTCTGAACTGCTCTATCAAGGTCTTGATGATCGCATATCACAGCCACTTTTTTTTTCTTTTCTTCTTCTTCTGCCCAGCCTGTTTTCACCTTTTTTCTTTTGTCTTCTTCCAGGCTGGGGGGTTTTTTCTTTCTCTTTCTTTCTCCATTTTCATTAGCATTTTCGAGCGTATTGCATTTGGACGCACGGGTAGATTCTGCTATTCATTTAATAGCAGACCAGGCAGGGACTGGTAATCTCAAGTCCCAACACATGAATAAAGTAAAATTCAATAACTGCTTCGCAAGTTCGTCAAAGTGAAAAGTGCACATATGTGATCAAAACCGTGCCTCGATTTCTCGTACGGTTTAAGGACGAGGGGGCTGGAACTACCACTTCTGTCGTTCTAACTGGTTACATAGAAGAGTTCAAACCTCCAATGGGAGGTTCCGCAGACTTTGGCATTGAGTCGCCTCCAACTCGGCGTGAATTCAGAGACGATTATAATACGGGGTCCCACATAGACGACTTTTCCAAAGGTGCTTCGGGGATCTTTGGGTAAGACGCGCTGTCAGGCTGTTGCTCGCAAGAAAATTAATCCTTCATAACTAAAATATGTACTCTTGGCCTATCCATAAACAAAGTCTATTCGTACGGTAATTGATGGCTAAGACAGCCGATTGTGTCGTCAGTCTATGGAGCGTGCCTCAATGGCAATGGAAATTACAAATTAACTCCATTGCTTCCCATCGTCGGCATTGAGTGAACCACAAGGGATCAAAGCTTCATATCCCAGAACCGCATTGTGTTAGATGATCCTGACTCTTCAATCCCCTGTCCTCACCATAACTCCGTTCATCCCTCATGAGGTAGATCTGGCTTTTCAACTGTGCCGCTCTCAAAAATTCCCTCTAGAGTGTCTTCTGGTCCCATGGGGAAACAGCTGGACGGCTTCACGCCGTTTGTCTGAGGCGTAGCAGTGCCATTCTGGACCCCATAGTATATCACAGAATTGGCCAGGTCCGTTGTGAGCTCAGTGGTTCCCCAATTCTGCGGGGCAAACATGATACTCGAGTGTGCTTCTGACATAAGAGTGTTGGGGATGTCCTCAGAGCGAGTATAATGCTGCATACCGAGGTTGATCCATGCCATAAGATCCTCTTGTACGAGGGACTCTCCATTGAAGAAGTTGTAGAAGTCCACAAGTGGTGCCTCAGGGACATTCTGATTCAGAGCAGGGGAGGATCCGGGCTCAGTATCATGTTGACGCGAGACTGCAAATGGCTGCTTGGCAAAGTTGACTGACCGCCTGAAAAAGGGCGAGCGCTTTGACGGAAGCACAACATTGGATAGACCTGGGAGAATGCGGTAGCCCCTAAGCTGACCCCAGCGGTTCGTATGGTTCTTGTTGACAATGGTGAACATGGATTGACCGTTTGCTGGCATCTCGAGCAAGCCATCATCCTCGGTTGCAATCTCGCTGATGTTATAGCGCATCATTTCAAACTCGCCACGCTCTGGGAACCAGGGTTGGGTGATGTTGTCAACCACAATGTCCGTCTTGACGAAGGTATTGGCTGTGTCGATAAGGTCGAAGTCAGCTTTGAAATTCATGACGTGACTGTGCAGAGTGCCAGCAATAGTCTCTTGAATTCTTGGGCCCCATTTACCTTCATCATCGGGTCTGAAATAGTTGGCTTGGACATAGCCTGATGCATGGGCATCGACAGTAATGGTTCCGTCAACATAGAACCCGTAATCCCAGAGGTAGTCGTAATTTCCGATGGTGGCAATCATGCGGACAACGAGTTTGGAGCCTTTCGTGGACTGCATGTACGATTTGTCTGTGTGGCGAGTTACGGGGACGCCGATATCTGTCTCAAAGATGCAAACATTTGACAGTTGCCTCAGAGCTGTAATTCCGTTGGTGAAGTTGGAGTCAAGGTAAGTGGCATGATAGGGGCAGTCATATCCAGGAATCAATCTGCCAGCCTGAAGGCCAATACCAAAGTATCGGTCCATATAGGCGGTACCTGCTTGGAAAGGATTACTTCCAGCATACTGGGCAATGGCATCTATACTTGTTAGTTCATTGTTCTATGCAGTGAGACGGGATCTTCGACAAACCTTGAAGTGAGAGCTCATACATGATTCTCTCATCCTTGAGCTTGATGTCATAGAACTGAATACCCACATCCTTGTCATATCTCATATAAAATTTCCAGCCAAGGTACTCGATGTACTTGTTCTCCTTGTCAATCTTATATCTCTTGTCAAGAGTCAAAACAGTTGGTGCCAGACGGTCTTCCAGTTCACGGATCATCCCTCGGCGATCTTTTCGTTGGAAATCGGCGTCCTTGGCTGGCGCGGGCGATTTGACCATGGTTCCCGACTCCCAAGCATTGCGAAACTCCTCAACCGTCTCGTAAACCTTGAGATTATACACAAATTTGCGTATGTGGTAGAGGCTAGGGTCTGTTCCGGCAATGCCAAAGCTCACATACAAGTCGGAGGGATGATCATACGGGGCCAGGCCGGCCCTTCTCCATGATGTCCAGATAACACCAGTGGTGCCATCTGTGGAGAAGGGGTTTTGTACGTAGTAGGCTGCCGTGGAGCGAGGGTCGCTGCTACCGTAGTACACCACGTCAATCAAGTCGGCAGTGATATCAGCAATCTGAGACATGGCCTTGGCAACAGCGCTGTCGATGGCGGCCTTCCTGACTTTGTCGATGAAGCCTCCATTCAGCAAGACGCTTGGCCCATTTGGACCATTGTAGAAGTAATCTAAAGGGTGAAGGGTTGTGTTGCAGGAAATGGGAAGTGGCCCGGCATGTAGTGAAGGAAAATTAGTCAGTGTAAGGATTTGCTTGAAAAGTCTTGCTTTGCTTCCACCTACAAAGTATTCGGAAACGGTAGGGGGGCTACCCGAGCCGTGGTTAATGATAACTCGAGCATGTCGCGGCACGACGCCGTTGCCGTCCACGTAGGATAGGACATCTGTTTTATTAGGCTTAAGTGTCTCAATGTGAGCAATATAATTATCGCTCAGAGACAAGGTTGGACTTGAGCTATTTGTAAGATTTAACCCAAGTGATTTGGTCTCCAACAGCCAAGTTGCCACCGAATGGATCTCAGAAGGTGTCAAGGATGTGAAAGGGTTTTTCTTGGGGGCCGTAACGGGAATATCTTTGGGGGCAGGGCAAGCTTCGAGGCTCTGGGCCGAGCGCCTGCCTATATCGAAACCAATTCCAGCATGTACATCCCAGTCGCGGGATGGACTAGGAGCGGCAATACTTAAGCCGATGTATCCAATAGTGATCGCCTGGAAAGGTCTAAAACGCATGATGGTGGTTGGCCGTGCTTAGAAAGGGGATGAGGTCAGAAATGGGTGCTCTTGGTGGAATTTCTGTCAGTTCTCTGTGGCGAGAGGCCGTTCTTTAAGTATTTCGACTCAGACCTCTCCATTGTAGGGCCAGGTAGAGACCCTTCACATGTAGTTACTTCATGATGCGGTACATCCGATGGTCCTAGCTTGCCCCGGTTCATCCCACATCTTTCTAACTACCTACTACACAATGCTCCACTACAGAGTAATAATACGGCAAGTTTTGCTTGAGAATCTCCAGTTTCGGTTGAGTTTAGAGTAAGTCGGCTCCACTTCCTATCTCACACTTCCCTTCCGAGTTGTGTTCCGCTCTGTTCATGACAGTGCAAGACCACTTAAAGATTCATCCACTATCATGGAAATCCCTATCCTCAACCCTTGACGTTTATCTCTTTGCAGAGATTATTATGTAAAAGAATAGATCTCCCTAGATAGAAGGCCGGAGTGTTTCCTGGATCGTTGCATCCGAACGAAAAGCTGCATGGTTGACAGAGAAGCGAGTTTAGCCACGCTAACCTGTTGTAGCTACGATATCCCGGTAACCAATCAGCAAGTCTCTGCGTCTGCAAACAGAGTGGATTCAGCAAGCAAGACGGATGCGGGTAAATAAGAGTTGCAGATAAGGTGGTTAAGCTCGAGGTTGATGCCACCGCTTGAGTCATTTACAAGGATACCACCTTGGTTTCCCAAGAGAATAACATATCTTATCTCATTGAATCTGATGAATCTATGAGAAGCCGATGGGTCAGTTTTCGGGCAAGCTGATTGCAGACACCGTTGGTTCTTATCGAGTTTTCTCCACCCTCTGCTTCATTCGCCATACCCTCGGAATGCCCCACGCCTGAGCTGTAGATTCCGATGGAGAGGAAGGAGAAGCCTTCAAGAATATTATGCCAGGCAGAGCTCGATCCTTTCTTCCCAGCAAAATTGGACCCATTCCATATTCTGCTCCCCAAAGATCCTTCTACCATCGCAGTTCCTACTTTCCGCTGGCCAAACTCGCTGTTGTAGTGCTCTGATTATTTCGAGGATATCTGGGAAGTGCTGTTTTTCATATAGATACTTGAGGCATGAAGCCACGGCTGCTCGCAATGAGCTCCCGCTCTCACTCTCGCACCCCAATACGAACATGGGCCACAGAATCATTGTAATTGCGCTACTTGTAAATGGTACGCGGAAACAAAGGGTGAAAAGTTCCGCTATAGCTTGTGATACATCACAGTCGTCCAAGCGTGCTGGAGAAACGCTTCGGATTCCACGGTATAGAAAGATGCTGGTCGCTAGGCAATGCGCATGCGCATCGATACAGGCATTGTAATTTGGAGACTCGTCATCTGTGGAGTCTGGGTGAGAATATGGCTGGTGAATCTTTGATGGGAGGCTCTCCACGGCATCTCTCAACCGTCTTAAGAACTCCCTCCGGCGGTTGTGGATTTCGTCCAACTCCAAATCGCCGTTAAAGAATGCTTCTACCAAGGCAGCTGCGTCCCCCGTAATTAGCAGACTTGTGGAAGCGAATCCTAAAACGAGGTCTGGGCCTGGCCTCATATGCTGATGTGGTGGCCATATGTGATGGTCCCAGAAAGACTGGTCTGTGATAGGTTTCTTTGCGCAAGGTACCGAGCACATAACGTCAAAATAAACCATCATCTTGATATGAATAGCAAGGGGCCTAGGACATATGAAAGATTTCTGTTGGCGATTGCGGAGGGAGATATACTTCCGCAAGCTCGCGTCCATCTCAATTCAAGGAGAGCTTTGATTCCATTCAAAAACGGGAGCAAGACTTTCGGGCCACCCGCTATCTCTAGAGAAGCCAGTATCATAGATGCCGCAATTTTGCTATCGATATGAGAAATTTCTTTTTGATGAACGAGGAGCGAGTCGTTCATGATGCTGAGGGCTTTGCTTTTACGCTCGAGAACTTCCACCTGGCTGATTGCACCCGAAGCAGCCATGTGTGCTGCTGAAAATGCCAAGACGATCGGGGGGAGTACCGAATCTCGATCCCATACGAGAGAAAGGTGTTCCGGCAATATGGTTTGGTACTGCTACAAGGGTAAGCCAGGCCGGGCAGCACCGTGGCCCAGTGGATAAAGAGAGGCAGGTCTGATGGTGAATCAAACTGTGGACCGACTTTGGGAGGAGGCAAGGGCCACAGCGAGTTCGAACCTAGGACAGTAACACCAGCTCTCGAGTTTCCCCCGGGAGCCACATGCATCGAACCGTTGCTGCCGAGTGTTGATGCGGTGCGTGGAGACGTCCACTTCAAGGGGTGAGCATGTCCACCACAAACAACGCCCCTCTGACGGCATTGTGAACAGATGGGCCGTGATTCATCGCACTTTAGACGGGATTCCCGACATGTTAGGCAGCCTGCTCGTCAACATTCCGATTGGTCAGCCCATGAATATCTCCCGTAGTGGGCTAGCTGGGATGCTGCAGGTGACAGATATGCTCTCACCTTTTCTAGAACGGCGATGATATCCCTGTGCAGGCATCGTGGACTAGACTTATCGACATGTATCTTCCAATGGTCACAGGACAAAGGGCTGACATCAGTCTAAATGAGAATGGCAATGATACCCTGGGGACAGCGGCGATACAGGGTGCATATAGCCGCCGACCTTGGAGTCACCGCACTCTAGATCTACAGCTTATCTCTTGGTCATACCTATCGATGTCATGGCTCTTATCACCACTTAGTCATGGATTCCCAGGTTCCGGGGACCCTATCGGCCCTGTTGGCGACAAGTCCGTTGAACCGCTGGTGGGTCATTTGAATAGGAACTGCTGATTTCTATTCGCCTATTCTACACGCAGCGTGAGGAAAATGGGTGTCGGCAATTCACGGGAGCTTGCACTGTACATCTCGCCAAGCTGGTGTATCGCCTGCCAACCGCTGCGTGAAGGTTGGAATTGCTGTGCATATACCTAATTCGGATTCCGTCGACTATCATTGGTAGCAGTTCAAAACCAGACAACCACTTTGGAGAGGTTAAAATTGCTGTGCACGGAGGGGCACCACCATGCTCGGGAAATATTCCATCAACCAGACAAACCGCTGTGGCGGGGTTAAAATTGCTGTGTATCATCCTACTTGAAGTGGTGCAGTTGAGTACATGCCGCTCGCAATTTTTACCGCCGAGCACGAGGAGATCTCCAAGATGTCCAGATCGAATAATCACTTGTATATATAGCCATCTGTTGTCCAATTTTTGTAGATTCGGTGGTCTCGATAACCTTACTGAGATGGACTCAGCCTGACTCGTGATAACCTCAAGCTTACTTATGCCAAACGCCCCGTTTGTGGTTGAGGCAAAGCATGAGACTACCAAGAACCATATAGTCAAAATGTGGTCATCACCGATCTTCCAGAGGTCACTCTGCCAGGAGCTTCGATTATGCTCTTGACAGTCATTCACCCTTAGCGCAAGGATGCTTGATCTACAAATACCGCATCGTGATGCCCCAAACAGGAAACAGGGTCATCCTAGCCTGGCTATAAGAGTCACAAGAGAAAATCAAGCCTGAACATTCATACTACCTTCTTATACAAGTGCAATTAACGTGATACCAAGTTATTCGTTGTTTCTGGCTATACATTAGTCAACCTCAGACAACTCATTCGGCGCCGACCTGGTTGTGGCCAGATCGAATGTAACACGTCGGCTTCTGATCAAGGGAATAAGGCGATCGGATTTTCTTCTATCTTCGAGCGTCCCTACAATTGGTCAATTGCGCCGCTTGCCCATGCTAGCGAGTCGTATTTGGCCTCCCTGGAGATCATAGCGCTCAAATCAGAGCCAATGACAAGGCGATTGGATCCGTCCCATGTCTCACTTCATCTCCCTGAAGTCGCCAAAAAGCAAAAACCTCCCTCTCCGTCCACTCACGCATCAGGGAGGAATTAGACTGCTGACCAATTTTGCTTTTCTTATTGATCCTCTTGATAAACATGTCTCATGACCACCCTTGATTTTTGGAGTGACTTTTCTCTCCGTGTCCCTGCAGCTTTCCTGAGACCTGAAAGCACCGACCCTTTTCTGCTCAAGTCTTTAAATCACATCTTCGTTGGTCACTTGTATTCAGAACATGCGAGGAGCTGGGTGACGAGTCATCTCATCCATCCCGTCAAAGAGAAGAATGCCACGCTGAATGCCCGATTGGTAAGAAGGGAATCGCGCCTGGTGTCCCGAATACACACCCCCATCGTCATGGCCTTCGTCCCACCCAACTTCAGGGTCGACGTCCCCAGCGAGGACGAGCTCGTCGCCGTCGCCGTCGTCTGGGGCCTCTCGCTGCCCCTCACCGTCTTCGGCATCTTCCGCTGCGTCCAGCAGACGTACAGCCAGTACAGGCGGACCAGGAGGGTCAACCTGTACATGTTCCTCATCTGGCTCGAGCTCATCTCGACGACCTTGATGGGGGGCACCGCCTGGGGATACGTGCGGGGGGTCATCCCACCCAGGTGTGTTGACATGCGACAAGCATAGAAAGGAGGTATGGCTGGTACTAACACGGTATGTACAGCATGTGGTACTTTCTCGGGGCAGTCAGTAAGTTCATCCCAGCCTTCACAACTAGTTACCATCGTGGCTTATGGTCATTTTCAATTTTCAAAGTCATCCTCTGGATTGTCCAAATCAACGCCATCCTCCAGATAATCCTCAACAGGATCAGCCTAATCTCCGACAACAAACCCTACGTCCGCCGGGTCAAGTGGTTCCTCTTCGGCTCCGTGCTGCTCCTCCAGGTCGCCGTCGCCTGCGTCTGGATCCCCGCGCAGCTCCAGATCTCGGACCTGTACGTCGACATCAACCACGTGTTCGACCGCACGGAGAAGGTCATGTTCGCCCTCATAGACCTGTGTCTCAACGTGTACTTTATCTACTTGGTACGGTCGACCCTCATCGCCTACGGGCTGACCAAATACGTCCTGCTGTATCGCGTCAACATAGCCATGATCCTCATCTCCATGACCATGGACGTAAGTACGATCTCTACCGCTAACCACACGAACCTATCTGCCTAACACAATCTCCTCTCAGGTCCTCATCATCGGCATGATGTCGCTACCAAGCGCCTTCCTGTAAGACACCCCCTTCATCCCGCCTGAAATCAAAGCTAACCGCCCACGCTTCAGATACGTGCTGTTCCACCCCCTAGCCTACCTCATCAAGCTCCACATCGAGCTGTCGATGGCAGAGCTCATCGCCAAGATCGTCAAGGCCTCGAGCAGGAGCCGGAGCTGCCTGTGTCCCTGCACCGAGGCCGACAACGACATCCTGGTGGCGCCCACCACAGGTCGCGTATCAGAATGGGGTCCCTTCCGGCGTCTGCGGGAGACTCGGGTGGTAGATCAGGCTGTGGCGTCTAGTGCGGTGGTCGAGAATGGGGATCGGACTGGTTGAGGATAGTGGTATTGGTTCAAATTATTTTTTAACATCTGGGGGGACATCTCTCTCTCTTCTACTGCATAATAAAATCTCTTGCAACACACTCATTCTTCTCAAAGGAAAACTCTTCACGACATGAATCATTCAGACGAAAACAAGCAGACCAAGCTCAGTCAATTGAAACTTCATAAAATAACATTGATTCATCAAGACGCTCTACAGCAATATGTGTAACAAGCTTATCTAACAATCCCAGCCAAGTAGGATTTTTCTTTTTTTTTATTGTCTTTTCTCTTGTTTCGTTTCTTCCGTTCCCGTTTGGATCATTTCTCATTTTCCCAAAATTACCATTTACAAACGGCTGAAGACGCCAATGTTGGCGGGGGCGGCGAGGTCGAACCGGTCGAGGTTCATGACCTTGGCCCAGGCGGCGACAAAGTCGTTGACCAGCTTCTGCTGGCCGCCGGCGCTGGCGTACACCTCGGCCAGGGCGCGGAGCTCGGGCTGCGAGCTGAAGATGAGGTCGAAGCGGGTGGCGGTCCACTTCTTGGCGCCCGACTTGCGGTCGGTGCCCTCGAAGACGTCCTTGGAGTCGTCGACGGCCTTCCACTCGGTGGACATGTCCAGCAGGTTGACAAAGAAATCGTTGGTCAGGACACCGGGACGGGAGGTGAGGATGCCGTGGGACGAGCCGTCAAAGTTGGTGTTGATGGCGCGGAGACCGCCGATGAGGACGGTCAGCTCGGGGGCGGAGAGCTTGAGGAGATGAGCGCGGTCGATGAGGGTCTGCTCCTGCTTGACGCGGCCAGAGGACTTGCCGTAGTTGCGGAAGCCGTCGGCGATGGGCTGGAGGTAGTTGAACTGCTCAACGTCGGTCTGCTCCTGGGTGGCGTCGGCACGGCCAGGGATGAAAGGCACGACCGTGCGGATACCGGCAGCGTTGGCAGCGCTCTCTACGGCGGCGGAACCGGCGAGGACGATGAGATCGGCCAGGGAGATGCGCTTGCCGGTGGTCTGGGATTCGTTGAAGGAGGTCTGGATGCGCTCGAGGACGCTGAGGACCTCGGCCAATTGCTGGGGGTTGTTGACCTCCCAGTCCTTCTGGGGTGACAGGCGGATGTGGCCACCGTTGGCACCACCACGCTTGTCGCTGCCACGGAAAGTAGAGGCAGAAGCCCAGGCGACGGAGACGAGCTTGGAGATGCTGAGACCCGAGTTGAGGATCTCGCGCTTGAGGCTCAGGATATCATTGCCGTCAACGAGCAAGTGGTTGATAGCAGGGATAGGGTCCTGCCAGAGGAGCTCCTCCTTGGGAACCTCAGGGCCCAGGTAGAGGACACGGGGGCCCATGTCACGGTGGGTGAGCTTGAACCAAGCGCGGGCGAAGGCATCGTTGAACTGGTCTGGGTTCTTGAGGAAGCGGCGTGAGATCTTCTCGTACTCAGGGTCGGCTCGGAGAGCAATATCGGTCACCAACATTCTGGGGGGATGCTTCTTGGACTTGTCGAAGGCATCGGGGATAATGTTGTCGGCATTCTTTGCGACAAACTGTGGGGCACCGCCAGGGCCCTCGACGAGCTCCCACTCGTAGCCGAACAGGTACTCGAAGAAGTTGTTGCTCCACCAGGTGGGAGTCTTGGTCCAGATAACCTCCAGACCAGATGTGATGGCATCGGCACCCTTTCCGGACTTGTAGCTGTTCTTCCAGCCCAGACCGTTCTGCTCGATGGAAGCACCCTCGGGTTCAGGGCCGACGTGGCTATCGGGAGCGGCGCCGTGCGTCTTGCCAAGGGTATGGCCACCAGCAATCAGAGCGACGGTCTCCTCGTCGTTCATGGCCATGCGGCCGAACGTCTCGCGGATGTCGTGGGCGGCAGCGACGGGGTCACCGTTGGCGTTGGGGCCGCGGGGATCCACGTAGATCAGACCCATGTTGGTGGCTCCCAGGGGCTTCTCGAGGCTTTGGGCATGTGCCTTGCCGTACTTGTTCTCCAGCGAGGGGCCGGAGGCGAAGCGCTTGTCCCTGCCCTCGGGGAAGAAGCTGGTCTCGGAACCCCAGTAGACGGACTCGTCGGCCTCCCAGGTGTCGGCGCGGCCACCGGCGAACCCAAAGGTCTTGAAACCCATGGACTCGAGGGCGACGTTGCCGGCAAGGATCATCAGGTCGGCCCAGGAGATCTTGTTGCCATACTTTTGCTTGATGGGCCACAGCAGGCGGCGGGCCTTGTCGAGGTTGCCGTTATCGGGCCAGCTGGAGAGAGGGGCGAATCGTTGTTGACCCTGGCAAGGAAAAAAAGTTCCGGTTAGCTCTAGTTCCAATTGATCACATGCAAACCGAGGGATTGCGCTCTCTCTCTTACCTGACCACCACCGCCTCGGCCGTCAAAGACGCGGTAGGTACCAGCCGAGTGCCAGGCCATGCGGATGAAGAGACCGCCGTAGTGGCCGAAATCGGCTGGCCACCAATCCTGGGAGTCGGTCATCAGGGCCGTCAGGTCGGCCTTGAGGGCATTGTAGTCGAGGCTCTTAAACTCCTTGGCGTAGTCGAAGTCGGCGCCGAAGGGATCCGAGGCAACTCCGTTCTGGCGCAGGATGTCGAGGCGGAGCAGCTCGGGCCACCAGTCGCGGTTCTTGGGGCCGCCGCCAGCGACGTTGGACTGGGCGTAGGGGCACTTGCTTTCACTCATGGTGACGAGGCTGGTGCTAATCGTGCGGTGTGGGAGGAGGAGAAGTCGTCGTGGTTCAGGTCTCCGGAGGTACGCTCTGGGAATCAATCGTCCAAAGAGAGGCATCGACAACACAGAAAGCAGAGGAGAAGAAACAAAACAGCGTTAACAATGAGCTGGCAGGTCGGCGGTCTTATACCGACGGCACGATGCTTCGATTCAGGCTAGGGTGGGAGGAGGAGGGACGCAATTCAAAAGGGTAAGCAATGCCGATGGGAGAAAAGTCGGGGCATCGTCACTGCAGCAATTGTGTGCTGCCTTGACTCAGGCCAGGGCAGGCGGCAGGTACCGGTACAAGCCCCATCTGCCCCGCACTTGAGGTTTCGCAGCGCGCCAGATGACAAAGCCCACGCAGCTGTTGGCCGGACAGTGCCGAGGCAGTCTGGAGCCAGCGCTGGGTCATCCCCAATAGGGCCTGGACGCGAGTGTCTCCACAGCAGCTTTGGCGGGTGAAGGCGCGACTCTTGCCAGCCCAGGCGATCGCGGCAGGTACCGGTACGAGATGGACATCAACGGTGACGGATTGCATCAACGACTCTGCCCAACCCCGAATGTCCGAGTTTTTCGCTTCGAATCTTCATTTGGAAATACAGCCATCACACATAGCATTGTCTCTATTGCCTACCACGACGCCCCCGACTGCTACACCGATTGAAAACTTCTCGGCTTCAATCCAGCACAACCGGCTACATCCCCAGGTGCAAACGTCATACCACATGACATAATCAACAACAGTGGAGGCAATGCGAAGCGACGCAGGAAGAACCCACCTCTCCGCCATCTCCTGCCAGCAGGCCACTATTTTTGCCATTATAGGCCTAGCCCCGATCCCCGTTTCCAGCCTAGCCCCGTTTCTCAATTCCAAATTCCAAATTCCAAATTCTCCAACGCTCACCCTAACTCCCCAATCGGGGCATTACGCCAGCTGAAAGATTTCAAATACCTGCGCCCTGAGTGAGTCTCCGGCCCGCTGCCTCGGATCTTCCAGTATGGGGAAGCCCGGGATTCTCCGGATTTTCGGCAAGATACGATGGGATAGAATAGTCATGGTTTTTCTAGTCATGATACGTATATGCTAGGCTAATGCTAATGTAGAGATAAATATGTGCACGAAAGTCTAGGTATAGGGTATGCAGTGTTTTCCCCCCAAGGTAATGTACCCAAGCTGAAAGAAGAAGACAAACAAACAGCCCGAAAAAAACAAACGCCGATACTCCGATCATTGCATCTTGATATCCCTTTTACTGGAGGAGCACCGTGTCCTCGTCCAGCACGCCATACAACCCCTCCACCTCGCGCTCCATGACTCGCAGCTCGTCCGCCACCCGCCCCGTCACCAGGACGTAGGCGTACAGCAGCGCATAGTCCCTCTCCTCGACCGTTACCAGGCTAGCCGCGGAGGCATCGTCGCTGTGACGGCTGCGCTGGGACTTGACCTCAATGCCGCGGATGCTTCCGGGCCTGCTGCTGCTGCCGCCGCCGCTCCCGACCCCTGCCATTTCCGCGGAGTGCTTCTTTCGGAACTGGAACACCTTGGTGAGGAGGTTGTTCCGTAGCGCAATGATGTTGGGAACCGCGTTGGAGAGCGGATACTCGAGCATGGATGAGCTGGCAATCACCTGGAAGATGTGGCACATGCGGTCGCACAGCACGGCACGCTCGGGCGCCGTGTACGCCAGCAGCGCCTTCTCGCCAGGCGTGAGGTGGCCGCTGCGATGCGTCACCAACGCCATGGCGTAGAAGCCGTCCAGCACGCGGCGCATGCTCCTCATGATGCGCCCGTACGCCTCGAACGGGAAGGGTCCCCGGAGCTCAAACTCATGCGACGCCGACTGCCGCAGGCTCTCGAGCCGGGCGGCGTACCTCGTCATCGCCTCCTGCTCGCCGGACCGCAGATAGCTACGCGTGGCCTCGCTGTCGAGCAGGATGGCGAGGGGGCCACGCCTCCAGATCAGGCCCATCTGGAGACACAGCATCGAGAGGCCCTCCTTGAACTTCTTCCGCGCCGAGATGGGCCACATGACCCTGCAGATGAACAGACCCCACAGGATCCCGCACGTCACCGAGAGGCAACGATGCTTGACAATCTCCAGCATATCCGGATCGATGCCACCCTCGTCGTCGCCCTCCTCGACGTTGTCCAGCCCCGCGCTCAAACTGTAGGCGTACAGAGTCGAGACGTTGTACGCGAGCTGGGTCATGCGACCGAGTGGCGCCTTGCCCGCGGCCACAATGAGGTAGAAGTTCCGGAAACTCACGAGCCAGCCCAGGAACACCAGAATCACCGGGTTGCCCTGGCTGATGTTCCACGCCGCCAAAGAAAGCAGAGCACCGATAATCGTTCCAACAAATCGCGACGCGCCCGTAGTGTTGGAAGCTCCGACCGTCATGGAGCACACAATCATGAATGACAGCAGACCCCATTCGCCACGATAGTGGTGGTAGTATTCGCGCGTTCTCTCGAGGAACGCCAGCATGCCCCAAAGCGAGGCTCCTATGCCTACCTTCAGACCGAAAAGAACTGCTTCACGTTAGCAATGCGAGATACTTACCAACGACGAGGGAAAATCGTCGATCCACTTAAGAAAGCACTCACTGTCGTCCCTTGCTAGCTTCCTCACAAAGCGCAGAGTACTTTGCGAAACAATCGACAACAGCTTGCTCGCGCTGGGAGCGGCCTCCCAGCTGAATGTGTCCCTCCTGCGCACCATCGAGTCCGAAATCCCCCTCGGCGTAGCGTGTTTCCTAATGGGCTTGATGAGCCCTTCCTCCTCCAGCGAGGAAAGCCGCAGGGAGCTCAGGCTGCCCTTGCGCCACCAGAGCATCCACTCCCACGACCGCCTCGAGTGATCGCCCACGTAGCGCAGATCCTCCAGCGTCTCCAGGTGGACTTGGACATCCTCGGCAAATGCCTGCATACTAGACGTGAAATGCCCGCAGGCTGCTGCGACCTGCTCCAGCTCGACCTGGTGTGCTGCTGAGTCGCGGGCTCGGAGTGCCGGGTGCTCGTACAGCTGCTCCAGGGCGTTGGTTCTCGCGATGCTGAACACGGCGATGCTCTCGCTCAGCCGGCCGCTCGCGCGACTCTGCTCATTGCCATGATCGAATTTCGACTCGCGGAGGATGTGGCAAATTTCGTCTGTAAGGGCGATCATTGGTTCCTTGAGCGATGTGATGAATAATGTGAAAAAGTCGGGAGGGTTGAAGACGGGCTCCGTGTCGTCCCCATCGTCGCTGCTGCTCTCGTTATTAAAGTAAATAGGTATCGTGGAAACAGGTGACATAGGTGATGGTGGAGGGCGAGAAGGTGCACCATTGGGGCTGAGATAATTCGGGTTAATCTGGTTAATTACTGGGTTGAGCTGTCCGTAGATGTATGGGTTATCAAGGAGAACAAACAGCGTGCTCGACGCACTCCTCAAAGCTCCGATGGACTGCGCTAATTTCTCCATCGATTTAACGAGCGCCCTCTCGGCGACGTAGATTGTTTCGTGGCCAAGGAGGTAGTGCTCAAACTTGGCTTCCCTGAGATTCTTCATCATCTGGGGGTAATTGGTTCGGTAGGCGGAAGATGATGCCGAGTACTCCGCAAGAGCCGGGTCGTCCTCGGTGCCAGTCATGAAGCCCCTAGTAATCATAGCCAGCATGTCTCCGAGAGAAGTCGATCCTTTGTCCATGGTGTTGCGCAGCAAGGTCCGAGCAGAAACTCTCCAGATGAAGAGATTGACCATGGTGGTGGATGCGATGCCCATGAGGAGGATCTTGAGCACCTGGACAATCTTCTGGTTGGAGAAGACATTGTCAATCACGGCCGTCTCCTTGGTCAGGACGCTGATGATGGCGAGAGACGCGAGGGTGCTCGCGACGTTGACCAGCGGGTTCTCCATCTTCTGCTTGACCCAGCCCATGAAGCCGAAGGCTCCGCCAAAGAACAAGACAACAACCAGGACATGGGCCAAGGTGACCATTCCCCATACGGCGCCAAAGAGCACGGAGGTGGCCATGGACAGCAGGCAGATGATCTCGGCATAGGCAATGGCGACGATGGCGATGATGACGGCCTCGATCATGGACCCAGTGGTGCGGGCGGGGTGGAAGTAGACGGTGATGGTGGCCACGACATGCTTGCCGCCGGGCTTGCCGAGCAGATGGGCCACGGGCGTCACAAAGGTGGCCAGACTGGCGATGGTGTAGGCCATGGTGCACTTGAGCACGCCGCGGCCCTGCGGTGAGTTGAACCAGTACAGCAGGCGCAAGGTGGTGTCCGAGACCTTGGCCCGGAACCGCTCCATGGCCGTGCCCGCCATCGCGGAGCGGTAGAGGCTGCGGTTCTGTCAATGAGGCCCGGCCGGGAAAGTATGTCACTACCAATGACGGGTCCGGGAGTGCAGATTGGCGATTGCTCTGGAAGTGGCCAGTGGTAGAGAGGGAGCGTGCCACAGACGGGATTTATGAGGTTGTTTGACAGCGCCAAGGCAGTGAGGGGGTGGAGCTTACGCCGTCTCATGGGGGAGACCCAGGCGCACTGTTATAAATAGAGGTGGACATAAGACGGCGGACGAGGATGGATCATGGAGAGCAGCTGGGATGCTAGATATTGGTTTGAAGCCTTGGAGGTCTGTCTGTGCCTCAGCTCGGCACTTCCCTATCGAGCCCTGCCCTAACAATGATGCGTGTTGCGATGAGGCAAGAGGCAAGAGACATTCAATGACCTGATGATGGCATAATTAGTGCGTCCTTGCGGGTAGACGGCCGCTGGATTGTCACGCCGCAGCCAGCAATGGCGCCGTCAGGGCTCGTTAGTGTCCACTACAAAGCCTGGTTCCAGGTGCAGCCGCTTCCCCCAGCGAGTGAACAGTGGTCACAGGGCCTGGAGCGACCCCCACACCCGCTGCCACATGCTGCAGCTCGCCCGCCTGTCTCAAACCAATGAATCATGTGTGCGTTAAGGGCAAGACACTGATCGACTACGAAAGCGACTGAAAGGGCCATTTGGGATGCCCCATCATGGGCTTTGTTGATTGTGAGACCCAGGCAGCTTGCAAGGACGGGCAGGCAGGCCCACACAGTGTATTTGCTCACCATCCTACCATGGACGCGCGGACTAGAAATACGCAGCATCTAGCCTCCGAGCTTCAACGCAATCGGAAGAGCTACAGATAAAGCTCAGCCTTGTCTCTGCCATCTCAAAGCCCAGCCACCCGTCCAGAAAGTCAATTTCAAGAAACACCTCCTCCCAGCCTGCTACTATCTGAGTGCGAATATGCGCGCTGATGATGAAATCCAAGGACAGTGCGCAAACCAGTTTTCGCCTACCAGGGCAGTGAGAAATCCCGTCTGCTCTAGGAGCACTGATAATCCATCCGCGCCTTTAATATTCCGAGGACATCCACGGTGTCTGATTCTTGTAACCGAACGCGCGCAAATATTAATAATACTGTCCCTCCCTGTCTAGTCTAGTCACGCATCAATGTCAAAAGTCCCAATTGATACCTCAGCTTGCAAGGGAGCTACGAGCATTTTCTACCCAGCACGTAAGATGGGTGCTGACGCAAAATATGGCGAGCTAGCTGCCTATTGATTTAACCAATCAAAGCTGTAACCTTGTGCAATTTTCCCCACCTCTACCCTAGTTCAGTTTAGCTCAAAGCCAAATTATCACATCAATTCCAGGCAACTTCGCTGCTTTTCTTTCGATTTCATGCTCGAGTCCGTCATAGGATCACACATCAGAATTTGATACGCCATGAATTCTCAAAAAGAGATATCGATGATCTTATCTAAAGGAAAAATGAGTGCAGATATGCGATCAAGATTTGTATCGGAAGGGAAGCCCTATCAGAAGTCTAAACTACGTGACCGTAATGATTGGATGTAGATATAGGGTAAGTAAGCTATGACTACTCAACAGGCTGTAGCCACAACAACGTACGATCAATTCTCTTTGCATCTTCCGGGCTCCAACTTCTCGATTTCGGAACTTGCCTCTAATATAAGAGCGAATGAATGTTTGGTGATCATGCTGCGCGAAAAAATCATGCAAAGAGTTGATTTAGCCTCATATTCACCATGTGGTTTGATGGCTGGCCTCCGAGGCGGACTTCCAGTTGTGTGTGTTGGTCGAGCGAGCCCCTGAACCACCATGACCATGCATGCAGCCAACGCCCAACAGCCATGAGAGTGGTCTGAGTAATAACCCACTCCCTACTCTTTGTTCCATCTCGTCCACTCTCCCAGTCGTCTCCCCTTATTACTTTAGTTTTTGTGTGTGCGTTTCTTGCTGTCAGCATGACTCTCACTAATCTCCCACCAGAACTTCAATCCAAAATATGCAGTTATCTTGTCAAATCAATTGGTCCTTCATCCATCCATGCCTTGCTCAGAACATGCAAGCAATTGTATGCTGTTGCTCTCCCTTTCTCAGTCCAAATCTTTCGAAATACGGCCCCTATACACATTGGGAGGGGTCCCTGCTCCGAGGCTCGCAATGTGCAATTTCTACGCTATATTCTTATCTCCAGGCCCGAGCTAGCCAGAAGGGTTGACACAGTTATTCTAGGTGGCTTCACGACAACCAGGGACAGAGTGAAAACACCAACCGCGGCTACCAGCACCAAAGAGGAACTCGCCCTATATCAAGAGTTCATTATCAATGCCTTGGGTCTTCAACTCAGTGAAGTTGACTTGACACGAAGGGACAGCTGGATTGCTCACCTGAAAGAGGGATCTTCTGATGCCCAGATTTCTTTAATTCTGCTTGCATGTTCAGGTGTACGGAGACTCTACTTTGAAGACTATCAAGAAGGGTCATCCCAGAACCAACTCTTCAAAAAACCGGACTGTTTCATATTTCTACTTGAATTGGCCAAGGCCTTGTCGACATCCAACACCTCTGAATTCGACGCTCCATTGCGGAACCTTCGTCATGTCCAAGCCCAATCCCACGAGAATAACGACTGTGGCTGGGAACAGGCTTTCAGACTTATGGCGCTCCCTCAGCTGAAATCTTATGAATCCCTCGATACAACCAGGCGTGGTAATTTCGCAGGAGACTCAACTATTCTACCTCTCATCACCACACCCCAGTCCTCTTCTGTGCGATCCATCTCTCTCCACCAGTCCCTCGCGCCCGCGGCAGAGGTTCAGGCTTTATTGAGGGTATGCAAGCACTTGGAGAAATTCGAGTACATCAGCCCGACTTTTGAACCGATATCCGGTATCTTTGCCCGGGATATCATGGAAGCCGTACTACCCCACGCTGACACTCTCCATCATTTGCACATTAATTTCTCCGATGAGTGCAAGAAGATCGGTTGGGAGGACGACCCCCAGCGGTTATATCTGGGATCCGAACTTGTCCAGATGACAGCGCTGAGGCACCTCAGCATTGGGATGCAGTCTCTCATAGGCAAGTTTGACCCGGCACCTACAGACGAGCAAGACACGCCGCCGCAGATCGAAGGGGCCCCTCGGCTCATAGGATGCCTTCCAGAGAGTTTGGTAGAGCTCTCCATTCGTGACTGTGGCAAGGGAATTCTCGGCCAAGCCAAGGAGCTGATGGAAACAATCGAGAAGGGAGAGCGCTTCAACAATTTGAGACGCATCGTCCTGGTTTTCAAAGCCGAAATAGTAAACATCAGAGACATCCGACAAGCCATACCTGCGAGGACCAAGGAAGAGGGCCGGTGTGATCTTTGGGTGGCTTTCCAGCATCGAGAAGCGCGATGGGTCAGCTCAGGAAGAGGACATACTTTTGAGGGAATCCGCGCCATCCCCAGTCTCTGTTCTCGAATATTCGCGGATGATCTCCGCAAGGACTGGATTGATTTCAGAGGAGGGCTTGCGCATAAACTATATTCCAAAGCCTTTGGGCCATGCTCGCCTGCTCATGTAGTGGATGTGGATGAGAGAATGAAGAGGCTCTTACTTCTTAAGCCACCGCACGAGTACCAGCTCGACGATTAACTGGGAAAAATTGAGGGCAGTGCTGTATTATTCGCGCAGCTTTTGCTGTGAGAGATGGCGGAACCGCAATGCTTCAAAGTCCCAGTCATGATGGCGAAGTTGAAAATTCCGTCACAGAGCGCTCCGTGACCTTGGCGCCGAAGTAGCCAACTTCATCGCCGAGACGCTTGTCGAGTATCAGCACGGCCCAGTCCTCCCTTGCGTCGCTGATCCCGTCGCCGATCTTGGTGCTCACAGACGCATGCGTGGATTGTGACGAGTTGAAGAAGTCCTTGTTGCCGTGTCCAGGGCAGAATGTGACGGTGCGGTTGTTCAGGATGCAGTGTTTGGCAGTCAATACGTGGCGGGGACGACAAGAGAGCCGCTGCATACGTGGCATGTGCTTCAGATGATCTTGCTTACGGCGGACTAGGGTGGAACGGTTATTGTAGAGGAATCGATCGTTCTCGCCGAAGATGCATCCCTCGAGATGTACCGCTTCTTCTCCTATGCCTCGTTTTTGAATTCTTAAGGTCTAAATGAGTTAACTCTGGTTTTAATAGTATCTTGGCAAAATCAAGATAATGTAAGTCTTGGCTTAAGATATATGTTTGTTTGTCTCTAGAAAGGTTGGGCTGTCTTGCATAAGGAATTAGATCGCTCGAGCGGCATATCGTAGGCTATCTAAGACCTGGTTCCTCGCAGAGCTCGTCGCGTGTAAGTCTGAATTCTGGTCGTAGACAAAGCTCGCTGAACGAATCGAGCACTTATTGTATACCATTGCCATAGGAAGCGGAGGTACAAGACCCAAAGTGACCAGACTCTGTCCAAAGACCCAATCCTACATAATAGCCTAGAGTTCAATGCATAACATCTTGCCAAGTACGTTTTGTGATTTCATTTTCAAGTGGCGACGTAGCTCTATTAGGAAGAACTATGGTCAGCCATGTCGTTGAAAATACCGTTCCTTCTCATCATTCAAAGGCTTGATATCAACACCAAGACGATGAGAGATCCTCTTAACCTCACGCTCAAAATCAGAATAATCATCGTCCTCCGCAACATTAAACCAGAATATCTGTCGTAGTCGCGGAAACTTCGTAGGGCAGCTCTCAGCCAGTACTAATATCACACTCTGAAAAGTGTGAGCAGGCATCCATATGCGCCTGCTCTTCCCCCAAGCCTGTAAATCTTTTCCCCATCCCTTCATATCAGGCTTGCGCGCATCCCACATTACAAATGTCACGTCATCCATCATGTCGTCGGTTAGAATAAGAGTCTCGACTGAAGGCGGGATGCCGCGACCCAAGGGGGGATAGTTAGCATTAAAACCATACAAGGCTACCAAGGGAACATGTAGTTCCTTGATCTGACCAAACTCGACAAGATTGTCGAAAGACCCAGAAGTACGTATTTCCGGCCATGTCTCCTTTCGGCCGAAACCAACTCGAAACTTGATATGTAGCTTCTCTAATGTATGTTTGGCGGGAGAAATGGCGGTTATTATCTTATCCAAGTTTAGATCTGCGTCCTTCCACGCGTCGCAAGAGATATCCTCAGCGTAATCCCAAGAGTAGGTGAGTGATTTCAGATTCCTTGTCAAGGACAGTATCCTCTTTAGAAACCTTGGGTGAAGCCATTCGATATCTAATGAGGTGAGGTGGTCGAGGTTTGGCTTTCCCTCTGGCCACCAAAACCTCTCGGGGTTTGCGAGCCAAAGTTTGACATGTACAAGATTTGGCAGATAAAGGGTAGAGAAAGCCTCCTCGAACTGAGAATCTGGATCTGACTGATCTTGATCTAGCTCATCGTTATCAAGACGTCTAACATAGGCTAATCGTTGCAGCTGTGTAAACCTGGGAATTTGATCCGGGAAAGCGTCCCGTTTGGGAGCCTCATCAGAATCGGATTCAGAACCCTCATCAGAATTGGTGTCGAGAGCCTCACCATCAGATTTGTCAGACCTAGCATCGGGTTCGAGAGCCTCATCAGGCTCGGACTCGACAGTCTCCCAAGAATCGGATTCAAGAGCCTCATCAGAATTGGGGACGAGAGCCTCGCCATCAGATTTGTGAGACCCAGCATCGGGTTCGAGAGCCTCGACATCAGATTTGTGAGACCCAGCATCGGGTTCGAGAGCCTCGACATCAGATTTGTGAGACCTAGCATCGGGTTCGAGGGCCTCACCAGGACCGGGATCGAGAGCCTCACCATCTGATTCGTGAGACCTAGCATCGGATTCGACAGCCCCATCGTCGGATTCAAGAGCTTCAGAATCGGATTCAATACCCTCAGAATCGGAATAGACCTCACAATCGGAATAGACCTCAGAGTCGGAGCCGACCTCAGAATCGGAATCGACCTCAGAATCGGAACGGGGGGGCCGGAACTGGAGAGCCTTGGATCGGAGGACTTTACCAACAAGGTGAAAGTTCCTGATGAAATTGGTTGTAATCGTAAGACTGGTCGTGTTGGAGAGGTAGGCGATGAGGAGTCCGACGAATGCGTCCATGTGACGGGTCTCCAGCCTCGCCACCCAGATGTCGGTGTACGGTGCTTTGGTCTTTTCGATGGCAGAAATGAACTGAGAAAGGGAAACGTTGCTTGGCATCGCTAGCCGCAACTGGTCTTGCGACATCCTATGCCGAGGGGCATTTCCCACTAAGGAAAATGTATCTATAAGGGCAAAAAGCTCTGGTCTAGAGAGAAGAGTTCGAAGGAGGAGAATGATCGGCGGATTCTCAGAAGTCGACCATCTGAAGTTGATGGTGGAAAAAAGACATGGCTCGGCATGGTGACGATTGGAATGATTGGTGAGGCATAAACTTGCGAGATCAGCTTTGGGGAGTAAATTGAAGATCTGATGGATGATTTCGATTGGAATATCATTAAGGAGCGCCATGATTAGTTTGGGAATTCGAGAAAAGGCCGCTCTCAGTGACACGCTAAGAACTCGTACGCGATATGCACGAACAGAGGCACAGCCGCGGGGTGATCTTGAGAAGAGGGGAAGAGTCAAAGTGGAGGCATGAACCCTTGATCGTATCTTTAGTTTTGTGGACCTGAGGCTCTTCTCATTGATATCGACATGGGTGAGGTGATGCTTGGTGGAGACACGTGCTTGTGAGTTGACCGTTAGATGGCGTGTAAGGTGGTTATGGAGAAGTCCTCTGTGGCGACATTTCAATATGTCATCAAGAGAAGAGGTGCAGTTTGGCGTTTTACAATATTTGGTGTTTAAAGAGGTTGGGTTTTGAATGAAGGAGAAGAGTTTCAAATCAACATGCCGATCCTCGTACTTCGCTCAACAGTGACTCTGAGGCTTGGATAGCTTCAAACAATTCAAAACGGCTAAGCTAGTAGAGTGTGCTGATATTGGTTCTCATTTGTGTCTGGTAGAAGATAAAGAATGGGAGCGCAGTCTTGACATGTTGATATTGCGATAATTAGATATGTCGATGTTGTGATAAATCATGCCGAAATGTGGGCCAAAAGTGTTCATACGAGGATCACCAGAAGAAAGAGTGATGAAATGCCTCACATAATCGTACCCTGTAAGTAGTTCCAGAATTAATACTGGGTCTTTGTTGTACAAGAGACCAAACAGCGTGGGCATGTTGTGGGGTGGCCCTCGCTCAGTTGCGCGGCGCGATATCGCCAGGTGTCTCACTCCACGCCAGCGTGCTATATACTTAATTTTCGTAACGGCATTTCAACAATTGGGGAGAGTGGTCTAGTTGGTAACGACGTGGTCATCCAAGCGCACCCGACCCAGATTTACTGATGAAGGGAATCACTGGTAAAGCGGAGGGCGGTACAGCGCCTGGCGAAGCATGCCAGCCCGCCTACCTCTGTACACACAGGTGTAAAGTAGGGCACTGGGGCGGGCGCCGACCAAGACAGGGGTTCGAATCCCCTCCTCTCCATTCTTTTTTTCTCTTTTTGCAAATTTCAAATCCAAATCATTGTCGAGTTGGATGCCCAGCCAGGACGAGTCCGGCCGACCGGCGCAACTTAGACAGAACAGGGAAGCTGCCTCCTCTAAATGATATGAACTTAATTAGCTGAACCGTCCAACTGGGAGATTTTCTTTGATTTATCTGTTTTCCAACCTTTCGAAACTGGCTGTGCATGTTCTGTTGCTTCACCAAGTATTCTCCCCACCCGGCCTGGCACTCCCTCTCGCATCGAATCATCATGAGGAACTCTGCGCTACCGCATTATTGGATGCGCTTGTAGACCTGAGCTGCAATAACTGCCTGTCACTGACCTATTGGAGGCTGTGATGACATAATTCCAAGACACGGTGACACTTTGGTGACTGCAAGGTGCTCGTGAAGTTCTACTCCATACGTACAAATAGGGTTATTTTAGGTCTGTTCCCAGTTTTACCCGCCCCCATCACCAAGCCACAACATCGCGATGACTCTCATTGGATGGACCCATTTTGGACCAATTAAAATTCCCAGCATTATAATGAATACATACAGCTTGTAAGAATGGCAGACCCTCTCCTGTATCAGACTACTCCAGCACCCCAGCTTCGCCCGACTCTTCCTGTTTATCTGAAAACATACTCCCTGCCTCGCTGTCTTCGGGGCCCTTTCCTCTGGACTGATTCTGGGCACGGGCTTCTTCCTCCTTCTCCCTTTCAGTCTCCTCAAAGGTGGGAGGGGAGTCCATATCATCCTCCAGTCCCGCGAACGGGTTGCTCGGTAGCGTTCCTGATGATCCTGGCTGACACTCTTTATCTCTATCTATGCTTTCCGGCATAAGCATGACGGGCTGCTCGTCATGGATTTTTATATACTCCTTCTCGATGACCCATCGCATTTCAAAAGACAATTTGTGGGTAACTTTCATACTGTACGTGACAAAATTGGGCACAAGGTACTCCGGGTCCACGAGCCGAAGGTTTATTTCTTTGCCGACATCCTTAGGCTCCTCATCAGCGGAGCATAGAATTTCGACAAGAGGCTCCGAATGGCATACAAAACTGTGCCTTATGGTATATTTTTCGGGCCCGGTGAAGGTAAGAGGACGGTATTGAGCCGGGATTTCGCAGATTGATGACAGTACAGCCCAAAACCGGACCAACCTCGCCGTTTGTGACACGTTCTGGAGAACGCCAGAAGACTTGGACCAGTTGGGAATGGCTTTGATGGTCAGAGAAATTGGATCCGGATGATTGAGTTGAATGACGCTTGGTGTCGCGATGAGAACCTGCAGGTTCAAGCGAGGCACAGATGAGGTGTGAAAGAACTTCTTGACATGCTGCCCCAGACTCAATGGAGCACCACGCATACCCGGAACGAGGCGCTGGGAATGAACAGTGCGTTTGAATTCGTGAATCTTTAGCCGACTGTCCGCAATGGGAGGACTCGGATCCGCCAATCGTAGAAGGAGGGGATATTGACAGCGGACAATATCCTTGACCCCCTTGCGCTCGTAGATAAGTTTGGCTTCAAGAAAATAGTCGACGGACGCGTAGAAATATGGCGATTTGGTTCGGCAAGTTGGAGGAAGAGGATGTCCGCTGATTGATTCTTGATCAATAGGCAAGAAAAGTGGCATCGAAGAATTGGACATCTCGGAGCTCACACATCTGTAGCTGGGGTTCGTTGGAAGCCTGATGTGGAAGGGCCATTCGTGGCGACAGATTGCGTCGGGGGGGATATGGACCGCTCCCTTGAAGAGTGATTTTGTCGAGCCGAGAAGAATCATTACACGGGAAGGGTTGTCGTTCACCTGGGTGGCGAGACAGCCAAACAGATTGATGGTGAGATGTGCCTCGGGACTGATAATGGCGGTCTGTCGATATATTCGCCCGGAAAGGGGATCGCCAGGATGGAAGAAGATTGGGGGATTATGGAGCTCAATACCCAGGTCTGGGCTCGAGGTCGCTTCCCTCGTGGTCTCGCGAAGCATCTTGCCGTCGACGGCGTTTGGTCTTGGTAGCTTGTCTGCGTCGGTTTATTGATGGAAGCGTCTGAAAGATCCACGTCGCCAGTGGTATCGCGGGCGGGCGTCGACTGTCACTGCATCTTGGGATTGACGTGCAGAGATCGTGCACAATGGAGTTGCAATGGAAGAGAGGAAAAGAAAATGGAAGAGAGGAGAAGAAAATGGAAATTTTGGACGACGAGGAAGCCACAAAAGGAGCAGGAAGCTCGGTGGAAGGAAGGAGACAAAGTGCGTGCTCCTGCCTGGCTCTTGCCATACTCAACCCACACCAAGCCGAAAGCTCGTGAGTGAGCTTTTGCATAACCTATACCTAGGTAGGATTGAACAGAAAATTAAATTAACAGATCTGTGGCCCATAAGCCTTTAAGTGTCTCCAGATCGTCGCTGATCTGAGAGTATAAAGCATTCCGACTTCGCACCGAAGAAGGCCTTGAGTGGCCGCCTCGTCGCTACATTCTCCGTCTACGAGACTGTGAAAGTTTCCCAGTGCATCAAAATCGGTGGCTATGCCATCACAGGGTTTAAGTAATGCTGCACCGCTCCATGTGTAGCTCTTTCTTGACCAGAGGAATATTCATCTTGTATCCTCCCCTTCCCTAATCACCACCTCCTCCCCCTCCTCCACCACTACTGCCTCCACCACCGCAACCACCGCTGCTGCCTCCACCGCCGCCGCTGCTGCATCCACCGGTTGAGCTCCCGCAACCTCCAGGACCACCGCAGGCTCCAGAAGCAACACCTCCGCCACAAGTCCCCGATGCACAAGCTCCCGGGCAGCCGGAGCCTTCACATGGAACGGAATGGGGGTCATAGCCAGGATACAACCCTGGGGTGTAGTACGGAGGGTATACGTATGGGCCATACACTAGTAATAATTAGCTATCATAGCAAATATTCGAGGAAAGACATGGGATAAATAGACGTACTGTAGTATGGATATCCCCAGTGACTGTAATACTCGTCCCTCGGAGGCAGTGTACGCCCCTTCTTTCCTGCCCGCTTGCACGCCTTTTGGTATTTGTCCTCGAGACGACGCTGGTACGCGCGGCGGGCCGCATCGCCAACTCTCTTGGAAGTGATCATCTCCGCGTTGCCTGGGTCGGTGAGCTTATAGGATACGGCATTGTGCGCAGAGATGTGTGCCGAGTTGTTTGGGGGGCATTGCTGGGCGGCTCCGGACTCGTGAAATCGATTAGCGACTGTAAAGAGTTAGCAAGAACCAAACAAGTAGTTGGGTTAAAAGATTTGGCTTCATATGTACTTGTTTCATTAATGGAAAGGCCCAGTGCTTTGCCGATGGAGGAGATGTGTGAAGATCGGATCGTCTCGCAATACCAGCAGGTACATTCAGAATACACCTCTTGGTACATCTGCTGGTAGGTTTTGCTAGTCCACTCAAATGCCTGACCAAGCTTGTCATCACTGATCTTGTCATCATGGTCAATGAATTTTGCATCTTCACTGGCAGAGGTTACGGCTGTATAATATGCCGATGGGGAGAGTTGATGTGTATGCCAGGCCTAATGACAAGTGTTAGCACGACTTGATGTGGCTCTGGCAGGACTTATTCCAGGATGCTCACCAGATCAACATCGAGAGTTGGCACGCATAGGTGAGTAGGGTTGTCCTGCATGATCGCCAAAAACCTCATGTACTTTCCACAGATTCGGGTCATTGTCTGAGGGGCAACAGGAGAATGTAGCCAATCCAAATGGTACATCTTCTCAACGAAAACGCCCTGCCGCATTACAGCACCGCATAGATCCAGTGCAAACGCTGAAAAGTTGTCCCAGTATCGGCTCATCATCTTACGGATCGCTATCCCCGCTACTGCGGGGAGCATTGCTCTGCCAATCCTGCGGCTGCTTGGTATTCTTGCGACTAGTTGGTCTACTTTGCGGGAGTCTGTAAGCGTGTCCTCAATTGTTCGTCGGATACCTTCAATCGTTGGAGGTTGGAAGCCTGGCTGTTGAGACTGGGTTCTGAGATCGTGCAGCTGAAAGGACAGAACCTGCTGGATGAGTCTGTTTGGGAGGCGAAGGGGATCCTGAAATTTCTCAAATGCATATTCTGTTGATCGACTCTTATACGACTTTGGTTTCCCAGATTGAGGCTCAAGTACTGTCCCAGGCATCGGGACGCCTTTTCTTAGCAGTTTCTTCATGTCAGTGTCAAATTTACCGAGACTGAGCAGTTCTTTTGTCAAGTTGGTCCCACAGCCATGGCAGACATATTGGAACTCGCCGTCACCGTACCCGGAGCCTATCAGGCTAGGTATGGTGGCCTCATGTGCCTGCTCATCTGCGCCGCAGGTCGTCCATGCTACAAGGACTTGTTTCGTGCAGATGGGGCAATTGATAGCCTTTTGCGTCTTATCTTCGATATTTTCCCATGACCGATCCGTATTCGCAACCCACACAGCCTTGATATCGTCGGAGACACTGTAGGCGAAGCTGGAGTCGATGGCGTTGTTGATGAGTGCCCAGGGCATTCCATGCCACCAAAGTTGCCTGAGCCCTGCCCGCATGCAATCTTCAAGATATGCTCTTGGGTTGAGCATGTGTGAGTGCCAAACCATAAGCACGTCTATACATCGGTGATTAGGAACCGTCTTGTCGTTCGGGGATGATTCAACGGGTATGTTGATCATACATACCAAGGGGTGGCAGCTGCCCGTTTGACCAAAGATTTCCATTTCCACCAGTGCTGGGGAACTCATCATAAGCGAGGCAGCCGTCGTTTTCCATATCTTGTTCCTGCAACGGGTTCTCATCACTCATGGATTCCCACCAGCTTTCGTAACGATCAACTGCGCGTGCTACGAAAACAGCCCATCTCTTTTCTCTCACCTGGCTCAGAGCCTCTTGTTGTGCATTGTGATCATTTGGGGCTGCACCCTTGTCTGCTTTAGGCGCTTTGCCAGTCTCATCGGGGCGTAAGATGCCGCGTTTCCCTTGGGTACGAGTATCCCAGAGCCCCCAAAGCCCGTCAGTATATCCTATGTCCTCTTTGAGGACTTGGAACGCGAATAGGAGCTTGAGATGTGCCAAACAGGAATCTGGGGTAGGGTCGTGTGGTCCTGAAGCGAGGCTCAAGTTGGCGAAAGACGCGGAGAGATCAATTGCTGGATGGGCATTCGCATTTGCATTGTCATACGATGGTGGAGCTGCCTGGTTTATCGACTTCTCATGTCCGCCAAGAGGGTCCATTGGTAGTGTCTGGACTTGATGAATAGGTTGTGTTTGCGGTGTTGCGGTGGTAACGTATGTCGTTTTATGAGCGCGAATGCAATCGGAAGAGGTCTTTTCTGACCTTCTGCTCGCTCTGAGGTCGAAGATTTGATGAACAAATCTTGTAAAAAGATGAAAGTTATCTGAAGAGATGTAAGCTTTATGGAAGGTATTAGGTAGTGGCGTTTTCAAAGAACCTTCCTGTCTTGATGATATGACGGCGGCTGTGCAGCTCGCCCGGCTTATTATAGACTTGTGGGGGCGGGCTGACTTGTGCTCGTGTGAGTGGTGCCCAGGATGAAAGTGGCTCCAGCAGATCCTCTGATGGGCCCAGCTTTGGCCATGGACAGGGTTTCGTTGGGCTGACCTGTTATGACCCTGGATCCGGTTGTGGTGAAATATTGCCCACGAAGGAAGGGTTCCATCGCCCGACACAATATGAGATATAGAAAAAAATTGGGCGTGCTCTTGAAACAAATCGGCGGGATGAGCCAGGGACTACACCAATGTGAGAAGGTTGGCGAGGAAGATCATGTTACTGGGCAGCTGCCTGACAGTTTATAATTAGCAAGACAAACTAGTCAGTTATCCCGTAAGGTGATGGAGACCACGAAGCTGACAGACGCGCCCAAGCAAAGCTCATCCTCCATTGTCAGACATTCTTTGACTGAACACTTGCTTGCCAGCGCCAATGAGTCAACCAAATTGTTTCGTTGAGTAACACTCAAGAAATATTCTTGGGAGGGCTAGATAACGTTCCAAACAAAATCGCATGCTAGTAACCTACCTAATGCACATAGAACTCGAAGCTGTGACCTGTGCACAAACCATATTTGTGTATATACCCCTGCAATAGTTGCCAACCCAACTTGGAGCTTCTCATGATGTACGTAAATTCAAACTGTATAGCAATTATTCATGTGCCTTGTGACCAAAGAGATCATAATAGCAAATCTCCTATGGCGATCCTTCAGCTCTTTCCCTCTCGAGCAGTTGCATGTCGACTAGAGTAAGAAGTGAAGTAAGCTTCCAACAGGTAAATAAAAGGACGACAAGGAGAGATACGGTTTCTCGATGCATCTATGGGACGGATACTCTCAGCCAATGCCCCCGGCTCTGTGGTTGCAGATGTTCCGCCCAGCCCAATCATTTTGTGCGCATCGCTAACATCAATGCTGATAAGAAAGTGACTTCCTTGATAGGGCTTTCATATCTGAAAACTTGTTCACCCGTAAGTTATTACAGGAGGTCCTTCAGATCAAAAGGCAAAACCGAGAAGCCAATCCCGCGCAGAGCCCAGCTCATAATTCTCAAGTTCTCGATTCAAACAAAAAGAAACTCTCCTGGAAGTGCATTTTGACAGAAGAGTATCTGCAAATAGCGTGGAGAGGACAGAAAGACTGGTTGCTGACCTTGGTGCCTTGGCTCATTGTTACACCGTTGGGCTTCGCTCACCCCAACTTCACTTGCTCCCACATTCAGACCTCACCCTTCAGCTACGTCTGACCAGCACCACCTAGAGACATCCTCCGACATTCGCCCCATGCAACCACATATTTCTGACTGTGTTTTATTCACAGCATCAAGCTTTCACCGCGGGGATAGTGCAAAGACCAAGCACCGCAACGCTGTTGTCCCTGAACCTACGAATAGAGGTAAGCTCGGAAATACCCCCCAAAACCCCATTCTGAACTCGCGTGGGACCAGAATACTGACTCGAGGGTCAGGCTTCCGGTCGGATAACTACCTACGATGGGAGAATCGGCTCTAAACCGTACCCGAGCGTTGATGAAACAACGCGCAGACCCTCGCTGCGTGGTGAAGCCGGTCTTGGCGTCGCATCACATATGTGGCTTGTGGAACCACCCCGACAGCCAGCTTCGAGAGCAGATTCTGAGAACGATCGAACGATTACCTGACGCTCAGGCCGTCGATATTCTACGCAAAGGGTACAAAGATGCTGCAGAACTTCCTGTCACCGTTTGCATCACGCTAACTAAGCGCTCTTCATCGTGGGCGAAGATCGATCGAATCCTCCGGGAACTGCGAAAGATTCTTGACAATCATGGACTTCCCGATATCATTTGCGAAGTAATGGAGTCAGCAATCTCTTTTCATTCGTCCGCGTCTACTGCTCAGGCTCCGGGGCTCACGACAACGGAGGAAGAGGAGACTAGGCTGGTCTCATTTGTGGGAACCAGCATTAGCCCGCTGGCTACAACTGCCTCAGGCGAGTTTTCGGAACTGGCGGTGGAAGGATCACTCGGGCTAGTTTTAAAATGGAAGCAACAGGACGGTTCTGAGAAAACTGTGGCCTTGACATGCCGACATGTGGTGCAGGATGAGGCTCAGTTGAAAGCCACGATGAACGAGCCGCTGACCGAACCGATCAACATCATACAGCCTGGTCCTGATACATTCCGACAAATCCAGGACACCTTGACTGAGATTCAAGAACAAGCTGAGCCGGGAGAGATCAGAGAGCATATCGTGGCTGCCCTTCATCAGCTGTCCGCCTTCCAGCAACTCAGTGCGCGGGTTGTTGGCCAGGTCTTGTTTGCGCCACGGTTTGCACTTCGTCCTGTTGTTCCTCAAGATACCACTATTGTTCGTCAAGAGGATCAAGCCGGCCCTCCAAGCAGGGAGTTCACATGGCTGACCGACTGGGCTCTAGTTGATGTACACCAGGATGTGGCCCCCGATTTGGCTAATCAAGTCATTGTCTCGAGAGCCCAACACTCACGTCTCCTCGACCATGAAGCTACGATACGCACCAGGAGCATTGGAGTTGATGATGTCACGCTTGAGCTATCTGGTACAGTTTCTGAGTCTGAACTGATGGCAATGCCGAGGGACGAAAGCAACCAAGCGATCGTCGCCAAATTCGGTGCGGCCACCGGGCTAACGTTAGGTTCGAGTAATGGTATGTACTCTTCCCTCAGAACCGGAAAGAACAGTTGGAGCCAAGAGTGGTGCATCATAGGCATGAAAAAGGACCCTAATCAGGGCATGCTAGCACAACGGACCATGTTTTCTGCGCAGGGCGACTCTGGTGCAGCGGTCTGGTTCCTAGATGGGAAGATAGCTGGTATGTTAACGTCTGGCCGCTGTCGTGGAGTTGTGGATGTTACCTATGCTACCTCAATTGAACGCTTACTCAACGACATCAGAGGAAGGGGGTATGATGTCGAACTACCCTAGTTATGCTACATGGACAAGGGCAGAAGGGAGTCGAGATGAGTTAAGGTCAGTCTAAACAAACGCATGGTTGCAGTGCCCAGGGAATTACGCAGTATTTTACTAAATTGCTGATATTTTAGTGATAATGTAAGAGACTCAAGATTGGTATTTGCTTTCGAAGGCGGTGAGGATTGAAGCAGTCATTAGAGAGAAAAAGTCGACTCCTGATGCCTTCTGAATTGATACTGAGCGGAAGCCCTAGATGTGGCATTTCAATAAGATTGAACGATCGACGCTATAGAATATTCGATGTTTTCGTATCTGTGCAAGTATTTTCACCAATCTTCTCCGGTCAACACAGTTGATAGGACCAGAATGGCTCCCTAAGCAGAATGAAAAGCTTCTACTAAGCTCTCGGGATGACTCTCGGGTCATTGCCTGGACCAGTCAGCCCACGAAAGAGCCCTGGAGACGAATAACTACCCTTGCTTGTGTTAATTCATGCAGTGCTTGTGTGCACAGCCCTGTCTGATGGAGCCAAGTGCCCTGCCAAGATATTGACTGTTGTATGCCCTGTCGCTATTCCCAGTAAAGCCACATTGGTGATTGAATCGCACATCTTAGTTTAAATCGGAGGAATCAGCACTTCTTCTGGCGTAAGATCTCCTCCTCGTCGTGAGAGGCAATATATCCAGCAGTTCTCAAGACGCTCCCCGGGAAAACAGAGGTCGCATCACTCTTCAACCAAAGTAAACACAAATTACAAAAATACAAGGATTTTGAGTATTCCAGACCAATTGCAGCCGTCCACAATGGGATCCGCCTTTTGCTACTCAGGCCGGGCGGATTTATCGATGACATCCAAAGCGACCTCGTGGACGTCTGCTTCGACGATGAGCTTAGTTACGAGGCACTCTCGTATACTTGGGGTGACGGGAGGTCACAGCGTCCGATCCGTGTCAACGGATCCCGGCTAGATGTCTCAGCGAACCTTGGGGTGGCGCTGCGTCACTTACGATCCCTAACTGCCACGAGAGTTCTGTGGATTGATGCGCTTTGCATCAACCAGGGTGACTATGAGGAGAGATCGGATCAGGTCAAGAAGATGTTCCAAATCTACCGGCGGGCGACGAATGTCATTGCTTGGCTGGGAAAAGAGACTCGGGGCAGCGGGGATTCGATGGCCCTTGTTACGGACTTTGCTATGTTCCTCAGGGGAAATGGTGTTGTCGACTTGGAATCGGCCCAGAATTTCCACAATCGCGCCAAAAAGTCACGTAAAGGACCCAGTGGAGACCTGAATAATCTTGGATTCCCGTTCAAGGAAAAGAAACGAGGCTGGGAATCCTTGTGGACGCTTTGAGGCGGGCATACTGGAGCCGGATGTGGATATTGCAGAAACTGGCTGCACGAGGATATTGGGGGAGTAAAGACTCAACACCATGTACTCTTCAGTGCGGCTCGCATACCGCATCTATGCACGATCTTCAAACGATGTTTGATCATTTCAACATCATGTGGTCATGGTATTCTCCGAGTGAGGTCGGGGAATGGCGCCTTCAGCAGCCGTTCAAGTCATTCACGAGACAGGGCTTCATGGATCCCCAGGGCTTTACCATGTGCGCCACTCTGGGATTGTTTCACCTTGACCGTACTGCCGGAGGATCGACGCTGAAGAGGTTGCTGCACTTGTCGCACCCTCTGGACGCCTCGGGAGACCGTGACAAGATGTATGCCCTTCTCGGTCTCGTGTCCCAAAACCATGCAATAAGTCCAGAATACACCAAATCGCTTTCAGATATCTTGATAGACTATGTCAGGAACAGCGTCGAGACAGATGGCTCTTTGAATACTCTCTTCTCGAATCGTTTGTATCCGTGCGAGTCAGGGCTGCCAACATGGACGCCAGAGATTCGTAAGAAATGGCATGCTCCGTGCCAATGGGAAAAGCATGGGATTGACACATTGTTCAAAGCCAGTGGCAACAAGAAGGCAGATGTCGAATTCATCCCACACCAGGACATGAATCAAGAATCGGTAATTCTGCGCGCCAAGGGTGTGGTCATTGGCGAGATTGACCATGTCATCGGCCCTTGTCGCATCGATGATCTCGTACAACGTACAATCATGAAAAGATTTTCCCAATTTATCCACCGAGGAAGGTATGAGTTATTCATGATGGAGCTCAGCCAATTTGCATACGATCTCGAGAATGGGTCAGCTGACTACGGCTCCTTCTGGCGAACCTTGGTCTTGAATAGAAATGAGGATGTTAATGACACGCGGCAAGCCTCCAAGGGTCTGCGCATCGGAGGGGTCATCGCACTCCGAAGAGACTGGTTACAAGCAAAAGAAATGGCAGAGGTCGCCGCGGGTGAGGATGGCGTGAAGCATAGAAACACCTTCCGCCGGTGCGTATACAGATGCTTGATGAACCGTACCTTTTTCAGGGCCAGGGGCCACAGCTATACGTACATGGGCCTCGGGCCGTACGACGCCCGCCCTGGAGATCTGGCGGTCGTTTTGTTTGGGTCAGATCAGTGTTTGGTGTTGCGACCCAGGGGAGAAGAGATGGAGGGATATAATGTGATCGGGACGGCATATGTTCACGGCGCGATGCGGGGAGAATTGGTAGAGGAGCAAGATGTGCAACAGAGTGTATTCGATCTCTACTAAGAGATCTAAGCCAAGTCAAACAAATCATGGTATTATGTCAAATAGGAGATTCTGGCATCTCGAAGCCTCTGATGCTAGAAGGAGTGCTGTAGAAAAATACAATACGGATTTACCAACCTTGATCAACTCAAAAACCTACTGGGGGGGCAAGGTTGATCGACAGAGTTCAATTTCAAGATTTACAATTCCATCATCACCTGGCATGCCAAATTGTAGGTCCTCTCTTAATCCTCAATCATCTGAGGAAATGCTATGCTGAAGGAAAAAAAAAAGATTCGATCTATCGTCTAGTATACATCCAGTGCAGAAAAAGTAACACTCTGCTGGCGCGTAGGGACGGTACTACCAAACTCAAGCGGCATCCCGTTGTTCAAGTAGATGAAGGTATTAAAAACTCCAGCGGGGGTAGTAGAAGTACAGCCGAATGACGCTCCTGTTCGAGAACAGGTAAGTCGTCTGTAGTGGTAACCTGAGGAGTTTTCTGGTAATCCACCGTTCAAGTCCCAGACGGTAAGGTATCCGGGGTTTTCGTTGTCATAATCGCCCGTATACTCGTTGAATGTGTCATAAGTTGTTACAAGAGTATATCGGGTTTTGATACCCTGGTACACTAAAAAGGTATACCCCGTCGAGGGGTCGAGGTAAAACTGCGCAACTGACATATATGAGGGGGGTTGGGCCCCTGAAGAGTACACGAATAGACTGGTTGGGGGCAGTGGAGAATAGTAGTAAACAGGGCTACCCAAAGTTCCGCTGCCTGCTCCAGATGATAGTAGCGTGAATGCTGTTGGTTGGGGGATCAAGGTTGATGACGATGGAGTCGGAGTGGCTGAATCACTAGTTGGGACGGAAGAAGTTGTTGCTATCGAAAGGCTGGAAGGCGTGGGTGTAGTAGATATCGCGGATGTATCAGATATCGAAGACACATCTAGTGTAGTAGAGGCACTTGGTGTGCTTGATGAGACGTCTGACGAGGAAGCAATGCTGGGCGTGTTTGACGAAGTCCCGGCAGTTACTGAAGTGCCACTTCCGGGTGTAGGGGTCAAATCCGTGCTCGGTTCGTGTGGTGTTGGAGTACTACTTGAGCTCAAAGTAGTATCAAGGGCACTAGGTGTGGAAGCTTCAGGTGTCGTTTCGGAAACAAAAGAGCTCGAGACAGGAGTAGCGGTGGGCGTGGCAGAGGATGAGACAATAACTGATGAAGGAGAGTCGCTTGCTGAGGGAGTCAAAACGCTACTCCTTTGGCACTTGTGTTTGTGTGCAAGCCCTTCAGCAAGTGTTGCCAACACGACGAGAGAGGCGAGCGACCAACGCATCTTTCGGGCAGCAGTGGCGGGACGCTGTGGTTGAACGTGTAAAGTAAGGTTTCGGGACGAGAAAGAGGAAGAGGAAGAGGTCGCCTCGTTTTAGGAGAGAGCGTGTATATATCCACATGCAATCTTGCATTAGTATGCCGCGCCTTTTGGCTTTTTACCCGCGCTACTGGACGATGCCAATATTTCCCCCTTAGGCTAGAGAGTATTGGGAGTAGTTATCAAATGGCTATGGGCCTCGGCGATAGCGTGAAGAAGCGTCTGCAGTTGAAGAAGGAAGAAGACCAATCGTTGGTGGGGACTGAATCAATAGTCTTTGTTTGAGGTCCACTGCACACATTCCTACATCAAACTATGGATCAGTTTCATCTCGTCCTTTTATCCATTCGGAGATGGGAAAAAATCCACACATGCATCAGTGGTTGCCTCCCCAGTACCACATACTACCCTGCAATATGATACCCAAGTTGAGTTTTGGAAGACTTGAAAGATGAAATGAACTGATCATTTAGTTGCAGAAGCAGTATTGAATAGTTTCATGGGTGGATTCGTTATCTCTCCATGCCTTGGTCAAAGCGGACCCATTTTACTCTTCTTTATACGTGCACACACCGTTCTCTAGCAGACGTCGTCACCTAGCCGGATGTGAAAATAAAAGATAAATCAGGTCTCAACAAGTCATATTGGACCACTGTCAAGGGAAAACTCTCCGTATGATTAAATCATGAGAGTATATAACATTCGAAGTAAGAGTGCAGAAAACACTGATGGAAGAGCACATCGGAGTTGACGGATCAGAGAACGCCAGTCCGAGAACAAATCGGGTCTGCAGAAGCAGGCCAAAAAAGAAAGATAAAAACCCTGGTACAGTGTAACACTACAGCAGCGCCTGATTGAAGTTCTATGTGGACGATATCATAAATATCAACGCACTTGAGAGCCATCTTCATCATGTTATCCTAGAGTGGCATGACAGTATACTGACCATTTTCTCGTTGAGGCAGAATTATATTGTAAAAATAGAAAATATAAGGTAGATATATATCTACCGGCTCTCTCTTATGGGCATTGTTGAATCCTACTTATCGGGTGCGTGCTGGGCTGGGTGTCAGAGCCCATTAAAACGAATGGATCCTTGCATCTTTGGTCCAGTAACGAAACTTCTTTCCAAAGAAAATGAACACAATCATTCCCAGAAGAGTGATTCCTACAGTCATAGCCATAAGAAGCATCGTCGGTTGAATGAAACCACTAGCAGCCGCCCAGTCGTTCATAAAGTAAGTCATGCCAAACTACATTATGCAAGTTAGATGGATACAAATGGGCCCCTTTTCAGAAAGACTTACCCCAAACGTATTCTTGCAGACGGTTGCAATTACCATAATCTCGCCCGTGACGGGCTTGTATGAGTCGATTGCGTAGGTGATCACAATCGTTGGTATCGCAACAACTTGTACACCAACTAGGCCGAACCCAACGACGACCACAGCTGGCCAAGGCCACTTGTCTTGCACTCCCACCCCAAAAGCCTACTCATTATGATTAGACGAGATTATTGGTTCATAAAGTCTAGAGACTCACCACTAGGCCAACGAGAGCGGCAGCAATGAATGGGGTTAGTGATATCAATCTCATCTCCGGCTCGCGAATCCCCCCATTCCGTTTCGTGGCTTTCTGTGAAATCCAGTCCGACCAAGGGCCAGCGACTCCAAGGCCGATAATACCTCCTACGACCAACGCAAAGTTTGCATATCCTACCTGCGCGGGAGTGAAATTGTACGGTGGCGCGGCCAATGCTTGCGACTGTAGTAAATTTACGGCAAGCAGAGCATTGGCAGCGCAGCCCATGGACATGGATGCCCAGAAAATAATAGGGAAGAAGAATATCTGCACTGGAGTCAGAAAGTGACGAATGACATGCTTAAGAGCCAAGCGGTCGATAGGTTGAAAGAGGTTGAATTGGGCCCGGCTAGGTCTTCCTTTGCCGACGCATTCATGTCTTATTGTCAATGCACTGGGTAAGTCCAACGTCGGGCTTTCGGTTTTATGCTCGTCTTGATCCATGGCGTTACTCGAGGATTGGCAAGCTTGGCTGTGGACATTATAATCGTCGTAGCTTCGACGCGTTTCGGGAAAGAAGAAAACCAGCGCGACCATGTTCACCCCCTGTGCAATCGTGCAAGCCCAGAAGAACCAACGGTAAGAGACTCGGTCAGTAACAGCGCCGGCAATGACAGGGCCCAAGAACAGCCCAACGAAATAACACCAGCTAGAACAAGTCAGCCACCGAAGTGTTGCAAGGACGAGGTGGTCACGTACAAGTATGAGCCCACATATTTACCCCGTTCATGGAGGAAGTACATGTCCGCAACAACGACATTCATGATGCTCTCATTAGCTGAGGCCCCAGTGCCGGTCAGGATGCGAGCCCCAAGGAAGGAGCCATAGGAATTTGCCGTTGCCGACCAGATGAGGGCGGCCATGTTCAACAGACAGCAACACATGAGTGTGATACGCCGTCCAAATATCTCGCTGCAGGGGATGATGATAAAGTTACAGTATCCTAAAAGCATAACCGTAACTCCAGTCTATAAGATGTCAATTTTTAGGGTATGAATGTTATTGTTTGGATGTTCCTACCAACAGGGCCACATCGGTCAAGGATCTGTTCCATGTCTCCATGAATAACGGCGTCAGAGGGGCGATAGAAAGCGCTGGAATAACGCTCGAAATCACGAAGAAGCCTTGGTTGACCATTACCAAGGTTTTCCACCAGAGACTCCAATTCTATGCACAGGTCAGTGATAAGATGTGGGCACCATTTAGATTACCAGCACGTACCAGAGGATCGTGCGGATCGTTTGTCGGCTGCGGAATTAGGATTGCGGAGGAGGCAGTATTGTGGGCATGGGCAAGGTGTTTCTCTTCAACCTCTGCCATGACCTCTGTACCTGGAATCATCTCAATCTGCTCTCCTTCTGTCGGCCCCCCTTCATGATGTGCAGTGTGTGGTGTCTCTTTCGTATCCATGGCAGCTGAAATCAACGGTTTCTTCATTCGGTGAAGACTACGATAATCCAAGGGGGAACAGCATTTCCAAATAAAGCACGGAAGTAATATATAGCGAATTGATCAAGGAAAGCAGTCTGATTTGTCCCTTTGCGGGGCCCCGCAAACTTTGAACTCAGGTCCCACCACCAAGGCCTAGAGCTTCGGCTGAAGAGACGCGCTTCAGTGTTCGGACCGTCTGAATTTGACACTAATCTATCTGGCAACCTGGGCATTGTCGATCTCTTGATTCACCAATTACTAACAATCCGCTGCACGTGTTGTACAATCTCCCACGCCATCAGCGAAGTCTAAGACTAGAATCTCCTTGCCCAGTTTGCCTTTGATGAATGCCACCAACTCCCGATGGGCTGGGTCATCCTTCACGAAATACCGCCTATCTTCGTCATTCTCGAAGACAAGGATCGATGCAAGATTGAATCCTACAATCCAATGTAACATGGAGATTAGCGAGCTTTGCTCCGGTAATGGGCAAGCGTAGAACCTGCACTTCACTCATGGCGGCGGCGGGACTTACCAAGGCTCCGGACATTCTCAGCTGGACGTGTTGTGCCGCATTTGATTGACTTGATGTACGGCTCTCCATTTCGCTTAGCCGTAGTAGCGAGATTTTTGATGTACTGAACTGCGGTACTCAGTGCCTCATGCTCCCGAAAGGAGTATAACACAATATGCTCTATTGGTTGCTGGGCCATGACTACAGAATCCCCGCTGGATCTGCCGAATTCTACAATGAGAAGATCAATATTCGGAATGGTATCTTTCAAACGCTCTACGGCCATCTTCGGCTTTAAATGACCCAATTGTGGCGGGACCATGGTTTTACTCACACCCTCAAGAATGGTCCCGCCACCATAAATCGCCATCCGACAAGAGTGTCCCTCAAGCACCCACAAGGAGACTATTGGTCCCGCAGGCTTGATACAACTACTGACACCCATTATTGCACCGAATCTACCTTGCAAGGATCAAGGATTCGATCAATCCGGGGACCCCAATACGCGGAGCTGCCTCCATCTGCCGAAAGCCGGAAAACCATATCAATGGAGATACTGCTGCTGGCCATTAAACCCCACCATCAGAGCTTGACGCAAGAGAAAGTGTCAGACCACTTGCTTTTGATTCCAAACATAGTTACGCCTCTAAAAACCTAGAAACAAAAATGGCATCTGTTGCTACTCAAGTTGTACGTTCAGCCCTATCTGCTCTAATCCAGGTTAACCACCCGTGCTCATACGAGAACAGTACATTCCCCCGCCAAGTAGTCGTGGGGCTTCAGTCTCAGACATTGAAGCTATCGGAAAAGATAGTGAGCCAGCAGCAGAGTGGCGTGCTAGAGCAGGCATCGACATATCCAAACAAGTCCGTTTGGTGAAGCTTGTCCATATGCGATACCAACATCCCGACCTTGACGAAATCACAACATTCCTCCAAGATTTTGGTATGCACATTGTCAAAGCTACCGATGAAAAGAGATGGTTCGGAGGCTACGGTCCCGATCAATATGTTTATTATGCACAAAAAGGACCACGGAAGTTTTTGGGAGGGACTTATGAGGTGGAGACTTTCGCCGATCTGGAGAAAGCTTCCAGAATAAAGGGGGCTGGACAAATCGAGGCTCTAGAAGATGCTCCAGGAGGTGGGCATCTCTTAACTTTGATAGATCCTGAAGGCTTTCCTGTTAGCCTCATCCATGGACAAGACCCCGTCAAGGTTGGAGAAATCCCCAAACAGCTCGTCATGAACTATGAAGCCGACAAACCAAGAGTGAGAGAATTCCAACGCTTCAAGGAGGGCCCGGCAGCTGTGCATAAGGTAATCCCATGCTATATTCAGATACCTAGAAGAAGAAAAAAACACAGCTAACCGACTTCAAGCTTGGTCATTACGGTCTCTGTGTGCAAAACTTCGACACCTTGCTGGCTTGGTACACGAAGAACTTTAACATTGTACCTACTGACTTTCTCTATGTACTCCCCGAGGGTAAGAGGAAAATTGTGGCTGTTTTCGCACACATTGATCGCGGAACTGACTATGTTGATCATCACACTTTCTTCATGTCTACAAATAAGACCTCGCATGTTCATCACTGCTCGTTTGAGGTCCACGACTTTGATACGCAGCAAATAGGGCATCAGTGGCTTGCAAAGAAGGGCTACAAGAGTGTTTGGGGAGTGGGGCGTCATATCTTGGGGAGCCAGATATTTGATTACTGGTGGGACACAACCGGAAACATGGTCGAACACTATGCAGATGGGGACGTGATCAACTCCGAGACACCAATAGGTTACGGGCCAGCCGGGGATGAAAGCTTGGCGGTTTGGGGCCCGGATGTCCCAAAGACATTCCTGGACTAAGAGCTACCTGGTTATTGAATGATACCGATATGATGTCAGGGTCTTAGCTCAATAGGTTGAGCAGGCACCTAATAGAATGAAGAGATTTCATCTTTTGTAAAGGCACAATTCATTTGGCAGCGGGGCGACATGAACATCGACAGAGCACGTGAAGATATGTGTTAATACGCTGCGTTTTCGCTTGTAGATGGCATCCCCATTGCCCAGACGTAACAATAGTTGGACCTCGAGATAGGGGACGATATGCTACTAAATTCTATGTTTTATCACTTTCAACATACGCAATATATGACTTGGCTTGGTGATGTATTTTTGTATCAATTCGTAGTTTATTTTAACCCTTAGTGAGCTCGTCCCAAAGACATTCTAGTATCGAGGCATATCGGTGCGAAATTTCCCAATGGCCAATCCGGCGTAACAGATCAATAGCATTGCAAAACATACTTGGGTCAACTGGCAAACTAACTGGCAGGCCTTTAATGCCCTGGGCCATTTGGGATGAAAGTGCTGTCCATGATACCATGAACTCTGGCATTGTCGCCCTATTTTGTACTGGCATTTGCAAGTTTTCTGTTGGCCCGAATTTCGTGTAGCAATGAATGACAATTGCAGCTATAAATAATGCTCTGGGGACGTGCATGGCTGGCTCCACTGAGATGGACAAACTCTCTGCTCGCTTGAGAAGCATCCATGCATGGAGCACCGAGCGACGGCCTTCGGGCGAAGCTGACCATATGCGAGCCTTGTAGGTGACTTTCTCTGTTATTATGTGCCTATCCCGGCCTATGGCACGCTCTAGAAGATCAAGATCGGCATATAGAGCGATATGGGTCAAGTGCCACATGATTACTAGACCTATGGGGTGGTGTCTTGGATCTTGTAGTGCATGATCATGATCGTGATGCCATTGAAGAAGAAGCTCTTGAAATCGCCTGACATCTGCATCACACAACAGACTACCACGAATTTCTTGGATAGACGCTAATATCCCAGCTAATGAAGCGTACCAAAACATCATCGATCGACGATGAGATAACTGTGAGCCTCGGAGAGGGCCCCTAGGATAAGCATTGGGGGATCCTGACAGCTCAGTGCTCTTGGCTGTTCGAACAAGACCTTGCCACTCCATCGCCGAAGCGGCCGAGAATAGCTCATCAGAGCAGCATTGAGGAAGTCTGGCTACCGTATGCCTCAATAGTGGTTCGTGGTGAAACGTGGTGGCGAGCTCCGTGTCGTGAACATGCAGAGCAAGGACGAGGCGAATGGATGCTTCTGCCTGCGCCCACCTCTTCCACGCGTACTCTGGACTTGATCCGCCATCTCCATCAATGGTGCCTAGCGAATCACGCATGTTGAAGAGCCCAGCTTGCCTTGCCCAAGCAACGATGGTGCCGTGGAAGCTCTCAGTCAGGCAAAGGTCTTGGGACTGTCCTGAGAGCATACCAAAAGTCTGCCCAATAGTAGCTGCCTGGATTAGGGAAAGAGCTTCCACGCTTCCACGACGAATATAATTCTCCCACTGCGTGATATTAGAAAATATTCGGTTTTCTAAGAGGGAGCATTGATGTAACTCACGGACGCTAGGACAGCCTTATTGAGAATTTGAAAGATCCTTCTGCCTTTCACTGCTGCGCTCGCAGTCCCTATAAAAAGGGCCCCTATTGAGCAAATCGAGAGTAATACTAGCGCGTTTTCGGACGACGGTCGGAACGAAGGTGCATGGATAAGGGGCATGACGGGATTGAATCGTGAGAAGTAGAGTTTGACGCAAAGATTCTATCCTAGTTAGTGAAAAGGCCACCGTCGTACGCTGCACTGATTACAACTCACCAAAAAGTCGGCTGAGGGTAGATTTGGGTTGCTCATTCGTGGCTGTAGTCTATGGGAAAGCCCTTCCCGATACATGTCGTCCACGCAGTCTTGGTCGAGAAAGTGCTCACTTGAAGGCTGAGGGCTGGGATCTCGAGAGAGTCTTGTGTGCCATTTCTGCTGCACTGCCGTGGCAGCGGTAGTGACAGCAGCGTCTTGTGAGGATAGAAATGGATTCAAGCGGCCGAATGAATTTGTACCTGGCTCCAGGGGTCGCTGGTCGGTCGAGTCGATCGTTGCTGGGTAGTGAGCCCATTCCGAAAGAACAGTGCTTATCGAACTGTTCAGCGCGTTGATATCAAACTCTTCCCCTAACAGCCAGGCAGGTTCTTGGATATTAAAGCTCACAGCCGCGTTCTCGATATCCCCGGGTGGGTTGAGGATGTTTGTTGGAAAAATGGAAAAGTCGGGGCCTGCAGGCCCCTCTGGGGCTCCTGCTGCGCCCAATGTCTCAACTTGGTGAGCAGAAGGAGACAGTGTAGAAATATCCTCCAGTAGCTGGGATTGGGATAGCGACAGGCTGGTTCCTGAATGTGATGGAGGTGGTGATACAACTGCGCCATTCGAAGTTATGTCACCATCGTGACCAACGTGTGTTCTTGCGTGTCGAAGCAGTGAGTCACTGGTAAGTGGTCAGTATAGAATCCATCAGACACCAGGGCCATTCCGTAACGAGCTTACTGGCGACTGTAAGCCTTCCCACAGCATTCACATTCAAATGGCCGTTCCTTGGTATGGGACCTAATGTGGCGGGCCAGGTGCTCGGTTTTAGAGAAGACTTGGCCGCATTGTGGGCATTTCCTCTCCTGAATTTGTCGACGTCGTGCTCCAGCCTGGACTCCGACTTGAACGCTGCGAGTATCTGCCATCGAGGTTGTACACGGGTGGAATCTGGGGTAAAGCCCGATGAGGGGAGGGGCAAGTATTTGTGGCGGGGAGGTGGCGGGACTGGAGCCGGGTTAGATTGATAGAGTTGCGGGGAAGAACAAACTCTCACGGGATAGCCGGGGAATGGAAACGTAAATATTGGAGGGTTGTTTATCCGAGTCACCCGGGTCAGGTTACCTCAATATAATCGGGGAAATGGGTAACAGTAGGCAATATGCATATTCAAAGGAGACTTTTACTTTACTGTTAGGTTCCATATGATAGAGGCTAGCCACTTGATTGCATGGTGAGCGAGGTGCAAAAACTTCAACTTAGACGCACAGTTATTGGCTAACTAGGTCGTATTACCGTAAATCCGCAGATATTCAATGTATCGGGTCTATAGTCTCAGCAAGGAAGGCGTTTGCTGCTACTCCAATAAGGAGCCTAACTACCTACATTGGTTCATACTTGACCTTGTTGACTAGCGTTCCTATCTTTTCAATCTCAATCCTCACATCGCTTCCGTCTTCGAGGAAAACGCGCGGCTGGCGAAAGTATCCAATCCCTGCCGGGGTGCCCGTCAATATAATGGTTCCTGACTCAAGCGTTGTTCCTTGTGACAGATACGAGATCTGCTTCTTCACATCGAAAATCATATCCCGTGTGTGTCCATCCTGTAGAATCTTGCCTTGGTAAATTGTCTTGATCTTAAGCTGCTGGGGATCCTTGATTACTGAGGGAGAGACGAGCACAGGTCCTGTGAGATCGTGTTAGTTGTCGAAATGTTGTTCAATGTACCAACCACTGCACTTACCAATAGGGCAGCTACCATCCAGTCCCTTGGAGAAAGACCATTGCGATGTCTTCATTTGAAGGTCCCGGGCAGATACATCATTCGAGGAAGTGTAGCCAAGCACGTGGTTCAGGGCTTCGTCTTCCGGGATGTCCCGTCCGCCTGTGCCAATAACAACACACAGTTCAGCTTCAAAGTCGCTCGTTCCATCTTGGGCACACTTTGGAATCGTGATTGCTGCGGGGTAGGGATCTGACAGAGCCGTCCTCGGCTTTGCGAAAAGAATTGGCGCTGCTGGTAGCTGCAGGTTTGCCTCCTATTCAGAGGGTTAACACTCCGCTTCGGGATCCATTTTGGTCCGTAAGATCTACCTTTGCATGATCGTTGTAATTAAGGCCCAGACACCGAATGAAATTGCACTGCTCCCTGCTCACTGGGGAGAGCAACTGTCATGAATCAATACCGACTGGGCTGTTCGTGATAATTGTTTGGAATCAAGCAGAATAAGGCTTACCTGCTTCACCGTATAAACATGGGGTGTGATCTTTCCATTGAAGAGATCGCCTACAATCAAGTATGCCTTGATTTCCACGCCATTGACAGAGTCTAAGCCAATATCTCGCGAAGTGTCGACCAGCTGTCCCAGGTGAACCTGGTTGTCTTCGACTGCGATGAATCGCACAAGATGTGTCCAGTCAGGCATTTTGGTCCGTAGTATCAATGAAGTTACTTGCTTGGTGTCCTATGAAATCTAACCCCTCGAATTGGGTGTTCATAAATGCACCCACCAATGCCGTATATCCGAATCAGCACCACCCAGGTCCCGCATCCGATTCCGATGCTCACATGACCCGCCACAAACTGGTCCCGCCACAAATCGGACGTCCCGCAGACCCCAAAACGCCGGGGTAGAGACTCCGGGGTAGAACTCGCTTGCCTTGGTAGACCATGGGGATTTTTAGGGGCTTATATTGAACGTCTCTTGAAGTCAAGGGCCCACGATGGAGATCACGACACAGAATATCAACCACTTGATTAAAGCCTTCTTAGCTGACATCTCTCGTTCACTATGACGTCTGTGGAAACAACTGATGTGCTTGTTTGCGGCTGTGGGCCCACAGGGGTCATGTTGTCAGTGTTACTTGGACGGCACGGTGTTCAGAATATTGTGCTGGAACGCGACCTTGAAGTGAACGTCGATCCCCGTGGAATCGCTCTGGACGAGGACGGCGTGCGTTATCTGCAAGCTTGTGGGATATATGATAAAGTATTTTCTGAGATTGGCCAATGTAAGTGTCCCTGGTCACTTCGGCTTGGCTGTACTAACACTGGCTGACCAGGTGTGGGAAACTTTCGGTTCGTTGGCGGCGTTCATAACAATCTTCATAGGAAACCGTTCATGGTAATGAACTACAACACCGTACGCAACACTTTTCAGTACTGGATTGGGGAAGTTTCCAAACTAATAAGAATCTTAGACTGAAGGGGGTACTGGACATCCAGGCTTTATTTGTCACAAACAACCGGTTATTGAGACCAATTTACGGTCACGTCTGGTAGCCGAGCCCACTTCAGATCTCCGTCTCGGCTCAACCGTCACCTCAATCCGCGAAGATGAGCAATGGGTTTTCGTAACATACCAAGACGCGGCTGGCCAAGAAAAGCACATTCGCAGCCGTTTCGTGGTTGGTGCTGATGGGAAAACGGGTTTCGTGCGGAAGAAGTATCTGGAGCCGAGAGGAATTCGTCTAGAAACCGTCTCTCAGATGCCTTACGAGGAGACCTGGGTCGCGCTGAATTGGAGAATATCGTTACCCACTCCAAAAACGCATCCCAGATTCCCGCTTTGGGAGAAAGGATACACACCCGAGCAGGTCTACGATGCCTTCTTCCCTTCGGAGTTTCGGTTTTTGTGTAATCCAAACCGCCCTGCTGTATGCGGTCGATTTGGAACAAGTGAGGATCGGCTCTGGCGTTTCGAATTCGTAATTCGCCCGGATGAGGATGGCCACACAATGGCAAGCCCACAGAAGATCCGCGAAGTGGTATTCCCTTATATCACGCATCCGGGAAGCACCTACGGGCTCGATATCAGTGCGATACATTACCCAGATGACTGTATTGAAGTGCTTCGCTCACGGCCATTCAAGTTTTCGGCCCGAAGCTGTAACAGATGGTCCCAGGATCGGGTGATTCTATGTGGAGATGCCGCGCATGTATTTCCGCCATTTGGAGGCCAAGGAATAGCATCTGGCTTTCGAGATGCTATCGGGCTCGCCTGGAGACTTGCCATCGCTACACGTCAACCCTCCTCCACGGAGACCGCCAATTATCATAAGTTGTTGGAAGGGTGGTACACCGAACGAAAGCAACAACTGGATAGGTCTCTAGCATCGACTGTGGAGAATGGCAGCTATGTAACGGAAGGGAACTGGTTTAAGATATTCGTCAGAGATTGGTATCTTTGGCTTATACAGCTTGTTCCCAGCTGGAAGCATCAATTGGAGCAGGGCAACCGCCGAGATGGGATGGTGAGATACTCCTATCAGCCCAATAAAGGCATGGCATTCTTGGCACATCTTGGGGGCGGGATCAACTTTCCCCAGGTCTACTGTACCAAGCTCAGTCGCAACGATGCTGCAGACCCTATCCAATTCACGGATGACATCATTTTTGAGAAAAAGAAGAAAGGCCTGTTCCAGCTTGTGGTGTTATTGAAATCTGCAGACGAGGTTACTGACGCCCACGAGATCTTAAGATCTCAGGATGCCAACTCGCCCGGGTTACTTCACATAGACGAGGCTACCTTCATTATCAATACCACGCGAACCTATTCTAACCAAGGTTTTAGAGATAAGACAGTGCTTCATCGATTGGTAACTGGTGAAGAGTTTGCGGCAGACACATCTCTCTGCAAGGGCCGACCAAAACCTCAATATTACGATCCCTACAGAATGTCTAGAGAAGTGTCTGGGAAACCATTTGTGATTCTGAGGCCCGATCGTTTTGTATTTGCAGCTTGCTCGACAAAGGCAGAGTTGAGAGAGGCTCTTGCAGCTTTGGACTTGTTAAGTATGGGAAACCTATAACGGTCTAGGTTCCATCTCAGTAAGTCTTGAAGGAGTTCATGTTCGTTGGGGAGCACATGAGTCTAAACAATCGAGCCAGTATCTACATTCTGAGTCATATATAGCGAGCAATCGGATTTGTTGTGCACATTGAAGATTTTTGTCGAACGGCAACGTATTGACGTAGCAATTACCGAACGATCGAGCACACGGGTTTTCTTCCTCCACATGTTAGATTTGCGACTGTAATTACCCCTCTCCTATTATTAGATTGCAATTGCGGTTAAATGATTGCTTTGTCAGCTCTTGCGCTTGCGAAGGCTGGATCGTGATGAGATGGGGCGTGAGAAATTAATTTTTCGTACCAACGTTCATAACTTAAGTGGAAGACGGCTATCTCTAAGTAAACAATTAAGCTTTTCGTTGGAGAACTCCCTCTTACTAGCTGTGTAGCATGGTTTCAGATTCAACATACACGTACACGGCTATCGCTGCCCCACGAAACATCCGTCTTATTCACCTCCACCCTGGAAGTGAGACTGACCCGGCCTCTCTCTCTCTTGCAACCGTTGCCCTCGACTCTGTTCCCGATTACGAAGCCATTTCGTATTGCTGGGGCCATGCTGCGGACCAGCGCCAGGTTACATGCAACGGTGCAACCCTCTCCATCACCAACAGCCTCTTCACCGGACTTGTCGCGTTTCGACGACCAGATCGACCCCGCATTCTCTGGGCAGATGCCATCTGCATCAATCAGGAGGATTTAGTGGAGAAGCGCAACCAAGTACTCCTTATGCCCGAGATCTACTCACGGGCTAAACGCGTTCTCGTATGGCTCGGTATCGCCGATGATCCCGTGTACGGGCGCGTACCGCTAAGCGTTGTAGATTCAATCCAAGAGGCCCTGCAAATGATTCCCGAGTTTAACCCCGAAGATGCCTCTGGAATGGTAGCGACCATACGGGCGCTATATGAAGATTCGCAACGGTTAAGTGAACAGGGCAAACCGAATCTGTTGGATCACGATTGGCTGCCTCTGGGCGCACTTCTGTCGCGCCCATGGTTCCGCCGCAAGTGGATGATACAGGAGATCTCCCTCGCCAAGGAAGTTCTAGTTCATGTTGGCAACGACGTCCAATTCCCATGGCTGAACATAGCACAGCTGATGTTCAGTATCGGGGTATTGAACATCGACAGTGCTGCAAGCCTACAAATAGGCAAGGCGCAGAATGTCCCAACTCACCAGAGAGATCGAGACGGCACATTAAGGGAACCCATAAGTGGCGACGGAGAGGCTAAGAAAACATTCAAGGGCTCCTCGTTCTCATTCAACGCGGCGCTGCAATGCGCTGCGGCTATCTATATGGTTCAACTTTTTCGACATACTGGCACACTCCTGGACGGAGTTGTGGTTGCGCAGTTGTTTGAATGTACCGACCCTAGGGATCACGTCTACTCGCTCTTGAGTCTTATTTCCACAGGCCCAACTATCCAGCCCGACTACGAAGCCTCCCTCAGCGACGTGTTTCGCCGTTTCGCCAAGGCAATGCTGGTAGAGGGTCAGAGCCTAAAGGTTCTCGGCCTGGCACCCAACAAGCATGCTTTCTACAAACCGGACGCGAAGGACGTTGAGGGCCTCCCGTCGTGGGTTCCCGATCTGCGAGACATTCATTCGAACGTCTTGACCGGGTCTTCGGTTCGGCCCCAAGCATTCTCCGCCGGCGGAAAAAACAAGCCTATCCTGCAAATATCTGCGGACGAGCGTATCCTCAGCTGCTCTGGCCGGGTCGTCGACAGTGTCAAAGCCTTCTCCACAGGCTTGTTAGACATGGTCCTGGATGACATGCCTGAGTTGAAGGCAAACCCGGCGATTTTCCTAGAGACTGACGATCCTCTGCCAGAACGGAGGCAACGACGTTTCGCCCGCTGGCTTGACGGATGCTACAGTCTTGCATTTGGCCACCGCTATGCGGATCGGGATATATCTAACCCTCAGGACCATTTGATGGGGTCTTTTGCGCGGAGCATGACGTCTGATATAGACTCGATGAGGAACCGCGCCGATCGAGAGTCTATATCCAAGTTTCCTCAATACATGGAACGGATATTTGACGACGTGGAAAAGGGTAACTTTGATTTGGAAATCAAATCAACCAAAATGCCCCCTGATTTAACAAGTTTGGGAGAAACCATTAGGGGTTTCGCAATATCCTTATTTTGTGTAACAGGAAATGGACGCTTTGGGCGGATACCTCATACTTCTCGTCCTGGTGATGTTGTGTGCGTCTTTGTTGGCGCTGAGACACCGTTCATCATACGTCCGACAGGTCGTGAAACATACACCATGATTGGAGAATGCTATATTGACGGAATAATGGATGGCGAAGCAATAGAAGGGTTCTCTGTAGATACTATTGAGTTAGAGTAGGCACCTGGAAGGTATATACCAGCAAATTAGATAGGCTTCATATGCATAACGTTCTGTACATAGCGATTTTGAGACTTTTTTTGCGGCATTTGCGCTGACATCTTTATTAAGATGAATACAAGCCTTCATACGACTAAGAGCAGATGAAAATACTTCATCCTTACTCACCTAAGAAAAATCACCTCTGGGAAATCGTCATCAGGACCAGACAACAGTCCTTCTTCACCACCCCGCAGAGTAAACCGTATAAAGTCGCTCAAATACTCCCTGACAACTTTCATCACTACTTCCCCCGTGACCTCTCCAAAAAAGGCCTCGGCCCCTTCTCGAAAGCCCGTGACATCTCCGATGATAGGAAAGTCGTAGTAACTTCCGTGCACTGAGCCATTTATAGTCAATTCTCTCTTCCACACGCTCGGGTGTATTGTGTCCATAGCATGAAAGAAGTTCCGCCACGTGGGCTCCTCAATCGAGCTTGAATTATGACCGATCGAGCCAAAGCAAAGAAAGGGACGGTCCACCCCAGTGTATTGCACGTCGCTCCACATCGCACCATCGAGATTCACGCCTGAAACCAGTCGTAAATCCTTAGGTAGCGTGTGGGCTGCTGAAGCACCCCCGTATGAATGGCCCATATAGACGGTTCTATTTAAGTTGAGAGTGTCCAAGATGAACGCAACATCTTGTGCTCGGATATCCAAGCCAAGAACAATATCCTCCTTGTCGTCAGGATTTGATCCCACCCTGCCGCCGAATATAATATCGCCGTTGGGGAACTGCACTACATCCGTTTCGTACGGGTGATCAATAACCATTATTTCGTAGCCCATGCTGGCGATTTGCTGTGCCGTTCCTGTATACAGTGTCCGAGTGGTATTGTGGCCTGGACCAAACAGGATAGTTGGGAACTTCTTTTTTGGAGGCCGATCTTGCTTGCAGCATATCTGAACCTCTAGCTTTCTAAATATGCCATTAAGCCATTCAAGGTCCGGAAAAGCTGCCTTGTAGATCTCTTCCTCTAGTCTCGCCATTTCTGGTGTCATGTACGGCACACGGCAGAGCTTTTCGCAACTTGACCTAGGTACAGGCGTAAAACGAGATACCATGAGCCGCCGAGGGTGAGTTGCATTGAAGGGGTCTACCCGGGAATTGTCCACTAATTCCGAATTCTCCCAGGCAACGTGAAATGGCCCCTCAGGGGGCGGAAAGAGCTGAGCCGCAGCCGAAGCAGCCAGCGAGACAACGTAAACCGCATCAAATCTCATCTTTTTGGGGGTGTTCAGCCAAGATGTAGTGATGAATAAGGGAAACAACAAGGGGTGAAGGAGGTGGCGATGGCACTTTAAAGCCCAACTTCAAGGAGGTATCAAGGGATATAGCGACCTTCCTATCATGGCATTCTCAGCGATGGATGACGCTTCTCACCGCAACCCCTCAATCAGATTCAACCCCAAAGTCCGTTCATAGACTCACATTTGAGGTATTGAGCCTCCTTTGCTACCCTTGTAGCATCCCCCTCACTGCATTAGTTAATACATTGCGATATATATAAAGCTTGATGAATGTGATTTCTTTTTTTCCCTTTTTCTTTGATGATTTTCCTACTTTATCTTCGAAGCATTCAGTACACAGCTATGCACTTGATTGTTTGATGAGTGGAACTTGGACGATGATATTGCTGGGCTTTCTTCGTATAAGTAGAGTCTATTACGAGTAGTTCTTCTTCTTAGTAATCGATACTGAAATTGGATCTGATTTATTAGTCTTGGATCATGATTCTATTATTAGAACTCAATACTTAGTAGAGATTACACATGTGAATATCTGGTTTAGCAAAGGCTTGACCTTGAGCTCCCAACTCACTGGTAAGACATGTGTGAAAATGAGAGTAGAAGTAAACAGTAAACTAAGTAATAACCAAACCTATACCCTCTGCCAATTCTAATTTTCAATAACTGTGCTTGCACTGATAGGACCACTACACGCAGAGTGTAGGGTAGGTGTTTACTTGATTTTACATGGTGTTATGCAGGACCCACAAATATACGGTGCATGTGGCGCAGCCGTTAGACCCACCAGGCGACGGTGAGCGAACCGTTTTCTGCGGCTGAGTTGGGCGCCAAACGAGGCAGACTTCAGGTTAGGTATTTAGTGCTTATATCGATCGACTGATGCTCGCCTCATGTTTCTCAGACCAAGTTGAGACGATTATGAATCGTGTTATTGAAATCTAGAGATTCGGACGAACCAACGGGTATCGCACTACTTTGGTTCCCGAAGCCATCATATCCAGTTGGTATCTGTTAGTCCTTGGCTGGCCACGGGCCAACCCAAAACGTTGATCCGCCCATGCCAACGGAGCCCTTCCAGCATGGACGTTTTCAAGCAAGCCCAGAGCCGGTTCCATCTGGCCTTGCCAACAGAAGAGCAGGCTAAATACAGGCCCTGCGGCTCTGTTGAGCAGCTGCTTACTGATGTTAGACAGTTCAGCCTGCTACCTAAAGGCAACAGGCGGCTCTCTGACTGCATGCTGAAAATTAAAGCCTTTACGGATAATCTTGAGCCGTATTTAGGTGTTATAGCCATAATATGCGGATCTCATGCTGGCCGGGCTGATGCGACTTTTGGCACATTAAGGCTTGTCCTCCAGGTGAGTAATATTTCTCCATCTCAGACCTTGAACCAGGATACTTATGGAACTAAACGATACGCGTGAACCTTTAGATGGCCAGTTCCTACGGTAGTTTCTTTGAGAAGCTCTGTGATGCGCTCGAGAGACTGGACATCAGGTTTCCGCGGTACCAGGAGCTTTACGACAAACTTAGCTCGCGGAAAGCTGGGCCAGTGGGACCAACGCTAACGAATGCGCTGGGGAAAACCTATGACTTTTTATTCGAGTTCTTTCAGAGCGTCGCGGGGCTCTTTTCGCGGCCAAGCGGCAGTAAGTCCGATAATTGCGAATGAGTGACTGATTCTCTAATACTGAGGTAGGGACAAGGCACACTTTTTCTACCGTTGCTTCTCTTGCCCGGAAGCCATTTGATGTCCGTTTCAAGGAAATACTGGAGAAAATCAGCTTCTACCACAACCTGGTCAAGGAGGAGATAGAGACGGAAAGAGTAGATGAGATACAAGACGATCTGTTTAAACTGAAAGCGGCAGCGGCAGAACAAGCTACAGAGAAACTGCAAAACACAGTCCTCGAGAAGCTGAAGGAGATTCAAGCAGGCCAAGCACCAAACAAAGCCCAGTTGACTCTGTTACAGAGTCTTCTTGTTGATGGATTTTCTCGTCAAGCAACACTCGAATCACAGAATCGATTACTCAATTTATTGTCTCAGTTCACGAACCACGAGGAGGCCCGGATACAAGGTTCGTAAATCACTTATCCAAGCCGGAGGGTGCCCTTCTAATGGCAACTAGCTGAATTCAAATCCACTGTAATTCGGTGGATTGACCCGCCGGATTACAAGGAAAATCTCTGCGATGCGCAAGATGAGCGCGCTGATGGAACTGCAGAATGGATCTTTGATAAACCCGCATTTATCCAGTGGCAGCTTGGAATACCAGAACAGGACTCTCCGTCAACATCGAATTCACCTAGCTCACTTCTTTGGGTCAATGGTAATAATCACACTGAACGATGCATCTTTCAAGAGCAAGACTGACAATATCAAAGGAAAGCCGGGCTCGGGGAAAACCGTACTCGCTGGCTCCATCGTGGAAGAGCTCCGGAGAAAACAAAAAACCCACATTATGGACTCGGCGGTTTGTTATTATTTCTTCAATCAAAATATGGGCAAGAAGAATAATCATGTCGACACTTATCGTGCTATCCTGGCGCAGCTGTTTCATCACTGCTACGAGATAGACGAAGTTTACGACGTCTTCGGCATGATAAAGATGAGCATTATTAGCGACATTCGGGCATCGGAGCACGAATTAATCGACACAATACAGTTGTGCCTTAAAGAACTTCCAAGATCCAATTTCATTCTGGATGGTATCGACGAATGCTCAAACGACACTAAGCTCCTGAAGAATATTAAATTCTGGTGTGAAACAACATCAGTCAAGATTATTCTTCTCAGTCGGCCAGATGTCTCAAGTTTGAGGAAGGCAATCTCGCCGACTTCGACCATTACTATGATAGATTCAACGTTAGGCAGAGATATCTGCCGGTATTTGACACCCGAATTCGATGACTTTCGAGACGAGGGCCTTTTGCCAAAGGATGCAGATATAGAAATGTTGGCACGCCATCTAGGAAAACGAGCTGAGGGGATGTTCCTTTGGGCTCGCGTGATGATCGAATACTTGGCCTCCCCAGCCTTGAGTAAGAGGCAACGGCTGGAGATTATCATGGAGGACACACCGGGAGGACTTGATCGCCTTGAAGATCTCTATTGTAAGATTCAAGACCGGATTGATGCCCTTGACGGACCAAGCAGACAATTAGCCCAGAAAGCGCTGGTATGGCTAGCTCATACTCGGCTCACACTTCCCGAGCTTAGCGAAGTAATCACCGACGAAGATTGGGTGTCTGATCGCGACGAAGGCTCAGACCACTTTGAACACGCTGTTATTGTGTCTTGCCGCGGTATCATCGAAAAGAGGTCCAATGGGATATTCAGGTATATTCATTTAACAGCAAGGGAGTTTGCTCAGAATGGGTCTCGGCGATCTGCGCGACAAGCATTGATCCCACATGCTCATATTGCCAAGGCCCAGATTGTTGAATATTGTGTCAGATACTTTAACAAGCGAATACCTGCAAATCCACTATCGGGACAGCTGGGAGTGACTGCTGATGTCAACATCATCATTGAGAGATGGCCCTTGCTGAAATTTGCCTCACGGAATTGGATGGCCTTCGCAGTTGAGTTGTTGTGTTCACACGAAACTGAATTCTCTGGGAACCAAATGGAAGGTCTTTATACCGAGATCAACGCGTTTATGAAAAACCGATTTTTCGTCATGGTTTGGATTGAAGCTCTGTACACATTGTGTCCGAGTGAAGTCTTAACATCCTTAGAGAAAACACGAACCAACATTGAACAAATGCAGTTGATGCAACTGCCGCCGGACTGGCAAGAATGCTGGCAAAACTTGAAAGAGCTGATCCAAGACGTTTGTCAAATAAATCTCGACTGGGGTGAAACTCTTATAGACACACCATACGAAGTTTGGGGCGACGTTGGCATCTTCCAGAAAAGCAAGTTTTTGGCCTCAACCAAGGCAGGCACAGTGGAATCCCTCGCAGCGAGGCTGCATGAAAAGGGAAGAGCAAACGCAGTTGGGCCTTTATTTAGCCAGTCTAGAAGCTCCCCAGATGCCAAAAGACTTGCTGTACTAAGCGTCTTTCCCTGCAGGTAAGTCGTCTCTACCATCTTAAATTCATACGAGCTGTATATTGATATGGCAAACTGTAGATTTTTTCGAGACGGTTGGGACAGGCATGACGATATACCATTTTATCCGGAGGCTCCGGTGCGATTTGTGACGACGGAACCATACGATAGAAGCACAACCGAAGAAGGCCAACACAGGAGGCCTCGTCCCTCCGCATGTTCCCCTCCTTCGCCACCTGAGCTGCCAACTGATCCAACTCCTCCGTTTTCACAGTCTGATTTTAGGGACGCATGTTCTAAATGGGTATTAACCTACGAGATCTTCTCTATCGAGGCTACCGAATCTAGGCGCCTGCTTTTCATGGAAGCGCCTATTGATGCTCTTTCAGTTGAGATATGCCTCAGACAGAGCCTGCTTGTTGACAGCAAAGACTGGATCTGTACTTTCGCTCTATCAATAGGACCGAACTTGGACAGATTCACGGTGTTGAATGTGTTGTTTGATGTGAGATCCGACCAAAGCTACCATTGCAGAACAATAGAATGGCCTCAGAGATATCGACCTTCATGTTGGGACACATCTAAACGCATAAACTCAGATGGAAGGGACACCTACAATTATCATTTCTCGTGGAGTTGGGATGGGCGATATCTGTTGTTTCGCGATCGCAATCTCAAAGCAATTCGATGGGTTCCACATGGGACTTGCCTCGCCATATTCTCCATCTTAGAGCCAGCCTCGGTTGGAGAGGGTATTAAATTGGTAAACTGCTTCTCTACCGTTTCGCTTACCACTGGATTCCATTCCTGTCACTTTCACCCAACCAAAGATCTTCTGCTACTGCGAGACGACAGAAATTTTTACTTATGGAAGTTTCTGGATGGTAAGTGTGATTTCTCAACTTGAATTAACTTGAATGATGAACATGATAGGCTGCTAACACTCAGATAAGAAAAGGAGCCTTCGGTCCTCCAGATCGCTGATACTGAGACTCGTCCAGGGCTCGGAATCGAAAGCATCTCGTTTTCTAGCTGTGGAAAGTACATTGCCATCTCCTACAGATTCCAGCCATGGCCAAAACTATATCCTTTGGCAACTTTGCTGGGGAACGAGGAAAATGTTGAGACTTGTCATGAGGTGACGGAGACGTCATCAGGTATAACTGAGGACTCGGCTGCCTCGAGCGCAGTTGCTGCCCGAAATAAGCAAACAGAACTCACAACTAACGCCATCATCAGCCGGGCCACTTCATCTTCAGTTGTGGTTAGGAAAAACAACGGAAACGAATTTGACATGGCCCTCCTGAAGGTGGCTCCGAAAGAGGTCCGGATTCGCCAAAAGCAAGAAGGAGAGGATAGTTACACATCTTTGATCAAGTTGCCCCAGTCTATTCCAACCAGAAATATCACCGCTGAGGTGACAGCGCCCATTGCTGGAGAAGACCCTAAATTCCAGGTCATTCTCAATGTTGGGCCGGAAAAAGTTTTTCTGAGCAGCGATGCCGGTGCCGCCGCAACGCATCTGCCCCTTGTTGTTCGGAAAGACCCTCGAGCATTAAGGCCACAACCATCAGATCGAATCACAGCGGAAGGCGCGAAGATCTCTCTTATTGATAGAGGCGCTGATGCTGTTCCGGAGCAGTTGTTAGAAGCCCCTAAGAATGATTCATCGAAAGCGGGAGCCAAGAAGCCACTTGAAGCGCAGTCCACTCAGGCAGCAACTGCGAAGCTCAAGCCCTCAAAGAAAAAGGGAAAGCTCATTAGTTGGTTTACAAAGCGGATGAAGAAATAAAGCCATGCTTAAGACATATCAAAAGATTGTAAAAACAAAATCTAATAATTAGCTAGTGGGGGTTATAATTTGACTAAATGTTGTGCAAATGAAGATATTCAACTCGAAAGCGTTTTGCGTAATTACATCGCATCTCAACCAGAGGTCCAGGCAACAGACAACTGCCTCGTGGTTTTCACATCCAACACCTCTTAGACTGTTACCTTTCCTATATCAAAAAGCGGATGCTTGACTACCATCTCGTCTGTGTAATGGTCCTATTTCCCGCACTTATCTCAGGCGCATAGTCCGCACCCAAGTGCTTCGCAATGGTTCCACGGATAATCCACGCCCATAACCTCCAGCTGCCAAGCTAACCTGTGCCACGGTTCGGACCTATAGTGACGGCAAAAACAAAGGTGTCATCAGCCTTGTATTTGGGGAATGAGACGCCCGATCAGCCAGACCTGCATGGCCGGCGCAAGGTAACCAATTTGAGTATCAGCATGCTTGCCCGTGGCCGTTTGAGCGTTGGCGGCGTCGCCCAGAGCGAATATATTGGCGTAACCTGTGGCGTGCAGCGTCGTGCGATCGACCTTGACACGACCATCAGGGTCAAGCACTTCTTCTGGCACGAAAGCGATGCTCGGTCGTACACCGAACGCCGGGATGTAGAAATCAGCCTCAAGAACGGTGATGGCGGTATCATCCGGCACTTTGTCAGTAGATTTCAGCACGAGCGATTGGTTCCTAGCAGGAGTAGTAGAAACTTCGACGACATGCGTATTGGCCATAACCTTAACCTTAAGTTGAGTTAACTCGTCAACAACAGTCTGTCGTATATCTAAACGCGCTTCAGGTCCAAGGGGTAAGACATCCGCGGCTATTAGAGTAACGTCTTTGCTTCCTGAAAGACTGTACTATTGACTCAGCTCGCCCGCTAACTCGACGGCCGCCAGTCCAGCACCGGCCACGACAATAGATCCCGTCGTTGCAATCATCCCACGCAAGCTCTGCATCGCTTATTTAGTCGTCTCCGTATCCGAGAGGTTCTTGAACGGCATGTCGTCTTTGCAAGAGGAACCAGTCGCGATGATGATGGTGTTGCACTCGATGATCCGTTGCGGTCGGTCGGCTGCGTTGGGCGATATCATGGCGCGGTGCGCTTCGGGCTGTAGGCGTTGAGAGACGCCCACAATGTGCTCTTACTTGGAGCATTCGCACTTGGCAAAGGCTGGACCAAGGGGGAGGAAGATCTTCTTGTCATCAAGTAGGCCAGGTACATCGGCTCGAACAGTAGCATAGGTCCAGAGCATCTCGTCATTGGGGCTGAGCAGAACTACACGCAGGCACACCGACGCCGGGGAGTGTTTTAGCAAGTGATGGGAAAGCGGAACGCCGGCCATTTCGGCGCCGAGATAATCACTGTGGGTGTTGCCGTTGGTGTCGAGTCTGGGCCGGCTAACTCATGAGTCTTCCGGAGCTTGCGGCGTTGAAAGACAAATAGGCTAGCAAGAACTAGCAATTCTGTTTTGTACAAGGATCAACGGGGCCGGAGATCACTTTACCGTAGAATATTTGAAGAAAGTGAAAGTTTGCCGTTGAGAAGTGATTAGGGGTAGAATGAGAGATAAGAGAGTGAACGAAATTATGAGGGTACTAATGGGGCTCAGAAATGTCCTTTCCAAGGCAACTCACTCACGTGCGACGTGGCGGATACTTCTATACCTGGCGGCATGTGAAGAAGGGTTCGGTAAGTAATTGCCTACTGAGTAGGCGGTTATCTTGGCCTAGTTACAAGTGGGCAACGATACACAACGTGTTGATCAAGGGGTGGCTCTAATACGTAAGAGAAAAGAGAATAAAATTCAACAGCAATGGAAGCTACCAGAACCCGACAACTCAACACAATGAATAGTGGCTCTAATACATAGCCGCCTTGTTGAGTCAACAACTCCGCACCCTGATCAGGAAACTGTGGAGATACGTAATAAGCAAAAGGACACATCATTAACCCGTTGCAACGATAAGGATATGGCACTCGGTGAGCGTGTGCCATCTGATGTAGTTGGTAAGATAAGTGGCGAACCTCTGGGACGAGGGGAGGTTGGCATGACGTGCTTACTCTCTGGAATTCTGTTGATGCCTCATTAGCATGCCCGAGACAGTCAGGTGAGGGGTGGAAAGAGGATCAGGGGACGACTTGATCCGCTTAGGGTCAGCAGCCTAATGTGATGGAATTTGGAAAAACATAGAGAAAACCCCTTTTACAAACTCCCCTAACCCACAAGAGACAGGGGCTGCCTCCGCTAAGACTCCACAAAGCCCCAATAGCCGAGTGATGGTATGGAGTTTATGTGGGCAAAAGCCAAGGGGTTGAATCTTACCCACACCACCCATGAAGGAAGAGCACGAAGGATGTGTAAAGCGATGTCTATCAAACATTGAAGTCATATCGAATCACATTGATGGCAGTTTTCTAGATGTGTAAGCTCACATGACCCTGCTCACCGTCATGTGACTACGGCTATAATCGAGTGGATATTTGGCTGAACTGAACTTACCACAAAAGATGTCGTGCAAATGCGGATTTTCCACGCACTATTATATCTACATCAGGAATATGTCGAATGAAACGACTTCAAGCACCAGCCGTACCGCGGCCTGGAGAGACGACACGATCAAGCCTACCGACATATGCCGGCGGAAGGGCTGCGAATGTCTGGCTGTGTCGGGACCATACAACACACAAGATTACTGTGACCTGCGTGGTTCAACAAGCCTCTCATAAAAAGTACACCTGCTCAAATAAAGATACAAATAGACTCATGTCATGTTTGCCATCAGGTCCCAGCGGTGGCCCAAGTTGGGAATGAACAAGGCTTCTGCTCAGCTTGTGAGTGCCTGCGATACTGAACACCATGTTGCAACAGCGATTCACATCCCCTTTTATCTGCAGGTTCAAAATCTGCTGCCCGGGGTACTGAATTGTACCCCGTTGTTCGGTTTAATTGACCTCGGAAAACTTGAGGATCATCAGGAGGGGTGTCGAATTTATTGAAGTGGTTCCTAACCCCCACTTCAATGTTTTCTCGCTAGGGAGATATATACATCTTATAACGGACGATAATTTTATTGCGGTCCATGAACTGAGCTGCCACGAATAACTTTAGACTCGAATGGTTTAGTTCCCTCTCACCTCGTAAACTAGATTTGAGTCGCGACATCACTTGCCCTTCTCGCCTGACAATCACCTTTCCTTGACCAACGCCTCATCCTTCTCAACATAAGCATCCACCTTGTATTTTCCAAACTCGCGGGCGTTGATCCCACGCATGAATAGGATGTCAAGCTCTTCAAACGTCCTCCCCTTTGTCTCCGGAAGCCTGAAGAAAGTCCAAATGAAGAAGGCCAGAGCGCAGCCTCCCCAGAAAAAGCCAGTTTTCCCTTTCCAGTCCCCGGCGGTTGGGTTGATCATGTACGGGTTGACCACGTTGCAGATGATCTGCGCGACATAGTACACGATGCGGCTGAGACAGACGCTCTTGTTGCGCAGACGCGTCGACGACACCTCGGAGATAATTGCGTAGCATATAGGCCCGACGGTCGAGTAGTAGATGCCGAGCCAGAGCAGCATCATGCTTGCTTGCGCGTAGTTGCCAGCCTCCGAGCTTGGTGCCCCAACGCTTATGAATCCAACAATCATCAATACCATGGTGAGAAGACCGAGACCCCAGAGATATAGAGTTCGACGACCGAAGACATGTAGAAGATACCATGAGAAAATTGTGCCGACTGAGGCGAGACCCAGGCCGCCGACGGACATGCTGAAGGAGATGGAGGTAGGTAGGCCGGCCTGGATGAAGAAGTAAGTCGGAGTGCCTCCTAAGGCAGAGCCACAAAACGGCTGGGCGGCAAAGGCCAAGCAAGCAATCTCCGTTCGTCGAAGATCCACGCCCCGGAAACAGTCCCAGTACGATGTTCCGTCGTCGACCCCCTTTTCGATTTCATTGGTGTGTACCATCATTGCGAGAGTTTGTTTTATCTGGTCCGAGCGGCTGGAAAGTCGAGCGAGTGACTTCTCTGCCTCTCGGTACTTTTCCATCCGAACGAAATGCCAAGGAGACTCGGGGGCAAACCATAGAACGATAAAGAGTGGAACGGGCCATGCCCATTGAATAGCAAAAGGAATGCGGTAAGACCATTCCCCAGCCATCTCAGAGAAGGCTCGCTGAATACCAGCCGAGAGGAGCTGCCCAATTGCCCAGCAGAGATTGACATACACCGTCAGATATCCTCGCAATGCCATTGGGCAAACCTCTGAGGCATAGGCTGGAGCCATCGTGGCGAATACACCCCAAGGGATTCCGCAGAGAAATTGCCCAACTAGAAGTACGGGAAGGTTGGGGGAAAAGAAGGATATAAAAATGCAGCAGCATATAGCGACGAGAGAGGCGAGGAGAACCTTGCGATAGCCAAACTTGTGGGTAAAGTAGCCATTGGCAAAGGCGCCAATGATGGTACCGCAACTGACTGCGTTTGAGAGACCATTCTGCCAACTAGCGGTGATTTCGTATGTGCCGGTACTGGCTATGTACTCTCCGTACTTGGCTTTGAAAGAAGGCTGGGCGAAGAAAGATTGGATCAGGACAATATCGTACCCTTCCATGATAATGGCGGTAGATAGAAGGATGGACCACATGGCTGCCTTGGGGTAAAGGCGCATAGCAGCCCAGAGTCCTAGTTTATGTTCTCCCTCGGCGCCCTGCCTGGCCATGGAGTGGTCGTTCAGGACCTGCTCCGTGGTGTCGACATGTTCAAGCTCGCCAAGGGTGGCACCCTTGTGATCTTGCGTAAAGGACATGGTAACACGAGGTTGGGGTGTAACGATGGCGTAGGGTGATGGCGGAGGCCCAAGGAGGCTCTCTTTCGTATGATAGAGAGTTGAAGAGGGCTGTTGAGTTGCCTTCAAGACTGTAGATGAGTCTCGGTGGAGCATCTCTATATAATATATGCGAGAATCGGGTTGACCATGGGGATATCAACCCCACAAGCGAACATCAGGCTAGAACGACACCGAGGGCGGCCAGGTAGAGGATCCCCAAAAACCGTGGAGGTGGAGCTGGGGTAATTGGTTGTGGAGGCGGAGTTGTGACTTTTTCTTGACATCTTCTCTGCCATCTGAAGTCCCGGCGGAGAAGTTTTACCCCGCCGGACTTCACCAGCCACGAAAATGCGGCTGGCTCAGAGGTCAGATGCCCTTTACCAACAGAATCAGGCCATTGAGCAAATCAGCGCATGGTTTCTCGACCCCCCATACCAGAGGTGTCTCGGGTGCTGTTGGACCCTCCTCCCTGGCGTCGATTCCTCGATTTTCCGGCGGGTGGCCGATTAGCATGTATACACCTTGCTCCAAGATCTTACGGGGGGCGTCCGGAAGGGTAATGTCGCCAACTTTCGAAAGGTGACCAGACATCTTGTGGCCAAGTCGGACATACAGCTGGACCATCTCGTCGTCGCATGGTCGATCTAAGTGTAAGAACGTAGGTTCCGGATCTTCCTCCAAGTCTGCTGGATGAGAACGCTGAGAAGAAGCATTATCATTCTCGTTGGAACTCTCAGGGTTGAATGCCTGGGGCTGCTGCCTGGCAAGGTTCACAGACGTACTGTAGGCCCAAACTACAAGAGTCGCGATGAGTATGCCGAACGGCTCTAAAAAGCTGCCGCTACTGTAGCGCCTGACATGCCAGAGTAGAGCACCCGCATGTATAACGGATAGTCTTGCTTTGTATTGGTCGCGCAGAGCCCACTGGAGAATATGGCTTCGCGCTTTAGCAGCTTTGGCACTGTCAACAGCTGAGTTCAACAATGCCTCCGTAGCCAATGTTTGCAGGTGCTGGGTAGGAGTCAAGAGGAAAAGCCGTGAGAGGTGAAGGTGTAAAACAATAGGGGGTTCCCAGCCACCGGATTTACTAATCATGCCGTTGACATTCCAATGGAGTATGTCTAGGCTGTCACAGGCACTATTACGCCATCTTGAGATGACTGGTAACGCGGGTGGCCAAGTTTCCTCGACTGGCGTTACAGGTGTGGATTGCTGCACCGCGGCATTGGGAATCCAGAATGTAAGCTTGTTCTGGTGTTGCGAACTGGCTTCTCTAGTTCTACGAAGAATGGCGTAGATCAAAACCGCCGTACCGAGGCCGCCGGTGCTTGGAGGATGCCTCTTTTCCATGTAAAGCATTTGCAGGGCCTCAAGAACCGTCACTATAATTATACGAGACGCATTAGCATCCACAGTAGACACGTATGGTCGTCAACGTAATCGTCACAATAGAATCTCTAACCTGATGTCTGGACATATTTTGCGACTTGCTTTAGAGTTGTGTGGTCCCATAGATCGTCACAGGTCGGCAAGGGGGTCACGCTCACGTCAAATAGTTGCAATAAAGGCGCATGGCCAAACTCAAACATGAGGATGGAGTCAATCAACTACCAAAGAATTAGCTAATCTTGACCGCTGCATGGACACGTAAATCAAATCATTCTCAACTCACCCAGACCATGAGGCCAGCGCGAATTCTGGACTGTGTCCTTAGCCAACTTTCCATATCGTCCTTGGTGTGAAGAGAAGTTTTCTCCGGTGCCTTGAATACGTCTAAAAACCGACAGGCATCTACCAGATGATTCCTCTCCAGCAGTGCTTCCCTCACTGCATCTCCGTTGCCGCTCCCAAGCACGCATATAACATTGAGCACGGCCGCCTGAACAGTTGGCAAGTCAGCGTACTTGCTCGGAGGGTCCGAAAAGAGAAAATTCCGAGGCTCTGGGGACTTGTCTTTGTGCTCTGGTCGGGACAATGATGCTCGTAGAAGAGCGAATAGGGCCTCTCGAACTTGTTTTGCGTCGGGATTCGTAGAGAAGATAGAACCGACAGCCAGGATGCCCAGACATAATATCGAATGGCTATTTTCTTCGTATACAGAGGGATCTCGTCTAAGAAATGGATACGTGGGATGGAAGTGCCTGAAAAACAGTCGGTAGAGAAGTTGGGCTTCTGCTAATGGTGGAAATGCACTTGGATCCCAGTTGGGAGGGCGGATCTGAGGTCTGGATTGGAGACTGTCAAGAATATTTTCATAGGCACGAATGGACAGTAGACTTCCTTGTGAGTGCGCAGATTTACCAGAGTCGGAAGTGAAGCTATTGATAGGAGTTGAAGCATCGGAAGGAGAGTTGACTGGGCCTCCAGCACTCAGGATCGATTGTCGTCGATGCGCCCGACCTTTGAAAGATGCTCGAGCCTCACTGCCATCGACATAATAGGTTCCCTCGACGGGGTTGGATATCTCTGATCTTGTTACGCTGTCGCTGGGCCCAGGCGATGGCATTGGAAGGCCCAGGCTGGGCGCTGTTTGGCTGTCTTGCCCCACAGGATGGTAACGTCCTTCCGCTTCTACCACTCCGACGCTCGGGAGGCCTGGCTCCGTTTGCGGTTGCGCGGTAGCGGTCGTGGGTTGAAACGGCAGGCCGCATAGGTCAGGGTCAATGGCCCCGAATGTGAAGGGTGGGAGTTGACTGATCCAGTCAAAGCTGGCCTGATACTGGGGCGACATCCAATTAATCGAGGGCATGACAAACTCCTCCTCCGCTAGCTGTGGATTTTGATTGAAGTTATTATAGAGATCCCCGGGGTTCGATATTACCACATCGCCGTCTGGAAGCTGCATTGTGTTTCCGTTGACGACAGGGTGTACTGGAGGAGTTATCCCTTCAGCTATCGTGTTTGAGAACACGCCTGTCTCAATACCCGTATCGTGTGACGTTGTCTCCTGAACGATGAGAGCGCGCTCAATGGTTTCCGACACGTTCGGGTCTCGGAGATTCGGTGATACGGGCACCCGCGTCACCAACGTGGTACTCTCATCCGTGATATAGTCAAGCCCAGATGGTCTTGCACTATGCGCCGCCGTCTCCGCGGAACCCACCTCCTCTTGGGATGAGCCAAAATTGTCATAATTGACTCTACTAATGGTGTCGATCGGCTGGGTTGTCGAGGAAGCCTTGCGCTTTCGAGTTGTCGGATAATCGCACTTGATGTTCTTCTCGGCGCAGCGCCGACAAGGATCGGTCCTAGTGCACCGCACACGACTCGTTGCGCATTCTTTACAGGCCCGGTTAGACACGAGAGCCCCAATTGAAGACTCAGCGTCGTTGCGGTGAGACGCGGTGTGGCGTGAAAGCGTGTCGACGCGAGAAAACCTTTTGCCGCATTCCGGGCAGGCAAAAGGCCGCTCGCTGGTGTGTGTTCGTATGTGCCTTGTGAGGTGCTCCTGGCGACGAAATGTCGCTTTGCAGTAGTCACATTCGATTTCGCCTCGCATCTTCACCTTGGGTTCAATGCATGGGCATAAGCCGCCAACTCATGAATATTGGCATAGTCGAGAGGCGTGGAAGGCAGGTGGATGACGACGGAGAAGGGGAATGTCACTTCATAAAATATTTCTTCCTGCATCCATCAAAAGAGTGTGGGGAAGAGAAAGGAGGCAGGCCAAGTCGGGGTAACCCAACCACCTGCCAGGGCACGCAGGAAAACCCCAAGACAAGCATATGATGGCCTGGAACTTCAAACAATGGGTCGATGGATCCTTGGTAGTGTCCGCACCAATCAGTCGTCTTGTTGGAGGGCAATAAAACAGGGCATTCTCGTTGACTAGCTAGTTACCCCTGTCCGTCTACAATGGTAGTTTTATCAATCAGTTGATTGATTTGCTTGAATACCTAGCTAATTTTGCAAGCTGCCTCACTAAATCATAAATTGAATCGACAGGTCGTTCAAGCAGATGATATCACAGCAAAACCACGCCCATACGAGAATCTCTGACAAAGACAGGCATCCAGGAGAGAGGACAGTCTACTTCAACCGTTTGGCCTCCCTGGAAGACCGTCTTACAGTCATCCTGTGTCACCCAGGTTTCCCCGGCAGGCAAATACACCGATATCTTGCGTGCTCCAGGCTTAAACACCGGACAACATAGAAAACTGTCACCGTACATGAACTGTTCCTCAACCTCCCAGCATTTTGCATCGTCGGGAAACTCGTAGAACAAGGTGCGCATAACAGGAGTGCCGTGCTCATGTGCTTCCCTCATCATTCTGCGAGCGTAGTCCCTCATGTCTTCGCGCAGCAACATGTACTTCTTGCAGATCTCATATACCGTTTCCCCATATGCCCAGACCTCGTTTGGCCCACCGCTGGGGAAAACCAGGGAGCTGCTTTGTCTGGGTTCCCGGTCTCCATGTAGACGCATCACCGGGCAAAACGCACCCCATTGGAACCAACGCACAAACAACTCCCGGAAACCCTCGTCATTTGGGTTACCGCCATGGAAACCCCCTATATCGGTCGTCCACCACGCAAGACCCGCGACGCCCATGTTCAGCCCGGCGGCAAGCTGATTGCGGAAGCTTTTCCAACTCGACGCTATGTCGCCGCTCCACACGAGGGTGCCGTATTGCTGACTGCCTGCCCACGCACACCGGAGAAGGTTCACGATATTCTTCTGACCTTCGCTCTCCATTCCTTCATAGAATGTCCGTGCATAATCACGCGGGTAGATGTTGCCGACACTCAAGTTTGGGCCGAGATGATAGCGGTAATTGTCAAAGTCATAGACCGAATACTCTGGTTCTGCCTGATCCAGCCAAAACACCTTGATTCCTTTGGAATAATAGTTTTCTTTGGCCTTGTTCCAAAGATACTGGCGAGCCTGTGGGCTCGTGGCGTCGTAATACATAGTCTCTCCTTCGAAGGAAAAGTTGGTTCTCAGACCACGTTCCGTTCGGACCAGGTGTCCGAGCTCCATCATCTCTTCGTAGTTTTCCGACCGCTTGTCAACAGTCGGCCAGATGGAGACCATGAGCTCAACCTTCAACTCTGTAAGCTCGGCCACCATTGCCTCCGGATCGGGCCATGCAGCCGTGTCAAATTTCCATTCGCCTTGCATTGGCCAGTGAAAGAAGTCCGCCACTATCACGTCGAGGGGCAGCCCCCGGCGCTTGTGTTCCCGGGCAACCTCGAGAAGCTCATCTTGTGTCTCGTATCGCAGCTTGCATTGCCAAAACCCGAGCCCGTACTCGGGCATCATCGGGGGCAACCCGGTCGCGCGGGCGTTGGATTGCTGGATCTCAGCGGGTGTGTCACCCGCAACCACCCAGTAATCCAACGCCTTTGTTGAGTACGATTCAAAGCTGGTGATGTTTTTACCCAGAACCGCTCGGCCAATCGCTGGACTGTTCCATAGGATGCCGTAGCCTAGAGAGGAGAGGGCGAACGGCACACTGGCCTGAGAATTACGATGCGCGAGCTCAAGGTCTAGCCCTTTGAGATCTAGGTGTGGCTGCTGGTACTGTCCCATGCCGTAGATCTTCTCCTTCGCGTCCAGGCTTTCGAATCGCATCGTCAAGTGATAGTCGCCGCCAAGGATAGGCTTGAATTCACGGGCCTCGACCTCAATGGCGCTGCATTTTGGGTCAAACAGATCCCTTCGGTTTCGGCTGTATTCCTCCAGCAGTATTTTACCGGATACTGTTTCTTTTATTGTGATCTTGCCACGGGTTGTAATTTCAGCCGTGATCTTGCCATTCGTGATAGTTGCCGGTTCTGCTGTGCCAGGACAGGAGATCTGTGGTTCAATCGGAGGCGGTTTCTTCAAAGCCCATAGTTCAGGCGGCATGGACGCCAACTTGGTGGCACGGACTCGGAAGGCATTTGCACCCCATGGCTCTATCCAGATTTGCTCGCTGTCGTAGCGATAGATCAAGCGACAGGCTTCCTTGTAGAGCATGATATGAGCTTTTCGAGGTCTTATTGGCTACTATGGACGATGATCTGGTGGCGACAGTAGCTTGGATCTCGTCGTTTACACAAATTGGAGACGTGAGAGTTTCTGGGGAATAAAGGAGGACAATCATCTACACGTCGAATATGAAGGCTTTACAATTCACGATTAGTTTCTCCACCTTGTACCCTGCCGGGAGTGGACCAACACTGCTTCGATTGTGCAACATAGCTTCTGTTCAGCCATTCTATGTTATTTGTCACTCAATTTCCGATGGAGAGGTGATGCTAATCCTTGGTAGATAGCTGATTAAAATGAATTTGCCCGGTCTCTCACTACATGAACATGACCCCCACCGGAGGTTAATCTATGCCTCCGCCGGACTTCAGCACTTCCCCACCGGACATTATGCCAGGAAATGGGGCAGGTTACGTACTCTCGCGTTCCTCGACATGTGACTCCAGGCACGGCGGTTAAATCCACTAGTGATATACGCTATTGGCATCGGTATCATACGTGGCTGGGTGGCCAGTCATAGATGGATGCCCGAGGGTACCCTAGAACTGCGTGGGGACTTTTCTTCCTGCCCTCCTTCCCCATCACGGATCATAACAACAGTTTCTTTAGCTAGACAAAACATAGCAGATGTTTTAATTAGTAGAAAGATAAATTATAGCCCTCTTCCAACTGGAACAGATGGTTGGTTCTGTGAACATTGGTGGCCTTTTGTGATATTAGCTTTTCAATACCTAAGCTTTGCGTTGTCGAACTTATTTTAGGTAACTTGTAATTTCATCAACTAAAACTACCGAACATGAATTCAATAGAAGGTTTTGATTGAATTCATAGTCTCTCGCTGGGACTCTATAATAGGGAGAAGTACAATAAGGAGAAGCCTAGTTCTGAAGGACTTTCAACTCAAAATAGTCTTGATATAGCGTGATGTATTTATGCCTAGCGCAACCGTGCTGCTGAAAGATTATATTATTGTCTTTGAATCTCGAAGCGAATACTAGCATGCAGTTTCCATTGCTAGTTCAATCGGCGGAGCATGATGTTTGTTCTGTCTCCGCTTAACGGCATGGATACTCAGCGCTTCATACAACTACACCGCGTTCCCAAAAATCTCAAATCCGAAAGCTGTAGAGTTAGACGGCGGCTCAACGGTTATTCTAAGCTTTAATTCATTAGATTAGCTAAATCAGGCGGCCCGGAGATATTGGGAACGATAACTTACTGTGTTCGAAGTATACTCGTACCGAGTAATGCCGAGGTCAACGGGACTACCGGTATCAGCTTGATTCCCATTCCAATCGAATCGATAAGCCTGAACATCGACAGATCCTTCCTCAGGAAGACCTATTCCGTTTAAGCCCGAGATCTCAATGTCATATGTACTCTGCACCGTTCTAGTTCCCGCAATGACTTTGGCGGTAGCGTCGGAAACGGTGGCAAAGACATCAAAAAGAAGGTCAGAGGAAATGGCTGTGGAGACTCTGGTGCCTGTCATCTCGGCATAGTACTTGTAGAGATACCATTCACCGTTGGGATAGTATGTACCGTCGACACTGAACACAAGGTTCGCCATATCGTTATGCAAACCACCGCCGCTCCCCCAGTTTGCACGGAGGCAACGTGCGTTGTGTCGTTCGCATTGAGCAATAAAAAAGACGGAATTCGCGGGGTTCTGCTCAGATGGCCAGGCATATTCGTTAATATCCAATGGGCGGTCTGGCAGACTGTAGTTGGCTCGAAATGTATCGAACTCTGGGATGGTTCTCTCTGGTTCTCTTTCCCAGCCCCCAATCTGGTGCCAAGAGTAGATGTCAGGGATGACGCTTCCTTTTCCGGACACTGTTTCGACCCAGGTTCGCCAAGTCTCTTTATCGAGGCTCGGCGAGTGTGCCATGGATGGTCCGCTTATGAGCGTGTTTGGAAGCTCGGTCCTAAAAAGACAAAAGAGGATGAGCTTGAGGCAACGTTGCCCAGTTTTCGAGAAGGTCTTACCTGATCAGTTCGGTTGCGTGCACATAATACTGGAGATACTGCTCCCACGTACGAGCCCAGAAGATCTCGAGCTCCGGTTCATTCCAAATGTCTATGACAAGTCCTTCAAGAATATCATTGGCTTGAATATCGCTGACAAGCTGTTTGATGAAAGTGTCCACCTCAGTCCAGTCACCGTTGTCCCCAGGGAAGAGCGCATCATTGCCCGACCCGCCGTCTGCGCCCCAGAGGTCATGAACCAAGAGGATGAAATCGCCTCCAAACTTCCGAGTAGTTAAATAGTTGGACAAGGTCGAATTGAACCGCCCAATGTATCCTTCGTACCCGCCAAACACCCATCCCTTGCTGGGAGCAGGCAGCTGAGCTCCTCCCGCACGGCAAGCATTGAATTTGATGTCAGACGCGAAATGGTCTGGGATTGAGCTGTCAGCGTCAACACCGTTATCTGGCCAGCCGTATATGAAACCGGACGCGAGGTACTTGGCGTCTCCAATGGGATCAGCCAAGTTGACTGTCGCGGTGCCTGAGGATCTCTTGCCAAGCGACCGCGCTGCACCAGTTGCAGCAAGAGTGCCGATAAAAGTGTTTAACACGGCAAGTTTCATGTTGGGATGGAGTTGATAACGTGAGATTTAATGATGACCAAGTTGTTGATATTTCGAGAGAAAATGTCATTCTCGCATGCTGAGTCTTATACTTCCAATGTCTTCGAGATCGACATTTCAAATGAATCTCCGCCGGAACAAACAGCCCAAAGCCAAGGAAGAATCGCCTCTTCCCATTTGTGCGGCCTGTTAAATTACCAAGACAGATGGAGAAACATTGTGTGGACCAAGTGTTCTTCCACGACGGATAAAAGGCAGAATGAAAAGGTCGCAAATTATGATGTTGCCTCCCACATGCAGGGAAGCATCTGCACTCCGCGGCCATCGGGGTGTTCCCTCATCATACTACCTACCCCACGGGGACAAGCTTCCCCCACGGGATTCCCTGCATAGATGAGTTTTCAAGTGAAATGCGGGCTAAGTCCACCTTTCACAATGCTCATGCGCTGTACGGTAATATGTGACCTCATGGTTAGCTCCTCATATGCCCACTCCCAAATCTACGTGGTTGAGAGTTCGGATGCAAAGTAACAAACAGCAATGAAAAAGATGACAGGCTCGAGATATCAAGACAATGAATACGGCCCCAACTTTACAACATCAAGTCGGCGAACAAGAGTCACTCGTATGTCTTTTACCTTCGTCCAGATTACCAGAGTAGGTTGTGGTCACAGCAGGCGCATTATAGCATATTATAGAAAAGATCCAGCCGTGTTTGAAGATGACATCGGGAATGGGGCCGATTGGAGTGGACGCTTTACCGGCTGAATGAGGCGGCTGAATGAGGCGACTTAATGCACAGCAATTTTAACTCCCCCCGCGAGATTGTCAAGTCAGCAGCTCCGTTTCGGCTACCTGAGGTGCTGAGCGTTACAGCTGCCTCACGCCTCTAAGACGCGAGGCAGCTGGTGCAGGCAGCAATCTGTACGTTGATGTGAAGAGTTCAGAACTTGAAAACAATATTTTTGGTGTAATTTACATGCGTAAACGTAGAGCAATCTTTGGAACTCACCGATCAACTTTGTCAACGGGTCATTCTCTATCTTGAAACCCATAGAGCTGTAAAGCTTTGGATAATTTGCATATTAAGACAAGGGAGGCCAAAGCATCCTTGGGGCGGTTGGCACCTTAAGAGATGGTTGTGGGAGCAAATCTTTCTCGCATCTCTTAACATGTAAAATTGATAGTTCTCTTCAAAGCTAAAATTAACCGATGAAAAGTCTCTTGTTTCGCTAATGACTAGTGTTTTTTCCCCCATTTGATTCTTTGCTCGGCAACTGAATACCAGATCATTTGTCGAAAGTTTCATACATCCACCATCCGATAACAGGCTCAATAGTGTCGAGGCCCGTCGTCTCGCCGTTGGGTGGGTCGATCTTGTTGCCCCGAAGATCTGTGTGTGTCACGGGCCCTCCGCTGCTGGTGAACTGCTGCCCGACGGAACCAGCCAACATCCTTGTCTGATACGGGGTTCCGTTGTCGTCCACCTTGACTGGAACGGAGGCATATCCAGCTGGGATATCATCTGTATCGACAGGTAGGAAAGTAGTATTACCAATCTCGCAGAACGCGAGTTCGGAGCCGAAGCCAGTGTTGCGGATGAGCTCTCCTTCTGCCGACCAGAAACAGAATGATGTCATCCAGCCCGACAAGTATGTTGGCCCTGAGCCGCCACTCTTGTAGTGGGCAATCTTGTTCCAGAACTCCTTCACATCAGCACTGGTTGGCTCGTCGAACGAGAGGATGAAGTAGTCAATAACTGTCTTTAGCCGTGTTGCAAACTGGGCGGGCTCCTTGCCCCAACTGGCAATCTTGTCGAGACGATCGCGCAGCTTTGTCCAGTCTTCCCTCTCACCTTGAAGAGTCACCGAGGGTATTCCGCACATCATGGTCATTTTGTAACTAAAGTACTTCTGCAAGGTTCCCATCATGAGAATTGCTGCGACTATCTTGTCGTTATCCTGGGTGGTGGTGAAGTCGGGCATGATCCAGTCTCTGAGCTGCGCATCGACAACGTGGTTTTCAAGCTCGCGCGACATGGCGACGGCCAGCTTGCCAAAGTCGACAGTTTTAATGGTGCCGATTTCCTTGATTTCGATCTCCTTCTGCCCCTCGTGCGCGACAAAGAGAGATCGGAGCTCCTCAGCATGCTTGTTTATGTAGAAGCTTAGTTGGACAAGAATGGAGAACCAGACATCTTCAGGTCGAACTTTCAGGTGGTAATGGTGATTGTATGCTTGGAATGCGGCATAAACGAAGCCGTTGTTGGAGCCGTGGATGTGGGCGCTGGCAATATCCTGGAATGAAGATTGAATCATCATCTTGCATTTCTGCGCATCGTCAGAGCATGCTGACCGGAACAGTTCCTCGGGCGATGTCCCTGTTGGCTGCTTCCAGGCCACAGCCGTGGTGCTCGCGGGGTAGACTGTCACAGGCATTCTTTTTTCTATCGAATGGAAGATGGAAAAGTGAGCCAGGCGATGAGGGTCGATGCGATGATTGATGGTGAGCTCGCAGGACTTGGGAGGGTGTTGTGGACAGGCCAAGTTTCTGCCCCCTCAGTGACCAAGCTAGAAGGTGGTACGCGTGTGGCTTGGACAGCCTCCAGGCAGCAAGCCACCAACAACGACAATTGGAAAGCCTTGAACTGGCCACCTGGCAGGAGGTAAGTACGTACCTCATACTTGATTCATGGCCATAAGCAACTCTGCTATGCCCATCGCCCCGCTTGCATCGCTAATTGAGGAAGGCGGGGTAACGAGGTGGGGATTCGAACCGATGCTGCAGGCATTTGTGGTTCTGTTGATTTCAGTCAACTTAACTCCCTGGGCAAGAATCAACCAGAGCTCTGCATGTGGCATGTCGGATCCCCATCCGTGAACTCGACAACAATTTCAGACACCGAATAATTAATCTAGTAAGCGTTATGGCCCTGTGCATAGTACGGTATGCCTAATAGTAGAACGATCAATTTCTTTGGACTTTAGCCCCAGCCTTGAATGGGACTTCTCAATTTCTAACGGGATACTGTGCAGTTAGGAGCAAATGCACTGTCCTTAAACATTCAAACAAGGAATTGGGACTTAGGCTGCAAATACATCAGATGTAACGGTGGGATTCTTAATTGTGACTGATCCAACCGTATTGGGGTTTGTTGTTAGCAGACAGTCAGGATGTGTCACCATAAGTCGTTTTCTTACGTCTGGCAATGCTAGGCATGCTCGCAGAATCCTCCCATCTATATACTCGAACGACCGTTCGTTCCACACGATGCTCTCGCCATCGGTCTTTAGAATCACGTGACCAGAATCGCGTGACCTACAGATAGTTATATCCATCGTGACATCAGATGCAAAAGATTAACCCCGCACCATCTCTTTGACCCCTCGCCTCTATCTAGACCTCTGGCGCGATTTTTCTAGCTTGCACCAAGCTTGTCAACCGTTTTCATTTTAACTATAGATATAGGCTATGCACGTCACAATCAAAACATTGCAACGGACCTTCGTTACCGACCCTGAGGGATGGCAGGGCCGGAGCTTATACTTCGACAAACTCTTCTCTGGAAAATGGGGCGACAAACAAGAGGATGGCTCATACTTCATTGAGACTGACGCCAACATATTCGAACACATCCTACGGTATCTCCGTACTGGTGTTTTGCCGGTTTTCTATGACAGACTGGCAGGCCACGACTTCCCTCTGTACCAAGCTCTGCTCGAAGAATCAAAATATTTCGCTATTGACAGACTAGAAAAGTGGCTATGCGAGCGGAAATACCTGGAGGCTGTCAAGATAGAATACATAGCTAAGGAGACTCAGGATCGAAGGTCCTACGAAAAGCACACTACAAGCTGGCCCAATGGTCACACATCTATGCTGGAGAATCACTTTGTTGAGATCACGACAAGAAGCAATACGGAGACCACAATCCTTCCTGTGACAGTACAGCGGAACAACTTCTATTGCCCGGACGCAAAGCATGGCAAGAGTACCGAAGGATACTGCAGGAGCTGTGTTGGTCGAGCACGGGAGCAAGGAATCCCTGGGATTGGTGGGTGGAGAACGGAGGATGAACTCATTTGGTGTATCGTGCAAAAAGAAGTCGTTTTCGACCACGATCTCTGCGTCAATGCATTTCGAGATGATGAATAGCTAGTTCACACTTCGACTGGGTGGTACACTGTGTCAATGGTCATGATGCTCTCGGTCTCGAAGGCTCCGTATACCCCGAAGTGTGACTGTTGCAGTAGACGGTTGACTATGTGACACCACATTTCTTTCCTACTCGATATTTTGTTCGACCTGAGGATGAGTTTGTGTACCTAAAACTTCAACTCTCATCTAGCGCGTTATGCTTCTGCAAATCATGTGTATGGTAGCGCTAGACTTCCGATGAGATGAGCATGAGTGTGTAAGGCTAAGTGAAGGAGTCGTCCATGGCGATAGCAGCTTCACACTCCCTTTTGGGCGGGAGTTGAACAAAGACAGCATGATTTGCACTGACCGTTAGTTTTCCAAGGCTCTTTTCCTTGTTGCTTAGTGGTCTCCGGAGGGAGAAATGAGTAAAAGAAGGAGGAATATCAATTTAACTCTATGGAATTACTAAGAAAGATTTATGATTCTAAAACTGGAGATTTGTCTCGTCATGGGGTGCTTTTTGGAACGCAGAAACAGACGTTAAGTGTGTTTCATAAAATTAAAATCTCTGTTCATTTTGGCTCCTCTATAATAGGTATTTCTGTATGGCGAAATAGGCTTTTTGTAAGACTATTTCTTCGCCTGCTATATCTATATACCTTTCTAAGTATATTCTAAACTCTCTGGTTATTAATTTCTTATTTTCTTCCTACTTATTCTTAATAAATATCTTTAGAACTGTAAAGTATTCTTTAATAGGATTAAAGTCTGGAGAGTAGGGCGGTAGATAAATAAGTTTTACTCCTACCTTATTATATATTTACTGTATATTAGTTATATAACGCTATTGCGTATTATCTATAATAATTATAGAGTTTGGCTCTGAATATTTACTATAGAAATATAGTAGTTCCGCTATAAAATCTTTATACCTATAGGTGTTAGTAGATCCTTAATATACTCGTCTGGTAAGAATACTATTCTGTATATAAGCAGGAAGTATTCACTATCTTCTACCTTACCTGAGTTTTAATTTTTAAAATCTGAACAGGTATTATACCTTCAGGCGACCGCCCCCAGCAGCAATAGCCAACCCTTGCATCACACCCAGACTTATTAATATAAATTAAATAGTAAGATTGAAAGTTAGAAATATAATATTAATAAAAGTCGCGTAGATCTTCATCCCGTTGCTAAGCAATATAGCACATCTTTTTTCTTAACCAGTCTTCTATCACGCAACTAACTGAGCTTTTTAATACTTTCCAATCAAATTTTTCAAAGAGAAATTAAATTAGTTCCTCGATATACAAATCTGGTTCATCATTCAAAATATCATATAAAAGGTTCTTTATAGCAGGTATAATACAGCTTCAGCAACCGATTTTGGTTTTATATCTGGCTATTCATTCAAGATGTCGGAAGCGAATCCGCTGGACTATACATACGAAAACTACATTTTGCTATAGTGGCTATAAGCCGGATACCAAACCCTTCCTGAAGCATAGATCTAATCAAATTGTGCTATACAGCTACTAGAGGTGGTACCATGTTTCGAGGCCAATTTTTAGTACACAAATAGTATATAGAGAGAGGGGGGGAACAAAGGTACAATTTGATATACAGGCTTATCCCTAATTTACCATTGCTCATATACAGGTAGGGCGACTTACTGTATATTATAGGGTATAAGTAAGATAGAAAGATAAAATAAAAACTACCATGCTAAAAAAATAGACCTACTGTTATTATTGAAATTAACTAAGGAAACCCGCGATACCTATCTCAAAATCTACGGTATTATACTAAATAAAGAGATTCTGACATTTTCTCTTAAAGAGAAAAAAATTATTTGATTTGACATAAAAATATCTAAAATTAGTATTAAGAGTGGAAGGGATTAGAGGAGATAGTATTAATAGAAATACTAGACTGAGCTTGTTGAATTATCCATTCTTCTCCTCAGTTCATGAACAAAGTGGCATACTCCTAGGGGCAAGACAAAGGCCTAAGCAGATTTTCAACGAACAACAAGCTCTTTAGTAACCAAGCGAAGCGTAATTTATGGATATAATACAGACTGTGCCACAGATCGGCCTGGGACAAATTTGTTAGTGAACATTGTAGCGTTGAAGTGAAACTAAACCACCCACGATCGGCTAAATTTACGTCCTTTCATTTGTTTACATCCCATGGTGAACGGCCGATGTACGCTCATCTAACTGTGCAAACCATAAAATCCTTCCCGTGACCAGCGGCGAATCTAACACGTCGGCGAATATGGTCATGTACGAAAACGAGATCCCAGCTGAGGAAGAGCCTCCACGCATTCGAGCCGAAGAGCTCGAGCAGTACTCTGATGCGCAGCTCCAAGAATTTCTCCTGCGCCACGAGCGCTGCGACAGCGGATATTTAACTCTTCCGATCGATTTAGAGAGTTGGAAAGCCCTCCCCAGTGATGCAGCGCAGCTTCTTGTGGCAAGGCTTCAGTCAGTGGCTATGATTTCTACACATTGTAGTAGCGTGAGCTAGTGTCGAATGTGCATGCTGACTATTGCTGAGTAGGGAGCAGAAGCTAGCTATAGAGAATTGTCGTGTAAACCCAGAGGAACTTTTTGCCCGGCTACAACAAATCCCCCTCGACGACAATGACCGTGCAGAGCGGACATCTGAATCATCCACTAGGACCACTACTCTACTGGGATCTGAGTACGATCGCCGTGGAGGCGAGAATGAGCGCGCTGACTACCATCTTCTTCTTGCTGATGGGGGTCGGCCCTTTTACTCTATAGAGAAGTTAGACGCCGTGGAGCAGGATCCCGATTCACACGACGATTTGATAGGCCCATGGAAGCATCTCGACTCATTCTCAGGTGGCTTGTTTCTGTGGGAGGTGTTTCAGCGGCAACTCGACCGGTGGGAGCAGTTCCGCAGGTGGCAGCTGGAGCACCGCAACCAGGATGCGCAAGCGTACGAGAAGCACATTGAAAAGCTGAGGACCAAATACGCGCGTTTCGCTGGTCGCAGCTCGGGGGACGACAGGAAGCTAGCCGGCCTAGATGATCCTGATTCATATGAGCGAGAGTATTTCCAGGCAAAAGACAAAGTGCGTAAGTTGACGCTCCAATGGCTCAGCCAAGGAGGCCATCTGTATACTGGATTCTCAAATTATGCTGAAGATGTCAGGAGGTGTCTGAGACAGCATGGATTCCTTGATCGCATTGATCTGGATATGGACCCAAAGAAGCAGGACGAGCTAACTACTTGGGCCGAATACGTCCACTTCGAATTCTGGTTGTTGGCCGCGTACGAGAGGGTGCTGGAGAGGGCGACGCCAAAGATGAGGAGGCAGTGGGAGAAACTCCACGAGCAAGGCATATTCGACAAGGATGAGACGCTCGACGTTGTGCGGTCGGAGGATTTTAGGAAACAGCTTTGGCGTGAGAAGGAGGCGTCCTTGTTTGTTGTTCAGAGACTTCGAGATGAGTTTGAGTTTGGCTCAGACTCCACGACAGAGAGGGACCCCAAGACGGAGGAGAGGCTGCGCGCGGCGCAAAAGGGCCATGAACCCGTCGAGAAGAAATTTAAAGCTGTTCTCGCTGTCCAGAACAGAGGGCAGTTCCTCAAATATGCAGGCTATCTACAAAGCCATAAAACTCTGTTCCAATGGACGTTGGACCAATTTCGCCAAATCCAAGCTGGGATCGGACCTCTCTCAGAGAAAACACCAGTGGACAGTCAGAAGCCGAACGCAGTGGAAGGCGGTGAAGGTAACCTTGAACCCCTCGCCGCCAAAAGTCCAGCAGATGCTACGACCAAACGCAAGGCCGATGACGATGAACCAGTCCATAGGGCCGCCGACAAGCCCAAGGGAAGGCGAGATTCCTCGCAGGAAGCGCCGAATATCCAGCCCACCCCAGGTATCTCGGCAGCCGTACATGGACGCGGCCTGGCAACCCTTCCACAAACCTCGGAAGCGTCAAACGTCACTACCAAAAGGCGAAGAAAATCGCCCCCCTCTGCAGAAAATCCGCAAGACTCTGAGAAACCCACAGGGCGGATCGATGAGCCGGATCATTCAGGCGACACTGGAAGCATCATGTGCCAAGGTGCATCAGCCAGCCAAGACAGCACGGGCGCTACCCAAGGCCCAGTGACAATGGTAGGAATGGGACATGGAACAAGACTTACTGCAAGGGGTGTGGCGGAAACAAAGGCTGCAAGTTCAAGGGAGAGGCCTCACCATGCCACCGAGGATGAACGAAGTTCAAGAGAAGTAGAGCCCATGAAAATGCTTCATCAGAGTAGCGCTCGTCGGGAAGACAAGGCGCAGGAATCAGAAGCAGGTCCAGCCAAGACGCCGAGAAAGCGGAAGAGAGACCCTACGGCTGAAGAGATTGAGGCCTCTATTCAGCGGAAAAAATCTTTGAGGACCTTGGAAAGGAAAAACTACAAAGTCTAGTTTGGTCTACTTCTGACCACACTTCAAGCTTTGCAGTAGGCTATGAAGGATCTTTCAATCAATCTCAATAGCAGTAGTAGTAACTGCGGTAATAATTTGCTTTACAATGACAAGAAATATAGACTTGTTTGTCCTGCTCAACAAATTCCAAGTCGACCTGAGAGTGGATGGCCAGGCGGCCGTTGAAATAGGCATACACTTAGACTTGCCCACGATTCGATTTGACAATGTGCGATCGATCCTGACGCCCATAGCAAGAAACCCGGCCATCTTCCAAAGCCATCAAAACTCATTCATTGCAAGAAATGTGAAGAGCTCGCGCCCAAAGATCAGTAAACTTGTTCTGCCACGAGCGCAGCGTTAGGGTGGCTGGCTCCTACGATGGCCGCCCAGCGACCACACTTCAGCGCATGTCAGCCCTGTAAACAACCAGGCGCAGTACCCGGTCAGGGCGATCACCCACTGGAGCACGCTAAAACCCACAGACTAACGTGGGGGGAGACAACCCACCACAGGCCAAAACCCATCTCGCCACCACGCTACATGAAAAAGCCAGAGTGACTTCCGACGAGTTCCTGGGACCAGTCTAGGCCTACAATTCCAATGGTGCTGTCAGCAAATGCGCGTGCGGCTGAGCCTGAAGGGCAGTGGTCGACACATTAATCTTTGGCCGCTCCTTGATTTGGTTCAGCTGGACAGCCACATCATCAATAGTGGCATCAGCTAACTCATCGTTGAACCATAACGAGATGGCCACTTTCAATCATGGAGGTTCCGCTCCCCGCGATGGGTGCCTGCGATTATGTTCTACGGGCACCATTGGTCAGTTATGTACATTGCCTGCACTTTTCCAAATATAAGATGCTAGCTCCCTTGTCGCGATCCGACAATTGAATTGCCATGTTCTAGTCTATCATTTCTACCTCCCAATCGTCCACGATGGCACCCGTCTACGCTGATCACCCCTTCCCTCTTGTCCCAACTCCAAATTACAGACTTAAAAAGGATGGCAAGAAGCCTGACGATTTCGATAACTGCGCATCCATGATGGGCGTTATTCACAACACGATACTGTTGGGCCTTAATTCAATTTATCTACAGGCTCCAAACATCACAGCCAAGGACCAGAAGGCATTCTGCGCCTATATCCTGAAATGGCACGAATTTCTCGATCTCCATCACAAGAATGAAGAGCTCGAATTCTTCCCCACTGTTGAAAAGCTAGCTGGTGAGAAGGGGATAATGGAACCCAATGTCGAACAGCACCACAAGTTTGAACCGGGTATTCATTCATTCATTTGCTATGTCAAAGACTGCCAAAATGACAAGGAAAGTTATGATGGAGACAAAATTTCCAAAATGATTGATGAATTTGGGAACACTCTTGCCGGTCACCTGGCAGACGAAATTCCAACGCTGCTGAGCCTCAAGAAGTACGGTGATAAGATGGACACATTATCGAAGGTGTTTGACGAGGAAGGTGCGAAATCAATGGTCAGTTTGCTTCTCATTCTTTCCATACCTAAGATCATTTCGATTTGAGTTCCTTGTCGCTGCTAACAATTCAAACAGAAAGCGATGGGCCTGGGTGGTTTGTGCTTCTTTTTCGCCAACCAGGATCTTCACTATGAGGAGGATCTCTATGCCGATTTTCCACCTGCGCCGGGCCTCATCAAATTCCTCTGCCGCAACGTCGTTTGGTGGAACAACACTGAATTGTACAAGTTCTCTTCCTGCGACCGCCTCGGTAATCTGAGACCCTTGTATGCGGCACAATGAACCGTGAGCTGCAGTACTACAAGCCTCTTGAAGCTCGGCTCTGTTTAGGTAGCTGAGTATCTATTTCAGTCTTTATAATCATGTATCATCAGAATGAAGTTAAAACCAACAATCCATCTTGCTGGCCATTTTCACGGAGACTCTGTGCCAAGGAGTATGAGAATGAGAAATGCCCGATGAGATGTGTTGATTGCCATTAACGGCAACTAGAGCGCATCCAGTTAGCTGATTCGATGATATCTCGGGACCCATCTGTGGCCCAGATATGTTACCAGCGAGTGAGCGAGCGGGGTTTTCCAATCCTTCAATTCCTCGGCATTCCTGCGGCCATTCTACACTTGTCTTCCTCCTGCATCCTATAATGGAGATAGGTTCAGATAATGGTACTGCTTCAAATATTACATCAGGCAAGCGGACGCGGAGAAAGAACGCAAAAATCCCGGCAGGGCTGTTTAAGATGCAAGAGCCGGCGGGTAAGTCTCGATCGAGAATGTTCCTTCTTCGCCCTTTCAGCTAATATCTAGCAGGTGAAGTGTGATGAAGTCCGGCCAGAGTGTGAAAATTGCAAGAAAATTCGCCCGCAATGTCCAGGCTTTCAACAGGAGCTTCGTTGGTCGAAGAGACATGAACGAGGCTGTGCACCGTCACCCAGTGCTGATAGTTCGACAAGTCAAACGGCTGATCTGGAAGTAGTCCGCACTTCTCGACAGATAGTAAATACCTCTAATGAGTCGAGTATTTCTCATGGTCGACTTAACACATCGACGGCCAGTTCCGGAGCTGTCGCTGACGACTGGTTGCTTTCACTTCCCACAACCTGGCAGGCCACGACATCTGGCTGTGATCTACAATCAAACTATAATTCGACAGGAAATATCGACACCAATATCGAGGCTTCAATCGGCTGGGGATCCCAATATCACTCACCTGGCATCTCAACTCCGACTTCTGCCCCTAAATCTCTCCAGTCCCCCGCCCATCTACCAACAACTTTGATTGAATATTGGTTCCGCCACGTTTGGCCCATGTGGTCGACTTTCGACTCCGAAGTGAACTGGAACAGGCGACTGGCTCGAGGTACATGGACCACATCACAGGCTGCTTTCTTCACAATGCAGACCATGTCGGCGACATGTTTGATAGATGTGATGCCTCAGCTTAACAAGACCTTGGAGTCGGCGCGAGCGCAGGCCACGTCGACCATCCTCGAAGGCATGGAGCAGGCGAGAGATATATCTTAGTCACCCAGGGTGGCAGCTGATCTAGTGTTTGCGGTATTTGGACTTGGAACTTCGTCCCACTAGGCGGCTTTCACGGACCAGAAACACCCGTGGCTGGAGTTTGCTCGCGAGTTACTCTCCATTTGGAAGCTTGAACTCTCTAAGCTTGACGAGCTCTTGCATGAGTACTTCTGCCAGGCTCTCACCTACTGGGAAATGATAGCACTCGCGGAGAATTGCAGCTCTATCCCTACAAAATTGCAAAGAAAGCGACGGCAGTACCAGGATCGACTTCGTTTAGCGATGCGCTTACCAGATAGCGACAACACATCCTGTGAAGATGCAGAGATGCCTTGGGTTCCTCGCCCAGATCTCTTCGGAACACGGCCAAATTCGTGGTGTGGTGTTTCGAAGGAGGTCATCGATGTCTTTGGGCAAGTCTTAGCTTTGTGCCGCAGCGCATGTGACACCAGCAGACCTCGAAGCACGCTGACTGTGCTGGCGACGAGCAATGTTCTCTGTGACATGGCTCTTGCGCACGAATTCCAGAGAGAGCTTCTTGGCATGGACTTTGATGCTCTGATCCTTCAGGAAGAGGATCACGGCTTTCCCGTGCAGACACGAGACGACAGCACGCCCATCTCACATCTGCTGTTGACTGCGGAAGCTTATCGTCAAGCCTCACTTCTACAATTGCATTTGAGTTTCAGTGACCTGGAAACGAAACAGAATAGGAAGAGTTCTGCTAGTACACCATTCAAAATAGATGCATCCCAGTTTAAAGGAGATGAGCAGGCTCGGGCAGAATTCTTACTCAGAATGACACTCGAGCTCGTGGAAATACTCATACAAATTCCTGCCGAGTCAGGCTCGAAATCTATCCACCCAATGCTCTACGTTTCTGCCGCTGCAGGGCTCCGATATTATGCTTGGACAGAAACGCAAGATATCTCCTCGGCTTCCGTCCCCGCTAAGGAGACCGGTGTCATCACAAGAGCTACTTTGAGTGAGGACCCAGGCTTGTTCCTCCCGGCACACTCCATGGAGATATCAGCCGCGAGGAAATTTGTCTGGGCACGGCTGAGCGGTCTCCAACAGGCATTCCCAGAGAGAACAAGTGATAGTACATTGCGGCTTGTTAAAGCAATATGGAAGGAGTACGATGATTCGTCGTCTGGCCATCCGTGTGCACATTGGCTTGACGTGATGGCAGAGACTGGTCTTGGTATTACGCTGTGGTGAATGAAGAAGCATTTCGACGTTCGTGTGAGATGGGCGCGTTTTGCAAGACACTCATCACATATTGCTATCAATCTAATCTGCTCCGTTCCCTCACCCTGTTTATCATTTAACGTACTTCAGCATCTCGTGAAAAGTGTACGCTCACAAAATAGTCAAACTCTGCTGGCTCGTCACTACTGCGAAGCATGTCATCCCTGCGAAACATGTCGCTCTTAAAAGACTTAGACCATCCTGGGACTTCCAGGGTCTTCGTGTCATCCTGAAACACAACATAACCTTCAACCTCTACCGTCCGTAGTCCTCTAAAGACCTCATCCGTAAGTAGTGTAAGAGGAACTCTTATTGTTCCGTTTTTTTCGGAAGGACGTATGTGAATAGATTCAAGTGTTGATGGCAATAAAGTCCTCAATTCCATCTCCAGCTCCGCTTCATTGTCTTCATCCTGTTCATCCAGTTCATCCTCTTCATCCTCTTCATCGAACTCCCCAAGATCTTGAAGACATATCTTGAGATTTCTCAGACGGCTCAATTCGTTCAGAGGTCCTATATGTCCAACCATGATGTAATCTCCAAATTCTGTGCTGTCGAAGTCCAGTGACTCTAGGCTCTGCCCATACCTTCTCAAGGCAACGCCCATCTCATTCAAGTCGAGTGTGGCAGGATGTCTATTTGCACCAACATCTTGATCACCAGCCAGGGCTATATGAAGATGGCGCAGGCGACAGCGCCGCAAAGCATTGGCGAGGCCCCTCTCATCAATGAGGCAGTTCTTGAGTTGCAGAGTTGTGATATTGCTCATGACATTATTCCATTTCATAGCCCTGACCTCGTATTTAGTCCACCTAAAGGCGGACAGCCGAAGAATCCTAAGCCCGGGGTTAAGAAGAACACCCTCGATTTTTTGAACTCTTTCCAGCACGTTTCCGTAACCGCGAAACCCCACGCGCACCTCGCTTAGAAGTGACATAGGGTTCTCAGATGCGGGACCAAGCAGTTGGCTCTGCTGCTGGCCGGCTGGGACGTCGCCAGACTCGCTGTCCTCATCCCCATTTCCAGAAGCGATCTCAGATCCAATCTCATCAGGAACATCATCGTTGTCGCTCTCGGAATCGCCACCTAGAGCCGTCGCGAAATATTCATCTTCCAGGTCTTGTCTGCCACTGAGATACGCTGCGATGCCCTCGAATGACCCGGTGTCCATGTAGTCCAGAGTCTGCAGCCGAGGCGCGGCAACGAGCGCGACAAGGGCCACGTTACGATTCCCTGCTTCCGTCCACATATTTAGCCATCTCCTTTGCCTCTCATCAAGATTCTCGGGAGAGGCTGAAAGCTGGAGGGCGAAGTGATCGAAGCCAAAGTCAGACAACCAAGGTTCAACTTGAAGCCCCTGAATATTGTGACCGATTGACGGGTCAGCGCATAGGACATGCATAAACTTGTCCATGGGGCTGTCGCTCGGACCATTTTTGGACCGCAACGCGACAGTGCGGTAGATCAGCGGACGCGCGATACGGTGAAAGAGGTGGGATACTTTGGAGACCACAAGGAGTTAACGAGGCGGGGGGAGCTCATCCCAGCGGTAGTGGCCCGGCTCCCAGTTCTCCAATGAGATCGGGGTCTCCAAGTGTTCGAAAATGCGCTGAAGGATCTCGGTCGGAAATGAGCCCATCATTTTTGCACGTCTGTTTGCCTCTCGGCAGGCTTATCTGGTCAGTAGCGGCCACGATGTGCTTATTTGAACGAGGAAGACACAACCTGAGCTGTTTTTTTTTTCCCCAAATAAATGAAACCCGCTGGCTGAGACATTAGGGCAGACATACCTGATGCTTTTCCATTTAGGGGCATTTCTATCCCTATATGTGCAGCTCAGCAACCACTAACCTATGTAAATGACCTGTCAATTGAACTCATCCCCAATGATGTAATGCAAAGCTCGGCTAGCATGAAAATACCAGATCCATGCTCTCGTGTAATTGAGGTTCATCGATTAGGTCATACAATCTCGCCTATCTTACTTATCTCGAATTCAGACCACGTCTATTCATTCTTGAGAGGGAACATGGCCTCTTAGCCTAAGTATGTTTCAACCCAACCCATATGCTCTAGTACTATCGGCCGTTTCACATGTCTCTTGTTGTCATATATACCGCAATGATCATCCAGCTCGTAATTAAGTGGTGAAAGGGTTGCAGGCAATACCTAATCGATCCGCCTCTGCTTGCAGCTTCTTGTTCTTCCTCACCAAGTGCCACTTGACCACGCTCGCCAGGCAAATAGCCAGCCCCGCGAAGACAATCTGCAGAATCATGGCCATGGTGTACCGGGGCTGGTCCCTGTCTGGGAAGAAATAGGGTGAAATGACGTTACCCAGATGACCAAAGATGTTGACAATGGCGCCACCGGCTGCCCGCTTCTCAGGGGTCTGGCCGAGTGTCGACACGGCCCAGGTGTATTGAAGGGTGTTTGCAGAGAAGCAGCCGGCCGCGTAGAGGAAAGTCATGGCATATCGGACTGAGGGGTTGCCGGTCGCGACGGTGACAATGAATCCGACAACCGAGCATGACAGAGGAATGATGATATGCAGGCCACGTTCACGGCGGCGATCAGAGTCCCATGCGACAAAGAATGTGCAGAGCGTTCCCCAAACATAGGGAGGGGCAGTCATTAACAGTGAGGTAATTCTGGTTCCAAAACCTATGTAATTGTTAGATGCAACACACAAGAGATATTTGAACCTTTAACCACGTACCTAGTCCGTTCACGATAGTGGGGAAGAAGTTGTTGAATCCATATGAAGAGGTGATGAAGATGTTCAAGAACAAGAACATGTAAAGCTTAAGATCCGTGACGGCAAGCTTAAGTCCGTGCCACACGGTAGACTTCTCAGAGTACTCAACTCGGTCATCGAGAATTCGCGCAGCGGCTAGCTTGCGCATATCCTCTGTCATATACCACATCGCACCACCGCTGGTGGAGTCTGGGTAGTTGGGCAGGACAAAATAGGCTGTAATTGCAAAGAAGCCACTGAGAGCGCCCTCGAGGATGAAGAGCCACTTCCATCCGGCAAGGCCCATGGGGCCATCGAGGCCGGCAAAAACGCCAGCAGCAATCAGACCAGAGAATGCCTGGGCGAGGACCAGGCCGGAGTAGAGCAGGGCAACACGGAGGGCGAACTCTCGGCGGGTGTACCAGCAAGACATGAGGAAAACGGCCTGCATGACAAGTCACTTAGTAGTTAGAGTAGCAAGCAGCAGGGGTTTCAACGTACGCCAGGGAAGAGTGGCGCTTCGACAATGCCTAGAATGAACTGGACGCCCCAGAGGCCCCCAGCGCTGGTGCAAACAACGGTGAGGGCCGAGACACCTGACCAGATGAAAGCTGCGACAGGGAGGTAAACGGACGGTCGCACTCGGGTGATGAGCATATTCGATGGCAGCTGGGCAACCATGTATCCAACAGTCAAGATGGCAACTGCAGTCTGAAAAATGTCAATTTCCAATTGCCTTTTTGTGAAGCTGTTTCAGCATACCTGGTAGTCTCCATCCTTGAGATTGAGATCCTCATTGAAGGTGTTCAGGCGGGCCTGGGCGATGTTTGTACGGTTAAGGTAGTTGAACATATAAAGAATCCAGAGTTGGGGGAGCATCCAGATGTCCAGCTTACGGACAATCTTCTTCTCCAGCTCCTTGGCGTTCTCTATCCCAAGTTCAGCGACGTGATTGATGTCCGCGCATACTTCCGTCTTTTCTTGGACGTACGACGGGACAGTGGCCAACTGAGCAGCATCATTCACCTGATTCACTGCCGTCTCTTTAATATCTGCCATGTTTGAAGAATGCCTTGACAAGAGAACTTCGGGAAATTAGAAAGCAAGTGCGAGTAAATAGTCATGCCATAGCACAACGATGTGCATCTCTCCTTTATAGTTATCCCCGGTGGCCTGACCAACAAATTTTCCATGATCTCCGCATCATCGCAAGGGCCATCTCCCAGGGTCGTTGAGGGAATTCGGTCATCGGCCGAGTACACAGGGGCCCCAAAATGGCACTGATACGACGGCCAAGGAAAAGCCAAGGTGCGAAACGAAAAGCAAAGGCCTGCCAAGGTGAGGGGGGAAACATGTCATCTGCGGCTCCATCACCGTCATGGTCCGAATAGACTTTGATGGTTACCCTAGCATATTCTAAGCTCATGCTAAGCCAAGCAGCTAGACAACCGAGTGAGAATCTCCTGCCTATTTCGAGCTAAGGGGATTTTCTAACCCACACCCCAGTCGTCCGTGCCACCCTTAAATTGCAACGTCACGGTTGCACACTCGCCAAGATCACATACATAAATGCCTCTCTGACCGCTGGTCTATCGCGTGCTCCGGGAACTTGGATGCCATCTTAAAGATGGTCACAAGGTCACCACGGATATCAAGGCCGAAGACTGGCGTGATCAGGTATTGGTCTCAACGATCACCGAGTTGTTCTTAAAGTGTATATACTTTGCCACTCACTCAAACTCTCATAACAGTCAAGTGTTTACTACAACTGTATCATGATGATCATTACCTTCTTGATTCCCACTGCACTTTTCGGCCGAAATATCCTTTTAGGATATAATAAGCGCCTGGAAGAACACGGAGTAGAAGGCTTCTAGATCATTTGGGGTAATGATGAAAGATACGGTCATATGCATTGGAATGGGGCTGTTTGGGGTTTGTATCTCGATGGACTGCCAAGATTTGGGGAGAAAATAGGGGCTTATAAATCGCCCACGTTTGTGATGCCAGAGACCATGAGAACGCTTAATCCTGGTCCATTGCAATTCGCCAATCCTCACTCCAACTCTCTTGGCTGAGCTTGGCGTATGGGGAAGAGTGTGGGGTTTTCATTGCGGCGCATGAAAAGAAGGTTATTCAGAAGGTTGTTTTCTCTCTCCGGCCGCCCGCCACTATTGACTTACCCGCCCCTCCCCCCTTTACGACCCCCACACACTCTGCCTCGCTTCCTTGTTTGCGTTGATATCTGTCGAGCCTGACTCCCTGCCGTCATATCGAAGCGGCTTTTACGCGTCAGCACAATACGTAGCCAATCAACCCAACACTCGCTCTCCACACAAGGGGCCCTACCACACTTTGGGGTAACATTCTTGGCTTGACGCGCTTCATGTCATTATTTGTTTCGAGAGGAGACGGCAGGGATACGCGGGACCCTCGAGAACATTACTCCACCGTCTGCGTCTGCCTACAGGATCATCGAATTCCCGTCATGGCCCCACGTTGCCAATTTTCTTGCAAACGGATCGTTGTTTTCTCCTTCCTACCAGGGTTTTAACCACCCAACACGAGAGGAGGGAATCAATTCAATCGCCGAGAGAAATCGGTGAGAGAGAAAGTGAAGAAAGATTTTTGCCACTGTTCGCATGGAGAAATTTTCGCTACAAGCCGACCCTGAAAGCGCGTGATTTATTCGTCGTAACGTGTTGGGAGGTGGATCGATCATACCCTGAACCAAAGAGCTTAATCGGGAGTCGGCAAAGAGTCCTATGACCAAAATATGGAGCAGAAGATAGAACAAGTTCCTCTGGCCATGCATTGAGCTAGATATCTTTCCATTCTGATATCCTTCTAGAGCAAGCAATTGAAGGGGGAATATGGAAATCATCTTTGTGGTTAGCTTATTTTATTAGTCGGCCACTTCCAGTAGATTTAAAATATACAACCACGTCTCTCTCCTCATCTTCACCGACGAGACCAATCAGCAACGGTGAGGTTAATCTCAGGTGATCAGAAGAGCCTAAATAAGAACAACTAAACAACTAGGAGGAAAAAATATCACGGATAAGTTCAATGACCCGAAATGAAGAATGCTGACTATGAACACCAATACAATAATACACGTTCAACTTCCGTATCATCCATTTGCCACCCTTTCAGAGACTTGTTTTCTCAGCCTGGGATATCACTATTTACAAAGATATTTATGTCTCTGTGGGTATTCCGTTCGGATATCGCGGCCCGGCAGGTTCAAACCCGTCCACAATGTCGCTGATAGCCTTAGACTCCTCTTCCGTGAGATCAATCACCTTCGTGTTCTCCTGAACCCTTTGACTCGTAGTTGCACCTGGAATGGGGATGATTTCGGGCGTGTCAGAGCGCTTGCTCACACTTCTCACCCAGGCGATTGCAAGTTGTGCCGTGGTGCATCCCTTCTTATCGGCGAGCACCTTGACTTGCTCGACTAGCTTTAGATTGTGCTCAAGGGCTTCACCTTGCAGACGAGGGAAGTGCGAAACAATGCCAAGATGTCTCGTGTCAGCATCAGTTTTGAACTGACCAGTCAAGATCTAACAGAGATTATCAGAGTTAGCTCAATGATGAAAATGCCCTAGAAAAACGCAATGAGAAGATCACACTCACTCCACGGCCCAAAGGCGAATATGCAACAATGGGGATATTGTACTGGGCACATGCTGCAGCAACTCCATTCTTGAGGATGTCCGGGGTGAACATGCTCAACTCAACCTCAACTGCTGCAACTTTGGTGTGCTTAACAGCCTCATGGATTGTATCCGGGCTGCACTCGGAAAGAGATATCCCCCCAATCTTCCCAGTATCCACGTACTCCGTCTTCAAGATATTTATTGTTGTTTCTAGGGGCACACGGTGGTCTCTCCTCGATATACCAAACACGTCAAGCTTTTTCTTGCCGCCTAGCTGACGAAGCACGTTATCAACGCATTGCCGGACGGCCTCGGGCGACCCGTCAGGGACCAAAGTCTGCACATGCTGAAGACCCTTGATAATTATGGTCACGCGCTCGGCATCTTCTGGATATTTGGTGAAATAACTCTTGATAAGAGTCATACTGTTGTACTCCGGAGTGCCGTAGAACTCGGCCCCGTTCCAGAGGTTGGCGCCAGCCTCAAGGGCCGATTTGAGGACTTCGACAGCCTGCTCGATAGGGACGGTTTCTGGTCTCCAGGTAAAGCCTGGAAGGTAAAGTATGAGTCGCGTGACATGTAATCAGGGTGCGTAATTGCGACGAGTCTTACCCATCAGGCCATACCCAATAGGGCCGACATTATTCTGCAAAATCAGTGGCATTGTTCTGGCGCAGAGACGGTAATCAGTTTAGCGACGGTGAGAAAGAATCAAGCGGGTTAAGTGCATGAGGATAGTTGATTTGCGGTAATTGCGATCCTGAAACAATTATAGCTAGAAATGCAACGCTCGCGCGTCTTTTAACTCCGCTCAAACTCCGGTCCGGATTACACGGCAACTCGGCGAAGAGGGGCGTGGGATGCCCATTTCTAATAAAGTGGGATGTTTAACAACGCAAACCGAGAGGGATGAGCCATGATTCATTATAATGATGAGCATCATTCAGAATAGGAGATTTATTTTGAAAATGAATTGAATTAGGTCGCATCTCAAATATTGTATTTGGGTCTTTCGTTTTTGAGGCTCGGGTGTAACTCTCTGTAGCGCTCGTCACTGTAGTCTAATCTTGTTACTCCCTTGGCTCCTCAAACTCTGTGAAAAGTGTACTATATACAGCAGGAAGCGATACTTAGTAATGTAATAAATGTCACTAGATAAGTTTCAGTACACGAGGAAGAGGATAAAAAGTTCCTAGAGCTTGTGTTGACGAATTGTCAAGTTCTGGAACAGGCGACGGATCGCAACATACACCCCTGACTTAGACAGATGTGTCATCAAGCTCTGAGGAAAAAGTAGAAGTATAAAAAGTCTGAGAGTCCTTTGAAGTGTCCCTTAACTCCGCTAATTGCGTGGTGGATGTCTCGACCTCCCTTTCTAAGGCTAGATTGAAAATGTGCCAGAAAACTATTTGAGGATTCTTCTTGGTCCAAGCCCCAAAAATGTGCGTCATAGCGCCTGTAAAATGCTCCTCTTGAACGAATGTCGTCGTACCGGGATTCACTTTGCTTGGGCTGAAGTGGAAGTGGCGTTTCCTACAAAGGCCCGGAAGACTTGCTTCCTACGAGAAGCATTCAGCTGAATTTTCCTACCGCAGGCCGTCTTAGCTCCAAGATGCGTATTTAAGTAGTTAGTAATCGGACACCTACTAGGATATATGGGCGAAAGGTGACCCCGTAAATGTTGACTCTCAAATGGTCTCCGATGCTCAAACTGAAGTTGATCTCGTTCGGGCGATTGAGAGTGACCTCTCAACCCCATTGCCAATATCTATATCTGGAAAAGTCCAGAAACGGCGTAATATGACATTCTCTCCTCATTTTGTTTCGGGTGGATACCGAAATGGAAAACCTACCACTGACCGGACGGCAGTTGGAGAGGCTTTGATCTCAATTTGGGCCAACATGATGATAGGCTTCTCCATGGCGCTTAGAAACTAAATCATCAAAATATTAAGGTTGTAGGTCACCAGAGTTATCGCCAGGTGGTTTTGTTTCGCGTTGTTAATTACTGATCGGATGGTGTTCGATGGTACCAGAAAATTGTAGATTTGGTACAATGTCAAGAACTTCTAAATAGAAGAAGCCATCTCTATGTTATATAAACTCGTTGATTGATTGACAATGAAAGTTATTGGCTGAGACTTGAGCATTCGGCCGAACTTAATTATGCCGATCGTTCAGTGTTTAAAACTACTTGGCACTCCGCCTAAAAGTCTCAAGTGCCGGAGACGATGGCCGATGGAAGTGCTCGTGGCAGACCTGACTCTACTATCTGCCATACATCTAGTTCCGAAAGGCCCCGAACTGAAGTCGATCTGACCAAGTGACGTGCGCTGGGGTATCTCGTGCTCGGCCGCTTCAAGCCGAACCTGAAACGGCAAAATTGGTAGTGAAGCTAGGGCGCAAAAATATGCGTAACTGAAGGGAGAACGGAGAAGTCAGTAGCAGAAGGTTTAGACGGTAGGAAGAGCAGAGATTATCTCGAGATTCTTCATTTGCTGGAGTGCGCAAGGGAACTTGTAAGACTAAGTGGGAGATAGGGAAACTAACCTACATCTAATGGAAGAAAGGCTATAAAAAGACCAGTTTCTTCAATAAATTTAAAAATTAGGCAGCATGAAATATGCTGCTGAATGTTAGATAATCTTCAATTCAAGGTCCCCCTGTTACTTCAGATACCATTTCTCGTCTATCAAGGTTGTGATGCCAAAGATTACAGCTGGATTCCCAATGGATCCCTATTCCAGATGTGCAATGCACGATTCCTAAAACAGCGTTGAACAAGATCTACTTTCCAATTTTACCATAAATCTCTGTTTCGAGTATAATCTTGTGACATTAATTCATCGCGTTGAATCTGAAGGATCAGATCTTTCATATTTGGCTCGGAAGTCTGGAACAACCCCTTACAAACTTGCTAGGCCAGTAGTGGCTACATACATATGGACTTGTTCTTGCCTCCCCAAAAAATAGCTAAAGATAATACGAGTGTCTGTGAATATGGGGTCTAACTTAGCATGATATCCTTACAAAACATGGACAAACTTATCACTCCAAGCAGCAAAAAAGGCAATTCCCTAAAACAGCAGTGATAAGACCTCTACTATTGCGATCGTCATTTTGGCATCTAGGGGCTTCTTCGCTTCTTGTTCATAAATTTTAAACAACAATATCATTGATTTAATAAGGAGATATTCCGGTTGTAAAGAAGAAGAGGAAAAACAGCTTAAATAGCAGCGTCATCTTCTGGTACGCTCGCTCAAATCTCAGCTCTGAGATGTACCACTTTCCATCCACAAGCTTCCAAGTCTCGTAGTAGAAACCCCCTCCCCTGAGTGCCATCCATGTCCCAAGGTACTTGTGGTAGAGCTGATCCTCCACGGAGAAAATCGAATGAACTTCATCGGGTGCCACCTGGTCAAAAGTACCCGGCCCAAGGTTATGCAGAGTCTGCAGCTGGGAGAAGAACCCGGCGAAAAAGGCTGCGCAGCTCTTTGAGGTGTCGAACACCGTCAGCTTGGAACCAAGCGCTAAAGGTTTTCCGTTTGTGGCCACGTAGATATATCGAGCGTCTTGGAGGGCAATATCGTTTGCCCATTTATTCCATTGCTTTGTGTCGGCGTATATACCATACAGTGCTTTCTGACTGGAGATCGCCAGAGCTACTTCGGGTGATGGTGGTGCCATTGCTAATGATTTGTTGTGAAAGAAGAAGCCAGAACACCCTAAGAGATAGTTATCTTATTGCGATGAACCAAGCAGAGCACGATGACAGGCAAGAAATTGAGAGGCCAAACTTAGCATTGGGGGGGTAGGTCCATGAGATATATATGACAGTCATACGACTTCTATTCCAAACAAGGAAATTCGGCGCAGCATATACCAAACGAAGCATCTTCTCCAAGCGGGGTGCTAACAGGAGGGTTGCAAATATCCCCCTTAGTTTTCACATGCGATCGACGCTGCAGTTCTTCACATCCAATCACTCATAAGCCAAGCCACCATCCCCCCCTCCTTATGACTAACATAGCACCATACATGCCACGTATCAATGGGTAGGATATTGTGATGAGCAAAGGTAGAAAGTAACCTTACGAAATGCGTATCGCGATGTTCGATGACGTTTTGGTGGTGTGGTCGGTCGAGCACTTGTCAGTGCTCTCCAGACAAAAATTAGTACAGTCAAGTCATTCCACTATCATCACGAATGTCAAAATGACGGAAGGTCTCCATCAGCAAAAGAGGCTCATTAATATTGCGAACCTGTCTATAATACGGGTTGATATCGTTGTTTTACTTGATAGAGAGACTTTTGCTCTGACTGAACACATTTGGAGGTTCACTAGCATAAAGGAAGTGAAGGCGTGTTTGGTTAGGAGCAAGGGTGAGTATAGGTTAGGTAGGTAGGGGCTCCTCAAAGAGATTCCACGTGACCTCCCTCATCGTCACCAATGACTTGATGACTTGAGTCTGAATGAAAACCACGCTTTCTACTGAATGCGCTTCCATAAAATGCCATAAAATGGTTTAAAAATCAATGTGACTGTCAAAATGATCAAATCTCATTACTTGAATCTTAACATATAGTGATATAATAACCGCCATGTTCTTAAAGCTCGCGATTCATACATTCAACGCTTTGGTAAAGCTGCTTTCCTCCGCGACTTTCAATCCAAGTTGCTCAAGAGTGATGTTACTGAGAATTTGAAGAACGGTGATGTCTGCCTTGTACTCGTTCGTGAACCAATTTTTCAACTCGAGCGCAATGAGCGAATCCACGCCATATAAATGGACGGCCCGTGATGCATCTACATCTGAAATCGGAATACCGAGGGCATGCGAAAGCTTCTTTGTTAGGGCCTGAACCACTATTGCCCCGGCTTCGTGCAAAGATTTGGACGTCTTGAAGCTATTCCGATCTTGCTGGGCCGTATCGGATCCCGAGGTGGCCTTGGTACCGCGCGTTTCATGGTACATGGTCTTGAACATTGGGTGTGCCATCCACTTTGGAATAGCGTAGCCCCCAGCTTGCAGAGCAGCGGGGGAGCGAATGCCTAGAACCACCTGGGCTTCCTCTGGTTTCAAAAGCGGTAGCTCTGGATCGCAATAACGCTCAAGCAGCATCCCAAGCTCACGCATTGTCGTGGGTTCGTACCACCCAAAGCTTTCCAAAGTGCGCGCCAAGTGCTCATCTTCTGCCACAGCGCCCTCGCCGACAACCATTCCCAGGTCGAAGGAAACGGCCTTTTGCCCCCTTCGAACCCTGCTGAGTGCCAGAGAGTCCTGGAAAGCATTGCCCGCGCTATAATTCCCCTGCCCTTCGCCACCAACAACTCCTACAAGCGAGGAGAAGAAAATGAAGAAGTCGAGGCCGTTGGGCAGCAGACGATCAAGGTTCCACGAGCCGGCAATCTTTGAAGTGGTGCTCACCCTCCACTCCTCTTCGCTCATATTCTTGAAATATTGGTCCTACTTGAGTTAGTCAACGTGTATTTGTAGCTGGAGAAGGCTAAAGTGAGACCATACCTTGAGCACCATGCTGGATTGAATGCATCCAGCGATAGGACCTAGCTTTTGCTGACAGCTTTGAAGCCTTATCTCCAGACTTCTGTGGTCGGATACATCGCAGACCAACACTTCTACCATGCAACCGGACCCTCGTAGCTCTTCTATCAGAGCTAGTCGATTTGGGTGCACATTAGCACCCGTACGCGATAGTAGAATCAGATTTCTTGCTCCCCTCTTCACCATCCACCTCGCCACGCTTCGAGAAATGCCTCCAAACCCACCAACGAGAAGATAGCTGCGGTTCGGCTTGAAAGCCCACGTCTTCTCGGGTTGGAATTTGACTGTCACCTCTTCTTCTTCGTCCATGTTGATGACCACCTTGCCGCCAATTCTTCCGCTTTGAAGACTTCTGAAAGCTGTCTCTACCTTCCCAACACCAAACTCAGTAAGAGGGGCCACAGGCTCGATGGCGCCCTCAGATACGAGCCTAAACACATCATTCAGCAGCCTTCTCATAAGCGCAGGTTTATGACGCCAGATTCCACTGAGATCAACACATGAGAAGGAGATGTTATTCAGAAGCGGCCTCATGCTTAGGCCACGATTGTCCAATATGTCCTTCTTGCCCAGCTCAACCCAGCGGCCGAATGGTGCCATCAATTCGGTCCAACCGGCCTCGAGTAACTCGCCAGACAGACTGTTCAGCACAACATCAACTCCATAACCATTGGTGACACGCTTCATGCCTGTCACAAAGCTGACATCGCGCGTGTGGAAGATATGGTTGTCCGGAATCCCGTACGTCGTAGCAATAAGCTGCCTCTTCGCGTCGCTGCCCACGGTGACGAACACCTCGGCACCGATATGCTGGGCTAGCTGGATGGCCATCTGTCCAGTTGCTCCAGCTCCCGCGTGGATCAAGACCTTTTCATCTGGCTGAAGACCAGCGACGTCCACTAGCGCACGGTAAACAGTACACGCGGTTCCTGGCATGCTGGCCGCATCGCGCATAGATAGACCGTCAGGTATCTTGACTGCCGTACGGTAGTCTGCACGAACACAGGACCTCACTGTGCCGTCAGTAAGTACTACAACACGATCGCCAACTCGAAGATCAGCAGATGTGCCGACGGCTGTGACCGTCCCTGCTGCTTCTACACCAAGAACTGAAATTTGAGGAATACGTCCTAGTGCTGTGAGAACATCGAGGAAATTCAGGCCAGTGTATGCTGGCTGGATGAGAACCTCATTAGACTGAGGGGCGGTTTGTGCCGTTGGGTCTGGCACGAAGGTCAGTGTCTCTAATAGACCTGGCGTAGTAATTGTCAACTTGATATTTTCTGCACCGGGGCAGATGAATTTCCTCTGCACTATCTTTTGCTTGTGGGATTTTTCGTTCACGTAGGAAGAGATGGCTGGTGAAAAGGAGAGTCGTGGGGTCAGTAGTGAATTCGTATCCCCATCTGAAGGCCAGGAATATTCAGTCTCTTTTGTCTCGAACGGCGTGGTATGCTTCCTGAACACTCTCATAATTGCGCCCAAGGCATTCGATCTAGGTTGATCAGCGCCAAGAGCTGGAATATCAAGAGTGAGCGTGGTGAGATTGATATCTGGACGTTCATTTCGAACGCTCCGGGTCAGACCTGCCGCGATTGCGTCTGATGAACAATCAGACTCAGATGACACCCACAAGATACTGTTTCTCGTCGAACAGAGAAGCTTGAGGGCGCTAAAAATCCCTAGACCAGTGTCAAAAGGACGATCAGAGTTGAAGCCGGATATAAAAATAGTATGCTCATCGTTGCAGGGTGCCACTTGTGCTTCATCCCACAATTGGAATTTCGTCCTGGTATAGCCATTGTTAATGAAAGACTCAAAAACTGCCTTTGCTAGATTTGATGCCCTAAAAGATGGATTTGGGGCCAGAATGACGGAAATCGGCCTTTCTTCTACCACTGGGGGCGTCACAGCGACTGGTTTATAGGACGTCAGAAGCTTCCCGTCCCATTCCAACTCCAGCTCTTTCTCGAATGACCCATCTATAGCTTGGAGATTGATGATATTTGGTGTCGAAGCTGCTAAGAAAATGATTCTGCCACGGGCTCTGACAAGAGGGGCTAAGTCAGACAGATGCTTATCTAGGTCTTGTCCATTCCAGGGGGTAAAGATTAAGTCATAACGTGGTTTTGGCATGGCGTCGAGACCAGGTTGAAACAGGTCTTCAAGGTCAAGTATGGTCGATTCATTCATACTCCCTTCCTTGACGGTGTCTTCGATCGGTCGATCCTTGATTCTATTTCGCGTCGCCAGGTCGTAGTACCCAGCTGGGCCTTCGAAATCTTTGAGTAGATTCCAAAGAGGAAAATGAGAAATATCTTCACATTCCTCAGGAGCCACTTCAAGCATCCGTGTGTTGACATTGTGATGTAGCACTAGACTCATGAATTTTGAAAGTGGATTATGCGCTTTGGAAGCGGGTGTCGTTGGCAAGTTCGACGTGCAGTACTTCTGCAACTCTCCTGGACTCATACCCTCGATATCAAGCTTCCATGACATGTTGTAGAAGGGTTGTCCCTTCTTTTCCTCATCGCTAACCGCCTCTCCGCCGATAATAATAGTCTCGAGCCCCTCAGCAAACAATACCACGTGTGAGTCTTCCATGCTGAGAACCGAGATCTCCGACTTGGTGTTACGGAAGCCCAGGTAGTCCGCCTTAGATACAGCTTGAACATGCTTCGATGATACAGCATGGGACAGAATGTCCGCATCAATCCAGAGGGTTTCCAATTGACTAGGAACCATCGTAGGCACAGGTTGGCCAACACCCGCCCCAAGACTGACCACCGGAAGCTGAAGCACGCCATCAAGAGCTGTTGGGTGGATGAAGTGCGGCGTAGCGTGCTCAGGCTTTCCTTTCAACTTCCAGTTATCAAGCCGAATGCGCGCTGAGGCTAGACCACCTCTCCAGTCGTATTTGACATCATCGAATACTTGGAATGTAGGCCCAAATTCCAAACCGGTCTCTCTAAATCTACCGTAGAGCTTCTGTCTTCGGATTTCCGCTCGGCAGGCCCCGAGCTGGTCGAGCGTCTGTTGTCGCCGACGTTCCTCAAGAAGCTTATTCTCTGCCTTCATGTGCTTTGAGGAGCTCTCGTGCGTCATTTTTATGGTTATTTTGCCCGTACAAACTTCGCGCCATTGTTCTCCGTCGAGAAGTGTTATCTGGAATGAGAATTGCCTAGAGTTGGCACTGTTGCTGGTATTTGGATCAATCGGTATAAGACCGATCTCAGTCGATGCGCCTACTTCGGGTGAGGCAATATTGAGAGCTGATACAAACGTCACGTCCTTCAACAAGAATCCTGCAGGACGTCTCGTGTCGATGTCAGAGACATACTGGGCTGCAGCTTCAATAGCCATCACAATCATTCCCGCGCCAGGATAGATCAAAGCTCCCGCGATCTTGTGATCCTCTATCCAGGGGTTTTCAAGAGTGCGAATCATATTGCGCCAGCGAGGTGCCAGAGGGTTCCAATTGAGGATCCGCGATCCAAGAAGATCATTCCTTGCATGCTTCTGAAATCTGTGGTCGCGGCTGACTTGACTCTCGTGCCAGTATGTTTTGGAATGATCAAATGGATATTCGGGAAGATCGATCAGACACTCCTTGTCATTGTCGCTGATTCTGTTCACAACTTCAAGGTCAATGGGGAAACCTATGCTGTGCAAATGACCGAGAGTGTCGAAGATACGATCCAACGAAACATTCTTCTTATCCATGATATTAAAATACATTGATGAGGGCGTAGTCGGAATTGTAGACATGGTGTCCCGGATGGCACTTCGAAGAGCTCCGGTAGGCCCTACCTCAACTAACGCGTGGAGAGGCTGCTGTTGAAGAAGAGTTGCTATAGCGGGTTCAAACTTGACTGTCGAAACAAGATTGTTGACCCAGTAGCTTCCTTGGCGTGGCGTATCACGGTCTATCAATTTAGTCGTGACTGAGGAAACCATTTGAGGACTTTCAGCACCCTGTGATCCTGGCTCAAGGTCATTTAGAAGAGACGCATACATGTCCGCAACATCGTTGAGGATTGGAGAATGATATGGTGCCGGAACAGCCAGAATACGTAGAAATGTACCGTCAACCTCAAGCAAGCTCTTCAAGGCCTTCAATGGACGCAACGGTCCACTTAGAGTCACATTTTTGGGAGAGTTGATGCACGCGATGGCAACACGAGAGAGTCCCAAGGTTTCCATATTGTGCTCCAGAATCGACTCTACTTCGGACACTGGCAACCCAACCACAAGCATACCGAAGTCCTCATCCAGCGTTGAAAAGTGCTCTGAAATAACTTTGCCTCTGTAGAAGGCGACCCGGCAGGCGCTCCGTGCAGATATGGCACCACTTGCGTAAGCTGCCGCGATCTCGCCCGAGGAGTGGCCAACAACTAGGGACGGCCGCACGCCGTACGACCGGAGAAGATCGACCATGGCGATCTGAATGGCAGTGCAGATAGGTTGAGAAAACTCTGCACTGTCGAGTCGACTCTCGTCGGCACTTTTCGAAAGTTCCTCTTCCAGGTCCCAGCTTGCGCCGAGCTCCTTGAAATATTCTTCAAGCCGGCTAAGGCTTTGACGAAAGCAGGGGTTTCCTAGAAACTGGGTGCCCATATTTGCCCACTGTACTCCTTGGCCAGTAAACACAAACGCCAGCTTTGGATCCTTGATTGAACGAATTGGTTTGGATAGTTCAAGCGAACTGGGCTTGTCGCGGGCAACCATGAAAGATTTCCATGGCAATTGCGTCCGCCGTGCCGAAAGAGTGAAAGCAAGTTTTCTCATATCAGTGGCCGTGTTCTTCTCCAAGTACGAGGAATACTCAACTCGCATTCGTTCCAATCCTTGCTCATCTGCCGCGGACCACACGAGGAGGAGCATGGAATCTGTCTTCCCAACGCCATTGACTACCACCCCGTTCGTCCCATTGCATCGTTCATTATCAACGCCATCGGATGCACCATTAACAAGGGCATCTTCCCCAGAAGGGCGAGGCTTCAAGGCCGTCGCGGCAAGAACGTGATGGTCACCGTCCTCAATCACTACGTGAGCGTTTGCGCCACCAAAGCCAAAGGAGTTGATGGATGCCCGTCTAACTCCCTCAGGCCACTGAATGGTCTCTTTGGGAAAGGCCATGTTCCATTCCGTGCCTGAGATGTTTGGATGGAGCGTCTCAAAGTTTGCGATTTTAGGGATGATGCTTCTTTCTAACATCATCACAACTTTGACCAGACTAGCAATTCCACTCGTGCCTTCCAAATGTCCCAAATTAGCTTTCACTGACCCCATATAGAGAGGATCATCAGGAGAACGATGGTCCTTGAATATGGATGCTAGTGCTCTTGTTTCAACCTGATCTCCTTCTGTCCCTGGAGCATGAGCTTCCACATACCTCGTCAGGCTGGGATCGAGGTTGGCTGAGCGATAGGTTGACGCCACGAGGGACTGCTGTGCGTCGAAACTAACTTTGGTGATGCCTCCTACGGATCTACCATTTTCGTTGGACCCCGTCGCTCTGATCACAGCTCGGATTGGGTCACCGTCAGCCAACGCCTTCGCAAGAGGCTTCAACACAAGTACCCCGAAACCCTCGCCGCGGCAGTAGCCGTTGGCGCGGGCGTCAAAGCTATGGCATGTCGCATCTGGAGAAAAGAAATTAAGGTGCGCAAGCGGCGACATGGACTGTGGCGCAAAGAAGAGATTGGCTCCTCCGACAATGCCCATCTCGGATTCGCCGGACCTAATACTCCGGCAGGCAAGATGTAGCGCATTCAAGCTGGCGGAGCAGGCTGTATCCAGTTGCACGCTGGGACCCTTGAAGTCGTAAAACCAGCTGATCTTATTGGCGAGCATGGACATTGCCATACCCGTGGCCGCGTGCCGGATGGGGTGGCTCGTATCCTTGTTGTACATCAGACGGTAGTCGTCTGACGATACGCCGGTAAATACGCAAGTCTTGGTGCCGGCGCAGCGCTCGATGGGAATGCCAGCATTCTCCAGAGCTCGATAGGTTGCTTCTAAGAGCTTGCGGGATTGAGGATCCATTGCTGCCGCCTCCGCAGCACGGATTGAGAAGAAGGGGGCGTCAAAGGCCGCAATGTCCTCTGTGATAAAATTGCCCTGGTTGACCGGTAAGGCCTCCAACCGGTTTGTGTCTGGGTGATAGAATGCATCGGCGTTGAATCTCGACTGAGGGACTGGTGCTCTTGAACAACGGCCAGCTGTGATCATGTCCCAAAAGCCATCAGTTGATGAGGCCTCTCCGCCAAAGCGGAACGAGAGCCCCACGATAGCCACAGGCACCCCGTCCATTGCGGCAAAGTGATGAAGTGCGAAAGCTGTATGGCGGTCTGAGAAGACGGGCCAGCGACGGCCTCATCTACTCTCCAAGTAGGGTGAACTCGCAACTAGGCCAATGGAGCTTGACCTTTCAATAGGATAGTGTTGGTGAGGGTAACTCAGACCTTCGTTAATCTCATCCAAAGATTGGATATTTAGCTGACTTATATCTTAGTTCGTAGTAGACGAATTCTCCATATTGCTATCGGTCGTGAGAATTGGACGTGGCTACATGTCCCCATTGTTGTGAGGGTCAAATACCGAGTCCAGATCTATCTATTGAGATGTTCCCACTTTGATCTAGGCTCATTTGAGTGCGGCTGGGAAAGGACATCTTGTGACGCTCGCTGAAAAAGGATCTCGGATCGCTGACATCAGCCAACTTGAACTGGCAGGGTATAATGGCCTTGATATGCGCCTTTTTAGCCCCGAGAAGGTGAAGAAACTTGTGATTTTAGCTGATAATGTTCTACCGTTCCTTACCACTCGCCAATCTCTCATTTGAGGAATAAGACTATCGAAAGACACCTCCCCGTTCTGGATGTTAAGTGGTCGTGGACGCGCATGCCATGCGCACGGAGAAGTCAATATTGGTTCTCTAGTGGCGCCTAGCTGGATAGCTCTGCTGTAAAGGCTTATATCCGAACGCATGATTCAGTGGCTGGAAACAGCGCTATTGATTGGCATGCAGAGGTCCAGCCCGGTTAGGATCGTGCCCCGATGAGGTGCCTGCAGCTCTGTGGAGTTTGGGAAAATATTCAGCGTCCCACCTCTTGAGACCCTGGTTCATGGGAGTGGCAAACTGGATTGGCTGCTACCTTGCCAACCCCTACATGGGAAGCCAAGCCCTGTTGCTTTGCTTCTAAAGCGACAGGCGAAGACCCCGAGAACACGAAGGTCGAGCACTGGGCGAGCGGCCCATAACATGCTCCAAGAAGCAAACACGAGCATCACGAACGCCATTTTGTAAGAGCTACATGTTGCAGAAATGGCAGGTTGACCAAGACATATCTCGAAAGCTTGTCGGGGTCACTGAGGGCACGTTGTTTGGTTAACAGCCTAAACATCAAATAATAGCACTCGGTGACTAAATATCCGCTGCAACGGTATAAGAACTTGAAGAGTTTTGATCGAGACCCTGGTCACTTATATCATCACTCGAGCTCCTAATGACCGTAGGGGCAACGTAGCCTTACGTCCCAAAAAGGGCTCGTTAGGGAGATTCCAAAGTCACCAACCTTAAGACACCAATTTAATGGCAGCTCACTTAAAAGGATGTTCTGTCATCATTAGCACATGAGCTGTAGACGATTAACTACATAAATGATAACCGGCTTAAGCCCCCAATGGGTGAATCCATTCTTATGCACAACGTTGGCCCTTCAAGAAATTCGAATTGAATGACTTTGAGTTCTTCAGCAATGCCTAGGTTATGTGACTATGCAAATCTCCCCTTTTAATGTACTGCATTTTCATATATTGTTGCGTCGTTTACATTTGAATGTGTCACTAACCCAATTCAGATTTTGCTAGCTCCCCAAGTTATCATACGCCTAAATGGTAGGAAAGACACCTGGATACCGTGCTTGGAGTTGCTTCTTTTCCTTTTTCCTCCAGCGAGACTCTACCGTAAACCATGCACCTACGATGATCAATGTGGCCCCCATTAATGGCCCTGTCACAGACCACCAGCGTCCCAATGCAAGGGCAGAGTAGCTCTCGCCGTTTTGATATTTCACAATGTCCGTACTGAAAAATGTCTATAGACGGCAGAGACAACCAAAGTTAGCTGCGCTTGCGCTCTTCTGTTCAGACTCTCGAGCCCCTCTTCCTTCTTCTAAGGCGAGGTATGGGAGGTAAATAAGGTAGCACTTACAGAAACAAATGTTGGTGGTAGATAGACTAATGTGATGATGGTAATGATTCGCATGGTGGAAGCTTCTTGGGAGCTGCGAAGTGTTTGCTCCCACATGCTCTTGCTCACAACCTCCTGTCGTTGGGCTAGTTCTTCTTGCTTTCTACTAATGGCCTCTTGTCTCTCTGTTGTTTGCATGTGGAGATGTTCACGGATCTTGTCGCGGTCAGATTTAGTTTCTTGCATGCTGGCAATGTGGAGAGAGATAAGGGGTAAGACTCAACTTGATTAATTGAATCTCTGAGGATACTGCTAAGCATGAGCAAGTGGCTGCCGTGGAGTTCCATGTCATGGATATTCTTGTCAATTTCTGCCACGAGAGAATTGACAGCCTTCTTGGGGGATTGCCCCAGCGGGTTCTGGGTTCGACGGAATTTGACGTAGAACTCTGACAGAGAAGTCATGGTTTTGCAGTTTGCGTTGGCGGCGGCTGCAGTCTCTTTCACCAATCTCTGGTAAGTCTCTATCCGACGAGCCACCTCTTTGCTAGGATCTATACTCGATGCAATAGACTTTTCAGGGATATAATTATCAGCCATACTCTGTTCCTTATGCGCTGGAGTATTGAATGTAACAGATGGGGTAGGAGAAGTGCGAGCGTAGCCATACCAACTCATCAACTTCTTTATCCAGGATTTGAATAATTAATGGCCATTCTGAGATGACCCATGTGGTCCACATGAGGTGAATATCGAGACTGGCCTTGAAGGGATCTTCGAACTGCGACTGATTGTTGCTCTTGCCGTACTTGCTATCAGTGATGGATTTGAGCTTTGCGCTCGGGTCTCCTATAATCCACATCTGCTTACCAGTCCCGATATCAAATTGGTGATATATAGTGGCTTGTCGTATGACCAGACGATTAGTCTCGCTCAGCTCCGGGTCGTAGCTTACGGCTTTGAGGTTGTAGACGACCTGGAAGCGGTCTGGGCTTCGACCAAGCGAGTGAATAGCAGTGGCGGTGGTTTTATCGTCAACCTCGGTGCGAAATCCGCTGAACCGAACCTCTCGCTTCCCAGATTCAGAGCCGTAAGCGTGCAAAAATTCGAGGAGTGACGGCATCACCTGATGGTAGGTTAGTATTCTGAGAAGGGCAGACTTTGTAGTTTCTAGAGGCCTTTGACTGCTCGGCGTGATGAGAAAGCTAGAAGCCAAAGGCTACACATTAGCGCACCGATTCGGAGAAGTCATAATATAGCAATTGAAAGCTCTCACATGAAGCGGCAACGAGGGTCAGGCTTCGTTGCTACATGACCATTTCCTCCAGTCAAATTGGTCACCGCCGGTTCAAACGTATCGCCGATCCAGTCTCTCAAAATATCAATCGAGATTAAGTTTCTCTTGGGGGCAGTGCCATTGTCGTTGATGTCTCGAACGGGAATCTTGAGCATATCTTCATTTTCAAATTGTATGCCCGCACCATCGGCCAACCGGCCCTTGTGCACAGCTAGGAGGGACGGTGCATATTTTTGAGCATTCATCAGATTATACGGATACGATGAAAATTTGCGACACGAATCCGAGAAACTTTCAGGGAGAGACAGAGGCGTGGGCATCTTGTTGGTGGTGGCACACTGGAGTTAGGTAGAGGCAATGATGGAGAAAGAAGTGGAGAGAATGAATGAAGGAAAACATTACGGTGAGAATGGTTTGGAGCTTCTAGTATGGTTGGGCGGATGTACAGCTGAAGGTACCCTTTTGAGACTACTTTACATGATAGCTGAAAACAATATGCAGGTATTTATCGAATACCACAGGGGGGTGAGATACCGCTGCGTCAGCATCCCACGTGTCCATTGGCGAGCTCAGCGCCGGAGAAACTGCCTAGATACTCATTCCGAGTCTGAGTATTCACGCCTATCACTTCGTCTTCCATGATCATATCTACTCATATCCCTGACCATGGCAAGGTCGCGGTGTTCAGCCTAGAGACAAGGCGAAAATCGGCATTAGCGGTAATCATTACGATTAGGTGGAAACTGCAAGAAGAAAACCAGAAAATAAGGAAACAAGGAAAGAAGGAAAGCGATGGAGTAGCACGTACATCTGTCAACGGACGAGGAGATTCGAAAATCCAGAAATCATCTCGCATCTCGATTGAGGCTACGATTTCGGCAGACTCATATGGAAATATCTTCTTTAGCCACTCGATCAATCTTTGGCGCGACAGGCGATAGGCTATAACATGCACCAACATTCTTGTCTATAGATTGCTTTTGGCAGAATGGAAAAGAGAGCAGGCTTCGCCATGGGGCAACGTATGAAGTATGTTGGGAATGAGTGCCAGAATATATGAGCCCACCACAGTGGAGATCTGTGCAAATCAGTCCTGAGGGAATTAATAAGGCATCAAGAACCACGTGACCCTTGGCCCAATTGAAGCGGGGTTCATGTTGTTCAGGGCAGAATCAGGGAGCTGGAGAGCTGAAAGACATCATCCATGGCAGCGTAATTGGCGGAAGGATAATCCACGTTGCATTTGCAACCCCTTCTCACTTCTCACTTCTCACCTCCCTTTGTGAGCGGTATCGACCGCTTTCAAATCTTTCTCATCTTTAGTCGTCAGAGCCTGCACTGATGGGCCATGCCTGGGCTGAATACGTGTACTCGCATAATAGCGAACGCATCTCATAGTCGACACACGTCATTGGCCTTGCATTTCATTGATTCGGGCTTTCTAGGGCATTCTATGGAAACGTACCTGGCAATCCTATGACGCCCAAATGGAAAGCCTTGAAAGGAGCTTATTGCGGGTACAGCAACTTGTTCGACAATGTACCCGGACAACGCATGATGGCAGGCCATTCGTGCTGCGCTTCTCTGTAGCTAAACTGCTACAAGAGTCTACCATATTGACTGGCCGTAGCGACTTGGAGAGTTTATGGATACAGCTGCTGCCCAACATCCAAATAAATCCCCCGACAAGGTTCGATTTGACTTGGGTGCTGTGTATTCTGATTCAGCTTAATATCTATACATACATTCAGAATTTCGTTTTGGGGGGGATATCTGACCGGGACCTGCCAATCACCAGGGATCAATTAGAAAACCTCTTCAAAACTTTGCCCCCCAAAGTCTGGGAAGAATATTCTTCTGAGCAAGCCCGGTGGTTTCCGATACAGATCGACAACCGAATGGCAAAATCGCTCTCTCATGATGAAATATTCCCAGCTGTTCGTATGCGGCTCATCAAGGGTCATTCAGAGACCCCGTGTCACTCATATGAGAGCAAGCCAACAGTATGGAGAGCTGAAATTCCGGTACAGCTGGTCAGTAGAGATCTATTCGATCATACAACTAGGCGTTACGCATTGACCCCTGCCTGGTTACTTGGTCCAATTAACCCAACAAGCAAAACTTCCAATGACCAGATCTTTGAATGTGCCATAAAAACATTCCCCGGGGACTTGGAGAGTGATTTTCGAAAAGAACTACGAAATCTTCAGTTATTGGATAATCCCCTTGGATTTGTGCAATGCTTTGGTTGGTATGAGACATTCGGAACACTGCAGTCCAAAACTTTCAATATCCTCTTTGAGCTAGGGAGCATAGATTTGTCCAAACTTTTACAATACGATATTCAATTTACGTCTTCTACCGGAGTGAAAAGCTTCTGGGAGTCTTTCGCTTCTCTCCCGGGAGCATTGTCACGAATGCACCAAATTGTTAGAGAGAAAATCTCCTACCAAGGGTGAGCATTAATGGCTGTCACACACTTTCCTCATCTGGAATTTGCTAATTAGTTCTCCATATAGCTGGCATGGCGACCTGAAGCCGCAGAATATCATATTAGTCGGCAGACAGTTTCAAATCACTGATGTTGGAGAGTCGGTGGTTGTACCATTACCTGATCCTAGGACCTGCAATAAGAACATAGCCTTTAGCGCAACCGTGACATATGGTAAGTACCACTCCTTATTTTCTGGTTTGAACATTTATTCTTGTCATTGGACAAGTCGGGATTCAACCTTGAATACGCGAGCTTTCACATATACGTCCGTTTCTCTCTTGCTCACCTTCCATCACTAACCGTTACCTAAAGCTGCACCGGAATCGAATAATTTGATAGGCCCTTCCAAACCGACGTGCCAAAAAGCCGATATTTGGTCATTAGGATGCATCTTCTCTTTAGTAGCATCCTTTATAATTTTCGGACACCAAGGTGTGAATGATTTCACCCAAAAACGTGCCAAGGGCGTGAAGAAACGCCTCGGGTTTGCCGCAGATATTTTCTATAACGAGTTAGAGCCATCAACCGAGGTTACAGAATGGCATGAGCGTTTGAGACAAAACATCTTGCCCGGAGATGCATGGACAGGTCCCATGTTGGATCTCGTTGAAAATCATATGCTTGTCGCGGTTAAGCATCGCTTTTCAGCGGCTGAAGTAGATGGGCAGATGAGGGAGATATTTTTTACTAGCAGAACAAATTCAAAGGAGTGAGCAGACAATTGCAGATCTGAAGCAAACTACTGGTGCTGAGTTACGACTCGTTGTGGATTCTGGATTCGTGCCGCTCAGTAAATTAGGGATGGTTGACTAGACCGGGCTAGCTGAACGACATGCCTTCGCTTTCTCTCGTTCTCGGGCGTTAAGTCGACATAGGTTTGTACCATTGCACACTCCATGAAGTCTTGAGAACCCACAGATCGGTGCAGAAGGAACTATAGACACGGCCATGACTACCTGTCACCTTTCTATGATAGTGCAATGGCAATCAATGGGTTGTAGCGATTTGATTTATGTGATGAACTTGACCACAATATATCCTGACAGTATACCTTATGTATGAAGCATTCCTGGAATTTCATCTAATGTATGTACCTGTATATCTCCCAGTATAGCTAGGCGTCAATTAGGCGTTTTGATCTTATTCTGCAGCACACGGAGCTTGCTAAAGTACGCATCTTTATCCACGTACGTGCCTCTCAACCATCGTGGCTTGCCAACGTCGGCCATGTCAAATGCTCTCTGTGAATGGAATGTTCTTGTGTTATCAAACAAAACGCATTCTCGCGGTTTCATCTTCCTCTAGAATAGATACTCCGGCCTCTCCAGCAATGCGTTGAACTTTACGGCTGCCTGATGCCACTTGTCCACTTTGCTATTCAGAGCCGAGAGGGGGAATTCAGTCGAAGGCTCCGGGTGAGTGGAGGAGTCATGCAGAGAAAAGGGTGCGAGGAACGGGGGGGCCCCAGTTGATCTTGTCCATACAGTCCACAAGCGAGGCCTCAGTCCACTCATATCCCCCGTCTCGGCCGTGGAGTGCACGCATGCCTTCCGCGTAGTCTTGGATATGGGTGTAGACGGTTTCGCCAATGCGGAGCTCTTTCAGATCAATAACAGGCTTGGTAGTTTTGTACACATTTGAATCGGGATGGTTGTAATGGTAGTTGACCTCAACCGTCGCGAGGATGTCAAACGCCTCAATATCTGTGTGGAACAAATCGACGGCAGCTTTGTAGGCATCTGCAAACACACTGGCGCCTCCAGAGGACGCAGACTGGATGCAATGAAGGAGTTGGATATGAGGTGGTTGTTGGAAGTAGAGCAAATCCGTGTGGAAACCGAGATCATGCGATGTGTATGCAGCGTTAATGGCGGCTGGGACAGTACGTACTATTATCATTCATTAGCTAAAATCACCACAAGAAAACGTGTAACCATACCATCCCATGTGTAACTGTAGAATGTGTCTTTGATTGGACCAATTCGTGTTGCGATAGTAGCCAAAGACTCTTCCACGCCTGGAATATCAGTCACGAAAGCAACTCCATGGGTTCGAAGCTGACAGATGACCTGTTGCAATATCTGGTCATCTTTCATATATTCTTGATAATCGTAGTCAGGAAGGTTGAGTGGTTCTTGAGTCCACAAGACTTGAGACGGAACAGGCTCCTTGAGAGAACCGGTATGGCAACCGGACGAGCTGATGTTCCTCAAGGTGGTCAAACTTAACTTCGTTGTATGATCAGCGGGATACCCCTGTGCATCGTTCTCCCAAGTAATAGAAAAAGCGTCAGAGGCGGCGTCATAGTTCACGGTCCGGCTTTTAATATCTGCCGGTATGTCGGCGACGGAGAATAGCCTCTGGTTGGTCGACTCATGGAAACAAGCCGGGCAAGAGCAGGAGTCACGCAGCAAAACGCTTGAAACATTGACTGTCTGGCCATCGATTAAAATAGGAGTATTGGAATAGTGTCTACTAGTGGCGGCTTTCCCATTGGAAGAGGCACTTTGCTGTGCAAGGATTGGCTTAGGGGCTGAGGAGTATGGACGATGCGTTGGACGAAGGTGATAAGTTATCGTCGGGGCCATCTGCTAGGTGGTGAGTCAGATGGAATTTCATGATGCCATGAATATGAGGAAATTTACATACCCGCAAGGTTGTGTCTCCCTTCCGTTTGATACTCAGACTCTCTCGGGGGGGTTGGTGAATCGTTGAAAGTGATCGTCTGACATAAAAGGATACATTACGACATGGATATGCCGCTTCCTTCACCGCAAGCTTTCGAACAGCTTGCATGTGTTGGCTTGCAAAAGCTCTGCTTAAAACTCAAGTGAGGTAAGTGATCCCCCGAGTTATTTGGGCATCAGATGGGCTATTAAATACTATTCTCAGTGCAAGGTCAAGCCAAGTCTCGCAAGCCTCTCAAATGAAACTTGGTCTAACTAGTTACGAGAAAATAATACGAAGATCAGGCTACAACGGAGCCACCTCTTCAGCATCCCCTGTAGTGCACTCCAGAATGGACCACTTCATGAAAATCCAGGTATCAAACAGATACCATTACCATCAAAGTCCCGAGTGACGGGAACCCTGAACCAATAGAGAGCCAGATGATGCGAAATGCATGGCTATTTCCGAGTGTAATTCCATTTAGCTCTACTTCTTTATCCAAACACAGAAGTTGAAGTGGCGCTTCCAATGACATCGTATTTTATTTCTCAATCCCGGTGATGGAGTTGATCGACACATTCTCGGTTGTGGCGAAATAATATGACGTGCATACTTAGCAGAGATGACTCGGCGTACAACTATTGGTATTCGGGTGGAAAACGTTGCCACAGATCTGATGAGACAAACCCATTCGTATTAAAGTGCCTTCAAGAGTTAGGTTGAGTTGGAGTGAAATGGTTGTTCAATAGGACAGCCATCCCTGATGATAGTCATATGCGAGGCACTGTATTATAATTTATAAATCGAGCGCGACCCTGCTTCTAAACCTCGAATCTCGTCTTCACCATCACAAAATTCACTTCAAATTTAATTATCTCTCATAGGCTCCCAGGAACAACCTAACGACATAAAACTGAACGCAGCTATGGCACCAAGCGCCAACCCTGTTGTGGTCCAAGAGACCAAGAAGACGCCGCTGCAGCTCATTTCCCAAGGAACATGCCTTCCTGGTATTCCCAAGCATCCTACGTTTGCAGCACAGAGGCAATGGATGCTAGGGAAAATGGCTCTGGCATTTCGTGTATTTGCCCGCAAGGGATACACAGACGGGATGGCTGGCCATATTTCCATCCGGGACCCAGAAAACCCACATACATTCTGGACAGTGAGCTCGCAAATTCATCTCGGTCATCTGCCGTAGAACTAACTTGCGTCACAGAACCCATTGGCAGTCCATTTTGGCATGCTGAAGGCAAGCGACATGATTCTCGTCAACTACGAGGGCATGCCAATCGGCGGTAATTCTGATCCTTGTCTTTAGATCCCAGTCTGTCAATGCTGAATCACACTTCAGGAAACATGAGCAGGCCAGTAAACGCAGCAGGTTTCCTAATCCACAGTGCCGTGCACCAGGCTCGCCCTGACGTTATTGCCGCTTGCCACACTCACAGTGTTCATGACATGGCATGGGGTGCGTTTGGTCGGCCTCTGGAGATGTTAACACAGGATATTACGTATCTATACGGTGACGCCCAAGCGGTATACAAGGTGAGTTTGTTCGAAATGATCAAATGCTACTTGAGCGAACAAGATTCTAAGGCTCTCTAGGATTTTGGAGGCGTTGTACTTACCCAGGAAGAGGGTGATAAGATTGGAGCTGCATTAGGTACGCATCAAAAATGTCAAACAAACATCCAACATGCAGTCTGACTCGCTTTGTGGTTCTATAGGTCCCAAGGGAAAAGGCATGATCTTGCAGAATCATGGTCTACTCACAGTTGGCTCAACGGTCGACGAGGCATGCTTCTTGATGACTCTCATGGAGCTTGGCTGTCAATGTCAGCTCCTTGCAGAAGCTGCGGCAGCGAATGGAATACCAAAAGTATATATCCCTGATGAAAGTGCGAGATACACTTTCGAAAACTCCAGCGACCCGGAGACTCTGTACTGGGAAGGGCAATCTGATCTAGAGTATGAGGCGTATATGTGTAAAGGAGAGCATCAAGCTTGATATCACCGCTGTGAAGCCTGTTTCTGCAAAAGGTACCGAAGGTGTGTTAGATAGCCAACGTGAATTTTACACGCACTTACATGTGGACACAGGATAATATGGGGCTGAGAAATCTCAACATATTCTTTATATTTGGGTGAAAACACGTATTGACATCTGGCCTTCGTTCATGATTGGTGCGCATATGGAGAGGTTTTAATTGCGGAGAAAGCGAGCTGTGATATCAAAAAACGCAGCTTCATTATGACTGAGCCATAAGCCACCGCACTAGCTATTTACCCACTCAGTTATTGTCTCATAACCACATCATCTTCCATTTGCGAGAGGCATCGACATTTTTTCTTTCTCAACATTGAGACAAAGCAGTAGTACCGCAGCCAACATGTCTATGTCCATCGAAGATGCTGCCAAAGCTCGTCCGGGATTCCCCCGCCCATTCCCCAACACACCGAACAATGTTCTTGAGCAGCTCAGCCTCAAGGAGAAAGTGATTGTCGTGACTGGGGCAGCCGATGGGATTGGCCTCGCGGTAGCGGAAGCCATGGCCGAGGCTGGCGGGCATGTGGCTCTTTGGTACAATTCGTACGTCTGTTGTCTTCTAATACTGAAGGTTCATTCCATGGAATTGACTCTACGTTGGTAGGAATGATGCCGCTGTTTCTCGGGCCGAGGAGCTGGCGAACGCGCATGGAATCAAGTCATCAGCATTCAAGGTTGACGGTATGTAAATTTCTGAGAGGCCGAAATGATTTGGCTGACTCCTGGTGTGCTTTTAGTCTCAAACACTGAGCAAATTGAGAAGGGTTTGGCTGCCGTTGTCGAAAAGTTCGGCAAAGTTGATGTTTTCGTTGCGAATGCTGGTAAGGATGATGAATTCGATATGTGGCTCTCATTCTGACTCGTCGAAGGTATGGCACTCTGCAAGCCGATTCTGGAGCAGACGCTTGATGAATATAAACAGCAAATGTCGGTTAACGGTACGTAATCCTTCTAAACTCCCAGTTAACTGCCCACATATTGACCGCTCCAAGTTGATGGCGTGGTCTATTGCTCCAAATTAGTAGGCGCCATCTTCAAGCAACAAGGCTTTGGGAATCTCATCATCACATCAAGCATGAGCGCGCACATTGTCAACGTACCCGTTGATCAGCCTGTCTACAACGCAACCAAGGCCTTCGTTACCCACTTTGGCAAATGTCTTGCTCGCGAGTGGCGCGACTTTGCACGGGTGAATATTGTGTCTCCTGGGTTCTTTGATACTAAGATGGGCGCAGGCCCAGAAGGCCTCCAGGAAGCGTATCGAATGTCTACCTTAGGTAGACAAGGACACGTGAAGGAAATCAAGGGGCTTTACTTGTACTTAGCTAGTGATGCTAGTACATATATGACAGGGAGCGATGTCCTTATCGACGGAGGATATGTCTTGCCGTAGATATCTGATTATATCAGCAAATCAAATATTTCAAGTATTAAATCCTTTTGCTCAAGTGCTAGTCGGCTATGAGCGAACACGTCATCACTAATTAAGGGCTAATCCGTTCTTTTTAATAAGCTACGGACGGTATCTACTCGCCTGGTCTTGATATATCGAAAAATGAGTTCCAACAGCTTGGTCCTTGCTAGTCACGAAATCAAACATGCCGGCGATAGACTTATAGATAATCATAAGTAGGTATTACCAAAGCTTATAAGTACTTATAAGATTACTTAAAAAATAAGCTTGAAAGTAGTAATATATATTTAGTTATTCTAGTTGCCGCTGAAATCTTCCACCTTTCGCAATACCATTCTCTTTTCCGCCAACTCCTTTCCTGCTGTCATAAACCTGCCCCCAAAACACTCCTCGTTACAAAATAGCTTCGATACCGCGAAAATGAGTGCCGACAGCACTGCTGCCGAGGAGGGGCGCCCCCGTATCTGAGTACCAAGCCCACCACAACCGGCTCTCAGGACCCTTTAAAGTCATTAGCAACGAGTTGCAGCTTCTCGCTGTCGTGGACGCGCGAGGCCACCTCTCATTGTGGCTGCCACCATAGAGCCTTTGGATGAAAATGATCCTCAAAATGTGGGAGATGACGATTGAGACCTGTTCCTTCCAATGGTCAGTGTCTCTTTACTCCGGGTATCCGCTCGAGGGTCCTCTAATTTAAGAATCTCGACAAGAAGTTAAAGGGAGAGCACCGATAGAGGCGCGGAAAAATCTTCCACAAAGTTAAGTGAGAAGAGCTGAAGAGAGCTTGCTTTCAGGCGAGATCTGAATGTCGGCGAAAGACTGGGCGGCGGAGGGGAGGGGAAGGGACCAATATGGAGGATGAGAAAAATAACGACTTGGAGTTTGTATGTGCTGAAGGATGATCAGAAAGGATAGAGAATCGCCAAGTCTTGGTTGGGTAACTTCAGTTGAACGTTTTTTGACGGAGCAGATAACATCACAAAGAGATGGGTGATGTTTGGCACTCGGATATCGAGCGTGTGTGAGAAGTGAAGATACTTTGAAGAAATTAGTGAGACTCTTTGGTGACATAAAATCAGTTTGCCAGTGCCAGTGCCAGGAGCTTTTGATAATATTCTCATCAGTGAATAATAGAACTCCCATGGATGGTACAGTTAGGTTGGTCCATGAATGTGGTAGGATGGGTTAGAATATGGGTCACTATAAATTCTCCTTGAATGGAAACACTCGCAAATCAAAACTCTTCTGTCCCAACACAAATTTGATCCACATATCATTACACGTCAGCCAAGTATATACTGAACCTACTCCTGGTGCAACGTCGGATTTTCATTCTCCTTGGGCATGGGCACGAACAACCAGGAAATGGCTGTTGCGACCAAAAGTGCACAAAGAACAGGCTGCAAAACCTTGACGCCGACGCTGGATGCCACGAGACCGGTTATGATTGGGAACACACAACCCCCGAGTTGTGCGCAGACAAACACAAACGCTAGGGCCGTGGACTTGATGCGATCATTGAAGAGTTTGGAAGCGACCGAGACGCCCTGATCTTGTCAGCTTGGTCTACCGTACAATGGAGTGACTCACTGCAGCAAAGTATGGACCCGTGAAGAAACCCAGAAAACTGATGGCGATGGAAGCAGCAATGATATTTGGAACCCTGAAATCGTCAGCAATGTGTCCAGCCATGCATGACTCGAGGTCGGGTGACGTACAGCCAGAACAGCAACTGAAGGCCGATGCTGATAATTGCAAAACCGAAAATCATCTTGCGAATCCCAAAGCGATGTATGGGCTCAGCCAGCAGCATTCGTCCAAGTAGCGATCCTCCATTAAAGCCAGCAGACACAAAACCCATCTGGTTGATGTCGCCGTCGCGAACAACGATCAGATACTCAACAACCCATCCACCGGCTGTAAGGACGGCGCCAATGTAGAAAAAGAAGAACAAACTGATGAGCAAGAAGCCCTTGTTCTTGAAAGTTTCCTTTATCAAAGAGAATGCGTGTTCGTTCCTTGAAGCCGGTAACTGATCAGCCTCGAGAGTCCGCTCAGTAGGTGGCTGCTTTCTCTTGAGTCTCAGAGTATCCCAGAATGCATAAATGACAAAGGCGACGTTGAGAACACCAATTCCAAGAGGAAACGTATAGAATAGAAACCATTTCGATGTGGCTGCAGCTACTCCAGTAGCGACAAAGGGCCCCACGAGACAACCCGCCATGTACATGGAATGAATAAAGCCCCGAGAATGCGGCACGACTTGGGCTTAACAGAAACCAAGCCCAATCGCACCAACATCCAGCTGCTTCCCCTTCCACTAGGCTCTGGTGGCTTAGGTACCAGTTGACACAACCAGACCCCCATCGATAACCAGGCTCTGGCCGGTAACATATTTGGCCGCGCTGCTAAGCAGGAACACGGGCGTTTGCAACGTCGAAGGAGTCCCCATGCAGCCCATCAGAACATTGTTCTGCGTGATCTTGCGAAAGAGCTCCGGGTAATAGGAAATCATAAATAGATTTATTTACTTTTTGGATATATATAAAAGTAGGCCAAGACATTAATTATCGTGATTTATTTATTCCCTAAGTAGAGCTACTCGCAAGTATCATGATTCCCAAGCCAAGTCTTCATCATAGCAGACCCGCAGATCAGTCAGCGAGCTTCAGCCCACGAAGTGAAATCCGGGCCCTTACTGTCGCCCCAGATCCTACATCAAACTGATCCTCAAGATCCATAGTGGGAGCGCCTAAAACACTTGAAAACGGAACCGTGTAGCTTCCCGAAACCTCTGTCCCGTTCAAGAGCGACAGCCGAAAGTCTGGGGGACTATCAGCAATTTTATCGGCTCTGATGGGGAGCCGGAAGGCGGTATCAAAAGATGGGCTGAAAATGTCCGTTCCCGGAGTGTAAGTCTTGATAGGTGTAGCGAACTCCTCATCACCCCATGATACCTTGACACTGGGCTTGAGCTCATCTCTCTGGCCAGTCAGTCCGGTAGCACCAGCAATGAGCACGGTCGCAAGCCCGCAGATCTCTCCCTCGGCTTGACCCTTGAGGGCCGAAAGAGTGCCAGAGTCCTCGGTGAAGTTGTAAAACTTGGCATGCACTATCAAATTGCTCTCGGTGGGCTCGCCATTGTGGACGAGGTTGAGCTCCTGTGTGCCACCAGCTACAAGCAACTGCTTCACAGTCGTAGTAGCAATGCCAATATCATCATCACTGCCAAGGTCTGCGTCATTTAGATCAAGAGTGATGATCTGATCGTAGTCTGTAACGAGAAAGTCGTGCGTCTCGTTCCACTCCGGCTCATACGAGTCCTTCTGCGTCGAAGTGCGCCACTCCGCCTCGGCACCGAGATTGACTTGACAATAACAATCAGGAACGTCCTTGACGATCTTGTCCAGAAATCGCTTGACCTTGCCTTTCTTCTGGCCAGTGATGCCGATAGCTTTCACAACGGTAAGGCGAATGACGCCATGATGGTGTTGAAAAGTCTTGAAGTAGTCATTGGAAGGATCGAGTTTGACGAGGTACCGGTTGGGCAGGACGGTCATGGAACCAATGATGCTCAGAATGGATTTGCGGACGACTTTGTTGATTAGGGCAAAATCAGCAATGTTGGCGGCATCGGTAAAGTCTAGTTCAAGAGTTGGCGGGTTGATGAACGCGAACTGCACGGCTCCGATCTAGGAAGGAAACGATAAGATTAGTGTCTGAACTGGCACATTTTCTTAGATCTTGCCATACCAAAGGGATAATGTCCGTCAAGGGACAAAGCAACACTGCCATCCTTCCTCGTAACTTCACGTGTTCGATGCCCTAATGAAAGAGTGGATGGTCAGAAGCTGATAGTGGCTTAATATTGGCAGAGGGTGGGTGGTGAGTGCTTACAACTTTGGGCACCATTTTGCCCTCGAGCTCGATATCACACAGGCCATCCCATTCCAAGTCCATGTCAAGCTTGATGCCCTCAAGTGTGGTCTTGTGAACCTCTACATTTGAGAGCTTGATCGGGGTGGTTCCAAAATCTAGCTTGGTAAAGCGTAGTGTTGAGAGAGGGCCAGGCAGCATTGAGTCTAGCATGGGCTCAACAACCTGCTTGAGCATTCTACCTCCAGCGATGTTGATGTTGGGCCATAGATGCGCAATGATGTCGTTGAGAAAACCTTGCCTGGAGAGTCAGATGCTTGAATCTGTTTACTGAGACGAAGAGGCGCCAAATGTAACATCGCGCGATACCAAACGATAAACATGGAGAGGGGGCCGACTAACCTGCGGATTCCGCGCCTCGAGAGGCAGTCAAAGTATCGACGAGAGAGGCCATGCTGGGCTTGAAAATATTATAAGAGAATAAAAAATTATTCAGAGAGTGACCAGAACAGAAGCTGTCTAGTCAAGATAGACACCTAAGCTAAGCGGGAGATGATGGAGTTGGAGATTTTGAGGGGTTTGGCTTGAATGCACCAGTTTACCCGTACTAGTATTTATTGGGTGACGAGCTGACTTTCCTGACGTCATTACATAATAATACAGGATTTTGCAACATTCACTGCTTTGACCCCTCCTGGTACGTGGCTCGATTCATGCGAGAGGTAGCTAGATGAGATCAATCATCCAAGCACCCACCAAGACTGATAGGTGCATGCGATGGATTTCTTGTATTGAATCAATGAACATCCTGACCACACCACCCCTGGACCCAGACATGACATATCACTGATTACAAGGGTACGGGTAAGTATGAGCAAAAGGTGGAGAGAGCCGGGGGGCTGAACGGGGGCCGTGGTACAGCCTGTACCAAAACCTACGTAATGTTGGAAAGGCAAACATCGATTGTGAACAATAGACTGCCTCAGACGTTCCAAGATTGGGCTTACTCCCTTGGAACAGGGGGCAAAGATGTACCCTAAAGCTGCGGCAGTGAAACTAGCAGGCACCTTTAACTTAGAGCTGCTAGAATATATATATGTATATAGCGGGCGGTCCCGGATGGTCACCAGCGGCTAATGATGCCTTCCATAGCCTATTTGGGGCGGAGGTCCAAATAAGCGAAGCCACTCACTCACTTTTGGTAGCGATCTTCGGGGGCATGACATCGTCTTGTCTTGATTTTCTAACATTTTGTCACCATGAATAGGTAGGAGCTTCTTATATATTAAGAATGTAAAAATATTTCATTTCAGACTAAAAACGATGAGTGTAGAGTATACGGCCTCCAATTATTCGAGACCAAGGAGTACATCACTACTACATTCACATATTTTATTTAATCCAGTTTGATGCAATGCCCCGAATTACTACATTCTATCTGCGTATAGGCCACAAGAGACTACCAGATGACCATTTACAGTTTTATGATACGCATACGTAAGTTATAGTTACCTTCATTATCACAGTTGGATTGAAGCCTTCCTTGATTCCCAAGGTAGCTTGCACCAATCTGCCTGGTCATCCTCAAAGCTAGGTTTCCTAGCATGTATCCTGTCACTGATTATTGCAAAAACGGACCACCGCAGATGGAACTTAGTTACAAGAAAGCGGAGCGCCATGTGAGCAACAATCTTGAATGGGAAGGCACCAGTTATTGGCGATGCCTCAATCCTGTTGCATCGACTGGCCTCATGCTCCGAATGTGAAGTCGTCACGCCATCATGGACAGCGTCAGGAGCACGTTCACAAGAATTCTCCAACAGGAAGCTACGACAACGAATACAACAACTAAAGCAGATGCTTCAAGCCACGGTCTCGTGGATTGTCAAAAGAAGCAAACATATATTCATATGATTGAGCATAGCGGGTACCCCAAGGCAGTTGCCTCTTGCCGACCGCCGGTACCTGGAATACGAATTACGAGACCTCTTTGCCGAGACATATCTGAGGCAGGCAAATCGTCTCCTAGGTCAGGGAAGTAATGAGTCTCTCAAAATAGACATCGTGTGACCGGCGAATGAAGATCACTCCTACTTGCAAAGGGACCATCCGGCTTCCCGAAACACACCTTAAGGAGGACATCTGGGTCACACGTCAGCTCAGTCTTCAAATGCCATGTACCGTGAGTGTAGTATTGCATACTTTTACACTACCCCCTGAGGGTTCCATCGCAGACCGGTCACAATTTATCCATGCCTCCCTTCGTAAGACGCGGCCGGACTTCCCATCCGATAATACAACCTTCATTTTACCCGACCTCACGTGCACCACTAGTTTCGGAAACAACCGTACAAGGCCTGCAGTTCCAATCTCACGAGGTTGCGATTCTGTTAGGGAGTATCACCATCGCATAATGAGCATAAACCATGACGGTGTATTTGTCTTACATATATTGACTTACTGTAGAGCCTGACTCTATCATGTGTATCATCTGGTTTTCCGAGTTTCGATAGAATTAGGTAAAAGTGAAGGCTTTTATGGACGTCTTTCTCTGGTCATGAGGCCTGTCGGTTACAATAATGTCCAGCTGAGTTCACGATGCTTTCAATCCAGCCCTTGAAGAATCTTATTGTGTTGCCACAACTGTCGCAACGTGATGGCAAGTGATGCCTTCTTTCTAATTACAAGCGGGTTCTGCGAGTTGCTTTTAGATATAAAAGCTTCCGTCATGCTCATAGCTTTACTTCCAATGCTGTCTTCATCTCACATTCAAATTCTCAGAGCAGTCTCACAAGCACAAATCTTCCACCCAGACGTCTACGACCTACAGCTTTACAACTTACAAATAATTTCCCAAGTAAGCTTCTCCTTCCAACTTTGACAATAATTCTGTAAACTAATTATATTCCTCGGCCGCTCAACAGACGATAAAATGTCTTGGACTCCAGTGTACGCCCAAGGAGAGCCCGGCAGCGGCATCGGAGGATATGATCTCAAGTCAAAAGCTGATCGTGTATTTGCACTCGACTACAATTCCTCCGGTCAACTGGATCATCTTTGCCTGTACCGCCCCGGAACAGGAGCTTTCTTCATCATACGCAATCAGGGCGGGACCTTTTCTCCTGTCTATTCGCAGGGCGATCCTGGCAGCGGCATTGGCGGCTACGATCTCAAGCATGTCAACGATGTCGCTTTTGCCTTCGACTACGAAAGCACCGGAAAGCTGGACCACATTGTCCTTTATCGCCCCGGATACGGCGCTATTTACATTCTAAAGCGATCCGGCACCACTTGGGCCCCCGTTTATGCGCAGGGCCATTTGGGAAGCGGAATCGGAGGCTATGATCTTAGAAGTGCAAACGATCGCATCTTCGCTTTCGATTATAACCACTCCGGCTGCCAGGATCACCTTGCCCTCTACAGGCCGGGAACAGGTGCTTTCTTCATCTTGAAGAGATCTGGTACCGTGTGGAGTCCGGTGTACGCGCAGGGTGATCCGGGTAGTGGTATCGGCGGATATGATCTGGGCCAGACGGCGGACAGAGCGTTCGCGCTGGACTACAACAGTACAGGCAAGTTGGACCACATTGCGCTATACCGACCCGGCACTGGAACATTCTGGATCCTCAAGAACTCGAGTGGTACTTTCTCTCCTGTTTACAGCGAGGGCGACCCCGGCAATGGCATTGGGGGTTATGATCTTGGCAGCGTTAATGATGTAGCCTTCGCTTTTGACTGGAACAAGACTGGGAAGAACGATCATATTGTTCTCTACAGGCCTGGAAAGGGTACGCTCTGGGTTATAGAGCGCTCTGGCACTACTTATAAAGCGGTGTTTGCCGAAGGTGACCCCGGAAATGGTGTCGGTGGCTACGACCTGGGCAGTGTCGAGGATAAGGTGCTGGCTTTTGACTATGAAGGCTCAAAGAAACCTGATCATTTGGTCCTTTACCGTACCAATGCCACTGGTACAATTTGGATTCTCAAGCACACCTAGGAGGTGCCTATGGAGATTGAATGTTGCTAACACAACCGTGGAACCTTGGATTCCATTGCTCTACTTTCCGTTTGTTTCTTTGTTTTGTTATTTTGTTATTTTGGTCTCAGTTCTTTCTGTTTTCCCTTTTCCACATTCCTTTGATTATTAGTACTTGATCAAGTCTAGTTGAATAATATATACTTAAGTATGCAAGCCCCCTTCACGGCTCAAGTCGTGAGCAGCCTCAAGAACAACGAGTATCCGCAATCCCCTGATATTGGGCAACCATAGCAGTCTCACCCCTTCGGTTAATCAGTGAACGGTAGCATGAACATAAGTCTCAAGAAGAATCTTTGATTATACCCAATATCTTAGCATATAGCATTTAGTATTGACGTTCCCTCGTCGAAAAAAAACAATCTTTTACTATCGCCACCTACAGTGGCAAGCGACTGACATAAAACATGGCACATCTAGGTAGACACTTCAACGTTATTTCAACACAATATCAAAACAACTAATCTCATAATAAAAACAATATCAAGCCAAATATCATAGAATAATTCTTCATTCTCTTGGAATTGTGTTAAGGAAGGAACAAGGTCCCTCCCTTGTGCGAAAAGAGCTCTGGTGTGCCATGTTTTATTTCACCCACTTGAGTGGGAGGGGAAAAGTCTCTCGACAGCAAAGATTCATTTCAAACTACAGCTATTATCTCTGACAATAGAGCTCTTCAGACTAGCTGAACCCAACTTTTGGCGTCGGTCATCTCCTTCTGAGTGTCTAGCAGCGACGAGTTCTGGCCAGTCCAATTAAATGGATTTACGTTCGCAATTGTTATAATATCATGCCTGACCACAGTTGGCACTTCTGCCCACGGTTGGCCAAGACCATAGTACCCGCAACCAAGCATAACTTTCAAGAATACATCATTCGGAGGAAAACATAATCGATCATCTCCGTGTTTGATAAGAAAAAGCGTAGAGATTCCCAGTAATCCAAGCTCTGGTCAATTTATATTCGCTGAGGGTAATAATCATGTATCGTCCTCGGCCTCGGCCTCGGAAATAGCTAGGGAAATCATCTTACAGCCCTGCGATTGTTTTATCAGATCATTCTGTACGTACTTGAATTTGGAAGGGATTGATTAGGACAGAGACTTACGTCGAAACCGCCTTCAATCACTTTTACTCCCCGCTCAGTGGAAAGCTTTGAGTAAGACGTAAAGCCTCCCGTCTGCCCAAGCCAAGGAGTAGTGCTATGGCTGAGAAATCGCACAGCTCGAACGCCCCGCTTCGTGGTTGTAAGAATTATGCCGTCAAAACAATCCAAGTCCACACATTCTTGGTCATGACTTTCATATCCCATGTGGCAAGGCGGATCGTCCACTGGCCAGAACGTGAATCCACAAACATATTTCGCGTCACCCAGCTTCGTGAAACTTACCCTAATCTGCGACAGGCGTGTAGGGATGAGGACCTTGTGAAGGAGGTGGATGCGGGACACTTCCCGGATATCGAATCCCGGGCGTTGTTTATGGCACCTTGCGACCACACCAAGGCTATGGTCGGCATCCATGGGAGCGGTGCGGTCTAGCGCGCCGTGCCAACGAAGCTGAAGTGTGCCTAGAATCATTGGAACCAAGTCCCAGATTCTTCGCCGATTCTTGAGATGCTTGTCTATCGACGCATATCGGGTCAAGTCATATAATCTACGCCAGTCGAGGCGATCCTTCGTATCCAAGGCCTCGAAAAGCCATGAACGTTCATGAAACTGATGGAATCTAGAAGCCCAGAAGGCCTGGTGATCAAACGAAGACAGGAAAGCTCTTGACACAAGACGAATGTTTGCCACATCTGTCGTAGGCAAATATTGGGAAATCAAGCAGCAGATTTCGGTCGGCAGCCTCAGGAAACGGTCCGAAGGGTTAGTGTGGCCACCTCCTATGGTAATGATTTCAGTATTCAGTCGCGAAGACTCTCCTGGTACTGTTTCGCTCCGCCCCATCGCAGAGTTAGAAAGGAGTTCATCAACCTGTGGACTCCGGAGAGGGTCGAATGTTGAGTATGGTCGCAGCGGGTGTTCTGGATCGGGAGAGAGCCGGACCAACCATGGATCGTAACCACATTCGTTCTCAACATCACGCATGCCGTGGTCACGTCCCCAGTCGACCGTTTGGTAGATCTCTGAGTAAGGTAGTGACGCGAGGACTTCGTAGAGCCGCCGGAGAGGGAACGAGCTAGAATGGACTGTTTTTTCGAGAAATAACAGACATGAGTCGTGAATGACATACTCACGATCGGGGTACATCGAAATGGGCTCTGTCATCGTGAAGGAAGGCTGATCTTGGGCTTGGTTTGTTACATCATGATCGGGCGGCATCGTCTGCAAAACAAGGGCGCCCGACCTTTCCAATGATGCTTGGCCACACATCGACATGCGCACTTGATAGAAGATGTCAGATAAATAGGTTAACTTTGGATGAATCAGTTACTGTTCATGATAAAGTGCATACGTGTAGCGAAACCATGATTTTGCGTCGAGACAGGTCCAGGAAGCCAAGATGGCGCATGAGAGCCGCACAATGCGCAGTTCTGCCGTACTGGCTCCCTCTGCATCTTAAGTATATCTGTATGCCACAGTGATATCGTAGGCGAAGTTATTCACGGAATGTTGACTTAAATTTGCCTATCGAAGCTGGCAAATGAACAGGAATTTTCTCAAACATCCGCCAAAACCGAGAGATTTAATGAAGTGAATAGGCAAATGAGGAGAAATATAGCACTTACAATACTGGTCCTCGGCGTCATATGTCATGATGAGCGGCCATCCGTCATTGAATGCGGGGAAGACCACATCTGGATACATCTAAGCGACCTTTGTACAAATCGAGTAGAGCCCATTGGCGGAAGTAAGCAAGATGTCACCCACCCTCCTCGATCTGGACAGGCGCAGAATTGTTAAGCCACCTTCCCGGTAATCAAATCGGACCAGCTGACCATCTTGAATGCCGAATAGGTAGGTATCGGATAGCGTGCCAGCTCGCTTCCGCGGATGAGCTCGGGATCCTGACGGATACGGTATGCATGGTTTTTATTTTCTGTTTTCCGATATCTTGAAATGGAAAAGGCCATATCGGAACAGATTCATCTTGTCGCCGACGCTAATTATGTTTATTTGTATTTAAACAAGTGGTCGGGGAGGTTCAATCACAAATAGTTCACATCCATCTCTATGTGTATTTGGCCATTTGTCACGGAGCGCGAATAAAGGCACGCGGACTGAGCAGCTGGGATGTTATGAAAGTCGCCGAGTCGACAATAGACATGCTTCACTTCAGTTCTAGATTTTGATGCATACTAGACCAAGGGAAGTCAAAGTTTGGCCTTCAGTTTTTTCAAACAATCCTCAGACGGGAGGGACTGGAAAAATTCATCCCACGACTCCTTCGATGCAATAGGAGCCGTGAAGTAGTCCTTCATTTCCGAGCTTTCAAACCGGGGCATGACCTCTGCCAGCACTTCGTCGTATATATCCGTCAAGCTATCTTGATCTATGGTGTCAGACATGCTACTAGGTGCCGCCGCAACGCACAAACTTTCGTAAAGGGTGAGAATGTTTGGTGAGACTCCGGCTTCTTTGGCGGCCTCATACGCCATTCGGTGTCCTATTGATTCGATCAACGGCCTTGAGCGTGGCAATATATGCCGATTGTAATCAGTACCGCGGTGGGATTTATATCCTCCTATCTGAGATAGCTTAGTCTTAGCTTCTGTCATTGCTCGCATTTCACGTTTAGCCAGTAGGCTGGAAGGGTCCAGCGCCTCAGGGAGACGATACTTGTCTCCGAGAAGCTCTGAAGCTAGACCTAGATGACGGCGAGGTTAGCAACAGATTTAGAAAGTTGATCGAAAGCCTCTTCTTACGGATGCAAAGCACTAGTGTATCGCCCTCAGCGATAGCGTTCCCCTGGAAGCTCAGGGACATGTTGGTTATTTGATTGTATGAGAACAGGCCCTGCCAGCCGCATCGCTCTGAGAATTCAGTCAAGATCGTAGACGCTTGGATTACAGTGGTTTTGAAAATAAATCCCAGAGCAGATCGAACGAGAACATGCGCTTTGGGGTTCATGAACTGTTTGATAGCCCAGCGGGCATACGCCTCAAGCACGGTGGCTTGGACGTGCCCATTTACAATAGGGCGATATTGCGTGCTAAAGGACATGATTGGTGTTAAGTCACCACTCTTGCTTGATCCAACAGTTCTTCGTAGGCTATATGCAGCAGTAAGGTGTGTTGCGATCTTGATAGCAGTGATACCCGTCATGGATAGACTAATGCTGCCGATAGGGACGCGCCAGATTGATCGCATGAATGAGGCGCGCTCATCTTTTGGCTTCTCCGTGGACCCCAATAAGCAGTATGGAGGTAGAATAACTCGGTCAAACGTTGTGATGCAATGATCCAAGGGTTTGGTGCCAGGGCGAACTGGTAGTATCTTGGAGGTTATGCCTGGTTTCAATCGACCTGCTTCGCTAAGAGGAACAACAAAAGGCCGCACGCCACGGTCCTCTTGGTCGACAATCAGCCGAGCATACAGGACAGCCGTTCGAGGTATTCCCGACGCCGTCGTATTTGGCGGCATGGATTTAGCTGCGCCAGGGTGCGGAGTGTGCAGTTCAAAAGAGCCATCAGGCTGTAGCGTAGCTGTGGTCTCCAAATTGCGAGCGTCCAGGCCGTGGTCTAGTTCTGTGAGCATAAACTGTCCGTTTACATCAAAGTTGAGCATTTTCTGGACGAGTTCTGCAATCTCAGGAGACTTTCTAGCGAAGGGAATAATGGTGCCAAGGCATAGATTATAATGAATGACGAGAATAGACAGGCAAGTCGAGTCTCGCGCCACGAAAGCTTTCCCAATGTTAGTAATGTGGCCGGGAACTTTGTGATGGCTAAATACGTACGATCCATATGTAAACTCCAGAACTTCGGGGTCAAGTACAAGATATCCTCAGCTGTAATGCCTAATTTTGGGTTAATCCGGCGTACATTAGGGTAGTCAATAATGCGAGAAGCCTACCAGATGCACGACATACCGACCGAGCTCGTTCGTAATGAATTGCCGTGTTATCAAGCGAAGGGTAAATTTCCAACCCCAATTCCTTGTATTTGGACCAGACATCTTCCTCTAGAAGATGTTTTGGATAAGCCATTCTTGCAAACTAGAGGTGAGGGTCAGATTCTAATCGCAGAAATGGAGGCGGATGGACCACATATAAGGGCAAAACCACTCTTCAACTACTGACCCCTTTCCCACAGTGATAGCAATATCTTAAAACCAAGGCAAGACATTTATAACAGAAGCTAAGTTGCTAATGTTCGATTTCAAGTAGCTCATATACGTGTCGAGCTTGGCAGAGAGCTATACCGGCAGCCCAGATATTAAGATGGAGTCAAAGTGTGTTTTTTGGTGCTGTCACAATCGCTTGGATCAAAAGTCGCCGAGCAAGTCGGACTCTTCCCAACGAGGATCATGTCAGGTTATCAATTCTCCAGATATCCCAGAGCGGCAGATGCCTGTCTTATATTATTAACGAACGCACATCGGATCTCGTGTAAGCCACTGCTTCATATTGTCTTGCAACGTGGCGACGCGTAGTAATCGGCATCATTGGCATCACTTGGCCGTCGTATTCGGCATTACCTTCATCAACAGTTATTCCACCTTCTAGGGTACACACTGGCGTTCTGAGCTGCGTGCAACTTGTGGCTTTGAGTAGTTTCAAAGCAGCTGAGCAGGGGACATATGTCTTGGCCATGCCTCAAACTAGAGAATTTTAACAGAAAGGCTCGGTCCCCACGCATCAACTTCATTAAACAGGCATGATTGTGCATGACACTCGTATAATATAAGACATTTCATTAGATATTCCAATAGTGTCAACTGATAGGTCCCCCCCCTGCATATAATCCCAAATCGACGAGGCTGGGCTCACGCCATAAGTTCATGCTGCTATTTTTTCGCCATACGCATGCTTTTCTTCTTTTGCCAGTAAACGATAATAATCAATAAATGGGTAAATAGTCACATCATTAACTGGGGAAATATTGGCTCGGATTAATGATCATGTAGGTATCCAACGACAGCAGAGCTGAAAGCCAACACTACATCAAATTTGTCCATAGAAGCAAGAACCAGAGGCTAGCATAAATTGAAATAGCAATCAAACGTCACAAAAATAATCAAAACTCATCGCACTATTCAGCAGCATTACTCGCGCACGCCCAAGGCTTGGTCTTCTTCTCACCCGCAATCGCCTCGATCGACCCCCACAATCCCAGAACGCAGAGCATAATACCAGACACAAGCAGGACCGCATTGGCCAAGAAGCGCGATGTCTGGCGCCAGTTGCTGAACCAGTTTCCCTTGTGCATCCACAGCCAGAAAACGCCAGGCAGGCCGTAGGAGAACCAGCTGACGAAGGCGGCAGCGATGAGACCCAGCAGGCTGTTGAAGACAGGGATGGACTCGGCGATGATCATGGAGAGAGCCCAGATCACGAAGGTGACACCCCACCAAGACACGGTGGAGAGCTTGGTCCGGCGTTCGAGGTGCTTGGTGTTGCGGAACAGGCGGACGAAGATGTACTTGGCGGCCACATGACCGTAGATGACTCCGGCGATGACCTGTAAGATTATTAGTATCGACAGGTCCCAGTAGGGTGCAGGGGGTTGGGCGTAGTTATTACAATTGTTGGGATAGCTACTCCCCAGATCGCCTTGCGCATGGCTACAGTTCCAGCAGCTGAAAGCGCCGGGGAGGGGACTTTTTCACCAACGTAAACGTAGATGACAATGGCGGCGATCAGGTATAGAGATGTATCAATGAACTGAAGCAGAGCCATGGCTTTAGGAAAGTCCTCAGGCTTTTTGAACTCGCTAATGACGCTGAAAAAACACGAGTGGCTTGCTACAATGGAGTCAGTACGCGAACCTCATAATCCAGGAAGAGAATTTGAGTGATAACTGACAGAATGCAATCGCGATGTTAGTGACTCCGAGGAATGCGGTGGGGAAAGGGAGCGATCGAGCGATGGTCCAGCTCTCAGCGATGGAGTGCCCGACCGAGACATCACCGACGGTCATTAAAGTAGCAATGATGATGGACAGGCAAGCTGATGGTGCGATGGTTAGCTCATAAGCGGGCGGCAGGAAGCGGAAAGATGAAACAGCTTACAGGCGAGAGACATCCAACTGGTATATTTGAGGGTCCGTGGGAGGTTGAGGACCCAAAAGATGCCGAGGCCGACTACGGCCCAGACAATCGTGCACGTAGAGCTGTTAGTCAAGGTATTCATGCAAATGGTAAAGGTCAGAAGGTGGCTGCCCATCACCATGATCTGGAAGATGACCTGGGCCCAGCCGAAGATCTCCTGGAAGAGGGCACCCATGCCAATGGGCTGCCCGATAACCTCGAGAGCATCTCCAAAGTTCTGAACATGGGGATACTCCTCGCGGAACTCGGCCAGTACCAGGCCCGAATACGTAGAGAGAGCGCTCAGGATGAGGATGAGGATAATGCCGGGAACGAGACCGACACTGGCCATGACTGAAGGGAGCGAGAGAATACCAAGTGAGACAGTCTCGGCGGCGAGAACAATACCACCTTGCCTAAAGCGGAAGAATGTTTGTCAGAAGACCAAAGCGTCACTGAAGGGGAGAGGGATGGGTTTAACGAAACAAAGCGATGCGTACCACCAGGTCAGAGTCTTGTAATCAATGAGGGCATCCTGTGAGGCGCTCTCGACGTCCCCATGGCCCGAGACATGTTTATCGCCTGGAGGATTCATGGCGGCCGGGATACAGTGTCCCTGGTAAGCCTTTTCTTCTGTCCGTCGGCCAATCTGGAAGATCGATTGCGTAGTCGTCCACTGGGCTGGCTGCAAATTTGCCAATGATCACCAGAATTGTCGAAGATGAGATGGGTAAAGAAAGATGTGGGAGCGAGGGAAGAGATTTAGGGACAGAGAGGAGAGGAAGTTCCTTTACCCAATTTTAACAGGAGGGGGGGAGCACTGCGTTCAAGTGGAATGGATCAAGGTGGAATGGGCCAGGCCTTTAACTCGACGCATGCAGAAACTCTAATGTAACTTCCTCTCCACGGGGTAGAAACAAATGATGATAAGAAACTTAAAATGAAAAACAAAGGGAAATGGAGCATTAATCCCAGATGAGAGTTTTCCCATTGCCCTCCTTGGCGTCCGGCGGGGGTTAAAAACGACAATCTGGTAACAGGATCCCCGAGGCTGAGGAGATGGAGGCTTTCCCAAGGATCATGTAGCCCATAAAGTTACTGAGCAGCTGCTTCTAGAAGGGCCATGGAGCCTTTCTCCCGGTCCCTAGCTCCAGTTTGACCCAGAAATTTCCACTTTACAAGCAGGCGATGAAGTAAAAGTTATCAGATAAATTGCTCGATTGGAGCATTTTTCAAGTAATAACATAAATTAGACACGTTGTTATCAAAATACTCACAGTTATTGATAAAATCCCAACTTGTGTGCCGACCTAGCCCTAGATCCAAGTTCCCCTTGTCGCCTTTAATTCGCAATGGGGCTGCAAGCCAATATTGACACAGTTATCTCGACATATAAGGCGAAAGAAATATTTCAATACATGCTAATTGCTTATTCTGCTCTCATAAGGTGCTGTGCCGAATTTAGAGATGCGGTAGAACTTCAACAATTATTGTCTCACCAGTCGTCGCAAACAACTCCAATTGAGACATTGCTGCCTTCAAGCATCCGCGTTCAATTTTTCATCCCTCTAATGGTCTAGGACCAAGAACATCTAAATCAATCTGTACTTTTTACCATTTCTCAAAAATGAAGCGCGAGAATCACACAATGTGCCATTTGACTGTGTCATTTCCCCCTTTTTTTTTGGGTTAGGGTTATGGTTCACGGTACGTATTCTTATCCCATGCTAGTTATTTACATTTCCAGGTCCAAAGAGAACCTAAAAGAGTACGAATAAGGCTCTGAATGAAGGAGATTCTACTGTTCCTCTCATTTATTCCGTACGAGCCGGGATCTTGAAGAAACCGCCGCCTACTCATCCCCCAAAATCGCACTACACCAGAGCTGACGAGCTATTTCTTCCTTCTGAAAATGCACCGGCCAAGTGATACTACTGAGCACCTCCCTAGCATTTTTCCACTGGATTGATTCCCTTTCCCTTAAATCAATCCATCTCCGGATTAGCTGGGAGAAACGCGCACTTAACCCTTGAAAGAAGCTCTTCCGTGACTGTACATCGGCGTGGGCTATGCTGAGGGTCCCGACAAACAACTTCCAAAGCCACAACGCCCGCTCTTGCTCTCCTCTTGTGTCAAGTTCTACTAGTTCAGTCTGCAGATCCCTCTCAAGGATAAGAAGGCCACGTGTATGAAGTGGCGTCTCAGGGGGTGAGCCCGAATTCCAGATCCCCAGTACAGAGGTAAGGTACATTCCCTCAGCGACATTGAACCCCGACCACGAAGATAGCAACGAGTCATTCCCCTGGGTAGAAGGGTCGGGATAATGGGAAATCGACTTAGCGTGTGCATCAATGGATGCAACAAACATTTTAGAAGGCGCGCCGCTATACCACAGATGATACAGAGAATCAACGAGACCATCTCGCGAAGGCCGTTTAAACCTCATATCATACGCTTTTGTGACATCTCGGAGAGACTCAAGCATAGTGCCAACGTCAACATGGCGGAATGGCTTCTTCACAGCCTCGAGAGGGAGGAAGAAGAATGGAAATAGCGATACTCCCTTCAGTCGTGACAGGCGCTCTTCCTCATTTGTGTGGGCATTATAAATCATGTCCCTAAGTTTTTTCCTATCTATTGATCGCTGAGGATCGCTTGATTTAGGTATCATTCTGATGAAGTCATTGACTTGACTCTTCAGACCATGCATGATGTTGAAGGCTCTAGACAAGATGTGAGTTTGTGGGGTTAAAACCTTGAAATTGGATGGCCGAGCGTACTTACAAGATGAAATATCTATTCAAGAGCTCTCCTTCGATGCTTCGGGTGAGATCAAAGTCGGGTTTGGCAGCCGAAAAATGATCCATATATGCCAAGAGACCTGCTAAATGTGCATCGGCAACTGCGAAATTCTTAACGCAACACTACCAAACAAACGTAAGTAGCCCGCCGCAAAGAAAGGATAAAGCGGCTTACCTCTGTAATACATAATGTAGCAATTATTTGACAGCACTTGAAGAAAGTGGCTGTGTCCGGTGTTTTATTCAGCCATCCGTTTACTTGATGTACGCCGTGGAGCTTGTGGGAAAGGAAGGCGCTTTTGAAAGATTGAAGCTCCCCAGTGTTCCAAACATGATGAACTCCAGCAACAATGAGCGTGTTTCGAAGCGCCACTGGTGTCTTGACCGCCGAGCCAACACTAGTAGGTAGGTACCAAATGTTAGTTAAATGTTCTTGTGCTTTGTTATCAATTAGACTTATTACCAAGCATTGATCTGGTGTGGTGTTAACCCACTAAATCTCCCAACAGCTTGGTGATCTATGATGAGTCGTTAGAAAGGGATCTTGGGTATATATATAGCGAAGACTTATTCGGGATCTAAACCTACAATAGTGAAGCAATTCTTTGGAATTGAAAGGCATCTTGATCGGGAGAACGTTGAACGGATCTACGGCGTCTGATCGAGGCAGTTTCCATCGGCGTATCATCATTTCCTTTTCTATTGGTTGTTTTTTCTTTCTGCCATTTGACTCTTTCTTTGCCGGAGGGTATGTTTGATGTGGGTGAGAGACTGGAAGAGCCCAAGGAGTTTGTTCTCCTGGCAATGCTTGTGCTCTACGATCACGAAGCGGAAGCCTAGCTAGGCTGTACGAGCATGTTTTCTTTTTAGCTAGGCAAGTAGTGCTATATCGATACGATATTATCAGCCATCGAATGAAGAATGATCCCAGGAGCAAACCCGGCCAAACGATAAGGCTCCCAGAGTTCGGGGAAACGTCTGAGGTCTCGGAGCAGCCCAGACGCAGGAAACTTACCAATCAGGCTTTTTCTCGTCGCAACGGACCCGACCCTTCCTGCAATTTATACAGCCAGTTCGGCTTCTTGTAGCAACGGCTCGGTCCATCTTCCCCAATGGGGCGCTGTCAACGGCCCTTCATCAGTTGGTCCACTGGGCTTCTGGCGCATACATTGACGTCCTGCGAGTGATTCCACACCTCGCTGGACACCTGACTAGCTTTGAGACGCCTATGACCATAGATTTTCTGGTTCTTCACAGAGCCTTGGGTAAATTTCAGCACCATGCAACGTTCGAATCCTCCCCTTAGGTCCCGTGACTTTCGACGCGTCAACTCCGGTAATTCCAGCCATGTGTCAGCTCCTCCTTGTTACGAGCTTCCATATGAAGTTAGCTATCTTTAACGAAGGCCAAGAGGTTTCAGCCACAGTGAACTGGCTGGTCCATCAGCCACAACAGATGCAGGCCAGCCTCTTTATTTCGGCCTAACCTATAGCCACGTATACGAAATAAATTATTCCAACAGAATCAACAGTCAATCAACCAAAAGTCACAGCTATAAATCGCGCTAGTGTTAATTCATTGGTCATTTCGAGGGCAAACTAAGTCGATGCTTTCTTCACATAGCGTCGGCGTTGATAGATTTCTTATATGCTAGTGTTCCATGTACAGTATGCAAACCACTAAGAATTCGTAAGTTCGACGCAAACCAAATTGCGTGCTCCCGATCGTTTAGTTCGGGACCTGCTCCCGTGTTTCTCGATTCTACGTTGCATCGAGGAACAAAACGCAACATTACGCACATCTACGTGACGTAAGCGGCATGGATAACCGGCCGATGACGTTTCAAATTCGTCTCTTTGTCTCCTCCATTAAATTTATATCTTTCTAATAGCCTCTGATTTTAAAGGATGACAAGATTCTCTCTCATCTACAACCATTAACATCTAGAACCATTCAGAATGGGCGGAGGCAGTGTGCTCCCGGGGTTCCCTCAGCCGAACCCCACGACTTCTTACTGGCAACTCCCACCTCACCCAATTGCCAACCATCGCACCACGCAATCGCTACCGACTTCCACGGCGTTTGACTACATCATCATAGGCTCTGGAATATCCGGTGCCGCGGTGGCATTCAAGCTACTGTCTCGGGATCCGTCGCTTAAAGTCTTGATGCTGGAAGCTCGTACCGCTGCTTCAGGCGCCTCTGGCCGTAATGGTGGCCACTGTCGTGCCGGCTTCTGGCTCAACCAGAGGAAATATACCGAGTCTTTTGGGGAAGGCGAAGCCCTCAAGTTTTTGAAGCTTGAGGAGCAGAATGGCATGGATATTGCTGAATTTGTACGCAAGCACAACGTTGACTGCGATTTCCGAGAAATAGAAACAGCAGATGTCTACGTGTCCAACGAAGAATGGAATGATGCGCTCCTAACCATACTAGCTAGAGAAGATCTGCGAAAGAGAAGACCAGATGCAGCCACTCTTTCTGTAAGGACGGTGCGGAGCGGTCAAGAAGCAAGCGACCATTTGGGGATGCCATCAATAGTTGGTGCAGTCACATGGCGAGCATATACACAAAATCCTTACAGGCTTGTGTGCAGAATGCTAGAACTTGCCCTTGAAAAAGGACTCAACTTGCAGACTACGACTCCCGCACTGGAGATAGTGCCTACAACCTGGCAAGGGACTGCTTGCCGATGGGAAGTCAAAACAGATAGAGGCAATTTACATGCAAGCCATGTCGTCTTAGCAACAAACGCCTATTCAAACGCGCTGCTTCCTGGACTGGAAGTGACGGGCTTCTTGACCCCTGCTAGGAGTCAGGTGGCAGCTGTAAGACCCGGGAAGAACATGACCGGTAGCCCAGCGCTTCGCGGAAGCGCGGGCCTCAATGATCTGAATGGTGTCGGCGACTACTACATGACGCGGCTGCCTGGTCTCAAGGGCGAGGGTGATATATTGTGGGGAGGCGGGCGCTTTATCTCGAAGGAATATGGAATAACGGACGACTCCCATATCAACCCCGAGATCGCAACCTACCTCCATCACGCTCCAGCCAAATTCTTTGGGAGCGACGTGTGGGGAGAGGAGGGTGATGTGATTAGAGATTGGACTGGCATTACATGCTACACTCCGGACACATTCCCCCTTGTGGGCGAGGTGCCAGGCCAGGCGGGACTTTGGATGTCTGTTGGAATGAATGGGCATGGTAGTAAGTGATGATCCTGATGCTTGTTTCCTATCAATTTCAGGTGTACAGGGACTGACCTTCTCACAGTGGGCATGGCTTTCCGAAGCGCTGAGGCTCTTGTTGAATTAGTAACCACTGGGGAGGAGCCTGAGTGGTACCCAAAGTCATTCAGACCTGGCAGAGCGTGGGGAAAATAAGAAAGTACTGTCCTGCAAACGGGGAAGAGTAACTTGATCGGATATCTCACAGAGATAAATTGAAGACAGCGCTGAGTGCTGGAACTCTTGACACGGATCAACTTGAAATCCTCTGGATTACCAATTCCGCTATTCTACACGGGCATGCAATACAATTGTAAACCTAGCGTACATCCATAGCGCGAATAAGAGAATCTAGTATTCAATTCTTTTCTTGATGGAGACTACTTTTATTTCTTCTTATTCAGTTGCTCGCCAATCTTGCTGAGAATAGCAGGAAGATCCTCGCCGTAAGTATCGCCATCTTTCATTATAACCTCCCGCGCGTTCTCGTCCCGCGGCTCAAAGGAGGCTTTGTACGGCAAAGCCCTCATCACCAGGCCGTCGGTGCAACCGTCTGCGTCAACAACTGTTAACTCTCCATCCTCCGATCGTCCAGCTGTGATGTCAAAGGCCCAGAGGAGGCGAGCCATGGAAACCCATATCATGTTTCGAGCAAAGAATCTTCCAGGGCAGGTTCGTCTACCGTACCCAAATCCAGCAACTGGTAGGATCTTTAGCTTATCACCGTCCATCCAGCGCTCGGGAACAAAAGAGTCGGTATTGGGGCCAAAGACGGCCTCCTCGCGCGTGACAGCCCAGTGGTTGGCGACCACGACGGAGTTTGCGGGAATCCTGAAGCCCTGGTACTCGCTTTCGACCTTTGTAAAGTGAGGAACGCCGCCTGCTCCTACTGCCCTCCAACGAAGAACTTCCTCCAATAAGGCACTAACGTAGGGCAGATGAGGCTGATCATCGAGGGTTGGCAGCCGGTTACGACCCACCACCCTGTCGAGTTCCTGTCTAGCCCTGGCTACAAAACCGTTGTCTTGTGTGATGATAGCAATGATAAACCAGTTCAACGTTTCCACAGTCCCGTCCAGCGAAGCATCAACCAAGGTGCCGAACTCAAAGGCAAGCTCATCGAACGATATCGGCAGGTTCTCTTCCTGTACAGTCTGATGAAGCTGCTTGGTGAAAGTCCACCCGGGCGCCTTGAGGCCCCGGTTGAGATTACCGATGTGGAGTTTACGCTGCCGTTGGTGATGAGCCTCCGCTTTGGCTTTCCATGGGGCAAGAGGACCAGGTAGAATATTGAGCGCTGGGAAGGTGTCTACCAGGAACGCGCCAAGCTGGACAAACTCGGAAAATTCGTCGTCAAGCTGCATAGCGTTGACAAGCTCTGGTGCTTCTGCGTCCTTGATACGGAACCCATAGAATAAAGCAAAGATGGTGCTGGCGGTGGTTCTCTCGAGGAAGCCGTGCACATTTGTTCCCTTCCCACCTGCATTCATGAGTAGATCGTACATCAATTGCTTTGACTCGATAGACTGGAATTCGAGGTACTTAGATGATGCGTTCTGGCCCAGAACTGTCGCTTCCAGTCTCTGGCGCACCTTGAAACGCTCATCGTAGTCCATCAAGAGTACATTCATATTCTTGAGCGCGAGCTCCTGGGCTACCTATGAGACACAAAAGTTGGATAATTAGAGGCGAACATTATTGGGCATGTGAGAGCAGCATCATAACTTACAAACATCTTCGGTCTATCGGAGAAAGTAGCTCCCCTCTTGGCCAAAAGATCGTGAGCTGCCTGAGAGGTAGTGAGGACAATGACATGTTGTCCAAACACGTTGAGGTGATAGATGGACCCGTATTGCTTTCTCCATTCCGCAAATTGTCTCCAGGCAAAGGCTTTTGGCACTTGATGAACATTTCCAATTACTGGCAGCGCGGGAGGCCCAGGAGGCAGCGGCAGTGATGGTTTTGTGACAAGCCATCTGACGAAGTAGACTGTGATCAAGCCGAGGGCAGCGGCAGCCACAATAGACGCAGTCAAAGCCATGATGGTAATGAGAAGGCAATGTCCTTGGACGATTGAGAGCGGTGAACAGTGGTCAGGATTTGGAGGGGAAAAGGTTCCCCAAATAAACAATCTCAGCAATGAATTCGCACTACGGTCATTGGTGCCAAGCTCTACTATATGATGACACACCTGTCTTACTTGTTTGTTTGTGCGTAAGCAGTGGCATTTTTTAACCCCATGCGGTAAAAGTAAGCACGTCTTTGGCTTCTTCCAAATAATGGACTCTCCAATGGGCCCTTTTCAGTCATACTGCTTATTATTCGTCCGGGGTCAGGACATGATCTTAATTGCCCGGACCTGGCAAGCTTGGTTATAAGCTCACTCACCCCACAACCCACGTCATAGATTAGCCCAGCCTTGGCCCGTCTTGTAGCCAATTACAAGTAAAGCAATATCAGCAGCTTACTTCTTTTACGGTTGTGGTCGAAACTACGGTTGTGGTCGAAACCCCGGGGACGTTGGTTCCATTGGTTTCACACTGAAGGTCCTCAAAGATCAAGGCATCCACGCCATTGAGTCTGGGCTATCTGATGAACATTTGGGCTATACATCCACAGACACCCTGCCACGAGAGGTACAGAAAACGTATCGAAAAAATCCAGCGCCGCCCGCTGGCAGACGGCTTGGGTATCCAAAGGTGAGCATAACGTACAAATAAGGGGAAGCGACACAATGCGTACTACCTATCAACCGAGTCATTCGGCTCTCCAGAAGAAGTCACAGCAAGCGGGCGGCAACAGTGGACTCACCACCATTGCAGTCACCAGAAATGGGATTCACTAACGGTCTGCCATGTCATTGTCCCTAGTATGGTGGCTGTCTTCGTATTACTTCCTCCGTTGTAACCACAAATTCGGGATAGCAAGTGAAATTTCAAAACCGGTCAAGCAATCAAGAGAATAAGACTATAAGGCCACGATGCATGAGAACTTTCAATGGTGTCAAGAGACGGCCTCCGGGGAGATTACGACTTGATGAAACCAGTAGCTCGGACTATTCCATCAGACTTCCGAGTTAAAATAGTTGACAAGTGCTACAATAGTGTTGTGTTCAAATCGTAATATTTAAAGTATATTGAAGCGTGATATCGATACACTCTTACACTATCCACGGACCCGGACCAGTATAATACATGAAAACCACCAGCTCTTATCCAGAGATAATCATTTAGCTGGATCCACCCAATTACTATTAAGACTAACAGATTGACCGTCGACCGTTATGGGGCTCATCAATACATGAACGCTGGATTGACAGTGCTGCATATTCGTAGCGGCTTACAGGTGCATAGCCAAAATAAGGGGCACGACCATGGCGATTCCAACCTTGAGGGATCCAGCCGACGAGGTAATGCCGGAAGGAGTGGCGGAAGGCTGCACAGGCGAGTTGCCACCGGTAGTTGAGGGAAGAACACCGGTACCTGGGAGCGAAGTGGCAGGGACCGAAGCAGGAGGGCTGTAGATGCTAGTCCAGGTGTTGTTTGAAGAAGGGTAAGGAGCGCTAGGGGTATGGACGGGAGCACCGGGGGTGTGGACAGGGCCGGTTGGAGCTGGGCCAGATGGAGCTCCGCCAGTAGGGGCCTCACCGGCAGGGACGCTAGGAGCTGAAGATCGGGTGGTGGGAACACCAGTGGAAGCAGGGACAGAGACTGATGGGCTAGCGGAGGGGCCACCGGAAGGAACTGGGTGCTGGGTAGATGCCTGGGATGGGCAAACGGTGACAGTGTCGCTGATGGTGACGGTGGGAGCGGGAGTAGCAGTAGCACCAGGAGGGGGCGTGAAGGTGCTGGAGGTAGGCTCGCAAGGCACAATGGTGGTCAGAGTCTCGGTGATGGTGGGGATGGGTCTCACGGCGGAAGCAGGAGTCGTCGTAGGGAAAGCGGTCTGAGTAGCAGGGCAGACGGTCACGGTTGAGTGAACAACTGATGTGACGATGACTTGGGTCTGAGATGCAGGGCAGTTAGGCACGGAGACGTGGCAGCTAGTGACAGTGTAGGTGGTAGTGCTGCTGATAGTACTCGTGACCAAGCCGCTGCCGTTGCCAACGCTGGTGACAGAGGCGCTGGGGGTAGGCGTCGGGGTGCTTGGGGTAGTGAGACCGCTGGATGGAGATGAAGGAGAAGCGAGACCACTGGTGGATGGAGTTGCAGGAGAGTTAAGACCGCCAGTGGCATCGAGGTTCTCCTTGCCGTCACGGCCGGACAGGCAAGCAACACCCTTATCAGCGCGGGCCAGCTGGACAGAGACGGTAGGAGCAAGGCTGATATCGAGGATATCGGCAACGTTGATACCAGCCTCGACAGCAATACCAACGTTGAGACCGAACTCGTTGCCGACAGAGACAGCACATTCCTTAGTCTGGCCAAGAGTGATCTTGTGCTGGACCAAGTCAGCCCAGATGGCAATCTCAGCACCAGCGTTAAGGAGGTCAAGGCCAAGCAGCTCAACATCAGCACCAACGCTGATATGGGATCTAAGGCGGAGACCAAGGAGAACGTCGATATCAGTAGACAGATCAACAGCAGCACCAACAGTGAGAGGCAGGGCCTTGACACCAAGTCCAGTGAGGACACTGCCGCGGACTTGCTTGGTCACTACAGAGAGATCAATGTAGTCACCCTCAGAGAAAGAAATGTAGAATCCGGCAGACAGATCGACGGCAGCGCTGACACCAACAACGAGATCGAGCGCAAAGGCAGCGCCCAAGTCAATCTCAAGAACGCCGAGGTCGATAGCAAGTTCGGGTGAAGCAATGAGGGTGACGGTCTGGAAAACACCGGCCGAGGCTGAGAGATCAACATCCACGTAGGCCTGGAAGCTAGCAAGGTTGAGGCGAATGGTGGGTTCTTCGAGGAAGTTCTCAAGTGGTGCCAAGCTGATCTGACCCTCAACATGAGCTTGGTTCAAAACCAGCTCAAGTGAGACGGCGGCGGAGGTCTCAGTCGCAGCACCAACAATTCTAATACATCAATTAGTACACGTTATATGAGGACGGTTGAAACTGCAGCGTGTTTGTACTCACCCGCTGAAGAGAACATGGTTGTCCCAGGTGTCGGTCAGATCGCAGACTGCTGGGATAATTCCTCCGACGGTTCCTCCGACGATTGGAGTGATCGAGGTAACTGGCTTGACGACATCATTGACGATGTTTGGAGTGATTGAGGTAACTGGCTTGACGATATCATTAACGATGTTTGGCAAGTGGGCGGAGGCGGCTCCGGCCAGGCCAAAGAGAAGAGAGGATCTCATTATTTGTGTATTGTGAAAGATTGTAATTAATGAATGACTGGACGTGATAAATCACAGGTGGGCTGTTTTGGTGAAAGAATGACTGGGCGTGACAACGCTTGAAGAGAAAGAAAGAAAAGCCAACTATTCAACGGCTGCGTTCCCTTTAATATGGCCAGTGACAATTCCCACCATGCTTAATTCTAGAATTCCCCTATCCCGAAGATTCAGGGGCCGTCGAATGACGGTTGGTAAACCCCCGTAAGTCCTGACGATCACCTTCTGCTGCTCCTGCCACCTCAAATTGAAGCACTGGCGATCACTAAACAGAGAGTTACACTCCTAACAGTCAGGTCCATTTTAATAAGTAGCAGATACTGTGGTTGGGTAGGCCATTTATTCAGCAAATTGTGCTTGTCGCTCATGCAGGGTTCCATGTGGCGCCGGCAGATGGAGAATTCGAGGGGAAAGTGCCGATCGCAATGTTAACCAACATGGCTAACCAAACAGCCCTCAGAAATGGCATGGTCCCTCGTAAATTAATTTAGTTGACAACCGCCACCGCGTGGGATCAGCGCTGCCGTCAACGGCGGTATGACGTTTGCCCCAGATCAGTTAGGATTGGTGACTGCAAACATGAGGTTGAGCTGGCGCTCTCCCACGCTCAGCCTAACAATTCAAATCTAACAAGAGTCTGCTAAGAAAGTTCCAAAGCATTCAGGTGAGCTATGTCGTATCCGGTCATCTCAATTACGATCTAGGCGGGTCTACGACGATCATGGATGTTGGCATGACCCTAATGACTGCCTTCAGAGGGTCCATGAGGTCTCGTGCGTGGCATGGCATGAGGAATGGCATGTACACACTTCTACCCTACGCCTCAGGAGTCACTGACCATATTTACCACCGGGATACCACTTTCAGTCCTGTGGTACTGTTCGTGGCATCCCTCTCGAGCTACTTCACACCGAATCTTTAATGATCAAGATTGGTACCCATATCGTATCAAACGAGCTTCTATTGTTTTCTCTCTTCTTCTATGTTCACTAAGCCCATTCATGTTGTAAAAGTTCCTCCTTGAAAACGCTACAAACCGAGAATAGGTTGCCTAAGCTCAAGAAGAGGCTTTACTCTTACGCAAGTCTTTATAAAAGTATTCTCCAGCTACCAGCTCCGCTGTGTCCGGCCTAATGCCATAGTCCGGTACTGTTCCAAACTGGACGTTGGATCAGTGACAATTTATCATAAAAACTCGGTGGATTTTTGTATACCTTTGTGTATCCCTTAGCAGGGTAAACATACGTTGCTGCCGTAGAGCCCGCATCGGTCGATAATTGCTCCAAGTCCGTCAGTTATCGCCCACTAAAATTGATCTACCAAAATCTTACCAAGAGTGTTCTCTCCTTTTCCTCCGCGTAAAACTCAAGCGCGGAAAGCAGCTTTTTGGCGATCCCCTTGCGTCGGTGATGCGGGGAGACCATGAGCATTTCTACATCGCCCCGAAATGGGCCAGTATCTGCCACAGGCAGCCCGAGGTCAACAACGCCGCAAAGGTCCTCCTTGTTGAAACCTGTTTTTTCAACCGCTAGGAACGAGACTCTTAATCCTTGGCGACACTGACGGAATCGGTCCTCCCAGAAAAGCTGCATTTGTTGCCGTTTTCCATCATCAAACGGTGGATGGAATCGTAGTAGAGCGCCATCACAGGTGATGCAGTCGATTTGGAGCTGTACAAGATCTTGGATCAGATCTTCATCCCTCTCTGGGTCGAGTAATCTAATCTCCACGGTGCTCATGGCGGCGAGGGATAGGAAAAAGAGGTCTTCTCCTGCTCGTTGACCTTTTCACTATACTCCACGATGTCGAAAACAAATCAGTCTGATATCAGATTAGATATATAATATTTTTGGCACGATGTTCGAGAGAGGTATTCAGGGTTCAGGACACTTCATTCAGCCGTGAAAAAAAACATTGTCATTGAGTGTGCGGATTCACATCCCCATGCTACGGCTCCGGCTCCGGCTCCGGCTTCGGCTCTCTCCAGCTCCGTCCTCAGTCTGGTGAGAGGATTGAATGAATTGGCCGACGGTTACTATGTATGCATTGAGCTATCTGGGAGATCAATATCGAATAAAGGCGGCTTCTACAAGTGAAGTTTTGGATAACTATATATATTATGTGTTTCTCTCTACTCTTCGTCTCTGTTCTCTTGTCCTTATCGTAAAAGTGGGCATGTGCGGCTTAATTCGTCCAGCACTACTTCCAACAGCACCAAGCAAAGACATTAAACAGACTAGAACCCCTATTCTACCTGGGGCATGAGCTACGACCTATGAGCACATGTTTTTTTTTTCAAGGTTAACTGCAGTCCGCTACTGATACAAAAATATCATAAGTATACATCCCCCCCGAATGCACCTGTATCGGTCACTTCCAAAGATCCGAGCTTATGAACTCTGTCAGAGATTACTGTTTCCTTCCTATATGAGTTTAGGAACAAAATTATCGATCTGATTCTGAACATATTCAAAAAGCTTCTCCTGGAGATCATGATCTTGACTAGCTTTTGATCCTGGCTCGAGCTTTCCAACTGGACCATAATATCGACCGCTCTGAGCTTCAGGGCTAACAGCAGCCCAGATCTGAGATAGCGCACCCTTGGCCACGGGTGTTGCGAACAACCAACCGGCTGTATATAGGAAAGGCCTGAGAAAAGTGCCCTTGGATTCATGGTGAAGGTTGGTGGCAACCATGCCCGGATGCACACAAATTATTTTGACCTGGCTTTCCCGTTCAGCCAAGGCCCTCGAATAGTGAAGATCAGCTAGCTTCGACATTGTGTATCTCTGGGTAGTTCGACGGTCCGCCATGGTGGTGCGGAGTTCATTGAACTTGTAGACATCGTTGGGAGCCATCGCATGTGCGGCCGAGGACAGCATTACGACGCGTGTCTCTTTGTTGATCTTTGATGTCTCGCGCATGACCGGAAGCAGGAGTTGAGTGAACAGCGCGGGGCCAATGACATTCGTGCCGAATTGAATCTCATGGCCCTCGGCAGTTAGTCCCTCAGCAGTCATCATAATGCCCGCATTATTCATGAGAATATCAAGTCGAGTTTCTTGCCGTAGGAAGTCGGCGGCCGCAGCCTTGACGCTCTCGAGACTAGCTAGGTCAAGCTCGAGAAACCTGATGTTATCTAGCCTTGGGTTTGCCGCTTGAATCTCCTGTATAGCTTTGTCGGCCTTCTCCTTGGATCGTGCCGCGAGGTAGATGCGGGCGGGATTGTGAGCGCTCAGCTGTTTTACGCTTTCGTAGCCCAGACCTGCGTTTCCGCCGGTGACAATGATAACTTGCCCATCAAGGTCAGGAATATCCTGGACGCGAAACTCAACCATGATGAAAAATGGTGTTCAAGTCACTTGAGATGTGTAAGAAAAGAAAACAATGAAAAGGACCAAACTTGCATGTAGCCTTGGACAACTGATTTAATTTATAACTATCAGCACTCTTTGCCACCCACGATGTTGAATTGGAGCAATCATGTCTCCATATTTCCGACAGGGGGATAAGCAGATTGCATACGATGAACTACGAGGGGGGCACTCAACCAGATAGGTCGGTCCATCGAACAACCATATTTGACACCACATTCGGCTCACATCATCTCATCGAACTAACCTTTCTAAGCGAGTTTAAACGGCATAGCCGAGGACAAGCCGACCCTCCTCCAGTTAGGCAAATAGCAATGTTGACGTCGTTTATCCATTGAAGTTTAGCGATGGTTTTGCCGATGAAGCTAAGCTATTGGGAGGGCATCACTCACGGCTCTTTTTCAGCTTGAGTGTTAATCTTTATGGATGCTATCAAAAGATCCGGAAAGTAGAACAGCTTTGCGCTGTGCTAAACACCGCCTCTATGCGAATGTTTTCCCAAGCCGTTAGTTGTAGAGATTTCCTTTCCACGGAGTGCACTTAGTTCCCGGGCGCCTACCGGATGGTGGGTCAAGCCGAGCATCCAACCAAACTAGTTGCTTACTCCCCTGTCAATCAACGAAATCAACCACACATGAATCAATGGCTCGTGGGGTGACCCGCTCGTCTGTGGGACTCCCGGGATGAAGCCGGTCTTCCCTTTCACTGCGGCCATTTTTGAGCTGGCCATGACTCGAATTCCTCTACAAGAAGCTATGCCAGGACTAGTGGTTCTATGAGCAATCCGCGTCACTATCCGAGAGTCCGTAGATGTTATGATCCTCGGCGTGATGTTTACGTCTCATATCACCCGAGATGTAGCAAAGAACAAAGAATTTCAACCCATTTTCAGTCATAGACCGGGTCCCCTAAGGTCAAAACGTTGAGTAGAAAAGTGGATGGCAAAAATTACAATTTTGTAAACACTGTGAGACCCCTCGTCTCAGGGTAAAAACTCCAACTGTAGCGCTATTTCCCAGGCTGATTTGGAGGTAGGGAGAAGGCCTCGGCTCCTCGCAACCTACGCCAATGATTCGTCGCCGCGAGAATCTCTTGGCAGTCCTCCAAAAGGACGGCCCATCTATCAATGAAAGAGATACTGAATTCCCATTGCGAAGCCTGCCACGAATCTCCCCAGATCAGCACGGGGGGTTCCGTCTTCGATTCCAGGTTCAATAAGTCGCAACACAGCTCATCGCACACTGTGTCCTCATCCAGTTCCCCTGCTTGGAGGCCCTGAAGAATTCTATCCCTCAGGCTAGGGAACGGAAACAAGTCGAGCCAGGGATGATGGCGCACTGATTTCTGGAGTTCTGTGGGCCTGAGGTGGTCGGGGAATTGTCCTGATAGTTGTTGACTACCTGTGGAATGACGACTAGTGAGCAGCAACGGTGAATCGTCATCATCGCTGCCCAGAGCCTCTACAGGAATCTGCAATATCTGTGCGTTCCTCATCAGTGCGTCGAAGGCGTTAAGGCGACTCAGGGTAGGCAGGTCTTTTGGAACAGGACGGCTGAGTGACCAGTCTTGATAGGCACGGTCGAGGAAGATCCGGACTTGCTGGGAGAGCAAAACGCAATTGATGAAAGCCAGAAAATCGGGTAGGCTGTGGAAGACAGGCAATGGGCCTTGCTTGGTCAGCACTGCAAGATGGCATGCCACCGCTGTCTGAGGGACTGGCTCCTGGTTTTCATCATTGGTGGCCGTAGGGAACGCACGTCGCTTCTTGCCTGGAAGTGGAATCTGTCAGCCAGGGTATCAGCGCAGCGACAATGACGACACTCACGATGGGCTCTTTGATGAACTCTGTTCTGTCGCCGTCGTCGTTCCTTTGGATCCGTAATGCCTCTCCAATTATCGCTTTGGTCCCAAATCTCCGAAGCGGCATAGTCCTTCATAGTGATGGCTTGAACCCGAGACGAACGATCATTCACTTCTCGCGCTGGCTTTCTTTCAGGGCACTTGTGCTTGCAAGGATACCATACGAGCTCCACTGGGTTAAATTTAAATACGAATACGATTGGTAGCCGGGAGGAAGCCAAATAATGTCATGTGACCACCGCTGAACGAGCCTGGGGCGACAATTTCCTGCTCGTCGTTTGCAGTAAACTCAGGTGCTAGGTATTCTGAATAATGCGGAAAGAAAAATTAAGAATTGTTTAGAGAGCGCTACGTGATATAGTTGATAGGTTTTTTTTTCCTTTTCTAATATTCTGGCTTTGTCACCTTTGCTCTGCCTCTAATTGCGTGTAATCAATGCCTGAAAATCAACAATTCTTGGTTGCTACTACACATACGAAACAGAAATGACTTTGTGAAGGCAGAAATCAAGGATTCAGACCGGCGGCATAGATCTAGGGAAGAAGCCTTTGGTTTATCATGATTGACTTTATAGGAAGGCTCTCCAGAGTGTAGTGATATATGTGGTATAGGGTAGGCAGTATTCGGCGTAGTGTTGTGAGTGGCCTGCTCTCTACGGTAACACAACAATGAATCATCCACAGTAAAATGACATCACCAATGATGTAAATAAAGCCACAGATGAAGGCACCATGTGAAGGAAACCTTCAGCCCCTCCCAATCTGCAGGTGGAATAACACGGTAGGGGAGACACGTCGCGTCCGTGGGGCAGATTGTTACCTTAATGGGGAAAGGGGCGTTTCGCGTCTGATAAATCCGCCTCAACTCGTTTCTCCGTTGTGAAGGACCTAGATATTGCGCTAGTGCTGGTTAGGAAACCAATCTCTTGGGCTTCGGCTAATCCCAATTGCTCGAGTTCTCCACTTCGTTTCTTCGCCATTCCCTGTTTGCGGTCATTGATCTTGATCGGATATAAGCAAAGCTTCGGCAGTTGGCGGCATCACACGAACTCACGGCACACGATGGGGTTGCCCACACAAAGTTCAGCCTCCACCATCAAGACTCTCCGGCAATTCGGACTTCCTCTATCACCTACCTCCGCTAATCTTAAGAGCGTTGCTATAATGGATCTTGAAATGAGATGCATAAATAAGGGCCATGATGCCCTTGAGTCTACGGAATCATACCACCATCACCATCACCCTCACAATCAATTATCAACAAGACTATCCCCAAGACGATCCCAGCTCGAATCCCTTGAGTTTCTAAACCGACGAGAATTATTTTATTGTGTTTCAAACTTCAGTAACTATCACGATAACCATCATGTCTCATACCATTCTTGGAAAGAAAGTCGGACCAATTGGCTACGGCCTGATGGGTGAGTGCTATACAGCTTGTCCACACTACAGCCGCAATCACTAATAACATCTGCTTAAAGGCCTGACATTAAGCGGCTCTGTCCCTGACGAGAAGGCAATTGCTGCCATCAAGACGGCCATTGACTCCGGTTGCAATTACCTCAACGGCGGAGAGTTCTACGGCCCCCCCAACGCAAACAGCCTGGCTCTGCTTCGCAAGTATTTCGAAAAGTATCCCGAGGATGCAAAGAAGGTTGTCTTGAATGTCAAGGGTGCCATGAGTCCCCAGCGAACTCCCGATGCAAGCAAGGAAGGCATCATCCGAAGTATCGACAACTGCCTTAACACATTGGGCCCTGTGGGTCGCATTGATCAATTTGAGCCTGCAAGAAAAGATAAGAATGTCCCATTCGAGGAGACCCTTGAAACCATTGACGGCTACGTGAAATCTGGGAAAATTGGTGGCATCTCCGTCAGTGAGCTCGGAGCCGAGACTCTACGGAAGGCTGCTTCACAATTCAACATCACATCACTTGAAATCGAACTCTCGTTATTCCGAACTGAACCAATCACCAACGGGCTCCTTGCGGCTTGCGCCGAATTGAACATACCAGTTCTAGCTTACTGTAAGTCGAATGCTTCCCTAACTTAACGTATGAGATGACTGACAGAAGATATTAGCACCTCTTTGCAGAGGCTTCCTTGGTGGCCAACTGAAGTCTCCCGATGATCTTCCCGAAAATGACTTCAGACGCATGCTTCCAAGGTACCAAGGAGAGAACTTCAAGAAAAACATCGAGCTGGTCAACAAGGTTGAGGCTCTGGCTAAGAAGAAGGGCTGCACAACTGGACAGATTGCCATTAACTGGCTCCTGAGCATTTCGAAGCGTCCTGGCATGCCTGTCATTATTCCCATCCCGGGCTCCTCCAATCCCGAGAGGATAAAGGAAAACGCAACCATCATCGATCTGTCGCCTGCAGACATCGCAGAAATTGATGCAATCCTCGAGACTTTTGTTGCCGCTGGGGACCGATACCCTCAAATGCTTATGGGTGACTTGGACCTTTGAGGTGAATCTTAGCGGGCTGAATATTGCGATACTCAACTTTGTTTGTCTGAAATAGTTAGTGTAATAGATTGGATAAATATTACTACTTTATACGCGCTGAAATTACAAGTATGAATAAAACTTTCAAGATCTTGCCACTGACTGCATATTTGGAAAATCAAGTAGGACCTGAGGATAAGGAGTATTGAACTTTAATAGGAATATGAGCAAGGTGGCTGAAGAGATTGGCGAACTCGGTTTTTCTTGGCAGCTAAAAGAATACTCTCCCTAAACGTTGGGTTTTCTTATCAAGAACAGTTAGATTATCTTCAGAACAGGGTCGCGTATATGAATCGAGGGAAATTTTTCCAGGTGATTGTCTCCTCAGGCTCGTCATCACCCAACAGGAATTTCAGGCTTGTGTTTGCTCACTCGGAAGATGTTTTAGAGATTGCTCTCAAAAGGCTTGTCACTGTCTTGAAGGGAGCAGAAGTAGTAGAGGGAACAAGCATTCTAAAGGATAAACCTAAAGTAGAGAGTAGGCTATAAAAGATTGTGAATTTGGCCATAATTTTATAGTCCTATACCTTTCCTATCTAATTCCACACTTAAGAGCCCAACTAATTTGCGTAATAGCATGCTAGCTACCTCATCACACGGGCCGCATGTATGAAAATGGCTAGCGCTGGATATAAACTAACTTGAAACACAATTGTGCGTAAGTAGCTCGCACGGCGAGTCTTTGTCGTGACGTAGAGATAGTTGTACACCATGCGCATAGATAGATGAATTAGTGTATATTGATTCATATCAGCTAGCGGCACGTTGCTGAGATACCCAAAAGCCTGGAAAAGTATTAGCATTCTTGACTCCGAGACTTTATTGCAATGGAGAAGCAACGTACGACCGCAGCTGCCCATACTGGCCACCACTCGAACCCGTTCTGTTGTGCACTTTGTCCTCGCAGAATGGTTTCCTCCAAGTCAGTCAGCTTCTTGCCACTCCCGGCTTTGGCGTTCAATCGCGCGACGAAGGCTCGTGGATTCTGGTTTGACCAACCGCCCTGCACTCGATTGGACTGTGCTAGGTAGATACTGTACCAATGTGGCAGGGCGGAGAGTAGGAGTGTCGCTGGAAGAGATGCGACTGAAATGTTCATCTCCGGAAATAGATTTTGTATGGTTTGAGACATGGTGGCTGGTTGAGAGATACACAGAACGCTTGGCTGAGAAATCTTTATGTGGTTGTTTTCATGGTGACCGGGGGGTAAAAATAAGGTAGGGAGAGCACCTTGCCAGGTATGTGCGTGGTTTGAAAATTCGAAAGCCGTGCCTCGGCTCGGATTAAAACCTAGCACGGGAATAGTATGGACTCCCCAGCTTACCGGAACTGGGCTAGATTGCGAGTTTTTACTAGACATACCGATGGCGATCATTTGCAAATGCCGATTTTGGAGATCACGTTTCAATGTCCGTTGGCTTGAGCTTCAACCACGTCATCTTCAACGTCGAACGGCAGCGATGTTCTCGTCGTGGAATCCGTGTTTTTGGTCCCGGTGATGGTGACCGGCTTTTTATTTGGGTGATCATTTGACATGATTGATTCAAGTTGATAATTTGAAGGGAAGGAAAAGATCGTTTGCCATGAAGACTGTTGTAAAAGGAGAAGAGAAAGGGAGGGACGCCACAGGGGTTTATATAGCGGAGATCCAATATGGGTAGGAGAGAGGGTTATTCTTGAGCAACTTAATGGGGTTGATAGCGATTGCAGTCACTCCTGAGGTCTGGCCAGGCCTGATTACTTGATTCAAGGCGAGCTGATTTGACCCACCCTCCCAGCGGGAGAGCTATCCGCGCAGGGGACAAGTTAAGACCTTGCGGAGTAGTATGATATCTAAAATTTGGATAAAAAGCTCCTAGAAGCAAGTGCCTAAACTGCTATCAACGTGCCCACCCACACATGTGAGATTTATGGTGTGGTTGATGTAGATATGCGGCTAGAGACAAGGCTCTTACCCGCTCGACGAACAATATCTTGGAATGGTTGAAACTTTTCTTATAATCAGACTGATATCTACCCACAATACTATACAGTGGGCCAGTTTAGAAATTCAAAAATCCCTTCTTTCAGATTCGTCGGGACTGTGTTGCAGCCGACCCTTGTGGGGAATTACTGTTATCGTGACGTGAGTCACGCTCGCAGTCCGAAGATACGAGGCATTGTATTATCCCATTATAACCGTTGTTAATTCAATGACAGTACAGGCTTCCGAAGAAATGAATTTGATTGCTCTCCTTGTACCAACTCTTTCTTGTCGTACATTGGAATTTAAAGCTGCAGGAGGTCTGCAAGGAGCGTATGTTCTCCTTTTGGAAATAGCCCTTGACCAGGGTTTGAGTACCAACCCGCCTCAATTGACCAACCACACGAGCCACGATACATGCAATGTTGTGTCTTAGGGGGGACCCTTGCATTCCCTGAGGGATGCTAATCCCCAATACCACCTGATAACAGAGAAGAAACCATTTTTCACCAGCTGTGAAAGAAATTGTCTGGCTACTATGCACGTTATCTCCCTAATAAGCTGTCGGAGTCATCTACCGGAACAGTTAACAATCACACATGGTAAATTGGGAAACCTTATTAGGGGCTCAATTGAGAAGCAAGAGCCCGGCGATCGGCTAAAAAGCATGGATGACTCCGACCTGACAATCAATAGCTGAAGCTGGTAACCATTGGCTCAGCCTCTCTTGATAAGACGAGCTAGCGAAATTTTACTCTCTTAGCCTGTAATACCAATTGAAATAAATGCATTCCCGATTTCTTTTTGAATAGGACTCGACGGCTTCTACGGGTAGCGCTAAGCTTGGTAGAGGTGATGTATAAGCCCGAGCTAACACCCAAATACCTTCATTACTGGCCCTTTCAACCCGAGCCGGAAGCACCTTATTGCATAAAGTCGGCGTGTCAATGCCCCCTGAAGGTAGATTGGCGTCTTGAATAGACGTTGAGGTCGTATTATCGAGAGGAGAGCATCGTCTACTGCCACTAAAAGGGATTCGACGGCATTGTTGGCGGCAGCCGTGATGGCTAGTCACTACGAGGTAGCCTGGCTGATCATCAATAATGAGGCGGATGTTGACACTCAAGACTATGAAAGTCAGGCACCTTTTATCTCAGCCTCCATAAATGACTATTGGGACGTAATCCGGGGGCTTTTTGACATGGTATTGTTGGGTGAAGGAGTGATCATATATTTGTTTCGCAGGGTGATATTCTTCCTCGTCACATCTCTTCAGCCTGACCAATAAATAAACTCTTATGCCATTTATCCATTTACATATGCCTACCTATCTGGGACTTCTCACCCGCTCTCTTCTATTAATACACCGCCTACAATATGTTTCAAAACTGGCCTGGCATGGCATAATTCTCACCAGACGGCTTTATTTTTTCCGTCGTTTCTTGGCATACTGGCAGTCTGATATTTGTCGGCCCGGCAATATAGATCTCGCCAATGACGTGATTTAGATTCATCACTCGTCTTTTCTGAAAACGTGGGTATACATCGGAGAGCCTCGATATGATTCGGCATTACCCCTCCTAACCATCGATGAGGCCTCTGAGCTGCCAGAATCTGAACTTAACCCCGCTAGTAGACGGTAAGGAGCTCCGCATTACCGAATCTTTGATTCCCCCCCGGATGATCACCGCCCGTGACCTCAATGGGGATCATTGCTTGATTAGGACTCGAAGTAGGTGATTTCAAGGTCAATCCCACATTGATGGGAAAAGGTATATAAACATCCTATCTACTTGCAAAGTCGGCCTTTCTTTTGGCAGAATCGAGCAAAGCTCTGAAAAATAGATGCGCAATGTTGTCTCTGAAAGTCACCTCCTTTGGCTTTTTAGCTCTTGCAGTCGCAACCTTTGCGGCTCCGGTATCAGACAGAGCAATCGCTGCCGCCGCTCAAACACTCGAAGCCGAGGATGCGGTTCTCACTGGGACGCAAATTCTCACCGAGCTTACAGGATATACAGGTACCGGCTTTTCGGCGTGTCGTATTTTCACGGGCCCCTAATTGTGTTAACAGGGCTATTCTTCTAGGTACTGGTTATGTGGGTGGCTTTGATGAGAGTTCCGACAAAATCACCTTTACTGCCAACAGTGATGCCTTGACTTTGTACGATGTCAGTATTCGATACGCTGGCATATATGGTGCGAAGAGAACGACACTTGTTCTCAATGGGGGTGCGAGTAGCGAGGTACAATTTGAAGAAACGACTACATGGGCCTCTGTGAGCGGTGGTCAGCTACTCCTAAACCAAGGTTCCAACACAATTGATATTGTTAGCAATTGGGGCTGGTGAGCAACTCTGGCCCTTGAGAAGCAAATTGAGCTAATAATTTAGGTATTTGATCGATTCCATTACTCTAACACCCTCTGAGCCCCGTCCACCACACAACATCAATTCTCGCTTGATCAATCAGAGGGCAGACATCTATACCAGGAAGTTGTACAACTACCTACGATCCATCTATGGAAAGAAAATCTTATCTGGCCAGCAGGGCCTTGATTGGGCAACCTGGATCCAACAGCAGACGGGAAAATTCCCAGCTCTTGTCTCGCTTGATCTTATGGACTATAGCCCATCTCGTGTCGAGCACGGCACCACTGGGACTGCTATTGAGGAGGCCATCAGTCATGCCAAGAACGGTGGCATAATCTCTATTCTGTGGCACTGGAACGCGCCTACAGGTCTGTATGACACAGAAGAGAACCCGTGGTGGAGTGGATTCTATACACGTATGTATCCCATGCTCGTTCTTGCATCCGTCAGTTGACATATTATCAGGTGCTACTGATTTCAATATCGCAACCGCCCTTGCAGATACAACCAATGCCAACTATACACTCATTCTTCGCGATATTGATGCCATTGCCGTCCAACTCAAGAGGCTCCAGTCAGCTCATATCGCAGTCCTCTTCCGCCCCTTGCACGAGTCAGAAGGCGGTTGGTTTTGGTGGGGAGCTCAAGGCCCGGAGCCTTCTAAAAAACTATGGGCGTTGCTTTACAACAGGTTGACCAACTACCACAAGCTAAATAATTTGATTTGGGTTTGGAACTCGATCGCTGAGAGCTGGTATCCTGGAGATTCCATTGTTGATATTCTCAGTGCTGATGTGTATAGCACTGGCAATGGGGTAAGTGTTTACAGTCCCCGCTGAGCGATCAGATCTAACCGTGAATAGCCCATGTCGACCCAATACGGACAGTTGATCGAGCTCGGAAAGGATAAGAAGCTTATTGCAGCATCAGAAGTTGGTGGTGCTCCACTGCCGGATCAACTGATTGCGTATGAGGCTCACTGGCTTTGGTTTGCCGTTTGGGGGGATACCTTCATCAACAACCCTGCCTATAACCCGATTGACGTGCTTAAAACTGTGAGTGGATCATTAATGTCGCTTGGATTTTGGCCTATCTGGTAGGAATGATGACTGACAATTTGGTAGATTTTCAACCACAAATATGTCTTGACGTTGGATGAGATTCAGGGATGGCAAAATTGAGGCTACGGTGATAGAATCAAGATATGTGCTATAAGATCTACTAGTAGCTGCGCAAGGATTTTGCCAATAATATCGTGAAGCTTCGATTAGGCCTTTAAGAGTTTGGGAATACGTGGCGTAGTCGAACTGCTCCTAGACGAACTGTTCTTGAACCCACGAATAATTTTTACGTGAATGACAGCCCTTTATGTTGGATTTTGCGTGGAGATTCTTTGAGACTAAAAGTACGTGTAATACCTACTAAGCCTTTCAAGCGAATGGGGATGACATCCTCTAGGACCAGTACTCGTCCGTAGTGAGACAATAATTGGGGGTGCATAGAATGCGCAGATTCAGTTAGCCAACAGGATAAGCGCAGGTTGGGGCACCTTGTAAGCACGCATCACGTGGGAGCTCTGCCTCGCGGACCGCCTTGGTCATACCCAACGGAGCCTGACGATAAAATCATGGGGTGTCCCGTCGTTTCACAGCTGATTCTTCGCATCTGGACCGATCTCAACAGCACACACCGGCGACTCGTATTCAGAACAAGGCTTGACGGACAGTTATGGACTCGCGGCTTACTGCCTTGTATTCCCTGCATCGAGAGGCGCAGGGGGCGATCCAAGACGCATCAATCCATTCACCCGCCAGTGGGAGTTCGAACCTCAAAGCCAACTTCTGCTCCAAAATATGGCCAAGTTTGAAACCCAAATATGAAGAGTTTGTTGATGGAATTGTACGCTACTGTAAGGAAGAGCTGCAAACCCGAAATCTGAATTGCATGGTTCTTGGCCGAGCGAAAACCGCCGAGTCGGTCCTGAAATCTCTCGATCGTCGCGAAGAAGACCGCCAGCGCCCCTATATAGGCCTTGAAGATATACTCACAACGATGCATGACCTGGCTGGATCTATGGTTATACTGCAGTATCCAAGCGATGTACCGAAAGTGAATGAGTTTATCGCACGGAGCTTTCGCGCAATTCAAGAGCCAAGGCACTGGTCTCGCGACCGCCAACCCGGTCTCAATTGGGACTCGCGATTTGGAAGTTACGAATCATATAATCACCATGTCACACTACAAGGAGATTGCGACCATCCTGCTGTAGGTTCTGACGTTGTTTTCGAAATCCAAGTCACCACTTGTGGAGACTATATGTATAACCGGCTTGCGCATGGCTGGTATTATAAAAAGGCCCATGGACCGCTATCAAGGAAGGACGAGATAGTCCTGGATATGATACATGCAGCTGCAATCATGGTAGAAGTTGGTGGAGAGTATATGAAAGAGAGAGAGGATGAAAATCGTGACAAGGCCGGGCCCGAATATGACCTGCTTCAAGTCATCCAACTTGCGCAGGGCGCCGAGGAATGGAGGTTCAAACACAACAATCTGCCTCCTATTTTCCGAGCTCTCGAAGAGAAGGGCTATAACTCTGCCACGAAACTGAAACACCTTGCAAAGAACCTTGGTCCTCTGAAAGAGGAAGACCCTTCTAGCCATGATCTTGTAGCTCAGTTACTCGAGATTATCTCCCGAAAGTCCAAACGCCACTTTCTCGTCCCATTTGGACAGAACGAGGGATTTGTCGGCAGAGAGAAGACGGTCAACTGGCTTCTCGAAAGAATCCCTCCTAGCACAAGACTCAACGACTGCCAAAGAACCGCCATCGAAGGCCTAGGAGGAACAGGCAAGACGCAGATCGCCTTGGAGGCTGCCTATCGCCTTCGCGACAAGTACTCCGACTGCTCCGTTTTCTGGGTACCAGTGCTAAGCATAACCACCTTTGAGAATGCGTACCGAGAAATTGGTGACGCTCTTCAGGTGCCAGGGATTCAAGACGAGAAAGCGGATATTAAAGAGTTGGTGAGAAGGGCATTGAATCACGAGAGGTGTGGCGAATGGCTTTTGATTCTCGACAACTTGGACGATATAGAACTCGTCACAGACTTAGGCAGCTACCTTCCTTCGAGCCCGAAAGGCTCCATTCTATTTACGACGAGGAATCATAGCGTCACAACGAGGCTGGATATCGCCCCAGGCCGGGTAGAAAGAGTCTGCGGAATGAGCCGAGACGAAGCCCTCGAGATGTTGAAAACAAATACAAAGGAAAGCCAGTGGCAAGATACCGCCAATACATCCAAGCTCCTCGATTTCCTTGCCGATTTACCCCTGGCTATCCGACAGGCATCCGCGTATATACGGCAAAACGATATCACTACTACAAAATATCTCAGTTACTGCCAATCGAGTGATGAAAAACATATCACCATGTTGAGTAAAGATTTCGAAGATCGGGGCAGATATAAAGACAGTCGAAATCCAGTAGCCACGACTTGGCTGATCTCATTCACTCACATCTCGCGAGACAAACCACTTGCGGCGCGGTATTTGAGATTCATATGTTTTTTAGCAGAAAGGGACATTCCAGAGTCCTTGTTGCCGTTCGGAGAAGACGAAATAGAAAGGGACGAAGCAATCGCGGCCTTGAAAGCGTACGCATTTATCACCAAGCGAGAGGATGATGCTGCTTTTGATATCCATCGCCTCGTGCGCTTGGCGATACGCAACCATCTGAAAGGAGAAGACAGAACGGAAGCAGCTACTATTATGGTCCAACATTTGTCTAATATATACCCGTTTCCTGAGCATGAGAATCGAGGCATATGGATGAGGTACATGCCACATGTACTGACAGCTGCGGAGGTGCATGAAATGTCAGCAGATAAGGATGCGACTGGGTTGCTTTTATTTCACGTCGCAGCAACATACGAAATAACCGCCAAGAACGAGAAAGCGGAAGAAGTGTATCGGCAGGTGCTGGAGCTTGGTGAGGAGTTACTAGGCCGAGAGCATCCCTCTGTATTCGGCATCATGAATAACCTGGCTAATGTGCTGCGAAGCCAAGGGAAATATCGCGAAGCGAAGCAAATGCATCAGCAGGTATTAGAGTCTCGACAAAAGGTACTAGGCCAAGAGCACCCTGATACACTTAGCAGCATGAATAACCTAGCCATTGCGCTGGATAGCCTGGGGAAAAATATTGAGGCAGAGCAGATTCATCGCCAACAGCTGGAGTTATCCCATAAAATAAAAGGCCGAGAGCACCCAGACACACTTACCAGTATAGATAACCTGGCTAGTGCGCTGCAAAGACAAGGGAAATACAGCGAAGCGAAGAAAATATATCAGCAGGTATTAGAGCTTCGACAACATGTACTAGGCCAAGAGCACCCTGATACAATTAGCAGCATGAATAACCTAGCCATTGTGCTGTATAAGCAAGGGGAACATGGCCAGTCAGAGCAGATGCATCAGCGGGTATTAGAGCTTCATGAGAAGGTGTTAGGCAGAGAGCATCCTCATACACTCGACAGTATGAGTAACCTGGCCATTGTGATAAGGAATCGAGGAAAATACAGCGAGGCGGAGCAGATACATCGGCAGGCATTGGAGCTCTATATAAAGGTGTTAGCCCTTACTGTGTTGTCTTTCATTGTGTTAAAGGTTTAAAAGCTTTTTAATTAACGCTATCTTCCGAACCCTGATTTCTTCCACGTCTTTTCCTCCCTTCTTGTTTGGATTGGCGTACAAACGAAGGAAGCCAGGTGAAGAGGGCAGCTTTAGTAGTCATTCGACGCGCAGCTCGTCCTGACGGCAAGCGAGTCATCGGTATGAAGGTTTATAGAATTTTCTGCCGTATGACTGTAGCCTTGGGCTAGTGAAGCTTTTTTTTATTAACCTTTCGTAGTCATTGTGTTGAATTGTTGGGTCTGACTTCTTCTTTTGTTTTAACTTTCTATCAAAGCTCTCTCCGGGATATAAAGGTGTTAGGTCGAGAGCATCCCCATACGGTATCATGTCAGTACTTTTCGAGCCTATTTGAAAGAAATCCAGAAGAAAAGGAGGCTGGAGGATCTTCCGGATCCAAATCCAATTATACCTACGTGCGAAAAGAAGGGGCAAAGCAATGGCTAGGGAAATTCTTTCAGCGCCGACACACTTAGATATAGGGATAAGTGCTATTCATAACAGCGTTCAACATTACGCCACCTTCTCTATCCCGCTCCTGTAAAACGTAAAGGTATCACACCTCGCCAAGTACTCGAGAGAATCTCATGGCGGACTGGTATCCCGTGGCGAGAACCTGGCGAGCAGGACGCGATTCCCTTTTGACAAATCGCGTCCACCACGTTCTGTCAAGATAGTGCATTACTCTGCGTCCAACAGACCTTGCAAAATCTGCCTAACCACCAGCTACGTACTCTACGCTAAGAATCGACCTAAGCATAGGAGAAGACTAGCAGCTGGTCTCACCTCTCCCGCCGAATGAAAGAAGCCTACTACGAACTTTCGCCAGAGTCGTGGTCGTGATGGCGTGTCGCGGGCTCTATCCACTTGCGGAACATATTCACCTTATAAGGCCAAAAGCGGGCGAGACAAAGGGGTACAAATCATCTCACTAAGGGCTCCCGCCCAAAGAAGCTAATCCTCACAGCCGCTTTGAACATGCCTTTCTTATGTACCATAACCCTACAGTAGTCTTGCAATAATGAAATGTGACTCCGAATAAATTGACGGAGGTAGGGTTTGTCTAATCCTTGCAAACCGTGGTGGGTGGGCGTAGGCTGATCGGGATGCACTTTCAGGGGCTAAATAAGCAGTTGTCCCTGATCAACCTTAACCTAAAAGCTGGATGGCTGGATATGGGGCCTTGTTAGCTTATGGGCACCGCCACATACGCGGAATTGGCCCGATCCGTAAGATCGACGGCACCCACACACCAGACTGACTGCCTGCCCTAAGAGCCAGCCATGGTTAGATGTATACATAGCAGGTGGCGGAGTATAGCCATACGCGTGGTTAAATATGGAAAGGAGCATAGAATGTATCGCAAGCATTTGCTGACTCACCTCGCGACATTGGATAGTTTCTGTGACATACCGTAATTGATACGAAGAAGACTATCGCCTCACCGGCTACCTAGGGTGAGCGGATATCGGTAAGCCTGGCTGATACGCCTGAGACATGCGTGATGGTTCGTGCTTCTTGTACACGCCCGGATTGATGCCTGCCTACCTCCTACAATCCTTAGACTTCTCCACCTACAGATCCCGCACCATCTAGGCAGAAATAGAATTACCAGAATCCCTAATAACTCAAAGGTGCGTCTGAAATTTGATTCCACATCGATCATAGGTCACCTTAGGCTCACAGCCACTGGCTACCAAAGCTCCATGCTATTGCTATTTGTATTGATATGGCAGCTAAGATCAGAAGTAGGAATGCGCTTGGACTGCCTCATGGAAGAAACCCTGGCGCTAGCGCTTCAGCCTTTGACACTGTGGCTTGGCGGCTGAGATACAATAGAGGCTTCAGCTTGATGACTCTGCGAGTGAGACAATGAGTCCCTGAACCCTACAGCGACCATGGATACGAAATGTCAAGTCGTTACAGTACTGGCCAATCATTCCCTTAGCAAGTACAATGGTTCCTCCTTCTTATACACGCTAGGCCAGGGGACCAACATGTCTCGGTTATAAAGCACGAGCTCAGCCAGTGTTTTCGCAGCGCCATGCGCTCTATTCCTCTTCTAGCGGTAGCGTACGGACTTCACATTTGTGAAGGCTGTAGACCGAGTTGGCTCACTATTATTGGCAACTTGGTAAGGGGGTGTCTGACTTTGCCAAAGATCCGTTGCCTACTTGGTTCCAGAACACGTCCGCTTTACCGCCTCATAACCATCAATTCCTCCTCTGTAACTTATTAATAGCTTGAAAGCGACTTCCACCATATGTTGGGAACATATATTCTCAATAAGGCGATGACAGTCAAGATTGTACATGGAAACTTTGCCGATAGCAACAGGGTGAGACCAGCGGCATAGAGCACCAAGATATATCTAGCTATCCCCTGGCGCGACGATGAAGAGTCAGATACTGTTGCTAGCTGCGCTCAAAGTGCGCAGCGCGTTTTCAGATCCTTCACCTTCAGAAGTTGTTTTTCGCCGAAACGGCCTTCGGGGTAAGACCAACCCTATTCCCTTATTCTCTCTCAGATTAGCTGACTGTAATGCTTCGAACCTTCCAACAGCCGTCACCCTAGGCAAGTATCTATACATCGATGGGGGTATCGTTTCAGGACTGAATATTCCAAAGGCTCCGAGGTGTTGTAGGCACTTACTCAATACGATGTTCCTCCAAACCTCTGGCTAATGGCGACTTCTAGGCACTACGGCCAATGATACGTTGGCTATCGATATATCCACGTCCTGGGACCCGGAAGATGTAACAATTCTGAAACTCGCCAGCGTACCGAGAAAGAAAGGGGTCTTTAGAAGCGCACTCGTTGCCGATGAAAACACGCAAGCAATCTATCTCTGGGGGGGTAGGAGACAAGTCAAGCCAGTTGACCGTCTTCTGTGGAAACTTGTGCCCGATGCCAACGGGAACGGCACATGGAATTCCGAAATCACCACGGGCATCGACGGGGTGGTCAGTACCGAGTCTAGCGCTCATGCCGTAGCGCATGGCTTGGGATTCTGGTTTGGAGGTGGCATAAATCTCCTGACTGAATATACGTCGGACGCACCGGCTATAGGAACACCAGTCCCTGGATTTGTCACCTATAACTTCACTGCGAAGACATGGACGAACCACACCGATGTACCTAACGCAGTCAAGAGTCCATGGGCTGCGACGGCCAATTTTATTTCTGGATTTGGACCTAATGGGATTATAGTTCTCCTTGGTGGTTTGAGCAAGGCGAAATCTCCGCTTGCTGTCGATTTCGGAACTATCTATCTCATGGACCCGGTGACTATGGCGTGGTATACTCAATAAACCTCAGGCACTTTGCCCACGCGTCGTATGGATCACTGCGCAGTAGGCGTACAGGGGGATAACAAAACTCACGAAATGTGAGTAAACTTAAGTAAAGACAAGAAGAGAGACCTGTCAGAAGATAGAGACTAAAGCGAGAGTGGCTGACATTTCTGTCTATCCAGTTTCATCTATGGGGGGACCAGGGATAGCAGCGACGCGGCCGGAAGGGCCATACCCTTTGGTGATGTGTGGGTGCTGAGTCCCCCAGGATTCGTGTGGCACCAGGCAGATGGTGCGCGAATCGATCCTAGAACACATCATGCCTGCGTACGTGCTGGAAATCGACAGATGCTGAGCATTGGCGGTGTAAACACGACAGAAGCAGATGGGATGGCCACCAAGGACTCCTCCCCTTAAGGCCTGGGAATCTTCGATATGACGAGAATGGAATGGAAAGAGAGGTATGATGCCGATGCTGAACCATATGCAACTCCGGAGATTATAAAGAAGTGGTATGCCGATGGGTGAGTGTGCCAATGTGCAAATACGGGTTGAGTGTTCTGCTCGACGAAGATTAATAAATTTGACACCAACTAATGAGCTTGTAGGGGAGTGCATTCTGTAACTTGGGGCGACGGAGTCCAAGACCTTTACCAAAATAAAACCCCCTCTCAGCCAGAGACTAGCAATCAACGTCTCTCCGTTGGAGCTATCGCTGGCATCTCAATTGGCACAGTCGCGGGCATAATCGCCCTAATAATATCCATATTCCTTTTTATCCGAAAGTATCAAAGGAAACAGACGGAGAAACACCATGAGCTCGAAACACGGCTGGATCGATCGTTGTCTACTTGGACTTCAGCGACCACGACACTACAACCCGTCGAAATGTATTCAGCTCCCCCAGAGCTCGGTGGAGACACTCAGCGCATCGCCATGAGAGACAGCTTACAGGTCCCGGGCCAGATCCCCGCGGATAGACGGACAGAGCTTCACGGAGACGAGCGCTTAGAGATGGTGGGATAGATTCATCTGCCAACCCGAACATTATCCCACACAAGGAGAGCTATTTCGAAAGCTAATGCTGTAAAAAAAGTAGATACGTGATGAATTTCACTGACTTCAGTTCTGAAATATCAAGAGCTTGTGCGTCAGCAAAATTATCCCAAGCCACCATATTTCGGCATTGGGCCAATATTGCTGACTATTTCATGACATATGATAGCCTTCGAGAATTTTAGACCAAAGTGAAGATGGAGCTTGCCATAGGATAACAGGCCACTCAAAGTAGCAGGGCCTAGGTGATTTATACATTCATTGTCATTATCTATATAACTATAGCTCGAGTGAATCTGGGGTAATTTCGTGATTTGAACCTGCCGAAACCAAGAGATAGCAATGAGTGAATGAATTTTAACGAAAGGGGGATATTTTTGATGGACTTTCTCGTTCCCTAATAAATCGTTACGAGTCTCTCAGATTAAGCAATTGGCTTACGCTGGATGAGCTACAATTGTTTAAAGTTATTGACATCTTAATGTGTTCAAAATATCTCCATTGAGAAGAACGACTAAACGTACATTAGGTAGTATCATGAAATTTATCAGTCTTGTCACTGACTACGAATTCATTGTCCCCGGCCTGAACCATTGCAGGGAAAATGTACCGCCATCACTCGTCCATGTAGGATCTCCACTCCACGCCCTGTTGTTATTGACGTTCGTCCGAGTCCCGTGGAACAGCTCTCCTTTGCTATTCAAACCAAAGACACTGACCTTACCTGAAGAACCAAGGACGACCACAGGGGCGCTATTAAAGCTGCCCCCGAGGTCGTCCCAGTCCGCACTCCAGCTGGAGTCAATGAGCGTCTTGTGCTTCAAGCGGTCATCCGTTCCCACCGCAACCACGGCGATGCGAGAGTCTGAGACCACCAAAGCACTTGGAATCGATTCAGATGCTCCTCCTATATTTTCCGATTCCCATATCCACCCTCGGACGTCCACAATAGATAATACATGGGGCCATCAGGGCTGACGCCAAAATAGTCACTCCGATTAGAATTTGAGGATACTACAAAAGGGTCACCCTTGAAGCTCCCTGCCTCGCCTTTCCAGCTTTCCCAAGTTGAATTGTCCCATCTTTCAACCCAGAGATCATGCGGAGCCCTGGCCCCGCCGCCATAGACAGCAACATCCATTCGGCCGGGAGAGCAGGAGACCATGGGCGAGCTCGATAGGTAAAGACCCAAAGGTTGCCATCCGGAGTACATAAATGATGTTGTATTCCAGTTCATCTGGTGTAGAGCCATTGTAGAACCTCGCATAAAGAGGTCCAGCACGCCTGAGTCGTGGGAGCAGCTTGTTGGCGGCGATGTTGCGAATCCCCCGAGACCGAGCCATGAGGAATCCCACGTGCCGTTCTTGTAAGCTATTGCAGAGATACCATAACTCTTGTCCACGACCCACAAATTGGTTCGCTCGCTCTCGAATATCACAGCAGCAGGCTGGCTGGCGAATTGGCCACCAAGACTCGCCCACTGATTCCTCCAGTTGGAGCCGTCCCACTGCCGATACCATACCGCGCTGTCGGATCCAAGACCGAAAAAGAGCTTTGAGTCTGCGGACGCAGATGGAGAGGAATCTTGAACCACGGCAATCATGGAAGGGCATACCGTCAACCGGCAAACAGAACCAGAGCTGTTTGGCGTTGCTGTCGTGGTCGCTGTCTCCGTAGCCTTGCTTGGGCTGGAGTTTCCCGTTCTGTTTGGGAGAAGATGGCACTGTCAGATCTTAGAAATCCCACTGACTGAATGGAACTTACGAGCTACTCTTTCCGCTAAGTAAAACTCCCAAAGAGACTCCGAGGAGTATCGCTACGACGACTAGACCAATGGCGACGAGAACTAATATCCCCTTGCGCGTCTTCCACCATTTATTTGGCGGAGGGGAGGCTGCTCCCTCTTCAAGTATTGGGGGAGGGGGAGACCATATCTTTTCATTGGGTCGGCCGCCTTCCAATGGGTTCACTTCTATGCCTTCGCCTACTTGTGGAGATACTTCTTTATTACTGAAACCATGTGGTAATGATGATTGATTTTGATCGGTAGAGGTTTTAGGTAGTTCATGAACTACTTCAGGGAAATTCTCTGACGGATGAATGGGCAGATCATGGACGTAACTCATATTTGAGGAAGAAGATGGATGGTTGGCGTTTCTGATATCAACGCAAAAATGCGGGAGGTGGTATGGAAGAGAGCACTCGCATATCTATAACGCCCACGCATGCTATCTCGGCTTCCGGCACCAGAGATCGCTAGTGTCAACTTTCCATTGGCCTAGGCTGATCCAATTAAGCGTAGCCAAAATATTTGACAGCCGTTTCTGGATCAAGGAGGAACCAAAATGTGGTTTGACAAGGGGCTGTACAGTAAAGCAAAGTAATAATTAAAGCAAACGAATGTGATAATTAGGATAAAAGCTATCTGTTAGAAGGTTCTAACCGAAGGTTGGATAAGTATATATAACTAATTAATAAGATCAGATATTAATAAACTAATATCCGATAAGAATATCTATATAGATAATCTTTTCTTTTTCCTTTTAGTTAAAAGGAAATATATATATAATAACTAGATATAGGTAGAAAATATCTATCTAAAAGTAGAAGTCTATATAATAATAAATTAAATATATATAAATATATAAATCTATTAAATATAAAATTTATCTAATAAGAACTTATTAAATTTATTAGTTAAATATATTAATTATATATAATCTATCCTTCTTTATATATAATAATTAAATTATTATTAATAAATTATTCTAATAAATAGTTAGAGATAAATTTAATAAAATAATTAATAAGATTATCTTTATTATTAATTTAATATATTTCTATTAATTTATAATACTTATATAATTAGTATAGAGCTATTATATTAATTATAAGTTATTTTTTCTTTATTATACTAAGTTTAACTAGATATTTATATAATAAATATAAATCTATATATATAATAGTTAGAATATAGTTAATTAATAAATAGTTAGTAATTATTTAAAAAGTAATTAAAATTATATATATAATATTAATACTAGTAATTATATTATAAACTTTAGATATAAGAATAGAATAGATAATATATTTATATTTAATTAAACTATAGTAAATAATATTATCTATTAGTTAGAATAAATTATTATTCTTATTATATTTATATTTATTTACTAAGATAATAATAAAACTAAGTTATAATATTAGATTTTAATTATTAGTAAATAATCTATTAATAAATATAAAGAGTTTAGCTATTTTTAGATCTAAAAGAATAAAATTAAATTTTTAATTTAGATTATTAATTTACTATTAAATATATTTATTTAGTATTTTAACTTATATATCTAATAGATCTTAGTATTATATAGCTATAGATAGATTAAATAATATCTCTAGCTAATAGATTAATATAATATATATATTATAAGTATATTATTTAATATATTATTTTTTTATTTAGTTATTAAGCTAAATAAATTATAATTTACTATTTTAATTCTTTTATTTTAATTAGATAATACTATTAGTATTAAGATTAATAATTCCTCTATTAAATATAATAGGATTATTAGATATAAGATATTACTTTAGTTTAATAATAAACTATATCTTTTTTAACTTATTATTCTCTTATTTATTAAATTTAGTATTTAATAGTCTAATTATATTATTAATCTATATTCTAATAATACTAAAGGAATTATTATTAGCTATTATAATTAATAAATATAGATTATAAATTAAAGATTCTATTTAGAGTTTTTTTCTATAATATTTATTATATATATCCTACTAATAAGTACTAGCTTTAGCTATTTTATAAAGTAGTTTCTTAATTATTATAATAGATCTAAATAAATATAAATAATAGATTTAGATTAGTAAATAAGCTAAAATAATATAGTTTAGTTTAGTTAATAATTATATATATACTTATATAATATTATATAGCTATAGTTAGATCTAGTTATTATCTTATAAAAGTAATAGAATAATAGAAAAAATAAATTATTAATTTATTTATTAAATAGTTAGAGCTTATATTAAAATAGTTTATTTCTTATTATTAGTATAATCTTATATAACTAATTATAATTTCTTATATAGTTAATTAGTACTTTTATTCTTAATCTTATTAATTATATAAGAGTTAAAAATATATATTTTAATATATAACTTCTTATTAAATAGAGTAATTTTAAAAATATCTTTATCTATTAGAATATTAATTTTAGCTTAATTAAACTATTTAAATAGTTTATTAAATATATAAATTTTCTCTTTCTTTTAGAGAGAAATTACTAACTTAAGATTAGATTATTTCTTTATAGATAGAAATAAAGTATTATCTTTATCTATAATAAAGTATAGATTATTAATATTATTATTAAATTTAATATTAGAATTTAGATTATTAATAGAATTAAAATTATTAATTTTAAATATAAAAATAGTAAATAATTAAATATTATATTATTATTATATTATATAATATAGTATATTAATAATAATTATATCTAATATAGATTTATCTTTATCTTTATTAAAAGATAAAAAGTTATTATTTAGAGAATTATTTAATTTACTAGATAAGAAGATATTAGTTTTATCTAATAGTAAGTTATTTAATAGTAGATTATTTAATAAAGTATTAATAGTCTTATTTAATAGAGTATTATTTTTAATAAGATTATAATAGAATAGTTTAATAATAGTTAAGTAGAAAGAATATAGCTCTTATAATATCTAGATAATATATTTCTCTTCTTTAATAGTTAGAAATCTAAATAGTTCTTACTATAATTTAGTAACTTCTCTCTATATATAAATATTAGATTATAATAGAAGATTTAATATATTAGATATATTAGATCTATTTCTTATTATTAGAGCTTTATTAATTATATATTTAGCTTTTAGTTATTTAACTTTATCTATAGCTTTATATAAAACCTTAGTATATTTAATTATTAATAGTAAAAGTATATAATTATCTATTATATAGAGGAATATATTAAATATAAAAAGTATAAAAATTAGATTATTAGATCTAGTTATATTATTTACTACTTTAATAGATATTTATAATATAGATTCTAATATAATTAATAGATTCTCTAATTAAATAATTTTATATATATAATAGATTAGTAAATAATAATATTTAACTTTACTAATACTATAGTATACTTTAATTAGTACTTTCTTAATAGAAATCCCTATTATTTAAGCCTTATAATAGAATTTAATTATTTAGAAGCTAGTATTAGTATTAGTAATTAACTAATTAGATAGTTTTAGATAAATATTAATCTAATAAAAATATAGGGTTTACTAGATATACTAAATAGAAATATCTTTTAGAAAATAGATAGTATTAAATAATATAATAAAGTTAATAATATATAGAATAGATTTATTTCTATTAAAATATATAATATTAACTACTAGTTTATAATTAAACTTATAGTTATTATAAAAATTAAACTTAAATTAATATAATTAACTAGTAAATAGTTAATAGTAGTAGTAAATCTTTAAAATTATTATAATAATTTATTTATTTATTATTATATATAATAGGTAATCTAATAGATTAATAGATAATCTAGTAATTAGCTAGAAGCTCTAATAATTAGCTAAAGGCTCCTTTAGAGTAATAATAGATAGCTTATTATAAATAAAGACTTAAGCTTATTATTATCTATTTACTTATACTAATTAGTAGTAATTCTTATATTTAATAAGATAGACTATAACTATAACTATTCTCTATTAACTATATAATTAATAGTTACTTTTTAATTAAACTATAGACTATCTATCCTAGTATTATATATATAGACTATTAATTCCTAAATATACTAACTATATAAACCTTCTCTTTAAAAGATATTAATTATCTAAACTTTCTATCTTCTATAGTATTAATTATAATAAATCCTTTTAAAAACTCTTTAATTAGTTATATAACTAATATATTAATTAAAAATTCAGTATTATTACTCTATTTTATTACTATAGAATATAAATTTATTAGTAAATTAACTAACTAAGACTATAAACTGATTATCTAGTTTAATCTACTACTAATAATAATATTTATCTAATATAATATACCTATTAGATAGATAATATATAAAACTATCTTTAAAGTATTTTTATAAAGATAGTATAAAATAGCTAAAGCTAAATTATTAATAAATAACTCTCTAATAGACTAATTAACTCAGACTCTAACCTATCTATTAATAGATTTATTAAACTAGCTAGACTATTCCCCCTAATAGATAGTTCTAATAAGAATATATATTCTAACAGACTTAGAAAAGAGTAATATATTATATTAACTAAACTTTACTATTAATTAGTAAGTATATAAACTACTTAATTAGAGAGATAATATCTATAGTTTCTTCCTTGATCTAATATTATATAGTTTAATATCTTAGATAAAATAAATATCTAAGATACTAATAATAGTACCTTCTATTATATAAGCTCCTCTTTAGTTAATTTAATCAGTAGTATTATTAGTAATAGTAGTACCTTCTATTTAATTTACTATATAAATAGATTAATTAATACTAATAGATTAATTATTAATAGATTTATCTAAAAGATTAGATTAATTTTTAAATATATATAAATAAAATATCCTAAGCTAATTAGAACTTTAATAATAGTAGATATAGAGAGCTAGAAGAATATAGCTTAAGAGGAAGATTATAATATAACTAAGCTAATAATTCTCTGAACCCTTATTAAATTTATTAAATTAAATAAAATAAAAATTATTTAATTATAATTTAAATAATAATTCTAATAATATCTATTCTACTTTTTCTATTAAATCTTTAAATAAGATATTAAATAATATAAATACTAGTAGTTA